GTGTAAACATTCTATGTTACGGAGAGAAGCTAGCCGCTACTAAGCAAGCTAGACGGGACTAGGCAAAGTGCCGGTTATAGATGCTATTATTAGCCTTTATACGAAGGTAGGCTAGGAGGTCTCGCTTCCGTAGCATAGTATACGGTCGCGAACTATATAGCGTATTCGGCTCGAGGCTTAGCTAGATAGGAGCGCGTAGGTAAAGAGCGCTTTGTTGCTACACTATAGCACTTGCTTTATTTAAATGTTAATAAAATAGTGTACTAGTTTGACTATACGTCGCTTCTTAGTTATATATAAGTTTGTGCCGCGCTTCCCGGAAATAACTCGACTTGTCGGCTTATTTCTTATTTACGATAGCATTCGAATTCTTCTTACGATTACGAATTACGATATAAGCGTAGTATATAACGACCTTAGAGAAGCTCCAGACAACCGTAGTAAATTCTTAGAATCGATCCTTAGGTAACTCTAAAAGATCTCTAGAAAAGCCTGTTAAAGCGCTCTACCGAAAGTTATATAATGTACCTGCTAGAGACAAACTAAACAACACGACCAAGTCCTACTTCGACGAAGCTCGCTTCGCTTTAGAAGTGTGTTATAAGATCTCTACGCGTAATAGTATAGCTAAGGCGTAAAGATATCTTATAACGTTGCTAACACGTAAGATATAGCCGCATAATATCGAAATCTCTAAATTTGTAAGGCTGCTTTTATTAACAGTGCGTTAGATATAGATCACTAAGCAAATATTAGGACGTGAACGATGCTAACAAGGACAAGATTTACGGCATCGCCCGTTTTTAAAACGACACCGAAGCGAACACTACGGAGCTCTACGTACTAGTTTCTAGGGGGGTCTATGCTCCCCTAACGTAGGTATAGTATAGTAATAAGGAAGCCGGGCGCCTAGCTAAGATAGCGTATAAAATTAGTTTAAGGATACTTAAGACGGCTATACACGTATACTACGAAAGGAAGGTACTACTCCCGGAGCCGATTAGGAGGCCCTCTAGTATAGTATAATTGCGTATAACAGTCTTCACGGTTCCTATATTAGAGGTAGCTTAAAAATCTATCGACTACTTCCGCCTCCTTCGTCTCCGATGTCCTAACCTTTAATAAAACAAACTCGTAGTACTCGAAAAGGTATAGCCGTATAGGTTCGCTAATAGTTCGGCCCTCCCTAATTATTCTAGTTCATGTCGTCTAGCTAAGACGGAATTAGTGCGAGTATAGCACGCGGCGACGCATAGAACTCACTTAGTGAAAAAGGGTTAGCCCGCTGATCTTCCCGCGCCTATAACGGACATACCGAGAATCTGCTTTCCGGCTAACCGTTCGTAGTATGTATACTAAACTAAGCCTTATACTAGCAGGGGTTAAACTCGCCGCTAGGGGGCGTTTACGAAGTATAGTACATAGTCGCGAAGGGATATAGAGGCGGACATAAATAGTCTAATTATAATAGTAAAGGACTCTCCGTGCTATCGTAGTAGCCCGAAGCTAACACGGGAGTTTCGGGCGCCGATAGGGACGCTTAGCAACTAAATGATCGACGGAGCCGCTGCCGAAATCGACTAAATAAGTTAATACCTTGCTTTTTAGATGTTGTCGTCCGGCTCTACGAAATGTTCCTACTAAATATAGTTATAAATGCTATAATTAAAACGATAACTGCTACGGATAGGCGGGACTTTTTATTCCAACGATTATAATAGAGCTACTTGATTTAGCTAGGAGTCAGATTATAGAACTTCTACCTTTCTAATCTAGTTTCTAGAAACGGAAAGTAGGACTTCGGGTTTCTAGTACGTAGACTAAGATGTAAAAGGTAATATAGGAAGCATCGCGGCTCTATACCTCCGCCCTTAACTACAGCTCGTAATTATGTATAAGGCTTGTCTTTTCCTAACCCTTACTTCGCTTACGCGCGCCTAGGAAATCCAACCCTTCGACCGCTAAGCTAGACAATAGCTACTTCGAGTCGAGGAGGACGAGACTCTTACGCTTACTCTTAGGCGCACCGTTTTTCTATAATCGACGACAATAGTAACTATAACGTAAGTTACATCCGACGTAGCTACGAAGCTCTCGCTTACGCTACTAACTCTATAGCCCGGACCTACTTAGGACTCTATAACTAGACCGATTCGTTAGCTAATAAGAGCGGAATAAGAGTCTAATAAGAAGGGCCTATAGGCCGTCCGAATCGACGTACCTCTAAGGGACGACCCGAGGAGCTAATATAACATTTATGCCTACTATCGCTATTAACTCTATTATAAGTATAAGACCGGTAGTAGCGACTAGTATATCTAAGGCGAGGACGTAATATTTATATCCTACTAATAGTAACTTAAGTATAATATGTAATATCTTACCTTAGTATATACGTTAATAGAGGAGCCGAGCAAAAACAACTAGTTAAGATCGGGCAGTGTAAAGTATAGGCAGCGTTTATTAGAATAGTTTTATATTAGGTATATAATCGCGTAAGTTACGTTTAATTCTATTATTACTATTACGTACTATACTATATATAGCAAAAAGTCTGTCTGTATCCTTCGTAACCTACTACGTAGTAATAAATAACAAGCTTAGAAAATGCATTATCGCGATCTAGGTCCGGGACGCCTAATCTATAAGACCTGAAACTTATACTAGTTTAAGTATGTCGGAAGTCGGGTTTCTAGCTTTATAAAGCTAGTCTATAGCTATAAGAGAAGCCTCCTAGCTTAGTAAACATTATAGATGCGTATAGGAGTCGCGATTTAAAGACTTAGTTCCGGGTTAAGAAATAGCATGTCCTAAGCGATGCCGAGTCTTTATTAGATTAATGCCCCTTCCTAGCCCTCGGAACTCCGACGTCCCGCTTTTACTTATATAGTATACATTAACCGGAGACGGAGTAGCTAGATCTAGGACTCGGAGTTAGACTCTAATACTAGCCCCTAGAAGCTACTTTCGGACCTTGTGCACCTACACCGCCACATCTACTACGTAATAGGTAGTAGGTGAATGATTTTTGGTTTTGCTATAGACGGCGTACATTCCTTGCTTTTATGCATCTATAGTCGAATGTGCTAAGCTTTCGTGGAAGAAAGTTTAAGAAAGTGAATAAATCCCTACCTCGTGTGCTAATTGTATATGGACAAGTTTTTCAAAAGGAAACTCCTTTAGCTATATAGGTATTTGGAGTAGCGGCAATCTTTGAAAAGACGCTCTTATATAAGATCTACTATTCCCTTTATGGTCTAGACTATACTCGGACTTCCTTAGCCTTCTATACACGCTTAACATTAAGGGTCCATCTATGGAATCTAAGGTTGTARCGGTATAAAGATCAGGTGGCCGCGTTATACGAAGCAACTTAGCTATCGAAACTAAGAAGTTAAAGACACTCCGAAGAGGACTCTTTACGGTCGAGGCTACCTTCTCGGGCTACGAGGGGCTGTTATTCACTCGTAGATAGGCAAGTAATCAAGTCATCAATTTTAACACTCTCTATAAAAACCTTTGCTGGATTTTACTTTTCTTAGTCGAGATCGACGACATAATGGGTTACTTTGAAAATGTCCCACTTAATAGCTATGAGTGTCGGCAAGCTAGTAGTTCTCACATCCTTATTTCACTCCATCTTTATTATCCGTGACTTTTGACTTGGAACTAGTATCGGAGAAACACGCACGGTTCTCGAGATTCTGTAAAGCCTATTATACTTAGTCTCTAAAGCCTACGGATACGAGATTAGAGGGATTGGCTAGATAGAAACAAGTTCGTCGCCTAATTAGAAGGTAGACATTTTGGCTTAAGAGAATTGGGGCCGTGGTTCGGGGACTCTAGGCGCGCTAATAGTAACGGAATAGCGAGAGATGTTACTAAGTTGGCTTTTAAGTCTTCCGTATAAGAGACATTGTGCTAGTGCTCTAGAGATACGATAACGAGTGTATAAGGATCTACATGTACACTCTTTAGTATTATAGAAGTAATAGCGACCTAGGCTCGTATTTGAGCTTAGTTGCAAACTACGAACATAGCGGTGTGAGGCTAGCACCACCTTTAGCATTTAAAGAGCGTCCTATAGCACCCTTCTACTAGTGTTTCTTCTAGCTGCGGATCGCGAAGAAGGTTAATATTATCTAATATCTTACTTGCATCGGCGTACCCTAATATCCGGCACTTAATTAAGCCTATGCGGATACTTAAGGATAGAGAAACCATCTTTTATAAGCCCGATGCAATTTGCTGACGTAGAGACGAAGGTGCCTAGTATCGAACACTACGAGGTTTCCAGACTACGATAGGGGTTATAGATAGTGGAAATTTGAAGGAGCATATCACGTCGAATTTAGGTTAATGGGAATTAAATGTGAAAGCAATAAGTCGGTGTGAAGTTTAAGGCTCGACGGAAGCTTGTTCCCTTAATAGATAGGATGGACATTAAATAGAACGATCGATAGGAAAGAAATAGGGATGCCCTTGATTTCTAAGACGACCATATTACGGGACATCTAGCTCGATATATTTCTGTAGCGGCGCCGGTTCGTGGCCTTCGTCGTTAGAGCCAAGAACCAAATTGTTAGGAAGTTCTACACTAGGACTAAGAAGCCGCTAAAAGGCAGAATTATAGAGACAATAATGGATGTTAGAGCCTAGCTAGGTATCCTYAGAGCTTGAACATCACCGCATCTTAGCAATAGGGCTAATCGGGGGGTAACTCGTTAATTAGCGTGACTAGCAACGCCCTAAGCGACCGTAATTAACGCCTTATCCTATAATCAAACTACCTAGGTGTTACGAGAACCAGCTTCGATTGCTTGGCTAGCTAAGTGAGTGAATGGCTAACTAGCTATATTCAGCTAGCTCGGTGGTAGAACCTTCTTCATCACAAATCAAGTAAGTGAATATATGCAAGTGAATCTTTTCAAATCTCCAACCCTAGGCTATGCAATACAAACTTCCCGGAGCATTAGAGTAGCCTACTCATAGTTGTACTTCTAATTTGCTCGATGAGCGGCCTGGATCTTACAAAGATCCACGGTGTGACATGCTGTGAAAGCTTCGTTCAGACCTACTACATGTATGAACATACCGAATAGTATAGAAACATGAAAAATCTGGTGTGAGGCTCCCCAAAAATCGAAGTAGCCCGGTACGAAGCGCTCTGGGACTCGGAACTGCATTTGTCGGTTAGAACTCCCGTCTCTCTGTGTGTTTTGGGGGAATGCTCTGCGGCGAGTGTGCCAACATACCGCGTACAAGGTGACCCCAAGACCATAGGGAACCATCTCTAGCAAGTACCATTTCAGTCCGGAGTATCGCATCATGTACTCAACGCCGTACAGTTGAACTCCGTGTAGAATAGGGATGAAGGATGAAGCGCCAAGCGCCAGGTATGCACATGTCCTTGCCGTGCGCCAGCGCCTAAATTTGGGTACACAGATCATCACAGCGGTGGCAAATCCCGAGCTGATGATCTGTGATCTATGCGTTAGTATACCACGGATACCTGCTGGACCTCGAAGATGACTTACGATGGCCCAATGCAGCTTCTGAACGCCCGTGTCACAGATGAAAGCGTAGCGGATGCCCGGAACGAAAGTGCCAACTACCGCGATGATAATGCCAAGTAGATCCATCCGGAGCCAAAACTGTTCCACGCCGTGAGAGTGAGAGCCGAGTAAATGGTAGAGAGTGCTAAAGATCAGACAAACTTCTGCACAACAAAAGAATGTCCCGAACATGAGATAATCCATTCTCGATACGCCAACGAAACGAGGAGCAGAGAGGATTCGCAGGAAGGCGGCCGCGAGCAGAGGCAGGAGTACGGCTCCGAGGAGATGAGAATACACATTGCACGTCTCGTTGTGGAGGAAAGTTAAGCTGATGAGAACTTCCCGGTAATCTGCTTTGGCAGGTCGATAGCCGCGACGAATGTGTATGTTGTCCCGCTGCCACTCAAGAGTCTCGGTGTACGTCACGGTCCGGGCTCCATCTTTGGGCGAGTTCATGGGTGCACCTGCGCTGTCTGGATTAACGTCCCGCATTTGCCGTTTCCTGACTTCAGAGGTGTGCATTGTGCTTTTGGCTCGACAGCGTGCGTGCGTTGACTGTCAACCCTAAGTCATGAGGGTGAAGAGGGCAGGGTTGAATGGGAAGAGAGAGCAAGCCGAGCTACGCTATAGATAGACTTGAAAAGAGAGTGGAGTCAGAAGTGTGATGGCTGAGAATAAGGCGGCAGCCATGGATCCTCATTCGCTGTAGAAGCGTAGGGCTTGAATATTCACTCTGTTATCGTAYACGTGCTGTAAGCTCGAGACTTGGCAGACCACGACCCGGCTACTATACCCAACAGAGTATAGCTTGTATGCATAGCAGAACCACATCTGAGATAGCAATGCTCCGACTTGCGCTGCTGCATACTCTACAAAGGATGTAAGAGGGGATAAAGCATCGTTTTCAATCAATTAGGCGCTGTTCGGGTGAACATGTGACGATTTGACTGTTTCTCAGAACAGATCACCGCGAATTGACCCACCTTTAAGTGGGGACCTTGTATAGACGAATCAAATGGGCATTTTGAGCTCGGCTGCAGCTTGCGGGTCGACGCTAGATGCCTCTGCGGAGACATCGCCAGGACTTATGCGGATTTTGGGAAGTTGGCGCCACACGCTGAAGCCCTCGTCAATCCTTCTCAGGAATCGATCGGACGATTACGTCGAGTCGAATGAGGATAGACAATCGCCTGCCACGCTTTAGCTATCACCTCCTATACTAATTCCGATGCTCATCTTCCAGCCGTGAACACTATATACACCGTACACTGACGCGGGAATCGAACGAAGAGACTCGTGGAGCCTAGCCGGTAGCGGAGTTAGGCAATGTGTCAGGCCAGCTGTTTCCGTCTGCATCTGTACTGCACTTCCTCAGGCTTGAGCCATCTGACTTGCGACGAATCTACTGTTGACGGCGGGCTTCCCAGCACACGAAGCCAGGTTGTAGGACTATGGATCAAGATGACTCTCGAGGCCTGCTGAAAAGCATTCTGGGATTCTTCGGTCGAAAAGCACCGGACAGGTCGGCGCACCCTGCGTCTGTGAGATCACAAGCGCTCGATGCCTGGGTACGGACGGATGCATATCTGCAGCATGAGACGGGTGATTTCGATGGACTTGATGAGGACCAGATCGCGAGAACGTTAAGTGCGTTCGAGAATCTTGTTCGCTGTGATTCGGATGGTGGAGTAGCTTCCGTGAGTATCTTTGCCACACTGCAACACACCAGATGTCCAGAATGTGAACAACAAACCCCATTAACACAAGGTCGTGGAGCAGAACTTGCACACCAGTCCACCGTACCCGAAGCTGGAGGTGGTCCGCGGCATGGTCCAGCGTTCGAAACTTGATGTGCAACCCCAACTAGGCACCACCATCCGAATTAGTAAACGAAAACGAGACACCGACGCAGCGATTGAGGAGCTCTCCAACTTGGACAGAGAGGCAAAGAAGCACCGAATCTTACAGCGCGAAGAGCCAAGTGAGGGCGACAACACCGATGACTCCGAGGCTCACTTTGCCATGCTGATGAGGAGACACATCATGTCGCTTGACATTGCATTACGGGCACATTGGGTATGCGTGTGTCAAAAGTGCTCGGGCTTGAGTGTGAGACTATCGATGCCTCAACGGAAGAAAGGCTCTGAGATTGAGACATGCTTCGAGGTCTTCTTTGGCGTACGATCTCTGCTTGCAACTACATTACAAGAAGCCAAGATAACAGTCAAGTAAGTTTTCGAAGCTTCGTACAGCAACATTGGCTTACGCATTCGTGGTAGGGACGTACAGAACTACAGGTCCAGGAGTGCATCTGAGCCCAGTATCTCACCCGACTTTGCTCATATTTGCCAGAGCATCGCCGAGTCATTGGACCAACAACATTGCTTGCATCTTGCCCTCGAAGATGGACTTTTCAGACGGCTTCGTCCACAACCAAAGACTTTTGGAGATGTTCAGACGCTTCAGACACTGTCTCTGTCAGCCCTGTTTACGCGCCAACAGGAACTACGTGGTGGTTCATCGGCATTGCCACTCAAAGGGAGGCGCATTCTAGCAGTCACGCTTGCCACAGCCTTACTGCCGTTTTTAGAGACGCCGTGGATACGGCCTTCCTTCAATCACTCGAAGATACAATTCCCGCAGCCATTGCATGATGAAGAGTTGCCGGACATCACGAAACCTTTTCTCTCCATGGAGCATATACCAACCCTTCCGAGCGGCAAAGTGAGCACTGGAAATGGCCAGACTGACCCGGTCAGTTCCAAACATATGGTTCATCCCAATGCGAGTGTGCTGTCGCTGGGTATACTGCTATGCGAACTTCACTACTGCACACCTATGGAGCTAATGCAGAGCAACACGGATACCGTAAGAAATATCAACACCGACTACTACACCAGCCTCGATATCCTCAAGAACCTTGAAGTAGACGCGGGCTTAGACTACTACCTCGCCACAAAAGCATGCCTGCAGTGGGAATACTATCCCACTGGAGAGCTTGCTGACTTTGAGTCTGCTAGTGTTCAGCGGCTCTTCTACCAGAACGTCGTTAAAAGACTTGAGGCCGAGATCTTCAAGTCGTGGCGTCTTCGGTCTGAAGATCTAGGTTCTCTAGACGCTCGAGAGAATGAACTCTGTTGGGGTGCAGTCGGCAGAGAAGTTGTTCGCCGACATACAAGCAAGCCCAACATCTCTGCAAGACCCAGTGGAGAAAGGGCTACTTCGATGCCTACTACCTCGGCCCTGAAATCTCCAAGCTACACATCGAACAGGCCGGATATCGGGTTGAGAATGCCCAACCACCTCTCACAGACACTTCGAAGTCGTCTAGACCTCGCAACAGAATCTATGCATAGCCGGTTTTTCTTTGATGCGAGCCGTCAGATCTCCGCTGGAAAAGAGTAAGACAGGTTTACACAGTCGGAATGCTTCACCTGCTAATGGAATCCAAGTTCTGAGTTGTCCCAAAGCTGGATGGAAAGTCTTCTCTCCTCGATCGATCGCCACGTCGACTCCTTCGACATTGCTAAAGCCGGCTCGAATAACTTTAAACCAGTACGAATAGCGATCCTTGACTCTGGATTTGATCGTGAGAACCCGTTATTAATGAGCGACAACGGACAACTTGATCCGCGGATAAAGGATGCCCGGAGCTTCGTGCATCAAACAGGGCCTTTCGACTTCCAAGATGAGATAGGGCATGGAACTCATGCTCTTGGTCTCCTGCTGAAAGTCGCTACATGCGCTGAGATCTTCATTGCCAAAATTGCGAGCCAGGACACTATGGGATCCGATAGTTACGATGACATTTCGAAGGTGAGAGCTTCTCTGCACCAACATCGGATGTCTACTTGAGCTAATCGTTGGTACAGGCCATCAATCATGCAGTCGAGCAGTGGAATGTAGACATCATTTCCATGTCGTTCGGAATTCGTGAATACAGCGAGCCAATAAAAGAAGCCATATCAAATGCATTGCACAGAAATACGCTGATGTTTGCCGCGGCGTCGAACGATGGCGGAAACTCTGGCCGTGCCTTTCCGGCCAAATATCCAGGCGTCTTTTGCATACATTCAACCGACAGCAACGGCAATCCATCCGCTTTCAATCCCACAGCAGACGATAAAGATGTCAATTTTGGTCTTCTTGGCGAGTCTGTCCGTTCTCACTGGCCGGCAGGCAAGAGCAACCATTTTGAGCACGTCAATACCATGTCAGGAACATCAGTAGCAACGCCGATKGCTGCCGGGCTTGCTGCTTCGGTCTTGTCCCTCGTTCGGCAGCAGGAACGGGACATGATTGCTGTTGAAAGTGGGCTACTTGGCCCGTGGCTGAAAGACGCTCATTCGATGGATCTCCTCTTGAAGAGCATGGTTCAGAGCAGGCAAGGCTATGATTATATCATGCCTCACTTACTATTTGACAAGGGCTCGACGAGGGAGTATATCTACAGCCGAATCGGGGAAATCAAGAGACACATGTACGACTAGAAACCCATGCGTGGTCAAAATTTAGTCCCATGCTTCCACGATCCATTGAGATCATCAAAGGAGTGGAGATTTTCGAGAGCTCAATGGATGATTTGTCTATGATCATTGAGATAGAGACCTCTCTTCGCGCAGCCATACTTTTGCAGTTCGTAGTCGGCTTTCGTGATCTAATTGAGAACAAAAGTGCTCTCAGCGAATACATAATAGGGCGAAGTTACCGAGTGTTGCCTCAATCAGGGAGAGACGCAGTAGACACCCCCGACTTCTGCCTCGTCAGGAACCAATCTCGCAGTCTCGATGTTAGAACCATCCACTTCCTCGACACAGACCGATTCGTCCTCAGGGTTGTCTTTGCCAATGGCAAGAAATGCGCCCTTGGTGTGGTCTTGAACCTTCAGCTTCCGCCAAAAACGGAGTCTCTTGACGCGAAAGGCAAAAACAAACTCAGTTTCTCGGCCCAGCTCCGTCTCATCGTCGTCGGTGCTGCTCCAGTGTCCCTTTGGACCAAAGGTCATACCAAGTGAGGGAACATTGATACCGATATTTCCCGAGACGTTCGCGCCCTTTGAAGTTGAGTACATGATCTTTGCTCCTTTGACGAGCTTCAAGCCGGTAAGTAGGAAGAGCGAAACTCCCGGAGTGAATCGCCGCTTGGGTTCCTTCAACCACTCTTGCACAGCAGGCGCTTTGATCGTTTCTTCGATATATTGTGACGACGGCTCGAAAGACAAGGTTGTCACACTATCGAAGGCGAACCTATGCACAGTGCGGCGAGAACGTTCAACATCGACTTCAGGTCCAAGACCTCCGACAGCCAGCTGCAGGAATTGCGCGTAGACACCCATTCCAAGCACCGTCTCGGCCGAAACCGTCTTCTTCCAATCAGTCTCGACTACATCGGGGTCTCTGTTGGGCACGGGAACGATGCTGCCTCTGTTGAGCGGGTATTGTGGTGCTGACGTCGACTGGAGTATGGAACCGAGACAGAGCGGGCCTGTCGGAGGCGGGTGGATGAATTCAGATGTTGGACAGAGGAAGTATGTCTTTGGGAAAGACATAGTTCGATCCCAGACTTGTATATATCCAATGTTTCAACTATTTTTTGGTGGCATGTAATGGTAAGTTGTTAATRCAGAGGCTTGCGGGTATTCTCGGATTGCAGGCCCTCGGGCTTTGAGTACCTATCTAAGAGCAGCTTACTAATTATCCACTCTATCACTTACCTCACGCTGCTCTTTTAAGCGAGGAGCTCCACAAGCGGCAAGCAAGCCAGCGTCGKCGGGGCCTGCAGCTTCACCCTTTTCAAGACTAGCTACGCTTGTGCACCTTCAACGACATCACAGGTCGTCGCTTCCCGCTTGCAAGACAGCTTCCTCGATATGACCCTTCTAAATCGTACGGAACAGGAGCAGGACTCCATCGGAGACGTCTTTCYCCGGCCTGAACTATGCCCTGCCATCGCCGAACACGCCTTACAGTGCGACAGCCTATTTCGAAAATACATGGCCATGCCGGAAACGGTGCCCGATCCTACGCTGTTGGATGACCAACTGGCGCGCTTCACACTGTGGACATCGAACATGGATATCTACGGACCGCTCAACGTCTCGCTGGATTACAGACTACGATATAGCCCCACAGTCGTGGACATCATACATCAGCTTTTGGATGTCATATGTGATACTTTGTTATCTCGTATGTAAGGCTTGTAGGTTTTAGCAGCGGAGGCTAATGAACCTTATTTCAGTGAAGCCGATTGATGATCCGCCACAGACTCCAAGCAGGAAGAAACAACGCATGTCACTCAGAGGCGATGCAGAGGTCACCAAAAGAGCTGAGCGTGATGAGAGCGATACGGACAGCGAGGAGCATCAAGCAGAAGAGAATATGTCGATGATCGCGTACACGATCGGAGGAACAGTGACGAGGCTCTTCCGCCTATCCAATGCTATTCGGAAATCTGCGGCGGACAAGAGAGCTCAGAGAATAGAGCGATACACGGACGATGAAGCAGCAAACAAGGCCATAGCCGAGTTGCGTCTGTACACGGATTGCTACATCAGATTCCGATTCCCACTGGCGCCGGAATCGCTTTGCTCAGCATTAGTAGAGGCCAATGCGCTTCGACTTCGTCGATTATATTATCAGAGATCGCACCGAAGGCGCATTGACTTGAGTATGCAGCATCCCCAGACAAATCCAGGAGTTGTTCAGCTTCCAAAGCTCGCGGACCGCACGCCAGTCGTACAGTTTGCCCCGAGCCTGTTACCAAAACCGGATGCCATCAAGGCAGCGTCGAAACCAAGTGGCCTTCCAGTCGTACCAGTAACAAACGCAACCACCGCCCGACAGACTGCTGTAGGAGCTCTCTACGCCAAATCCACAACRGAGGTTCCCCGGGCCAAATCTGTCATGGTGAACAATAAGTTGTCGTTCCCTCCGATCCCGTCGAGCAATGAGTGCCCATACTGCGGCGTTGTTGTCGAGTTCAAGAACCATATAAAGACGATGATGTGGCAGTGAGTATTTATTTCTCCTTTGGGCAATACAGTAGCTAACTCGCTGTAGCGACCATGTTGTCAAAGACCTAGAGCCTTTCATCTGCATTTTCACTGCGTGTACGGAGTCAACTCGACAGGGACCCGGCTCATTGACATTTGCAACGTCTAAAGCGTGGATGAGCCATCTGCAGAACGCTCATGGCTCTGTATGGGAATGTAGGGCCCCTTCTCATGATCCAATCACCTTCGAGGAAGAGGCCCATTATCAAGAGCATTCGCGCGAAGATCATGACGTTCCCGAGGCGCATCTAGGAACTCTCAGTAGTGCGGCACGGAGGCCAGTGCACCAACGGATCCTGCAATGTCCATTTGGTGATGATTTCCAAACTCCGGAAAAGGCAGAACCAAGTGCTGTCTTCTCAAGCGAAGCTTTACATTTACATGTCGCAGCTCACATGAAAGAAATCGCGTTGTTGACTCTGCAGAAGTTGMCCAGCGACGATCATGGCGATGAAGAGAACGTAGAAAGCGACCAGCAATTGGACGAAGATGGACCGGGTCTTGCAGTTCTGCGCGGATCCATGTATAGTGTACTGGATGACGAATCTCTAGACTTCCAAACCGATCGTCTCGAATCTGGTGATATTACTCTAGACAACCACTTAGAGGGTCTCGCACCATCTGTAGACAGGCTCGATCTGGAGGACAGAGACGCAACTGGAATGACAAAACTCCACCGGGCAGTGCGCGATGGCAATCTGACCTTGGTCATGAGTCTTATCGCTCAGGGCGAGAATGTTCGCAGCACAGCCAAGGACGGAAGGACGGCGCTACATCACGCTGCTTTACCAACCTGTTCGGGTTTGGAGATATTGAGAGTTCTATTGAATGCTGGTGACAAGGCCATCATAGACACGAGGGATAAGAACGGGCAATCACCCATGCATCTCGCTGCAGAGATGGATTTCACTAACGGGATACGACTTATGGTTTATCGCGGCGGAGCTGTAGGAATCCTTGACAACCATGGGTTCTCCCCGTACCTTTGGGCCGTAGTCGCCGGAAAGAGAGACGCCACGGCGGCATTTGTGATCCTGGGCGTCGACGTTGACTCTTCTAGTGCCGATGGAACCTCAGCCCTAGGCTGGGCAGTCAGTCTAGGTCACAAGGCCGTTGCTGAACTACTTCTGAAAAACGGTGCCCGCTTCAACGCACCAATGACACAAAAACCGTACACGGTCCCCTTGGAAGAAGCGGCAGCGCATGGTAACGCTCAAATAGTGCAATTGCTGCTCGAAAGGGGGTCAGATCCGCACCATCGTAACCACGACGGATGGGCCGCCATACATTGGGCAGCGGACGAAGGCCATGTCGATGTTGTGCGTCTTTTGTTGAGCTACAATGTCGATGTCGACGTGGTCAGTTCGTATGGTACGTCGCCATTGCACTGTGCTGCGAATGGAGGTCACAAAGACATCGTGAGCTTGCTCCTTCGCCACGGTGCCGACCCTTCCAAGTCAACGTGTCACGGTTGGACACCACTGCATCATGCCACCTTCATGGGGCATGTTCATGTCACAGCCTTGCTGCTGGAAGATGAGCGGGTATGGTCCGATATTTCTCATCAGGACAACCACGGTTGGTCAGTTCTTCACTTGGCAGTCCTGAGTCGAAACTTGGCCATGGTCATCGCTATACTTGACCATCCCCTCGCCGAGCAAGTTCTCGCCTTGCACGATGAGAGTGGTTTGACCGCGAAAGATTGGCTACATCATAAGGGCTATTTCTACCAAAAGACCAGTAATTTGGCTTTCGGAAAGTCACGTTGTTGCAGGGCGGTCACAGATCTCCGACGGGCGGTTTACGAAGGCAACATTCCTCTGATTGAACTTCTCTTAAGACAAGGCCATTCCATCAGCGGCGAAAACTCGGGCAAGAGGACTGCACTGTACTATGCTGTGAAGAAAGGCTTCCTTCCGATCATAAGCATGCTTCTAGACCACGGCGCGGACCCCAACGTTCTTCCGACTGGACAATATGCCTGGGAAGATTTCATTTTTGATTACAACATCCTCTCTCAGCTCAGGCAGGCCGGTTACAGGGGGCGAGATATGGATTCAGTGATCGTTGACCAGATGAGACATGCTCTTGATGCTGTCTCAGGTCAATCATCACTACGCTCGCCAGCTCGCTCACTGGCGCCCGCGTRCAAAAATCCAGAACCTGTAGGAACGACAGAGACGTCTCGCTTTCGCGCTCCTAGCTTTTGGAAACGGCTCAGAGGGCAGTGAGCTACCTCGAATGCTAGGTCAAGGACTCACATGAAGCCTCAGTGATGCTGCCGCCAAATGCCATAATTGTTACATATCAATATTACTCATGCCTGGATCCCTAAGACTACTTCCCTCATACAAGACAGAGCGGAAGAAAGCGATAATGATGTGGATGTCTTCGTACCGTGTTTCGCTCAGTTACGATGCCCTTATCAGGCAGTCTTTGCCCCCGCAGTACTTCAGGAGTCCAAGATCTGATCGAGCATTACGTCGACTCCTATCAACGAACCAAGTTGTTCTTTCACTCTTCGTCYCAACGCAGCAGGTAGTACCAACCCATACCGCTTCCCGACAATCAGACACTCCACAAAGCCCCTGCACGCCCGCGTCTGAAGCTGTCCTTGTTGTTGCTGCGAGACCAAGGCGCTCATTGTCTCTGGTATCGCCTCGGCAATCAACCATCGGTGGGCGTTGGAATTCTTCTGGCAGAGGATCAGACAAGACGCAGCAGGCATACCGAGAAACCGATCCTGCCCTTTCTCTCGAGAACGGTGAGCAAATTGGAGTATACTCCTTAGCAAAAGGAGTAAACTCGAAGAGTCACGATTTTCGCTTATAGCAGCGAGCTCATAAGCGCACGCTTGATTCGCATCATTGAACAGAGAATGCTCGTATCGTCCGCCAATATATCCTTCATAGAACTCCGCAACCACCGTGGAGAAATATTCGATTGGCCGCGGATCCTGGTTCTCAAGCATAGTACATTGCGATGTGAGGAGTACAACCGCGCGGGCCACGTTATCTTCCTTGCCACCACTGCGGATGCAGACATCGTAATCGGCCAGGAATTCGCGTACTCCATAATGTAAAGATTCCTCGGCGTCTCTACGATAGGCGATGGAAGCCCACTTTGCGAATGCTCTGCCTAGTATGGCGTCTCCTTCCCTCCATTCGTGTCGAACAGCTGCGAGTTTGGCTTCTGAGCCTACGAGAACTCCCATTACCAGCAGTGCCTGTAGATCTTCCGTGGAGACCGCCTGGAATACCAAAGTTGGAAGATCAGCCATGGCTGCCAGGCTGCTAGGATTCCTGGCGACGACAAGCTGAATGTAGAATTTGCGATATGTCTGCATCCATGTTCGCAGCTCGTTTATTCTGTTCTCTTTGACAAGATCTTGCAATAGAGAAAATCGATCCCAGCGACCAAGTGCCATGTGCTTCAAGTACACCGTCATCAGCTGGATAATGACTGGGATTCGGAAAGAAAGGCCTAGAAGTTTCATGATCAAGTCACTTTTCTTGGAAGACAGCTTGTATCTCTCTGAAAGCAGCTGTTCTTGAAGTCCTAGAAGCTCTTGAACTCGCTCTTCCATCGGTTCGGTAGGTCCTTTCAGACAGGCAATCCCTGAAGGGAGCGGTAGTCCATCCACGCGCGCTTCGTGCGTGAGAAGCAACTCAACGATCTCCTTCGAATATGCCTGGATGGCCAAAACCAGGGGTGTATCGCCACTAGTGGCTTTTGCCTCCACGCTAGCGTCACTATCAAGGAGTAGTGCCACAATGTCTCTATTCTCTCCCGCGACTGCAATATGGAGAGCAGTAAGACCGCTTCGATCTTTGGCATTGATCTGAGCTCCGTGATCAAGTAACAATTGAACCATGTCTCGATGCCCCTTTTTGACAGCCCAGGATAGCGAAGTCCGCCCGTAGTTGTCCTTTCGCGAAAGCAGGCGCGCATGCTTGTCGAGAAGTGCCTGGGCCCAGACCAAATTACCAAGGTACGCAGCTAGGTGTAAGAGTGTGAAAGCGGGTGGCTCTCCACCATTCTTCTCCTGCTCCCAGTAGAACCTCCACCATTCGTCTCGGACAGGAGAATGCAGTCGGAAGAACTGATGTGGTAACTCAGGCATTGCATCAAGCACTTCAATGGCGAGTTGAAAGTGCATCGGCCAATGTAAGCTAGCATAACCGAAGAGAGAATTGCGAGCAGACTTCTCGTCGACACCCCCAAGGCTTCCGTAGCTTTGTTCGACGACTGTAAGGCAGTGCCGCATGAGAATCCAATGTGTCTCCCGACTCATGTAGAACATATTGATCCCTTCAAAATCGACCTGATCGCTCTGGAAAAAGTCCTTTGCCGACTCGTGGACGAGGTTGACTACGTCGCTTTCAATTTTCACCAGCAGCCCGCAGGATGCAAGCAGATTCTTCGTCACCTGGACTGGCGGAAGGCCACTCGATGGCTTGACTTCCGCAGCCACAGTCAGTTCATCAATTGTAAGAGGTCTGGCGGCGAGTACAATCCACTGGAGAATGGGAACCAGTTGCTCCTTTTCCTCAATTTGTTGAAGTAGCTTCCGATAGATCCCACCAAGACCTTTTGGCACGCCGTGGAGAAGTTCACTCATCTTTTCCCAACTTCTTCCCTTGAGCTCATTGGCGACGAACCCAACCCATAGGAAAGTACCTTCCGCGCCAGCCAACAAAGCCTGACGAACATGCAGAACCATATCCTCAGAGAACTCCTGCTCAGATGCTAATTCATCAACCTTGGCGAAGATATATCTCTCGACATCGTTTGCGATCYCTTTATCTGAGTCATCCAACTTAATTCGGCGGTATTGGTTAAGCTTGTTTTCCAACAGAGCCGGCTGAGGGCGGGAGAGAAAGATGAATTTGAGGCGCGGCCTGCATTTCCCATCGGCGTTGGAGAGGTAGCTTCGTACGGCATCGAGAAGCTGTCCAAGAGATTCCTTTTCGCATTCATCCAATCCGTCCAGCACGCACACGACCTGGCGAGACCCGCTTTGCTGAAGCAGGGTCAGAAAAGTTCTCCACAAGGTTGTAAAGTTTGAAATGGTATACTTCGTCGTCTCAGTGCCTTTGAAAGAGTTCTTGATGTGTCGTGCCAAGTGACGATGACCGTTGAGCCATTGATGTAGAATCCCTCGCATGATGGTCACTGCAGTGTTTCTATTTTTGTCTCGGTTGCTGCAGAAATAATAGAGAAGAACATCGTCGACCGCAGCAGGTGGTGGCTGTAAGATATCTGTAATGTAGATGGCAAGCATAGTTTTACCCTTCCCAGGGCCWCCTGAGATCCAAAATAGTGATGATTTGTCGTCTACTAGCCATTCTCGGTATTGAGGGTTTTGCGCGAGCCATTCGCAGGTACCGTCGACTCTCCGCCCTTTCAACACAATGAGAGATGTTCGATCAACTTCAGGTCTGGTTAACAGCAAAGCATCGAGCACCGGTGCGGCCATTGCATATGTGWCTTCTGCCAGAGGTATCTGCTTTGGGGCGATGGGGATGAACGACAACAACTCCTTGACATATGCAGCAGCTGCGGCGGCGGCATAGGCACGCCAGAGCTTTGAGTTGTGCGAGTCTCCATAGTCACATATTCCTCGGATCTGCAGACATTGGGCAGCGTCCACCAAACCAGCCGTCTCTTCTTCAAAAGACAAGCCTCCAAGCTCATATACCGAAGTTTCTAGACTCGCTTCATGACCCATCAATTGATTCATGGAGGCAAGTCCACCATAATGGACCACTGGGTCTGAGGAGTCCCGTGGCTGCCGGTGGCGAAATCCATCTAGGGTGCCGCGATGGCCCCCGTTCTCGCCGGATTCGACGCCCGCATGTTCGTGTTTTGAGTCAAAGAGTATATCTTGTTCTGGGCCTGGATGAGCAAAGACCGCGGGATCCGTTTGCACAATCTGGGAGAGGTAAAGTGGAATCCGACTTTCCCCAAAAATGGCACCTGTCTCGGTCTTGCCAACTGCTGTAAGGAGCAAAGCTGATGGCTGATCCAGTAAATCGCCGCTGAAAGGTTGATCTACCGTAGCTTTTCCGCTATGTTGATGATGCACGAGACCTGGACGACCAGCTGTCGGCGTGCTTACAACGATGTCCCCAAGACGAATGTCCTCCTTCGTACCAGGCACCCCTCCGCCAGTAGCAACTATCAAGCTGAATCGGATTGACTTGAAGCTCGCGCGCAGCTGCATTGCCACACTCGCGACCGAAACCGTTCCAGACACCCCAAATGCCGGATATGCGAGCACGACATTGTGACCGAAAAGACTTCCTAGCACATAGGCATTGGTGTCCTTTACAGCCGGATTCCTGGGTAGGTCAGGGTGGATAAGATCGAGCACCGCTTTGACTGCTGCTACCTCCGCAGGTAGAGCGCAAATACAAGCGACAGTGTAGTCGTCGTAAGTCSCCATTTCCGGTTGGCGCGTATAGTCGCCTTCAGTCACTAGCTCTTGTAGCTTGGACTCCACATGTAAGGGGTCAAAATACGACTTCGTGTTCCGCGAGAAGTGTGTTCCAGCACGGTAACCGGGAGAGTGTAGCTTCATGTGCGGCTGAGCTGCAGTTGATCCGGTAGTCTCAGCGTCTCGCTTAACAGGCCCGTTGAACGCTTCGCGTAGCGATACCCGACGCTCTTTGCCAGGTGGGTTGCTCCATTGCCGAAATCCCGAGCCTCCTCCTTTTTGAGGACGTGTAACGACTATGGCGTCTAAGAGTCTAACAGAGCTGTTTGGATAGTGACCTATATCTACAATAGTAATGCTAGTACTTCAAATCATAGTCAACTTACAGGTGCTTCGTACTCGATATGGTCGTGAAATCCACTTCATTCATCAGAGATCTTGAGAAGTTGAGCTTCTCTTTGCCAATTATTGATTACAGGCCTAGGAGATGAGGCTGAGGCTGCGGCTGCGTTTGGCTTAGTATCGCTCGCTCACACACTCGCAACTCTTACGCCTTTACCTAACCCAGCCCTAGGATACAAGCACAGCGATAAGTACCATGAATTCACAAAACCTTGGTTCGACGCATTGCAGTCATCGTCTCGTTCGTATGGCTTTAGTATACACCGTACACGTGTTGAATTCGGAAATGGCAACATCATAGAACACGTAGAGCAAGGTTTCCCGGGACACAGCCTTCGTAGACTACGACGGATCGGCTACTTGTGTACGGCTCAATTTGTTATCTCCGCGTATAGCCGATCTTAGTATAAATGCATCGTCTATACGGATCGTCTTCTCCGTCCTAACATTCCTGGAAGCTTAGTGTCCGCTCGTAAACCTCGCTCCGTCTACCCCTTGGCACTCCGCCAGTAATATAGCCCGACTTATGATTCATTCCTCTGCGGGTAATACGAGGCGCGGTGCGAGACGGAAGCTAGACTTTAGTGCCACCCGGCAGCCAATCCATATACGAGGTACATGTATTATCCGAGTGATTCTTGAAACCTGGAAATCTTCACATCATGTCGAGCAGAGTAGTAGCTCACCCATGTCAGACAGAACTCCCCAGTCAAATTTCATTCTTCATTGTTGAGAACTATACTTGCATAACTTTGTGTAACGGCTGCATTGTATCGAAGGTCCGAACAGAGGGCTACTACATAAAGAGGATGAGGTCTGTCCCTTCCGAACGACATCGAATTCAACAACGAAGGCGTACTCGAATCTTTTTTCCTGGGGATCTTCATTACAAACGCACTCATTCCAAGACTTGAACAACGACAATGGCGCCACTTGCAGTCCTCAAGGTCCTGGGGGAGGTTCCACTTCTCTTTCAGGCAATGGCCGGTGCCTTGTTGTTATGCATCATCTACTACACGATGATTGACGTACAACGGCCCTACCCCGGGATACCTGTAATCGAGCTCGACGACAAAAAGTCCAGGTCGCGGCGGCCAGACCCCAAAATCTACATGATGCACGCAGGAGAACTTCTCAGTAAGGGCCTCCGAACCACGAAAGGTCCGTTCCAGATCTTCACCAGCTCCGGATACAAGATCATGCTGCCAAATCGATTCGGGGATGAATTGCGGAACAACCCAGATCTGAGCTTCGCCCTCGCTGGCCATGCCGATTTCCATGCCAGTTTGCCAGGGATGGAGGGACTCCTGGAAGGTTTCCGACCAATCAAGGAAGGGGTCCTCAGGGATGTGGTGCGGGTCAAGCTCACTCAAAGTCTGGGGCTCGTCACCGAAGATCTGGTTAGTCGATGAGACGGACAACGTCGTTCAGTCCTGGCTGGGCGATGCAAAAGACTGGTTGRACTTGGAAGCGAAGCAGTTTACTCTGGACGTCGTGGCTCACGTTTCCAGTCGCATCTTCGGCGGCAAAGAACTCGCCCGCGACAAAGGTTGGGTGGACCTTACGACGCAATATACGACCACCGTCATGGAAGGCGTACACAAGTTACGGAGCGTTACCTGCGATATTTCGGCCCATTGCCTGTCGGTTCATACCAGAGTGTCGAAAATCCCAGGGACTGGTTCGAGAAGCACGACGCATGGCACAACCGCAGGTCGAAAAGCGGATCAAGATCCGAGACGAGGCAATCGCAGCGGGCGCCTCGCCCAAATCCTTGCCTGACGTGTTCTCGTGGGTGATGGAAATGGCAAAGGGACGTCCAATGTTGTTCGCCGAGGTGCAGCTAGCCATGTCCCTTGCAGCGGTTCACACGACGACTGAGACGATCCTGCGCTGCTTGATGGCTCTCTGCGACCATCCGGAGCTTCAAGCGTCGCTCCGGAAGGAAATGGTCGAGGTCCTACAATCAGACGGCTGGGCGAAGACTGCCCTCTACAGGATGAAATTGCTGGACTCGTTCATCAAGGAGTGCCAAAGACTGGCACCATTGGCGACTGGTAAGTGTTGTGCCGATCATCTTTCTTGCACCCGCTGATTACCAGATAGTATCGATGATGAGAGTCGCCGAGAAGGCAGTCGTCCTATCCGACGGCACCGGTAAGATTCCGATCCATACGTTCGCTTGCAGCAGCTTCCAAACTGATACATGTACACAGTGCTCCCCCAGAACAGCTTTAGCGCAGTCATTGACAATTCAGGGCGGGACAACAACATCTTCGAGCGACCCGAAAAGTTCGACGCCTCACGATTTCTCAAAATGAGAGAACGACCTGGGGAGGAGAACCAACACCAACTTGTCGCCACCTCTACGGATCATCTGGCTTTCGGCCATGGTATCCACGCTTGCCCAGGTCGGTTCTTCGCGTCCAACGAAGTAAAGATCATTTTGTGCTTCCTACTCATTCAATATGAATGGCGATATGTACCGGGTCAAGAACGATTGCCTTTTTATGAGTTCGAGACAACCCTCATCGCCAATCCTGCGACGAAATTGCAAGCTAGGAAACGCCAAGCCGAGGTGGATGTCTTGCAGCCGATGGCATAAGGTCGATGTCCACATTGGCAACGGGGTAGGAGAAGCAAAGCAGCTTCGAGAAGGACTTCCCCCCTGCACAAGCTAGCTGATTTAACTGGAAACGTACAATCTAGATGCATTAACTAATTACCGTGGCCTATAGTGAATAAAAAATCCTTGATGTTTCGTAAGGAGAAACAATTCCTCAGCCCCAGCCTTGCTGCAGCACGTGTGGTTCGCGTGAGCTTAGTTCATGTACTAGACATGCAGTGTATCAGCACTAATGCACGCGCTGAGCCCCTCATTGATCCCTACCCGGAGGATTCTGAACACCATACAGCCTTGTTGTTGCCTTGAGTAACAGGAGGCAGACGGTGCTCAACGCAGAATAAAACCTTCACGATGGACCCTCTTTCCATAACAGCGAGCGTGATCACCCTCCTCACAACGATAAAGACGGCCAAAGAGTGTCTAGAGAAGATTCGGAGATCACTGGGTGCCGAAACTCTGGTACTTGAGCTCTTGAATGAGGTGAGCCGGTTCCCTTCTTCACGACCAGTTTGGATCAGGAACTGACGTAGATATCTCTAGGCCACCGATTTCAACGTCCTTCTTGCGAATGTGGAAGCTTTCAATGACACTGGCGCTTTGAGTGCAAAATCACAAGTCACGATCAATCACTCGCTCCTTCGTGCAAAGGACACCTTCGACACCTTTCTAGAATTCGTTTTGCACAAACTATTCTCGAAGAATGAAAGCCCAACGGAAGGTGAACAGCTGAAAAAYCAAGTATTCCCCACGGTGTCGAGGAGAGCATGGTATTTCTATGAGAAACAGGCTGCAAAGCACAAGGACTGTCTTCGTCAGGCAAGAGAGTCTCTTCACTTTGCTTTGACAGTGGCGAATACGTGAGCAGAGCCAAGATGCCATGGCTAGTTTTCAGCAGCTGACCTACGCTAGAGGAATCCATCTCGACTTGCGAGAGATCATTTRGTCTTCTCAGAGCTCGGTACAGACAGAACTGGCCGCACACAGCAAAATTGTTGACGAATTGCGAGTCATGATGCAGCAGATGTCTGACCAACACTCCGAGCGATCGCGGTCTTCATCCATTTCCTCCGAACGGACACTCGTTCCAGCTGCTGGAGATGATGTCCTCATCGAGCGATCTTCCAACCAGCCACCCGCTAAGGAGGCTCTTGATCAAGAGGCTGTCTGCTTCCGAACCACTGTTCTGACGAGCAACTGTACAAAGTCCTGCTCGTGCACCTGCCACTCCAAAGCTCTCATCAAATCTCCTGCGTGGCTCGGCAATCTCACCGGCTTGCTTTTCATGCGATACAGCGGTACTCCAGTACTCAATCCCATGACATGCAGCAAAAGACGATGCAGGGAGCGGCACCAGTCCAAGCTTGATGCGTCCTACTACTTCCCACGATGGATGCTCCATCGTATGATTGAGGTCACGGCTAGATGGGACGTACACGGGGCACCAAAGATGAGTCTGCGGGTCATGAAAGTCATTCCGGATACATCGCCTGTATTCGGTTACGCCATGGAAGGAAACTTGACCGGTATCCAGGAGCTATTTGCGAACCATCTAGCGTCGCCTGTTGACATTCGGGATTCGGACGGTCGATCAGCATTGCACGTTGCCATTTACTACGGCCAAATCTCCACAGCAAAGTTTCTCCTGGATCAGGATGCAGATCGAGAGTACAAGGATAAATACTTTCAGTCCGCGATAGGAGCTTGCTGGGAGATATCCCTTCAGAAACTACCCATGCCCACCATAGATCCCAGCGTCATTGGTGGCCCGACCGAGTTTTCCGACTATCTGGAGGAACGGAAGCTTAGCCCTGTCCACAAGATCGTCCTGGGCATCTCTTCTGCATCGCTAGATGATTATTTGAGCCTCACAGCCGCGGAAATCGACAAGCAAGATGTGATGGGCAAGGCGCCTCTCCACTTTGCTGCTGCCAGGGGTGACTTTGCAGCCGTCTCGACTTTACTTCGACATGGAGCGGATCCGCATATCACCAGTGACGCTCTTTGGACGCCACTTCACGAAGCGGCAATGTCGTCGAACCACTACTCGCTTCGTCTGTTACTCGAAGCAGGCGCCCATGTTGATGCTCTCAATAACCGTGGGCAGAACGCTTTGATACTCGCAGCATACGTCCGCGATGACCCACGGTACTTTGATAGTTTGCTCGACTACCATACGGACATCTATCTCGCAGATAACACCGGTGTAACTGCTCTGCATCGGGCCTGCTTTCGGGACAGAATTGAGACTGCGCGTACATTGATCTCTCTGAAAGCAGATGTGGATGCTCGAGATAATCAAGGCCTTTCCCCGCTCCACTTGTGTGTGCTTAACAACAGTCACAACGTTCTGAAGTTACTGCTGGGACTTGATGCTCGTGTTGATCTCCCTGCAATTAATGGGAGAACTGTGTTACATGATGCTGCTGCTGTTGGAGACCTTGGTACGATCATGATTCTGGCTGGTGCTCTTCATCGCTTTGACGAGCTCGACCCGAATGCTCATGACCAAGACGGCTGCACTATGGAAGAGATATTGTATGTCGGTCGAGCATCGTGCGTCGCTGAGAACGACAAGGACCGAGAAAAGATTGTACATGCCTTCCTGGATTTGCTAGAGAGGCTGAGGGAGAGACGTCGTATCTATTCACTGGTAGGAATTTTGGAGGAGAAGCTGGAGATTCAGTCAACCGCTTCGGATGATTCTTTCTTTGAAGCTATGGAATTGATGGAGTCATCGGTTGAGTCCCTGGCATTGATCGGGGGGTTGAACGAACTGGTCTTATCTTGAGACACCTCGAGGGACGGAAGGAGTCAAAGGACTATTTTGATATCTCTTCACTCGCAGCTGCATCCCACCACTGTACCCAGCAAAACCCGAAACAACTTGTGTCCAATCTCGAGCGCTAAATTCTGCGCTTCATGCACATCGAAGTCTCGGGCTTCACCCACCAGCCAATGCGGAGTCAGAAGAGGAAGAGGGTGGGGCGGCGTGCATACCGCCCCACCAATCCTCAAGATCGTGCGGGTAGGGCACATCAAACGTCCTTCCTCAGGCTCGTCTTGTTCGTAGCTATAATTCCCTATTGGCTGCTGTTCCGTGGATACTCAGACGGGCTGAAGCAAGACACCCAAAATTATGCAGGGGTCCAAATTGTGTATGAACCTGTGTCCCGTCACCCTCTTCCACAACCACCATCTCTCGAAGACTATACATCTGAGATTGAGGACCAGGAGTGCATGCGATGAGCACCAACAATGGAGACCCGGTGCCAAGCTCGAACAAAACGGTCGCCTATGCAACCTTTTACTGCACTCGCCTTGCCGATGAGAGTGCTGAAGACCCATACTTCGATGCAGTTCAACTACTGATATATCAAATCTTACATCGACCTTCGACACGAACCCAGCTCGGCATCCCCTTGCTGGTCTTCGTGGCACCCCACGTATCCCAAGCTCGGCGCAAAATCTTTCGCTCCATGGGAGGGAAGGTAATCGAGCTCGACTATATTAGAGATTTACCCGAACAAATCCAACCAAGAAGACCGCGCTGGATCGATCAGCTCTGCAAGTTGCGAATCTTTGAGCAAGTCTCATACGATTTCATCCTGTATCTCGACTCAGATATGCTGCTTACCAAATCTTTGGATGATATCTGGGACGAGCCGGTCTCGAAACAAAAAGTCAAAACACAACGAGAGAAAATTCAGGGGCATCATAAAGAGTTCTCCGGCGTGGCGAGCTTACCAGACGACTACCTCTTTGTTGGAGTGCCAGACACATATGGAAGCCGCAAACCAGATCCACCTATTCCATGGATAGGGAAAGATTCCATTAATGGCGGGTTCTGGCTGGCTTCGCCATCTCTGGTCATGTTTCAATACTACGTCTCTCTGCTGGCAAGTCCGAACAGTTACGATTCCCAATACATGGAACAGGGCGTCTTCAGACACGCTCATGGAGGCGATGGTCCGATGCCCTGGTCACAGTTCCCTCCAGGAAAATGGAACGTGAATTGGCCGCGCGTGGAAGATTTCAGACGAGGGACTGCAACCCTGCATGATAGATTCTGGATTACTGATGAGCCATGGGTGGAGGAAGAGCTGGTGGGGCATTGGAATGAGGCTAAGAAAGAGATGCTGGGGTTCAGTGGTAGGAATCATGTTCAAGACTTTTCGTCTCTGGTCCTCATCACACGACGGCTTAGTATTTGGCGTACTGCCGTTTTGCGTTCGAGCCTTGCTCGGAAGCAGAGCGGTTCGGCGGCCAGTACGAGTTTGGTGCGTGCATGACACGATACTGGAGCGGCAGTTCTCTTCGAAGCAGATGCTCTTACGCCTTGGTATTCAATCTCAAGAAGTGGAGCCTGCAAACATGGACTAATCATTGCTCGCGGATGCATCTGCTGTTTGTGTCGTCTCGCCACGAGTCTCAGAATGCCGAGATGACTCGGCCACCGAGCCGATAAATATAGATCCTAGGTAGTGAGCTTTGAAGCCAGACAAATCTCGAACAAACGCAGACACTTTAACAGATGTTGTGAGACTGCCTTCGATCGCTTGTTTGACTGCAGCCAAAAAGCGAGTGAGTAGAGCTGCTTATATCCCCTATACATCATATATTAGTAACTTCCATCTTTCAAATTAAGTGAGTGAATCCATGCAAGTGAGTCTTCTCGAATGTTCGAAAATTGATGAGTTTATCGGCACATGCTATAGAGGGCCTGCTTCGAAGGTAAGATCTACATGAACGATCTAAAGAACTACCTTGGCAAGTCTAGAACGATAAATCAACCATCCCGTATACCCCAACGGGCGCGCCCCGGTCTAGTCCGACTCGGCCCGGCGCGGGCCGAATGTGCGGATGAATGCTGATCTTTGAATGAGTAAGCGACTGGTGGTGAAAGCGTGATCCACACTTTACTCCTCGGCCGCGACTTCATCCCGACTCTTCAGAGAGATTGGGCCTTTCAATTTCGTCGGCTTCCTTCAGCGGTAGTTAGGCTCCGGTAGTGACCGCCAAGATGAGGTTTGATCTCTACGTCGACAGCTATCTGCGATACAAACGGGGCACCAACAAAATCGCAGAATGGCTCGTCAACTCGGGACGCCTTTGTGGCRCCAAATTGGACACGCCGAAGAAATCTGGCTCGGGGCGCAAATATCACATGCCCCTTGTCCAAGTTCCGAGAGGTTGCAGACACAATCGCACACTGTACGGAGCCAGCGATCGAAGTCCGACCAGAGCTGCTGCATCTTCTGCAAGAGGTCATCGCGCTCCGAGAAGCTGCAACGGTCTTCTATCGCTATAACTCCCCGAGCAATGAGCGGTTTGAGCAAAGCAATCAATGACACTGCTACACCATCCAAGTATTGAAGGATGTCCTGGCTCTCCTGCAACTCCTCAAGCAGACCCAGCCTGTTACCAAACCAACTCAAAGAACAGGCGGAAGCGAGCATGTTATCGACCAGAACAACAACGTCTTCGATGCCCTAGATCTCGAAGACATTGCCGAACCCATTGTACATCTGGAGCTTACCAAGGTCACCAAAGGCAAGGGCATGGGCGGGAAGACGAAGAGTCTCTCGAGTGATTCCAGAGATGCATACAAACTGGGTTCCTCCTCGGAAGAGCTGTTCTTCCTGCTCTTTTGCTTCTTCAAGGACATGCACGACATTCAAACCTACCTTTCAGGAGTATGGACCGGTTATAAGGATGATCAGATATCTTTGACGAGCGCCGCTGCAACTACCGACTTGGCGTTTGATGTCATCAAGCAAAAGGAAGCCGAACTGCTTCAATCCGAGTGGACCGACAGTACTAATGGAAGCCATACGATGAAAGAGGTGAGAGCTGCTGGCGATCGTGATGTAGATTGAAGTGCCGGTCTGCTTGCATAGAATCTAGGTACCCAACAACTTCAGCATACAGCATTGAGCCCCTTGACTCCAAGGCCGCGGTATGAACAGAATGTACTGTCCATGGCGGCGTCGACCGTGTCCTTCTCCGCAGTAGCATTTCTGCATATGGGCGCCAATCGGATGATTTCTACAGCCATGATATCGAAATGGTCTCGCTCGTAATCCGCCATGTTCGCAATTTGCGGTTCCACAATACGATCAAGCAGGTTGGCCTTTTTGCTCAAATCGGTAAAAGCTGAACTCGTGACCATGCGCGATTGGAATACGTTGGCAAAATGGAACATAGGATGATCCTTTGCGATTTGAGCCTGGACTCCCGCATGAAGCTTCCAACCTAATACACATATAAATTCTCTTCGAGTCCCCTAAATAATACTACCGATGCGAATTCGCTGATATGAGAACTACTATAACAAGTGCGTCTTTCCATTCGCAACTGTACATACTATCYAAGTCTAGGTCTTCTCCCTACAGACTCAAGCTTTCATCAATCGAGATGGACGGACTGGGATACCACCAGAGAAGCGATCTGGGAGAGGAGATGTTCAGATCGTGAAATCACCTGCAGAATACATGAAACAATCAATTAGACCGTGTGAGAATTTGAGGTCCCAGAAGGCGACATATGCGCACAAAGACCAGACCAGATTGCATCCCAACTCCGGAGTCTCAGGGCTGACAAGTCTTGCATGCCAATCTGATGTCGACCTCATGGACAACTCTCCCACTACAGTTCTTGAGAGGATCAGTAATTTACACAGCTTGCCTCACTCATGCCAAGCCCTTTCACATGTCGCTAGAAGTCGTCCCGTGACAGAGGCTTCGTCAGAATTTCCGCTGTGTTGTCGTAGCTAGGAGCTCGAATGGTCTTGATCGTATCAGCAGCAACTTGTTCGCGGATGAAGTGATGCTTAAGGTCGATATGCTTTAACCGACCAAGATCCGCAGGATTGTGTGACAGGTAGATCATAGGACTTGACGGCATTAACGATACTCCTGCTATATGGACGATCGACGGAACCCACGCTTCATGCAGCAAACTGCCACGAGGTGGTTCATATGGTGTTCAAAAGATGTAACTGTATTGATATTTTATTGGTAAGCTGCTCCATTTGTGGTGCGAGACCTCACGCTCCGTTCGATCTATCAGCAGCTGACAGGCGCTAGTGCGGCTTGAGATGCCAAGACAGCAAAAATTTCGCCCACTCCTTTTCCCTTACCACGACCAACAGGGGCAAAAAGAAATTTCTACATTCAACATTTGGGATTCCCCAGTGGTCACCCACCTGAGTACTGATCAAACGATTACATGGTTCAATAGGCCAGAGCGGACGGGATGGCTTGNTCTACATTCAACATTTGGGATTCCCCAGTGGTCACCCACCTGAGTACTGATCAAACGATTACATGGTTCAATAGGCCAGAGCGGACGGGATGGCTTGCTTTCATGCATCTGTGGTCGAATGTGCTCAGCTCGCAGGAAACAGCGATCATAAGGTATTTTTCAAAATTGTCTTGGCATTCTTTGCCAGCCATTTTGACCTCAGGTCGTCTACTTACCGAGGCCTACGGGTCATTGATTCTCCGAACTCTATTTTGACCTTCATCTTAAGAGTAATTCCGCGAGACTCCTAAACGCCTTACAACACAGCAAGTGTCCGACACGTCGCTGGCGGCGCGTACTGATTACTACCTAGGTACTACCGTCCACAACTCAACACCACGTGCTCACGGAACATTTGACTCCATCTTTGGGGCTCACTGGCGAAGATACCTCGGCAAAGCAGCTCGTCATGGTGCGGCATTTTCCAGTGCTGTGCCTCTCGAAGCCATTGTATGCTTCGTGTTGAACGAGCAGAGCCGTAAAGGATTCTCATATGACTGTAGGCGTAAGCTTCATAGCTGTGCCTCTTTCTTAGAGAACCCTTCACTGGTGCACCGGAGGAATATACCCGTCTGCTAATGCAAGTCTGTCACGAACTCAGTCCAAATATGGAAAGACACGCCGTTTCTCAACAAAGCACATGTTGGTGACTGACATGCAGATGGTCCATCATGATGATCCCCTGCCTTGTCGAGACTATCGTGGCACAGCTTCCCCTAGTTTGGGGACCACGCATGGCAAGTTTTCATAATGGGTTGGTTGACGGCTCGTTAGGCTTTGAAAGGCTCGAAGACGGGTCCAACACCATGCAGGCGGCTCAACAATGCAGGCGGCTCAGCCATGTGAACTCGATCGATCGCTTTTGTATATCTGAGCCGCCTTGATGAGATCTGTTGACAGTACTTAAGAGCACTCCTGTACCCGGTGAACTCGACATCGTTCCAAGTCTCACATCGATCGCAGCACTCTCAACCCCTTTTGAACACTTCAGCTCCATCTCTCCTCACGCAACGAGTGCTCACCATCCGCGACCATGAAGTACTTCGCCACCATCTGGCTCGGGAATCTTCTCCTTGCTGCTACGGGGTCACCCCTGTTAGCGGCACAATCTGCAGTGGAGAATTCGACTTTCGGTGTTCTCTCAGAGATGGAGTATCCTCATCGCTGGATCCGTTACAATCTCGACGTCCCCGTCAATGTGGACTCTAGCCCTGCCACTGTCGCAGTCGTTAGTTAAAGGACCCCAGTTACTGTATGTGAGAGGATCCTTACAGGGGTCGCCAGCTGCGTGGTAGTTATAAATGGCCTGAAGCAGCTTTGCAACGCAATGTCTACCGGGATCAAGGACGTGACCAATGAACGCAGTTGTGGTATTTTTCGCGGAGCTTACAATGATGTCGCCTACAGATACACGGTGTGTACAAACGCGAATCACCATGCCGTTCGCCGATGCTGATTGATAGTTTCAGGCTACAGGGACTCATTGCGACACAACCGCTGAGCAAGCCACTATAGGAGGGGCGATCGAGCACCATATCAAAGAGATCGACGGCGGAAAGGTGTGTGGCATGGAATGCTTGAACCTGAGCCACGGGGGGACCTGGAGCGGCTATCTCCTCATTGGACCCAGGAGTAGCTTCGACAACAGTGTCTATTGCGGACCCACCCTCAGCTTTAATCACTGTGATAGTGGTGGTAAGAATGACTTTGTCTAGGTGGTTGTCAACGCCGGGTACCGAGCCGTTGCAGAGTGGTGAATTTGAAATAGCAGAGGCTTTTTGAAAGATGCAGATGTGTGTTCCGCCTTGAGTCTGGGTGACTAGGTTGGAAAACGGCGAGGTGATCATTCTCTTTTGCTCGGAACAGTGCTTCGACGTTCAAGAAACGGAATCAGTTGATATAGTCCAATCCATGATGATATCGCATGCGACTTAATTGTATAGATTGTGGTTGATTTCGGTGGCTGCGATTCACAGTGTGATCGAACTAGATCGCAAGAGAAAGGTGTCAAATCAACAGCCAGAGTTTGTCGTAGACGATAATAGCGCTGCATGTCCGAGACGTGAAGTAGTGAACGGCGTAACCTTACGATGCGGCATAGTGTGGGGCGCACCGAAGATCTTTACGCATCAAATATAAAGTATCCTCAATTCCCTCGATAGTTCAGAGGCTTGTTGTCGTCCCCTTCTTTGCGCCAGCTTAATCCACCCATCAACATACATCATGGAGCAGCTCGGAACCAACGTYCTCAAATCGATGTGGCGTGACCCGATCTACTTTGGCCAGAGACTCAACGACTGGCTTCCTTTCTGGCTTCCTTTCTGGCTTTTCCTTCAGAATCTCTTGTACTATGTTTACGGAACTCACTGGGACAAAGAACCGCTTTTGTCCTTCAACATAACTGCTCTTGCGCACATGGCCGGCTACCGTTACTACTATGGGCAGATTGGAACTAGAAGAGGAGACAATCAACAGTAGGGGGAAATTTGAGCAGTGAGTTGCATGTCTGACACCAGCCATTCGAGCTAGGCTAATGCTTCGTGAGGTACTGGCAAGTGCTGATACAACTGGATATTGCCTTGATTGCAATGTAGAAAGCAAAGAGTGACATCCCAAACCGAGGCTCGGAACACTGGAGATGAGGACTGTAGAACGATTAGACGAAGTGCACGGAAATCTGGTCGATTGCTAGGAATGAGAGAAGTACACGAAATCAAAAGCATACTATATAGCTCTTWGCCGTAGATAACTACCTGTTCTTTAGTTCGTCCTCCACTCCTGTGATTYGTCATTGGTCGCAGATTTAAGTGTGAACAGATCACGCGTTGTCAGCACCAGCTTCCGTAGTCTCGCATACAGCGACATCCAACTTACAGCTTCATAGTTCTCGGGCAAACAAGTCCAGTATCTTCCGTCAGGCGATTTGATTCTATAACCCTCTGTTTACGATTACTTGACAAAGACCGCAACTTTGAAGATGGGTGTATAGAGACGGGGAAACATACCGGAATGTGCCACTAGAGCTGCCAGACTCCATTGTCCAATCGACACCCATGTCCGCGGGCAGTGCGACAACCCGCTACAAAGATGAGTCACATCAGCACCATCGTACCTTATCTACACTGGTGACTTACATCCTCCACAATGCAGAGTTGGTGCGGCTCATCAACCATCCTCACGGCCGTGTCCCCCGAGAGATAAATGTGAACCCAAATGCCTCTGTTCCCACGTTCTTCGAGGACGATGCACTGCAACGTTAATGGAGATATAGTGTACATCAAATACCGGTCTCGATATGTTGCCATGTCGGTGGAGACCGATCGAAGGGGGTGTTCACCAGCATCCTAGAGGATGTCCATGCCGAGTGTGTATAGGAGCGCGGCAGATTAGTAGAAATGCTAGCCGGGGCTAAGTAGAGCTGTACTTTACTGTATCGATATGCATGAGTATTGACAGGGAAGATCTGATTGGTTGCGGCGGATTTAACAAAAGCCGCGTCCAGCTTATAGCTTGGGAYGGGGGGAGATAGAGTATCGACAAGTGAAATCAGCTTTTTAGAACAGTGTAAAAGAGCCCGGTGCTCCCAAAATCACGTTTATGTATGAGTAAAGGGCGGAGTAAGTGGCGTCTAGTAAGGCTAGGCCTCATCACATCTGAATCGCTGCGCTCCTTCTATTCTTATAACCTCCTTTTCGAAGCCGTTCGCTTATGTACATCAGGCAATACGGTCGTACTCAACGTAGAGTAGGATCAAGATCCACCCCTCAAACGAAGAATAGTTCGGATTGCTGAACTATCTAGTAAGTGAATGGCCCTCCTTAAATGCCCTATGCATCACATGCTAGAATGTTCCATCCAGAGCTCTGATTACAAATAGAATTGAGTGGATGTTACATTCGAATACGATACACCGAGCTTAGGGTTGATTATAGCAGGATCAAAAAGGCAGACTAGTAAGCGGAAAGCCTAGAGAGACCGAACGGCATGGGTTCATGAAAAAAGTGTACAAGCCACGCAGCAAGTTTGTGAGTACTACCGGTGGGTTTTTCAGCGTCTTACACCGTCTTCCATCGGCAGATCATGGGAAATCGAATCCGGAAACTGTATAGACTTGCGTAGCTGCTTCCATATAGGCGGCTAGGATGGAAGAAAAATTGCCGCAAGAGGACCCGCCGATGTATTGGCTATGTGGGCCTAGCAGAGACCCGAGGAAGTACAGCAATTGTAAGAGCGAAGGCTTAAGCCGCATACAGTTTGAAACCTACCATGACATACGTCTAGAGGCCCAATCACCAAGCCCGCGGCGATAGACCCGGATAAATTATCGTAGGGGCACGTAGGTATCGACTCCCCGACGTCCCTGGCGGCTCGATTGTGTCCTAGACATAGCTTCCGGTACACCCCCCATTACCTGCTATGGCTAGAGTTTATGCACACATATATATGAATATCCTTGCCTCTGGTATCTTTTTCTGCCTAAATTTTCACACTGACACCATCTGATCAACCTCTTCGTCCAACACCATCAACACTATGAAAACCTTCGCACTCCCTCTCGCTTTACTGATCGCCGCCGCAATCGCCAACCCAAGCGGAACACCACTCGGAGATATCACAAAGCGTCAGTCTAAGGACTGTCTGTCAGCTTGTGCCAAAGACCGCCAGACATGTTCGGAAGGCTCAAATCTCAGGCAGGGGGCACACCGTTACTTTTGCGCCAAAGTCAGCGTGCGGTGCATTCGTGACTGTTGCCGAAGCTCAGGCTTAGTGGGGGTCAATGTCGATGCATGCGTTCGTGTCAATGTCAATGTAAGTCGTACAAGCTGGAGCAGATTGCATTTGACGAGCATGGCTAATTCGATCTTGAAACAGGTTTGAAGATGGAGACGACGACTACGACGGCTTCTATCGTTGAGTATACGTCCAGTTTCTCGGATGGGATGGGTTCTAGACTATCAGCAAAGACGCAGTAGTCGAGTTGCTGGGGTAAACRGCGAAACTTTGTCCTCTTCCCTTTCGATGGCCATAGCAAAACAAATGGAAAGGTGACATTCAGCATTTGTGATTGAACGCATGTTCGAACGCTACCTTGCACAATTCAGCATGCTGTCAGATCTCCTGGTTTGTGGAAATACCTTGTGTGACAGCCATCTATGGATAGCAGCGATTCTAACAAAACCCGGAAGATAATCTTCAGGTTACCATCATGATTGAGGCTTCTTCCATCCTTACGAAGATATGAAGATACCCGCGAAATATCTCGCCAAACTCTCCCGCTCCTCCAACAAGCCCAGCATACCAATATACCCATCCGGCCTCAACGCCACCACGCAGCCCCTTTCGCGATCCACCTCCARCCGCTCATACACCCTTCCATGCCCTTCATGCGCACTCATTCCATCCGCAAATACCTGCCAATAATCGTATCCTTCCTCCTCACTCCACGGCCGAAAGATGGGGTGCAACTCCATCAACTCCACCTTCTCCCTCTCCGCACAATGCACCACGATGACCTCCACTACCGCCCTATCTCCACCCTCTGTCAACTTCCCCAGCCCTTTCGCACTGTCCGCCAACCACGTCCCCAAGTCTTGCAATTGCTCCGCGAGCTCCTTGCGTGCGAGATCTCCCGYGAAAATCAGTAGGCGAAATGCGCCTGTCGCCTATAGTCTTGCATGCATCCATATGGTGTTTGCATCGCACTAAGCGACGACCTGAAAGTCCGGCAGTCGTTTTTTTCCGGGCACGAGATCGAAGAGTAAGCAACGTTCGAGGTGTTCAGTCGGTAGACTGTCATTCAGGCTTGTATTCGACTCCTCTACTAACCTCAGTTAATCTTCCATTCAGTCTCAACTCCCTACATACGTGTGCTGGTGATCGTCGCGGAATCAATCGGATTCATCCTTAACAGCATTGAGCTAATGTAGTATATCACGACACTAGGTCGAGACTAAAAGCGAGCGAGTAGCCGTGAAGTAACTATAGGGTACTCATCCCTCAGGAGGACGAACTTGGAGATGGAATTGACAACTTTTCGGAACGTACTGTTAAATTCATCTGCAGCTAGGCTAAGTATGGTGGGGAAGCATTTAACTTCTCATGAAAGAGAACATAACGAGGCGAGCTCGGTGGGAAAATATTTGAGTAAACCAAGTAAAGATTGATGATGATGTCGCTGTTCTAATGCTTGTACACACTACCCCAACCCTAACCCTCGCACACTGGAGTTACAATGAAGTTGATAGCTAAGGCTCGCTACATCTTTCCATTGTTGGAACGACCCCTACCACGACTTGTTTGGCTATACCAACGCCTTTAACGGCGTTAATTGCTTGTAACGGCGTTGTAGGCAATTGACATGCTTCAGCGCCATTAACAGCCCAAATACCTTTACGAGGATTTGTTAGCAATGCCGGCAAAGAAGTCAAGGAACAATGTTGCTCCATACGTGGTATAGTTCCGCGGTAGCCTAGAGGCCATATGACTCTGGATCGCGATGGAGATGCTCATCAAGGCGATGCCCAATGCCCATCCTACAGACCTGGATAATCAATTTTCACAGCCAATAATTCATGCAAACGATCGTAAACGACCCAGTGGAATGGCCACAAGCGTTGAATTTGCCGGTGGGGGTGGCTGATGAACCAGAGACTGGAGAACGCTGATCGACAGCCAGCGAGAAAGGCAATGTCTCGATTGGGTCAGTACAGAACGCTGATCGACAACCAGTAAGATGTGCAATGTCTTGCCAGTCGGTACAGATCGCACATTAGAATCTTTTCAGCCGTTCTGGGATTCATATTGCTACATTCGATATTGAAGGGCTCAGAAATCGGAGGTGGTTCCATGGCATGGACGAAGTTGCTCTGTTGCAGGACGTGGACTGCTTGCTTGTCGAACAACATGCTCGAATGACGACACATGTACATGTGCGCAGACGTATAATTTGTATGTGATACAGGCCGAAGATACTTGGACATCCAAACATTAATCCTCTTCCCACACTCGTTAGCACCCTGTTCTCTCTCTTCAAAAATCGACCCAAATCAACCATGCATTTCCCCACCACCTCCTTCGCTCTTCTGGCCCTTACAGCCACTGCTCTTGCTGGCGTAGCAAGTCCGCGCGATGCTACGAAGCGGGATGCATGTACCAAAGAAACACCTAAAGATGACTCGGAAAGGCCTCTATCGCTAGCCGAGCTTATTAACGAGGGTAAGTTCCTATTCACAAGGGGGCGTAATATACAACATACTAACATCTTGTCAATCACGGCTGCAGCGATTGTGCAACCAGATCCCTTTCCAGAGCTTCCTCCAGGGGGCTTGGATCTTTTTACGCGGGATGCATGTACCAAAGAAACAGCTAAAGAGGATTCGGAAAGGCCTCTATCGCTAGGCAAGCTTCTTGACGAGGGCAAGTTCCTGTTCACAAGGGGATGTAATATTTAAGATGCTAACATCTTTCTAATCACAGCTGCAGCGATTGCGCAACCAGATCACCTTCCAGAGGACTTCGATCTTTTTAAGCGGGATGCATGTACCGAAGATACAGGTCCAGATAGTCCGGAAAAGCTTCTAGAGCTGAGCAAGATTCTTAACGAGGGTATGTAATTTTCTGTTTACAAACTAGCGGAATATAGAACATACTAACATCGTTCTAATCACAGCGGCAGAGATTTTCCGAACCGATTCGACTCCGGGCTTGGATCTTCTTAAGCGTAATGCGCTGGAATTACCAAAATCTGACGAGATCCTCCAGGACCGCGATGCTGCGAAGCGGGATGCATGTACCAAAGATACAAGTCCAGATAGTCCGGAAAAGCTTGTGGATATAAACAAGATTCTTAACGAGGGTATGTAATTTCCTGTTCACAAAGGGGCGGGATATATAACATGCTAACATCTTTCTAATCACAGCTGCAGAGATTTTCCGAACCGATTCTTATCCACCGGGCTCCGGTCTTTTGAAGCGGAATGCGAACAGGAGAAGCTTGCGATGATTACAGTGATTGCTATAGCTGTTATTTCTACGAACGTTGTTGTTTAAAACTTAATGGACGGGACGAAGATGGTAAGGGACAGTGCATATGTAGAACCTCAGGCCGTGGGAGCTATTGTGCATAGACAACGTCCACACATCCGAGGATCRGGCAGGAGAGGGATTTGAACCAGACAGACAACGTCCACATATACGAGGACATAATGGGTACAACTGCGAGGATCTTTTAATAAGAGGATTTCAATCAGACGATTATCTCAACATCTTCCTTGCTTCCATGCTTCTGTGGTCAAACATATTCTGGCTAAAAGTCTCTCCTTTATGCGACCATCCTTATGACTCCAGTCGCAAGGCCATGGGCATGAGGTTCATCTTCCGCCATTAGATTCTGCCAAAGGGAAGGACATCTCGTGTCGCATCAGACTCCAAGGGGTATTTAGCAAATACAAGGGGACTCCTGCTTTGTGGGCAACATCATCAGAAAGAACATATATTTACATGATGTGCTTTGTCTAGGTGAGGGAATAAACATCTGACGTGGATTGCAGGCCTTACGAGTGAGTATACAGTCTGTGTACACGGGCAAGAACATTGTGGTATCGATTCGGGCCTCTGTGTTCAAGCGTATGATCCTACGACGACTACGAGTTAATCCCGAGTTCCATCTAGTCTGTCTTGACGTCAGTAGGTCTACCTCTGATCGTTTGGAACGCTTTGATAGACCACTAACCTTCGTTCTAGGTAGATGCAACCTCACGCTCCACATTTCTACATGTCCAACACCGCTCACCTTTCTAATCGACATACCATACATGTTCAGGACCAAACTCTTGAAGTWCCGTCGCCACACGGCCCATGAAGATAGGCAACACAAACGCCTCGACATCCTCAACATCAGTTGCAGCAGTACCCCTTTTCGCATTCATATGTTTCATCCAAGCTGCAAGCCTAGGAATCTTCGATGTCAACTCTGCTTGCCTTTGAATTCTCGCTGCAATCCATCGCGCTATCGCTCTCCCAAGTATGCTGAAACCCCTATTCATCATGACAAAGGCAGGACGCCGCAATAGAGCAGGAAACCAAGACAAAATGGCGGAAAACACCATTTCGCATCGATGTCCGACTGTGAGGAGTTGGATTGGCCACATTTCCCGCAATCTGGCGGCGGTGGGATATATACCCTGCCGGAAGGAATCCCACCCTTGTTGTTCATATGCTACTTGGACAATGGCGGTGGATCTAGAGATTTCCAGGCCGGAGCAGTGGTGATCGAGGTATACCAGGAGCGCACGCTGTTGAGAAGCTAATCCATTTCCGCCAAGACTACCCTCCAAAATGAGATGCCAGTCTCTTCGTCGGTCCTGTAAAAGGGTCAACAACGATGGCTGCTCACCCTCACCCAAATATCGATCCATGTACATATTCAACCATCTACCGTTGGAGTCTCGTAGACGGCAGAGTAAATGTTCAGGCGATATTGGTGGCGAGAAGTTACTGGATAGGCACGAAGGCGGTCCAGCGAGCCGAATCCGATAGCCTGGACGCGAGACAGGGAGTCCATGAAATGGAGCGATGGCCCTTGCGATCCGATCTCCCCGTGGCGGTAAAGTCGGGAATCTAGTGACTGGTTGCTGGAGGGTAGCAGGAGCCCAGCGATATCCAATCGAAGTTAAACGAGGTTGTTCGTTGAAAATCATGGTCTCGGGAATACCTCTTTTGCTCGCGAGCATGAGTGACCAGACAATCTCCATCCTCCTCTCGGGATCTTCTCGCAATACAGCTTCCATGTCCAGATCAAAGACGGCAGCGAGACACAATGCCTCGTCTGTTTGTACGCTGACACGTCGATATGAGAGACCTCGGACTGCCATTGCGAACTCAACTTCTTCAATCCGGTGGGTTAGATTTGGTGCTTGATTGAACAGTGTCCTCAGTACGGAGCCGCCAAAAGCAGCATTGCGGTACAAGTAGCGGCCAGAAATTCGATGCTTAAGTTCAAGTCGAACGCTATCCCATATAATCCTTCATGTTTGAGCATTAGCATTCCCTTCATCGCGTTTCAGACGACACAATAGGAATGGACCACTCACTTCATATCAACAGGCCCGTCCTTGAATTGCACAAGTAGTTTCCTCGTCAAACCTGCCTCTTGATACGTCCATAATCTTCTGATCCACTTACTCGTAAGAACTCTCATCATCGCTTCGAGCTGGTCCATTTCCGAGTATCTATAATACTCCGCGAGCGTACTCTCTAAAAGTAGCACACAACTGCTGTTCTGGTAGACCGCTCTGAGTTTACTCATAGCTGCTGCCTTGCCAGGCTGACTTGTCGGACAACACAACGTATCACACCACAGATATAGCTCTTTGTTGTCGGATGGTTTCATATCATCTCCGCTCTGAAACGTCATTTGACGTACACCTGTGAGAAGACTGCGTAATTTTGAGATTTKGCAGCGAGGAAGAGCCATTTCGTGGGGATTTCCCAGCCCATCAGCCCAGACGTGAGATAGAGCCACGTATGACATGCCAGATTGGAATGGGCGAACCTCCAATTCACCCGTCTCGTCGATGGTCAACAGAGGAAAGCTATCCTGCTCGAGACATGCGATGATTCCATCCATTTTGGGACCCAGATTCTCGCAATGGCAACCTTTGGTAACATGCCTAGGTTGATAAGTTTCCAGATTACTTTGTATCTGTGTGCAAGCTTCCGGTGTACAGGTGGTGTGTGCTATACCCACATCTGGCTTCCGCATGTATTGTAGATAGATGCGTCCAGAAAGAGAGCAGAAATCGTTGGCGGCTGCGGAAATCTCGGCAGGGCACCAGCCATTCGATATCATGATGTTCCTCGTCAACTCGTCGATTTTTGGAGCAACGCTGAGCATATCGAACTTCTCGTCACAAGCCATGTCTGCGGCAGCCTCAATAGCCTCGTACACAGCGCCCAAGCCGAGTCTGATAGTCTTGTCGAACGCCTGGTGAGAGGGCAATAAAGTGACCTGATAAGCCACATGTGCCAGTTTCAGACATTGTGTGAGGCTGGCTAGGACACGGGCTCTGTGGTCGGGTGGAAAAGAACGCACAAGTTTCAGCCACGATGAGAGCTTGTTCTCAAGACTAGTTGTACGTACATGTAGCGAATCTCCGCTGGCCGTGAGGTAGTCATCCGGGGAGTACAGCTGTACGGGCGCGAGAACATGATGCAAAAGTCCGAAAAAGAGCCAGGACTGTAGAAAAGACTCCAGAAGCTTGTCATCGCTTGGCTGGAGATTTTCCGCGGTTGCCCAATTCAACTCATCTCCTTTCTGTAATACGCATGGCCATCCGGCTCGCACGGGATAGGCCATGAAGTCGCCTCCATCGTAAAGAGATTCTCTGCAGACGCATGGCACGCGCGGTAGGTCGCTGGGGGAGCTGGATGGAAGTGGGAGATGCTCCATCGCAGAGCCCAAGTCTCTATACGTCGCTGATGTTGGTCGAGTGGTTGGATGCGTCGACAACGAAGGGTTACAAGATGGATTTGTTCACCAGATCAGGCTCCGATGTCAGCTCAGCACCGGAAGCCCTATCGACGTGGTGAGGAAGGATTTCTCGGCTTGCATTAGTCTCCATTTTCGTCTCGCGTGCACTGCAATTGGCTCTGCTGAACCTTGCAAGCCAGGGCATGGAATCATCCCGAGCATTTTATCGCTCGCGAAGATCGCAAACTGCTGAATTGCCAATTCTTGTCTCGTTACCTATGACTGTTGATCAACGGACCACTCACAATGTGGTAAACAGGTAATGTGTGGATAAGGTCGAGCATTATTTTCTGCTACTATCGCGTGATCGGACTGGTAAGCTTCCGGGTAGCGGAACGACCCGGTAGTCACTAGGGTGAATGGTACCTTAGTAAGGCCTACCTTGACATAGCTTAGGTACCTCCGCAAAGCTCCGCCACCCTAAATTTGAGCTGTTTGTTTGCATTTAATCTGACAATATGGCACATAACGGCGTTGCAACATGTGCGATACGCGACGCTTCAGAGCTATCGTCTTTCCATAGGTGCTTGGAGCAGTCGACCTCAATCGTCGCACTCATAGGCGCCGGGCTCAGTGCTCCTTCTGGCCTAAGCACTTTCAGTAGTCCTGAGGGAATCTGGACGACATATGACGCACACTCTCTCGCTACACCTGAAGCTTTTGATATTCATCCTCACCGTGTGTGGCAATTCTATGCCCGTCGACGCTACGAAGCGCTGCAGGCACATCCTAATGCAGGCCACGTAGCCCTCGCAGAAGCGTCCAAACGGATCCCCGGATTGATCACACTCAGTCAAAATGTGGATGGCCTTTGCGAACGCGCCGGCCACCCCCCGAAGCAGCTGGTGTCGCTTCATGGAACACTCTTTGAATCCCAGTGTTCAAACAGGAAGGGCTGCGGATACTTGAGAGACGACTTCATAGATGCATTCACCTCAACTCCTGCAGCAGCTGGGTCCAGGATGGAGAATCAGTGGAGCGATGGGGAACTAGACCTCGCCCACACGACTTCAAAAATGCCCGCCTGTCCGCAATGCGGACGTCTACTTCGGCCAGGTGTTGTGTGGTACGGAGAAATGTTGAACGACGATACTCTATCGAGGATAAGACAAACTTTCAGCAAACCCGAAGGAATCGATGTTATGCTGGTCATTGGAACATCGGCGGAAGTATATCCCGCAGCGGGTTATATCAATGTRGCTCGCGCGCGAGGTGCCCGGCTTTGTATTGTGAATATCGACACAACCCTCAGACTGCGCGCCGAATTACGGGAAGGGGACTGGTTCTTTGAGGGCGATGCATCCAGGATATTGCCAATGTTGATGGAGCCCCTCATCACCAATGCTTACGATCATACGGCAGGTGGAATGCGAGATTAGGCAATTCCGTACATGTCAGGGCGAGGGCGCAGATAGTGTCACGGGAACTATGGTGAGAAAGATCCCATGACCTTACCATTTAATTGTCCTATTCAATGCGTCAGATTACAAGGGATTAAACGAATTACCAAAGGGATGCGCAGGCACAGCACTCTTAACGCAGTAGCTAGAGGTAGGGTGGTTGTGTAGACAAGGCAAACATGTGAGGCATAAACACTAGGCAAGGAATCGAGGCGCCGAGATGATTAAGCCAGGCTCTAGATTGTATTAGCCTCTCGCAGCAACAGTCTATCTGTGACTGGATCCCGCTCTGCATCGCTCTTTGATATGCTCGTGTGAGACCTTACTGCTATAATCGACTTTCATAATCAAGAACGACTAAGAGTGTTGTGTTTGGTCTTGAGGACGTTGCGTTGTGGAGTTGAGGAAAGAGAAGTGAATGTCATAGTTGGTCGATTGCTTGGTTTCATCCCCACGGTTGGAGGGGACGGCAGTTAGCTGACGTACCATTCTAAGGAGCCATTAGCGCGCTAGGGTAGAAGCACTAGGGCACGCATTGGGGTAGGCATTGCGATGAACAATCCATTGTCTATAACAGGATGAGATTCTGATATGTGGCCATTGTCGCAGCTTGAGAACAGTCGCAAAGATGCATTGAGCGAAGTATCGTACACCAGGACCTTGGCTATCGTACAGATTACCATCATTCATCGTCAAACGGCCACGACGCATCCCACGCCGCGCGGTCAGCGTCGCTGCGGGCATACATGTCGACGATCTGCTCCTTGCACTGGGCGAGGGCGTTTTTTGCGTGTTTGTACTGTTCCGCACGCACGACCCCGCGCTCAGGGAACAGGTCGCCGATCGTGTCCTTGATCATGGACATGGCCTTCATGCCTTCTAATGCATCTTTGCTGTCGGACCGGATCTCAGCAGCAATATCAGCGGGTATCTCTACGCCGGAGTCCCGGACACTCGCATCACCCTCTTCGAGGAGGTCGAGGAACCGAGCTGCATATATAGCCTCACCGTCCTCCAGCACGTTTCGCGCGCAGAGCAGCAGCTCAAAAGCTGCGGTCTCTTGAAACTCGAGTGCCTTCCAAAAAGCAGGGTTTCGTGCGCGAATCCATATCTTGTAGGCTACCCAGAGCCCTTGATCCAAAGTCAGGCGGTTAACTCTCTGTTGCTCGACTGACTCGAGTGTGTCGAAGCTTGGTGGCAACCGTGGACGCTCAAGACCTTCTGCTCGCGGACCCTCGTGCTCAAGGAATTGCGGCACGCGGGCTTGTACAAAGAAAGGAGCAATCTCTGTAGATTGCCAATCGATGATGGATGTGACTCTAGTCGGGGCCTTAGGGTCCACGAAGATGTTTTCCACGTGTAGGTCCTGGTGCCATATTGCAGGCTTTCGAATATCGATATCAGAAGGAGCAAGATGTTTGTAGATCTGGAGATACAGATCTACTGCTCGTAGCTTTTTGGCTCTGGTCGAAGTGTATGTTCCAGGGCCGCAAAGCGTGATCTGTGGTGGAGGCAGGGCAGGAATCTGATTAACACAGATCAGTTCTCTTTTACCCACAGCTTCAAGGTAGTCTTCAGTCACGGTCCCTAGGCATTAATGAGTATGCACAGCTCATGTCTTCCGAGGTCAAGATGAACTCACATGGTCCTCTGTCAAAGTCCAAACATTGTCGCCCTTCATCCAGCCAATCCCGGCCAGTTGCTGGACCAATCACAAATCTAGTATTCGTATCGTCTTCGGTCGTGTGAGAAAGCACAATGGTATGGTGTTCTGGCAGATCGGACGCATAATAWACACTTCCGTACCCGCCTAGCGATGCGGTAGACCATTGTTCTTGAAGCTGCGCAATGGATTTGGCCACCTCAAATCGCTCCGGCACCTTCAGCTCCGCCCACTTGGTCTTCAGGGGTACACCGTCTGCCTTCTCCATGATGATATATTCGGCTTTCACAGGGGTGGTCTCAGCTCGGCTACACCACGCCAGGACTTTCGGCACGGGTGTCGTCGTTGACGTCCGCAGCCAGTCCATCGTGGCCACCTCACTCGCGGTCGTGAAATGCCGCTGACCAGCAACTGGATATGGAAGTTTCGCGATGACTTGTTTCCCGTCGTCCATCGTGAGCAGTAAAACCTTGTTGTGCATGCCACCTGGCAAGGCGTCCACGCGGATGCATGCTTTGGAATCTGCTGCACGTGCTGCGACAGTAGCAAGGGCATCCACATCGTATACAACACGATGAGCGACTGCTTGCTCTACTTCATTCTGCACGAATCGTACACGCGTTATTTGATACAGATCTCCACTAACTTCTCCACTATCTTTGTTGCATCAGTAAAGAAAGAGTAGATACTAGACCATCGTTCCTGAATCACTTACACTTAGCGGATGAATTCGATTCGCCCATATCATTGCTTGCCATGAAGAAGTTGCGACGGCCAGCACCTGGTCGAAGTTCTTGGGGGTTGTGCTTTACGTGTAGAGTCCACACGCGCTTCGTTAAGTAGGAGCCTTTCTGTAGAGCTCTGCGCATTATGATGAATGCGTAGGCAGGTATACTACTAGTCGGAACATTTATTTCTAATGATAARGTATGGCACGGCGGACTAAGCGCGCTCTGCCTTGCGTAACTGAAACCTATAGTAAGTAGAGCCGCTAGCTAGGGCGCAAATTGATTCGCCTACAATTGCTTACCGAGCGGAACGTTCCGTCCGTCGTTTATGTTGTGGATCTGGCACGTGACCTATAGATGACTAAGGCTCTGTCGATATAGCCGCATCTTAGATACAGAGTTTTTATATATATGTTAATTAGTTACTTTTACTATATGCTTTATATTAGCTTAGTAGACCCGTATAGGCTATACGGCTCTATAATAGTCGTCCTATTCTATATAATTAGTCGAGATCGTAAGGTTTGTACTATACTCCGGTCCGCCGATAAGGATTCCTAGGCTTTCTTTACTACCTCACCTCGCTCGAATACCTTATAACGTCGACTATAACTTACCGTAATCCCGTAGCCGAGGTTTTTCGCCTCCTAGAGCTTGTCTCGCTTATTATTTAACACTATCTAGAGCTATGGATTCTAGGAGAAAGGGTATAGTACTAGCCCCTAGCGTGTGTAGCTAGTATGCTTGTTAGTTTAGTTAACTTAGTTATTAGTAACTAACTAATTGGTTACTACTTAGTATAGTTATTATCTTTTAGCGAGTTGGTTATAGTTGGTATAGATGTTATTAGTTACCGGTAACTAATAGGGAACTGTTCCGATTAGCTCTATCTCGTCCGGAGGTCCGCATCCTTAATAATCCGGTTCTAAATAAGATGGAGTAAGTRAATATTATCTATATTATTATTAATTCAATGCCGTTCGGCGGTTGGCCAATTCTGAGTTAAGGCGTAACTAATGTAGTTACTCTTAATCCTAATAATGCGGTGTACGACCGTAGTTCCTTACCTACGCGTATTACTATCTATAGAGCGCGATACACACGCTACCTTGCTGTCGCTAATCCGAAGGATCTACGGAAGCGAAAGAGCACGATATAGTAATACGGCGAACAGCTAGTAAAAGAGGCGGACGGCGTGAGTTCGTAGTACTACTATTACTACGAGCGTAAAGGGCGGAAGCAAACTCTGCTAATTATTAATAGCAATTAAGGGCCGCTCTACTATCTTTTAAGGGAACATAGCATCGACAAGGATGGCAAAAAAGTAGCTAAACCGGAGCGTAAGGCTGGTGTTGCTACCTTAATAATATCGCTAGTTACGAATAAGAGCCTTAAGAGATTTAAGAGCCTGCTTGTTCGCTAGATTGTGTATTGCCACATCTCTTTCCGCATGCTTAAGAACACGTACTTTCGAGCGCTCGTCGCTTTTATAAATAGTAGCCTTAGTAGCCTATTACCGCGCGCGGCTTCGACGATTCGGTAGTGGATTTTAGATAAGTACGTAGCGTAGAAGCTATTATTATAGGAGGATATGCATAGCGCACTAAGCGATATTTATATGTCGTTTAATAGCTGGACGAGTCCGAATAGCTACTTAATTATTAGTGTTAATACGCATTTTATCGATGCGAAAGGGAAGCGTAGAACAGAGCGACTAGCCTTTAGAAGGATCCGCGGCGAACACACTAGCGATAATATCGGTGCGAAGCTGCTTAAAGTAATTAGAGAGTAGCGGATTAGAGGGCGGATTAGATACTTCATCGCAGATAACGCTACTAATAACGATCCGGCTATTAATTTCGTCCTAAGTACGCTCTATTCGAAGATAAGCGCTAAGTACCGTAAGGCACGGAGGCTAAGGTGTCTTAGTTATATTACAAACCTTATTACGAAGGCGATGTTGCTCGGTAGGGGTGGCGGAAAAGCGATAAAGGATTTGGAGCGTAATATCGAGAAGGGCGCTTTCGAGAAGGTAGAGCAGTTCTAGCGTAACCGTAGAGCCGTCGGACGCCTATACAATATTATTAAATGGATTAGAGCGTCGACAAACCGGCTAGAGGCGTTTAAGAAGGTGCATTGTACTAGTAAGGAGTATGTAATGTTTAATAATCTAAAGGTAAGTGATAAAAGTAGGTCTATACCGTTCCGGAGCCGCCTCTAGAGCTAAACTCCGCTAACTCCGGAGCAAATTCGTCCTTGCTTTCTTATTACTTTGCTAATTACTACCACCCTTATAGCTTATCTAAGACAACTCTATACGGTGGAACTCGTTCTATTACATGCTTAGAAGAGTATAGGATGTTAGGGAGCGAATTACCGAGTTCTATAGGCTCTATAGGACCGAGAAAACCATCCGCGACAACTATCTATTACCGAATAATTAGGAGCAAATCGATCGACTACATAACGCCCTCTATATGTTCGAACTCACGACAATGTCCACTTAAGGTAACGAGAAGCACTTATACGACTAGTACCCTACCCTCTAATTTACGCTCGATTATACAAGTAAGTACTTAGCGGAGTTTAAGGAAGAAGCGCTACATAATAACAGCTTTGCCTACCTCTTAGGCTGCTATAACTATGTATAGTAAAAGGCGGAGAAGTATTAGAAGCTTGCGGATAATACACTAATCCTCTATATAGCCGTCGCCCTTAACCCTACTCTAAAACATAGATAGTTTAAGGACCTTTAGAGCATAGGAAATAAGGAACAGTAGGGCTATATCGAACAGGTGCGAAGGCTGGTTAAGGATATTTAGATAAACGACTACCGGCCGGCTCTACCGTTACTAAACAGCGTAATTGCTACGCCTATCGATAGCGAGGACCTCCGTGACTATTTGTTCACTTTTAAGCGCCGTAAAACGATAGCAACTATACGAGTTAATGCGCTCGATAACTACCTATCTATCGACTACGTTCATAACACTAAAGAGGCTCCCCTTAACGTTCTGAACTAGTGGTTTAAAAGGCGATTGTTAGAGCTAGAGCTAGCTAAATTTGCCTTCGACACACTAGCAATCCCTCTTATGTTAGATAAGCCTAAACGCTCCTTCTTAGATGGCCGTAATATAATTACCTACCGCCGTAATCGCCTCTAAGAGGAGATTATTAAAGCATGTAGTTGTTTAAAAAGCTAGTACGGTTTACCGTAGAAGGATGCATTTAATAAGGATAATAATAAGGTAATTAAGCAGTGGATAATTGCTAAGAAAGCTGCTATTGCTCAGAAGGAGGGTTTAGAGCCCTTAGAGCTCTTAGAGCACGAAGAGACGCTTTTTGTAAACTAATTGCCTATTTAGGAAGCTGGTAACCATTAGTTAAGTTAGTATTCACTTCTGAAGCAGTTGGTTGGTATAGTTAGAGCCCTTCCCTAACCGGTAACCAAACCAACAAGATCACTGTGTGTGGCACGAAACTGGCTCGATCCAGTCATGGCCATTGCATGGCGACGAAGGGATCTTCATGCCCTCTTCGCCGCAAAGATCGAGCCTGGTCGGCGTCAATATTATGCGGACAAGATCCGCCACCTTCGAATCATCTACCTTGAGAGTATGGATGAGCGGCTTCAGACTCTATCATTCCGCAAGCTCGAATCCGTGAGGATTGGTGTACCATCAGATGAGGAGGCCTTGCCATCTACTGAAGCGTGGGTACATAGCCTACTAGGACCCTCACTTCGCTCCTTAGTTCTGCGCTCAGAAGAGATGATTCCTCCAGATCTACCCGTCTCCTTGGCAAATCTTTGTCCAGGCCTAGAAACGCTCCGAATCAATTTGCGAGAGGACGATCCAAGCTCAGTCCTCATGCTCGTAGAGATCGTCGAAGCTCTGCCACGACTTCGTGAGCTCAAAGTCGAATCGCGACTCCATCCCCCTACGTCAACATCAACAGAGCGGAAGCTTTGCTCCCCTCTAGCGCTCTCTCATCTCGAATCGCTGGAATTTGGAGGGATCATTCCAGACCTCGCGCCGACTTCTTCGCAGTTTCCACGGCTCAGGTTGCTGCATGGTGAAGCGACGCTTCCCACTTTACTTCGCATTGGTATGGTTATGCCACAACTGGCCCATCTTGACTTGTTACTTCCACCTAGATATGTCACCGAACCACCTACATTGGTCATCGCCCCTTTGCGCTCCTTAGTCAATCTGGAGTCCTTGACGCTTCGAGTGCAAGGAGATGCACCCCTAGAAAGCAAGGATCTCGAGGCTCTGGGGAGATTTCGCAACTTATCTCGTCTCGAGATCGGAGCGAAGGGAGGTGGTAAGCGTAGAGTGGCCGCGCCAGACTTTACAGACGAGACGCTGTGCAGAATTCTCCTGTGCTTGCCTCGATTGGAGTATCTCGAACTAAGGCTACGGCACCCATCAGGAGGCCAAGCTCTTCTCACTCTTGTTAAGCACTGCCCGAAGCTACGGGTCGTAGTCATGCCAGGCCATTACGATCTAGCGCTCTTTTTCTCTCTACCGCAGCAGCCTGCTGTTCCGGACTTGGTAACTCTGTGCGTCGCATCTTTGTTCTTCGGACACGCTCGACCAGGCTACCTGATATCTCGCACAGAGTTCAGGATGATACACGAAGTGCTGGCTCAGCATGCTCCGAAGCTATCTTATACTAGCTTTGTGGATCCATGGTGGGAAATCGGCAAACGTCTGAACGCCACGCTTCGTAAAGGCTGGGATGCTCTATGCGGTTGTGGGGAGCTGGGCGAGGGTCACAAACAAATCGATCATATTTGCGAACCCGAAGATTCCAGGGATTGACTATTGCGGCGCRGGATTCGGGCAGTAATACGGCGCTATCGATCATGAGGCTATACGAGGTTTTTCAAAGAGATGTAGGCTGATACAGAGCCTACGGCATCAGGCCCATAAAAGTCTTGATAGGGTTCTGACAAAATTTTCGGCTGAATGTCACTCGGATCAGGGTTTTCCGCCCTTCAGCATAATATCGACTACCGACTGTGCTACATGTCCAGGTTATTATCTCAGCGCCGACGATGAGAGCTTATGACCAGGCCGACTCGCTCCTTGACATCAGAAATAATCGCTGGGATTCGAACGTAGTGGATTCCCCTGGCCTCCAAGAGTTGCTCGAACGTCTGATCGAAACGTAGCCACTCGTTCATATCCCGAGGCATCAATCGGACTCCATCATCTGTCAGCCAGCTGCAGCCCGACTCACACAGAAAAACCAATCCTTGCTTCATGTTCAGTTCCAGAGCTTCCCAAGTAGGCGATGCTAGTAGCTTGTCCGCAGCGGCACTCCCAACATACAGCTGTGTGAAGACAATCGGATCCAGTCCGGAGCGGTCGGAGATGTACCACGACGACGCGTCCTGTGGGGATGCCAGTTCCGCTCTGTACTGTGCTTGGAGAATGGCTTCTTGGAGTTTCAGGCATTTGGCAGGCGAGTTCCCGATGTCTTCTCGGTCAATTTGAAGATCTCCCAGCAGCCGCCGTGCGACCTCGATGATGTACGCAGGCTGTGCAAAGTCGCACGAAGTATGGTTGGCGGTGTACTGTTGGCGGAGGGCATTGAGAATGGTCGTTTTCCCAGTGCATGGCGCGCCTACGAGGTAAATGCTCCGTGGAGCTGACGCTTTTCCCGGGTCGTTGAGGAGCATGTTTCTGAATGTGAGCCAACAAGACTGTGGGTTTGCCTCAACAATACATGCTTTATATGAGAACCCTGCAATGGCCCCACAATAGACACCTTCGGCCATATCAACGATGAGATTGTGTTACTACTGCATTCGCTTGGAATATCCGCCGAAGTGTTGCTGCAAAAACAGGCAAATTCATTTCAGGCCATGCGTGATGCTTGGGAGGGCGAAATGAGGGCATCATTCCAATTCTTGTCCTACCAGAACGAGATGCACTTGGCGGAGAGGCTTCTTATGGATGGACTGGAAAGTGTTCACACTTCAATCCGCAAGTTGATTCAAGGAGAGCTAACCAAGACCATCAACAAAAAGGATGAGCAGCGCTGTAGAATCATGATCAAGCAGTCCAGACTTCTCTTCGGGGTATGCGACCCGTCAGATACTAGCATCGATGGACATGGCAAACTAGAGCAAGGGAAATGCTTTGTGAGAATTACAAATCGCGAAGATGGCGAGCCTCGAACAATTGTCAACACCGAAGTCCTGGTCACTAGGAATCCGTGCCTACATCCGGGAGATCTCCAGAAGTTCAAGGTTGTGGATGTACCGGAATGGACACACCTCACAGACTGTATCGTGTTTCCAACATCTAGTAACCGACCAAGCGCTGATCTGATGTCTGGGGGGGACTTGGACGGCGACAAGTTCTTTGTGACATGGGATCCAGACATCATTCCCCGTAAAATTGCCCAGGCGGCAGCGTACCCAGCAGGCAAACAGCGAATTGAGTTTGAGGAAATCACTGCGGATAGAAGAGCCGAGTTCTTCGCCCGGTATACCAACGCCTCGCTGGGGAGGGTGAAGAATTTGTACCTCAAGTGGGCAAGACTCAAAGGTCCGCTCAGTCCGGAGTGTCAGCAGCTCAATCGCTTGTTCTCGCAGTGCGTAGACGGCAATCGGACCAGAATTCCTCAGAACCTCGAAGATCCACCTGAGCCTGCTGGAACGGACGGTCTATCTTTCGTACTGGACGTGCTCCACGAAAACGCTATCCGCCAAGTCGCTGCATTCACCAATTCGAGGGCCGCTTTAGACACCCTCCCCGGAGACTTGTTAGATTTCATCTCAAGCCGTGAGGACTCTGCTTTGTCAGAGTTTGAACTGGTTCAACTGGTCCTCCGAAAATGCAAAAAGGAGGGCCTTCATTTCGGCGACTACGCACCGTACTTCAACTACCCTGCGCTAAGTGAGGAACAACGTCTTTGGGTCCTGGACATCCTCCCGCCCACGAAGGGTTTGCCTGATTTGGTTCGGAATGGCTTGCTGCAGTCTGGCCTTGTTCAACGAGATGAATTGCGCGTATTCGGATTGGATCACCATCGTCTACACTGGAAGCCTATTTTCGCCACATCTACGGACCGTATGGGACAGTTTCTCACCACTGCTGGTCGTGCCCTGGAGAACTTCCACAAAAAGCTCATTATCATCCAGGCAGACGAACGCTTGCTTTTAATGATCTATATCCCGCAGAAGATAGCCAGGGCCACTGAAACTGATGTTTCTGATTCAGTGCGTGTCTTTGCCCTACCTCGCTCAGCCGGAGTAGAGTCTGCAAGATACACCGTCAAGCCCACCAAGTCAAACTCCCGACTTTATTACGACGACGCTGTTTTCCAATTGTACGAAGAGAAACGCGGCAATACATTTGTGTACCTGCAGAAAGGACCCCAAGATCTTTCAGCCGTGGCAAGCATTGAGAGCAGAGGTGACAGACGAAGGAAGAAACAAGAGACCGTCGATACAGGAATCAATTACGACTTCAGAGCTAGTGTGGCGTTGGGAAAAATCAATGAGCCCGTGCGGAGGCATGTTGGCCGTATGAACCGTGCTGGGATTCAAGCAGCTGAAGTATATGTTATCAGCAATCGTGATGTGGAGTCTATGCATTTTCTTGACGCTTGGCTTGACTATGTCGATACTGAAGAAGTACTACCATTGTTCGCTTCGAGCCCAAAGGAGTACGTTGCGCCCACATTGGAAAGTCTGGAGCATGACAACATTCCACCTGCAGTGCGCAGCGTCGTGTGGGATGGCAATGTCTCAGCTATCAAGACCATGACGAGGTCTAGCGACATTTGCTTGGTGCTCGAACTGCTTGATAATGCCAGAGAGAGGACACGCTTGCGGAATGTTTATGGCGAGATCCTGCAATATGTACAGGATGGAACGATTGCAATGGACGGTGCGACTCTTGTACGACTCTTGCTGGATGGCCTAGCCCAGTATCCCTTTCTTGCTCACATGTTTCTCGAATCAAAAGCCTGGACTACGTGGAGAGATTCTTTGGCGACTGAAGCTTCAGAGGTCTTTCCCAAAGTTCTGCGTGAACTTGTCCTGAGTGCCAATCATTTACAGTCTCTTATCCGACACCCTTTCATGCTGCTTCTCAAGGAGATTTCGAGAATATCACTCCAGGAACTGGCTGACCTCATCGAGCTCGTGGCATTGGGCGTCGAGCAGCCAAACGTCGCTCTAGATCTGTTACTCGACTGTATCCAGCCCGAGATAGCGAGACTTCTGAATGAATCGCCGAAGGAGACTGAACAGATCATCTGCCATCTTATGGGTATTGCATTGAATCATATTGATGAGGGGAGCAGTGAAAGCAAGCCATCTAGACATAGTCTCGAACTAAGCCTGGATGGTCATAAAGATGGCTTCGAAGTTGTCAAAGCCAGCCTCCGCATCGACATACCGGAAGGACCGCCCAAGATAGGAGACCACGTGCGCTTCATGGCGATAGGACCGCCTCGAAATGCACCGACTGAATCTCCATACACCATGGACGCCGTTGTCGTTGGCTCAGATCAAGGCTCGGCATCGTTCCGGTGCATACATCGCATACCATCGTATCTCGCCGACTGTACGTGGAGCTACAAAAGTTGCKGCTCTTTTTTGACTAGTAAAGCCATGCTGGATGCCGTCACAAAGTTCTATGGTGAGAAAACCGCTTGCTGCAGCCTCTATCATCAGCTCGTTGGGATATCCGCTCCGGTCAGAACTGAGCTTGAACCCCTAGCCAGGGAGGAGAATCACGACGCTACGACATCCAAACTGAACAAAAGTCAAAACATGGCTCTCACTGCCGCGTTGGAAAACCCTCTGGCATTCTTATGGGGTCCTCCAGGTACCGGCAAGACTCAAACCATCGTGACGATACTCAAAACATTGCTATCAAAGTTCCCGCTATCCCGATTCCTCATCACGGCACCGACCCACAATGCAGTGGACAACACCTTGCATCGTTTCATTGCCGAGGGCGGTACGCGTATCGCAAAGCCTCTACGAGTTGCTACTGATGTCCGCAAAGTATCACCTCAGCTTCGTCAGTACACATGCGATGCCATGGTGGGAAAAGATCTATCCGAAAGCCACGCAGGACGGCGTGCAGCGCAAAAAAAGGTCAATTCCAGTCGTCTCGTTTTTACCACATGCGTTGGATCGGCCCTGGGACTGCTCCGAGAAGAAGTGTTTGATATTGTACTTGTCGACGAGGCTTCCCAACAGACAGAGCCCGAGACTCTGATCCCTCTTACAAAAGGCTGCAAGCGTGCAATCCTGGTTGGAGACCATGTACAGCTTCGAGCTACAGTGGAGAGACATGCAGTCATCACAGGCTTCGATATATCATTATTCGAAAGACACTACGAGTTACCAAGCACCCCAGGCGTTGCGAAAGTCATGCTCGACACGCAGTACAGAATGCACCCGGACATTTGTGCATTCAGCTCCGAAACTTTCTATCAAGGAAGATTGAAGTCTGACCAACGTACGGACATGATTGGAATTCTCATTTCTCGTTTCCCGTTTCCCAAGACTTGTAGAAAGGTCTTCCTCCAATGTGACAGTACCGAAGATCTTGGGAACCAATCGAAGGCGAACTCAGGGCAGGTGAAGCTCTGTCAGCTAGTTTGTGGGATGCTTTCTGACACCACACTGCCGACTCCGGACGAGAAGAACATGAAGAATATAACCAAGCCAGAGGTTGTTATTCTTACACCCTACACCCGCCAACGAGAAGCATTGCAAACTGCAATTCCAACTCATGGAGTGTCCAGTATAGATGGTTTCCAGGGTCGAGAAGCTGATATCATCGTATTTGTCACTGTGCGCTGCAATCAACACTATGACATCGGCTTTCTGAAGGATATGCGACGCTTGAATGTTGCCATGACAAGGGCAAAAGCAGGTGTCATCATTATTGGGCACCGTTCCACTATGACGACGCAGGCTAGTGGAGATTCAGATACAGAGAGTAAGATCGTATGGAAGAAGTTATTGGATCAGTGTGTTGAGGTACAGTTAACCGAAACCACAAGGCCTGTTTCAGGAACGTCTTCATTAGTAGCTCATTCTGTTCCTCTCTAATACAACATCCTTGAGATCATATCACCCCCATGTAACGTCCACCTCGTTTTGGACATGAATCCCATTCCATTCCTTCGAGAAATATTCACTGCCATCTACATGCCTCACCGCGTATACTTCGCTACCCTTATGTTCGACTTCACCGTGGTGTAGACTCCTTTCGATAGATCCCAAGGCCAACGCTGTGAGCGTAGTAAGCCTTGAGCGATTGCATAATCATCGTCAAGGGCAACGTAAAGCTCCCAGGAAAGTAGACTCGGATCGTTCCAGGCAGCGTCCTGGATTGTACGATTTGCATCGCTATACTCAAGTGGGGCAGCGATGTCCTTTGGAATGTTCCGTCGTAAGTGAGCTGAGGCCTTTATTAGCTTGATCCTCGCTTTGTAGAGTGAATAAAACAATACCGTACTTTGAGGGTCTATCCTCAGGGGATTCCGGAGGAGAGAATTGCTGGTCAAGGAGTAGAACGTTCGCTGTCAACGAAACCGAACAAAGTATGCTCAGGAGAACAACGATGATCCTCCAATGCGCAGGCAATGAGTACTCCACTTTCTCGCACTGGGAATGGTCTCGCTTGTCTTCTGGACTAAAGTCGCCCTGTGGCACTTCCTGATACAGATCCCTCATCTTTACTGCTACTTGGCTTTCTGGATATCAAAGGTCGACCAGGGCCGGGACGGCGATAAGTTGGATGTGTAGACCAACCAAGGCGATGTGTGGAAGCTCGAAGCGGTAGCTGGACGGCTTTTCCAACCTTACCAGGCAACATGGCAGTCGTGGGGGTAAAGTTCTCGACTTTAAAAGGAAACATGTCTGGTTGCACTGCGTGCCGCAGAGTACGCACGTTTCTGGTGATCTTTCTGACATGAGGTTAGATGCTAAGGTGATCGACAATTCATCTAGTCCCAAAGCTCACAGAAACTTGCGCTAGCATTCACTTTAGAGTGTTACGGTGGAGTCGTAGCTTTCTATCGTTCGGATCGTTCGGCTCCCTTTGCACATCATCGGCACATGCCACGAATCCTTCACTTCGCCTGCAACGCAACGAGAGCCATTTATCTCCCTTGAGTACGAAGATCAAGACATCGCGGGGGATGCTCGAATGAACATCCTTTGGTGATATCACTGCAGTAGGGCTCTCCCTTGTCCGACTTGTCACTTTTCTGCGAAACCATCCGACATTTGAGCTTCGTAGCTGCTCWCCTCACAGATGGACCAAAATCAATCGGTCGAGGGTACCATACCCCTTACTGTGCCTTCGGTCGATACTCCGTGCTACACTTTCTACAAAATCTTCGGCGACCTTCGCAAAGGTCCCCCTCTGGTAATCGTCCATGGCGGTCCAGGCTCTGCGCACGAATACATGCTCCCATACGCCAAGCTTTGGACTCAACATGGCATTCCCGTTGTATTTTACGACCAGATCGGCTGTGCATCATCCACCCACATTCGAGAGAAAGCAGGAGACAAGTCCTTCTGGAGTAACGACCTCTTCATCAAGGAGCTAGAAAATCTTCTAGACTTCCTTCATGTGCGTGATGCTGACGGACCTGGTTTCGATCTTCTTGGGCATAGCTGGGGCGGCATGCTTGTCGCTGCCTTTGCTGCTCGCCAACCACGAGGACTACGCAGGATTATTCTCGCAAGCGCTCTGGCGAGTGTGGATCTTTGGAGGGAGTGTCTTCCCTACTTCAAAAGCAAGCTCACTCCCGAAGCAAGACAGGCACTAGAGGATGTTCTCAAATCCGGCAATTTAGAAAACCCGAGTCAGGCCTTCAGGGAGGCTGAAGCAACTTATATGAAAACATTTTGGTGTCGCAAAGACCCGATTCCACCCGAGCTTTTGACGATCAAAAAGCACGGCGAGATCGATTCGACTGTACGCAAAACAATGTGTGTAAAGATCCATTCATCCACGTCCATTTCTCACCCCTAACTTTTGGTCTGTAGGTATGGGCCATCTGTTTATATGTGTAACGGCACTCTCCAAGATTGGACCTGTATTCCGTTACTCACTCAAATCAACGTACCAACTCTCGTCTACAATGGAGAATTTGACGTGGCGCAGGATAGAGTGACTGCTCCCTTCTTTGAGCTCATTCCTCGTGTGCGGTGGGTCACTCTACCTGGTGCGAGCCATATGATGCATGTCGAGAGTGAAGAGCTACTGCAAAAGATCTTTGGGTTCGTTGTCAGCTTTTTGCGAGGCGGGAGTGAAGATGTAAAGGGTTGATACTTTGTACCCTTTTAGTCTTATGGGGATGTCTGCACGATGGTCGCCGTAAGCTCGTGATCTGAGTGGGTAGGAGTGCGGTATGGAATCTGAATCGTAGATTATATGTTCTCGGTCTTGCTTCAAGTCAAGCGAATACGTTGCCGGTCGAAGCACAGTAAACATGAGAATAAGATATCGTAGCCACCCATTGATTGCAATTTTGCCAAGGATCTAGCACTGTAGGAAGCTGCACGCCATTCATTATACGAACCCGCCTTTATCAATAATCAAGGTACTGAGTGGTCGTGGCGTTACGAAGAGATCAATGTGCTGTCCAAGTGGGTTACTGCCGAAGAAACAGACCGTCCATCTGAGCTGCCCCTCGTGGGTGATCAGCCAGAAATTCACAGTGGCTATGAAGTGTCCAACTGTGAGATATCCTCTAGGCGCTGCTTTGACATGGAAAGTCGACCCGGGGCCGGGCAGGTCAATTCCGCAGAAACGTACTAAAGTGCCTCGTTCGTCTCCCAGGGGTCTGAAGGACTGCAATTCTCGATTTTCTCGCCAGAGTTATCATGATAGACGCACTACATGGGGAATCTCTGTCAATTCCAAGCGTGGTTATCGAGAGTCTTCACACTGAGCTTGATCGAGGTGTATGGAGACGTATTGAGTGACAGTTCTGATGTTGGATGAACAGAGTAATTTGCTTCTCTAGACAGGACTACCACACGTATCCTCCCGTACCCAGATAGGCCTTGCCAATGCTCAATACTTGATCTGTAGGGCGTGTCGAGATCATGCCACGATGGGTGTATCAGCAAAGATTGCCCCTGTTCCCCAAAAATTCTCGGTCCGCTTTCATGTAGCCTTTTCCAATGTCCACGACCATGGACAGATGCATGAAAGCCAGAGGTCCGATTTACTATTACACGAGAGACCAGATTAGTACAAGCAAGCCTTGCTCAATCGGCTGTGGTACATCTACTTACACAGTTGCAAAGACATCCACTCTATTCATTCCGAAATACATATTAGCATCGTCATTGCAATGTCAAGCAGGGTTAGAAGCTTAAGAAAGCTTTCCATGGTGTTCTTACCCCGTTACATCTAGACTAGAGCGAGAGATACGTTAGCATACCATTGTGAGATCGACCAAGCAAATCATGAGCTACTCCAAGGGAAGTTTGACTTACAGTTCTTTGGCAGCCCTTGCTACAACTACCATCGTTGTTCATACCGTTGCAGCCTGACCCCTCACAGGACACTACACAGATAGGACAGCGATTGGCAATCTGTTGGGCTTCAGGTACTGCAGCGGGCGTGGCAGCAGCGAGTGCCGCGAAGAGGAGGGAAATGGCAATCGTGAAACGCATAGTAGCGGTTATGTTGTTGGTAGATAGGGAGATTTTGTTGTTGTAGTAGAAGGTGGTGGAAGAGAAGAGAGGATTTACGGCACTCTGGTCTGTTTATATATACCTGCTGGTCTCTCCCTCGTTGGAAGAAGCATCAGCATTAGATCTTTCGCTGCCCTAACCAGCAAATATCACTTCCAGAGTCTGTCATGCATATGGGAATATTCCGTTTTCCCCATGAACAAAGTTAGGCCAATAGGAGCCGTAGACAAGTGAGCTTTCCACCCACATTGGCGGCGAGATTCCTTGCAATTTGTTCGGCTTTTGCCGCATGTATGACAGAGTATGTACAACATTCAAAAGCCAAGCACCCTATATAATGCGCCCAAAGTCGAAGCGTTCTTTGCCCTATTGTCATTGTATACAGATTGACGTATATAGTAGTAAGCCCTAAAGGTAGTTGATATACTCCGTTCTCCTTACTCAGGGCTATGACTGCAAACTCGCGCTAACATAGCTTAATTGAGCACCTCGGTAGTGACAATCGTCGAAGAGTCTATCGTGCCGGATGAGAGCGTCTATCTACCGGCATGCCATCTAGTAGGTCATGATTGTATATTGTCGATCCGTGGGCGACCAACTGATCTAGCGGTCTTCAAAAGTGAAGGACACCAAGAAGTTCAGGGGCTCATACATGGCAAGAATGTCAACATTCACACATTCACACATTCGACCATGGATGTATGAAAAGCAAGCCATCGTATGTTCTACGGAGTCTTTCAGCCGACAGTCCAAGTCGGCTGTCGAAAGTTGAATTTCTTCGCTGGAACCTAATTTGGAACAACATCTCCGACGCCCATCGCTCCCCGGTGGTGGCAAGCAGAGCTATCGTGACGGGATGTATTATTGGGGGAAGTGGATAGCTCAGCAGGTGTCGCCGTCATCTGGATATGTTGGTTGGTTACGCTTGCATACAGTCTCTGGGGCGCAGGCGTACGTGACTCCACGATCGTGAAAGCCTCATCGAAGAGCTGACTTCTGTCGATGATCTTAACTCCAGGAGCTCGACCTGACGAGCCCTGATCCGGAATAGACTTGATGGGGGCGATGTGCAACAACGCGATGTCAGTGAGATCAAAGCTTCCATGTAAGAAGTAGCCACGCATGTCAAGGTGGTGTTGCGCCTACTACTGTGCGAAGGCGGTTACTACTACTTTCTTCTCAGACGCTCTGGTGTTCATTCCTTCCGTGCATGTTGTACCTACCTAGGTACCTTTATAACGTGACTGCCCTAGGGGGTACCTACTAGGGGGTACCTACCTTACACTTTGTTTCGGAGGTCTTTCGGAGATTCCTTTCTGGAGCAAGCCAAGGAAGCCAAGCCAATTAATAAGCAGCAACCGGACGGCAATTCAAGGTTCTGAGTTCTGWGAAGGAGGTAGGGCTACACTCCTTTACGCTGTATCCGAGCCAGTGTATCTGGCCAGCTTTTTATGGCTAGGTGCATCGCCCTGGATTCTCCTAGTGTCACTGACACCGATCCATCTTCTCACAATCGAGGATTGCCGCGTTGCGAACCTGCAAGCTATAAAAAAGCAACGTCAAGACTCTGACATGGACCAACTTCCTGTGGCCTTGAAAGCTCCTGCTGCCACCAAGACTCAACTGGAGCCGAACGGAGAACAAGATATACAAGACATTGCGGTATATCCTAGCTTGATCCTCCCCATTCAAACCAGCGCTGCAGTCGATGCATCTTTGATTTTGCTTGCTGCAGATCTCGCATGTAACCCTGAGGCCTACACGAGCTCTACTATGGCATACGTCATGCCTTTTGTTGGTTTTGCTTCGTACCTCTTTGCTCGATTAGGAGACTTCCGCTTAGCTCAGGGACTCGGACGATGGGGAATCCTCAAGCCACTCGCATTCACGGCGAATGAACTGCCTTTGACTGTGTCYTGCCTGGCGTGTCTGTTCGCCGTCAGAGCAGGGCTTGCCTGGATAGTGGAGAATCTTACCGAATATCCCATTCTGTGCCTTGTACTGCTTCAACCAACTACAGCCACCGTGATCCTTGATAACAGTCGACTGGAAACCTTCGATCGATACTCTCAGAAATACACTGGTAGTCTGGTCCCCACACTCGCCAAAGCTCAGGGTCTAATGTACATTCTTGGGTACTTCTACCTACGACGTGTAGAGCGCAACACAGTCAGATGATGCAATTCCAAGTCCGCTACAAGCAAGCGAATTGCCGAACAGTCACAGCTATCGAGTGAAGCACGACTCAGCCTCATGACGAGATTCCAACATGGCGCGGTGACCACTTCGCCAAAGTAATGTTACCGCGGAAGAAACCCGGGATGACAAGATGATTCACTGGCCTGAGAGACCAGATAAGAGGACCGGTATACCCAGTATGATACTTCAACCACGCTCCTGCATGCCTCTCTTCCCATCCTATCTGCAACAAACACACCATCATTCAAGCATTCCACGGCCAACCGCCCTCTCCCTCCCACGACTACAGCCTTGAATACACCACACCAACAAGCATCGTGCAGCTAAAACTTCGAATGCTTGCAGTCACGATTCTACCTTCTCTGGTGTGGAATTTAAGCGTCCCGGGGTACCTTAGCGGTGCATGTGTGGGTAGCCAAACCTTTGGCTACGATATTGCGACTTTTGGCAACTACATCGACGTCAGCGGGTTCCAGGTCTCGGAATGCGTCCTAATCAGCGACTTCCAGGATGGGCAGGTCGTCGCAATATTTGCCGACGATAACTGTATGGAAAAGTTCTACGACAGTATTGGTGAATTGTGCTACACATGTGACCTCGCGCGATCATTTCTGGTGTCTCAGTCGATTACCGGCCGTGGCGGAGGGAGTTTGAGGGGACATCCCTAGGTGGTGGCAGGATGGATGTAGCGGAAGCGATCGATATTCCACAGACACGTGGGGGTAGCGCAGGTTTTGATCCTTAGGGTCGAACATGCGGGCCTTGAATTGATGTTGTTCCGCTCGAGGTGGAGGTGTTGGTGTTAGTCGCAGAGATCATCCCACTAGTGATGCTGCGAAAGCACTCGACTTATCTAGCGTTGTCTCCTTTTCTCGCAAGCCTTACTCATCGAATCGCAATATGCGGTACACTGGCAGCAGCTAAGCCATTTCCCTCTTAAGCAGAGACAAGCAGTAGATAGTCAAGGAACACCCGCCATACCAGATCAGATCTCATGATCAGTACAAGATCGAGGAAGTATCAAAAGGAGGCACATCGCTGCTCTGCTATAAGCTGAAGCAACAGTCGGAGCGACCCGACCTCCAGTACACCCTACAAGAACTTGCATCATTTAGGAACTATCAGAGAGATGGTCTTGCCATCTACTCAGACAAAATATCTGCTGACCTTCTCTAAATACGCTAGGGTGTGGTACTAAGCAGCTGTCTAATAGCTCGTAGTGAATATCTGTGTAGTTTGAGAGACTAGCCCACGWGCACCTCATCATTCATAACTTAATACCAATAAAAGCATGATATTCCTGAAGCTGAAGGAAGCTGTGCGAAAGTTAAGTGAGGTGAAGATGGTTGGCAGCTGACAGGCGCTGGTCCGCCAAAAAATGCCAAGACTTGCAAATTTTCACTTGCCTCCTTGAAAAGGACCAACATCCCAGAAGCAAAAATAATAATTACATTCAACATTTGGGATTCCCCAGTGGTCACCCACCTGAGTACTGATCAAACGATTACATGGTTCAATAGGCCAGAGCGGACGGGATGGCTTGCTTTCATGCATCTATGGTCGAATGTGCTACCATTCGATCTTTGCGATATATGACACTGTAACCTTCAGGTTATCCTCCGCCAGTGACCGTCGTTCCTGCAATATTCCTACACACTGCCACTTACCGTACGACTATTTCAGCCTCTACGATACTGCAATTACGACACAACCCGCTCTCACTATCACGACAACAACCGGGGCATACTCTCTAATTCCTAGCCGATACGTCAACCAAGGACTTCGGTATGCTTTATACAAACCAGTAGGMCTGGCGCCAATACGATCTTGACTTGATCAAAGCTGCTGAGATAGGTGCCGGACAGTCCAACGGCGACTTCTACAACAGCACAATTGCTTCCATCGGGAGGCCAAGTAGCACGTGCGCCGTGAGATATACGAGCTCGACAAGTCCTCCAGATTACAACAGTTCCACAGCGTACAACTGTAACGGGATATCCGTCAACCAGCGTGGGTATCTCTTCGCTCATACTACCGGGAGATACTACATCACCTTTACCGAGGCCAACAAACATCTCTGCATGCGGTATGGCATCAACGCTCTGAGGGGCTGGACGAAAGTAAACGCAAATGGAGCATGCGTTAACAACGGCGCCAACCATGACAGAGCGGTGATGATGAATGCATATGCTGGGGAGCACAGTCATACGCGTCGTCTTCGCAAACCAGATCAGAGCGGTCTGGATGCTGTCACGATCTCGGTCGCCAATCCCGATGGGACTGTAATTTTCAACATCGCGAGCGTGAAAAAAGACTTGTTTGCCGAATGACTAGGTCGTGGAGTGACGTTCTACTGGCTCCAAGAGAAGCAGTTGTGGCGAGAGAACAACGTGCAACTCTCTCAGTCGGCTTTCACAACTTATGGTACGTTCTTCTTGGAGTGGCAGCTCTGTGGAGGACTGTGGACTTGAGATCATCTTCATCTCTAGGAAGCCTTTGACCAGGAACAATTTTTTGTACCTTGAGTGACACAGCTCCAGAGGTCAGCACATTTTCAACGTGGGCCTTATCGGATATTCTAGAGCGCGACAACGACGATAGGTTTCTCCATTTGGTGACAATGATTCCCATCGTACAGTCTTCCACGGTGTGAACACCTTTGTTGGCATGGAAGACTGTCGAGGCCCCAAGATTCAAGAAGGACGTCTTGGATGATACGATYCTCGCACGAGAGCATCGTAAGAGCAGCTTAGTGCTCACAAACGCCTCGAGCGTCTGGCTAATGTTGAACAAGAAAAACCTGCCGTTTACGCTCGCCGCTCAAACACGACCCGAGTCTGACGAGGATCAGCAAGCGTTCGACTAATTCGTACAAAATACTCGTACTACGACGGTCGCGCTGGCTCGAGGTTGTTGCATCTTAGCGGTTGGACGTGTATTAATGTGTTTACCACACGAGATGCACCGAAGTAAAATTGCAATGCTGATACATCGATACATCTTGCCCTCAACATCAAGTGGATATGTGGCGCTCTTGGCACGCTCCCTATGGATTACACATGCCTCTAATGGAAGAAATCGCCTAAATATGCGCGCAAGCGATAATTACAAGGTAGTACACGATTCTAGACCATGAATGGGCATGGCACTACTCCGAGTTTGTATACGGAAGAAATACCAGGATTACTGCTGGATGCAGCTATAATTCGATGAGTCCCAGACATTATCATTTCCCAATTCTGCATATACATACATCTTGCAAGCATGATGTCGCTTTCAAAGATGTATTCAACGGCCACCCTCCTACTGTTGTTATCCTCGGCCTACAGTCTACCCTCTCAAGACAGTATTGTACCGCCCAACGAAGTGTCTCTTGAAACCCGAAACGACGCCAACCACCCCTCACTCGACAGATGGCCCTGCTCTCCCGCCTCCAAAAAAGATACARCGTGCGTCAACCTTCAATCGACTAGTACACCTTCCTGGATCTCTCCCCCACAAATATTCCCAGGCTACGCTTCCTGCGTTGATGCCTGCTGGTACGACGCCTACCACGTCAAAGCCCGCCAACGGATTCAATACAAAGGCGAAGCAAACAGTACCGCCACGGACATGGTAGCTGGACGTTACGCACTGATGAGCAATAGTTACTACTACGAGACAACCACACATCGACGCGGGATCTGGAGGTCAGCGAAGAAGAATGGCGATGGGAAGTGGTTGTACACTAAGTACCACTATGAGGGCCCTGATGATGACTTGGAGTTGCGGTTTGACGAGTTCACGTCTGCTGATAGTTTGGTGGAGATACAGCAAGGATGGATCGATTGGGATCATCCTTTTGCGCAGAGGTCTCCGGTACAGGCTATTGAGGCGTATGGAATACTTGCAGGGTCGGCTTTTGGATTTCTTGAAGCGGGTAGTGGGTTGATGGTGAATCCTTTCTACTAATGGTGATTGATCATGTTGGACCCGTCAGTAAACGGGAGTACTAAGAGGAATGGAACTCAATGCAACACACTCAGATCTTCTTTCAATCTGACCGACTTTGGTGATTCCAAGAAGACGAATTTCCTCTCTGATCTACCATGACGGTGGAAGTATTTTGATACATGTCCGATGGTCTAACAAGGCGTCTCAATGGCAAACATCACCTCATCAAAGCTCATATTTCCCCTACTACCGTGCAAATCGATTCATCACTTGACGAAGAATTCCACTTACCCCTTGACGGCACATTCCTCGATAGTCTCATGATGGGTAGAGTCCGCTGATATCGCAAGCAGTTGAGTGGTCTCATTTAATCAGGCAAGGTGCTGAAAGCCATAACATCCGTTGTGCAGCGCAGGATGTGGGTGAGGTCCCGCATTGTCCTCTTTTATGAGTTGTAGGTGTAACTTCCGGATGTCTCAATAGGCATAGAGTCTCTATCAGTACCCACTCCATCACTTTTCCCCTACATTCAGGACCGACCGTCTCGTGAAGAGCAAGAATGCGGAATGAAGATCAAGATTGCTCGACCAGTGAGTACAATCATGCTCGAGCCACTGATGGGAGAAGCTCAGTCTTCATTGAATCTGTAAATGATGATGAGAGTGAGAAAGATTTAACCGTTGATGAGATGCTCGGATTTCTAACATTACATACGGGTGGCTCGGGACGAAATGTGGCAGGCTACAACAACAGACACTGCGCTCACCAACTTTGGTTTGCGAGAAGCTACACGACTTCGCCACCAATAGAATGATTTGGAGACGTTTTCCAGCAATCTTTGACTGATCCCAAAGGTTTGATCTCGCCGAACCCCTGAGTCGGCCTTCGAGGCCCTTCGTCCAGCCAGCGTAGCAGCGCCAGGTATGCGTGGGGTGGTACTCTTGGACTGCTTCCGAGGAAGACGGTGAAGTAGCGTTCTGCGAATTGAGTATGGTATTCGGCGAATGGGCCCATTCCCGAAGATCACGAACCCGCGACTTCCCCTAGATTGATCATCCTCTAGATGCACAGGATCGTATGAATGGTGTGTTTTTGAAGTGGATTGTTTTGATTGCTTGCTTATGTACCTAGGAGTGATYCGAAACCCCTAAATATCTACACTAGCTCAGTTGCTAGGAGGCTCTTTTATTACAAATCAAGTGAGTGAATCTCTCCAAGTGAATGTTCTTGAATTTTTGACACTTCTTTCCTGAAATTAAGCTAATATTAAGTCTTTGCCTGCTATCTGTAAATTTGATACACAATGACAACATGCTCATCTATCACACCGAAAGCCTCCACGACACGTCTGGTGCCAACTACATAGTGGGGTTCGACGCCTCCTCGCATAAAGCGTTCACGTTCGCTTCAACCTCGTTTGCGTATTGTTTTAAAGTCCTACTGGGGCTGTTTGTAGTTTTGCACGCCTGGTCCCACGATGCACGAGTATCGCCGTCGCTGGATCTTTTGGCGGTTACAACACAACCACCGCGGCAGTTTTTGCCACCAACTGCCGTGCAGGCTTCTTCGGTCTTCTTTGCATCGGGGAAAGGGCCTGATTTCRGGGCGCCGAAATGCTTTGGGTGACCCGAACCAGGAGGTAGCGAATCGCACGTTCCTCGGTAACCGTACGTTGGGTTCATTGTCTTGGTGTCGCATGCCAGATAGTAATCGCCGTCGTCATGGGTGATGGTCCATCTCGCAGCAATACAGTTCTTGTTGCATTCATCGTTCGTGTGGCAAGGAGTCCCCGGTTCATACTTGGCGGCCAAGGCTGCGGCAGAGAAGAGGGCGATAAGAGAGAGGAACTTCATGTTGGCCTTAGACAGAACAGTCCGTCTCGGGAGGTTGAAAGCAGTGGTATCTAACAGTAGGTAACATACTTGATAGGGTGGATGCCGGGAAACTTGAGAGGATAAATATATGGGTTTTGGTTGACTGGAAAGACAGGTGGTTGTTGGATATGTGAGAGATAGCAGAGTGCATCTGGCTTCTATATAGTCTGGCCTCTGGTGCAATAGTGTGGACAGCTCAACAGTATAACGTTGTAGGTAATCATAAGACAACGCTGTACAATTTCCCCGATCAAGTTCTGCAGTGAAATGATATTTGCCTAAAGCGGTCAAAGCGGAACGGTCATACATCTCCCCGAATGATTGGCAGATACCGGAATAGGCAATTGCCCAAACAGCGCTATACAGCGTCTTTATGACGAGTTCCGTGGTACATACATCTTATTCCAGTTTGTGCAGTCTATACGCTTGGAAATGTTTCCCAAATCGGCAACGGCCTAGACCTTGGTTGATGGCTGTTCTTCCTGATTTGCTTCATCGGTGCTCTTACCGCAAGCCGTGGACCTCAACGTCGGTCAGTCACTCGTCCGCTGAAGAATTCGTCTGATTCATCTACCAGATGGAAAGCCGGACTTTGTTCATGTCAGTTGTGTAGCATATGCATACCTCTGTGGACGTGCGGCTAAGCCAATGCAGCGAAGTGACCAATCCCACCGAATTCTTCTAGGGCGACGAAAAAATCAGATCACAATCGTGCGATGGCATCTCTAGCAACTGTGTAGGCCATTCGAAAGTGTGCAGTAAAGGCCACTCACTCGACACGCTCATGACCTTCAACTGAGTACCATTGGGTCCGAACAATTGACAGGCATGTTTGGGTCAATCTTACTCCCGTTGTGGGGTATCCATCTATTTCGAATTTCCTCGATCAGGTCACCAGAGACTCTTGCTTCCATCTCAAATCCGATTTCCTCCGTGGGTACATCATCTAAGAATGCGCCACCATGGTAGGACTCTTCCGGTCGCGCGACACTATCCAGTGTGTGTTCGAATCCATAGCAAGGAGTACGGACCAACTCGAACATGCGATACTGCTGTCTCATCATGTCGTTCTCAGCAAAGGCTTTGTCAATCTCATCGCCGAGTGCACGACCAATTGTGATTCTACTCCCACGGCCAGGAAGCGTTGGCAATTTGTCTGTTTGTTCGCTGACAGCAGTGGTTGGGAATGAAGTACTTTGGCCGAAACAACTTCCAAAGACGAGTTGGCCTCGCTGAGCAAGACCGCCGCCTTTCCAAGCTCCACATGGGAAACAGCAATATCGACTACCATCAAATTTGTGGTCGAACCCATCAGAATGGGATATGTTAGATGTATTGCCTGAGCTTTGGCGAGAGCTAATAGTCGAACGATTGCCTCCGGTCTGGCGTAAGGAAAGTTTTATTGACCACGGTGGAAGCACTGGTGGATGGGTTATAAAACATCGTTGAGAGATGCCGGTTTCGGGACGCCTTAGCGTCATCTGTGAAAGTGGTTCTCATGTTCGTTGAATTGTAATTGTATCATCGGGATGTTCGGGTATGCTGTACGAAGGTGGTGTTCACGTTTGACGTTTGCAACTACTGATTTAGACAATGATAATCGAGATGGCAAGTGAAGTGTTGAGAGAGGTCTACATACTTGCCGTGGAACGCTAAGGGAGGACTTAAAAAGATCAAGAACATAAGAAGAACTTGAGACGCATGCGTTAAGTGATCAACGCACTTGTGACATATGTTGCTCAATGAAGAATGAAGTCTTGAATGATACGTAGCTTTGTTGTCCAAGGAAGACCAATCTTTTGCTAATGTATGGCCGGGCATACTGATTGAAGTCCAGGTGTTCGTTCACTGCTATGCGCTCGACGGATCATGTTATAGTAACTCACGTTGGAATATCGTACTTCTGGAAAGTCCTGTATGAAATCTCACAGGCCGCGGCACGAATATGCAAGCCTGAGAACCTGTTTGAAGCCGGATACCGCATCTCAGATCGTGCAGGAGATATGGCTGGAGTTCAATATCGACGTCGTTGCGTCTGCCACCATTGCCTTCGCTTTTATGCCACAAGCGATGTCGTGCTCGGAGCTACACTGCCCAAGTTGCTCGACGACTTGCATGAGAAACCCCTCTCTCCAGTCAGACGAAAGCTGCGACCTCTCAGACTGTCTGCAGATAACGCTAATGATGATCGCGATGACCGTGGGAGTACAACGAATATATGTATGGCCAGTATGGTTGTGTGGTTGATGCGCAAGAGTGCTGGTATATCCTGGCACAAGTGATGTGTGCGGAATTTCGCTAGCGCCGAATTTCAAACTCTAATTTGTGAGCACTACCACAAGAATTATTCGAGAGTTATCTCAGCAATTGAATATTGCAAGCACCTCTCTCGGCTCGAGGGGATAAAATGAAAGATGCTAAGTGCCGTACTGCTGACTTTGTGGGGCTTTAAAGCTGGCTAAATGGCTAAATTACCTCCTGAGCGAAGATCTCACCCGCGGGCAAAAAGATGGCCTTATGCCACACCATGCTTCAACCATGAGCAAAAAGACTGATGCAGACGCTGCTGCTACTTTTCCGATGCGGGGAATTGAACCCCGGCCTCCTCGGTACATTATGAGAGCGAGAAATCCTAACCTGATGATTTTGTTAGCATTGATTCGACGGGTAGATTGGGCGCGGGCTTCTCACCACTAGACCACATCGGAAGCGCTGATTGGATGAAACCGAGAAAGCTTTACTCGTATATATAGCTCTCTTGCACCGGGCTTGGCGCCGTTGGGAATCCTGGCCGAGGTAGGCTCAGCGGATGAAAGTGCTTTACATTGACAGCACCAACAACTCTCCATACTCTCGTAATCTCACTGCAAGACATCCAAGATGAGCACCCCAATCGTGGTCCTCTTCGGCTACGAGAGCTCGACATTCACAATCAAAGTCCGCCACGTACTCCGACTGAAGCAGATTCCATACACATTCATCACAGTCCCCAGCATGATGCCACGACCTCCTCTAAAAGACAACTTCCACCTGACGTACCGCAAAATTCCCGTCCTCGCCATTGGAAGTGAGCTCTACTGCGATACATCCTTGATCTGCGAAGCGCTGGAACACTTCTTCCCCAAATCCGAAGGCTACAACAGTTTATACCCTTCCGCTGCCGACGGGAGGAATTATCGTCCTATAATTCGTGGTTTCGCTTCTTACTGGACTGATCGACCGCTCTTTCGTGTGACGACAGGGTTGATGCCCGCGAGCATCTGGCGGAGTTCCTTCGGTACTGATCGAGCACAATTGATCGGGCATAAACTTGACCCAGACAAACTTGAGAAGAAGCTGCCGGAAAATCTGCTCAGATTAGATATGCAGTTGAGTATGCTTGAGCCACTTTTTGCAGAGACCGAGGGCCCGTGGATTTTCTCGACATCTTCGCCGTCTATGGCTGATATCTCGGTTTACTATCAGCTACTGTGGGGAAGTGAGATTTCTGCTGGACGACTCGTGTCGAATTTGACGGCGGGAGGTGCCAGCGATACGGAGCTAGAAGGTACAAGGCCTGTTTTCAATGCACAGAGATATCCGGGAGTCTGGGCTTGGTATCGTCGAGTTCAAACGTTCTTTGATGAATTGCCGCCAGTGGAGGACAAGAACACATCGTTTGAGAAGGTTGTGGAGCAAATGAAGAAAGCCCCTAAGCTGGGGAAGAAGTCGCTTTTACTGCCAACGCCAAAGTCAACACATTCTGAATTGGACAGTAAGACGGGTTTGAAGGAGGGTAGTCTGGTGTCTGTGGCTCCGGATGATACTGGGAGAGACGAGTACGTGATTCGATTGAATGTGTTATATACGTTGCTGACTTTTGACAGTCCTACTGTTGGTACGCTCGTGGCGATTTCGCCAGAAGAGATTGTCATTAAACCGCAACCACTTGAGACTCCAGCGACAGTCGAGACACGCATTCATTTCCCAAGACTGGGATTTGTCGTTCGGCCTGTCAACCAATCGAACCTTTGAACGAGATGCACAAGTGGTGTGTGAGAACTCTTCCGAATCAACTGCTTGAAAGTGCAGTGCAGCAGTTCAGCCGATCGAAGCATGTTGCTCGAGCCACCCTTTTGAATGGTAGGGTCGTTGTGTGTGCTCCAGATGGATGATGCCAGAGACCAACTAAGTGGCCGAAGCTCGTTAGATTGACCAAATTCCAGTACGGCGATGAAGTATATATAGCTGACTCTCAAATGTAAACAAAATAGGAGTAAAGAAATGTGCCAAAATCTTGTACTTGTTCGACTGTGTCTTGTATGATGCGAGCGGAGCCATGTCATACCATTTCACTTCACAAAGACAACGGTCAGTCCCTCTTGCCGCCATGATCAATCATACCTCCCTTTCTCGACATCATCAATCGTTCCCGCCTGCCCTTTTAGCCCCCGGAGTTGCACTGTAAACCGTGAACTCCGAGCTCCGCCGAATCCTTCGGCCATCAAAGTTGGCCGTTCAAGCGCCATCGATCAACAACATCCTTTCCACAAACAAGCTTTACCATCTATCCATTCAAAAGACATCTCCCCCCCAGGAGAGCATCTCACAGAAATGGCGTTGAAAGCGTTGCTTGTGACAGCAATATCAGCCGCGAGCCTTATCAATGCCCAATTCCCTCCGACACCGGAAGGAGTCAAAGAGCTGCAATCGAAATTCCATCCCGGCGTGAGGATATCCTACAAGGAGCCAGGACTCTGTGAAACGACGCCTGGAGTAAAGTCTTATGCTGGTGAGCCTGTTGACGTGGATGAAAGGGTTCTACTATGATCATCAATGACTGACGGTGTTACAGGATATGTTCATCTCCCACCTCATGCCTTGAACGAGACGCATGAGGACAACAACTACCCATTGAACACATTTTATTGGTTTTTTGAGTCAAGAAAAGATCCTGCGAATGCACCACTTGCTATCTGGCTCAATGGCGGGCCAGGAGGAAGCAGTATGATTGGGGCATTGTCGGAGAATGGTTCGCCATCTCCTTCTCCTCCCTCAATTTTAGAGACATTGCTGACACTTTCCCCCTTCACTTCTAGGTCCTTGTTTCGTCTCCAACGATTCCAAAACTACTTACCTGAATCCTTGGTCGTGGAACAACGAAGCAAACCTACTCTTCATCGACCAGCCAAACCAGGTCGGTTACTCTTATGATATCCCGACGAATGTCACTGTAGACCTCGCCAACGAGGGCGGCTTGGAGAATGGTGGGATCCAGCCCACGGACTTTTCAGACGGAGTTCCTGAAACGAACAACACTTTCCTCGTCGGGACCGTGTCTAGCCAGAACATCAACAATACCGCCAACAGCACTCAGCATGCTGCCGTAGCACTATGGCACATGGCCCAGACTTGGTTCGAAGTAAGCTGTACCCTTCCGATTCTCCCTTCCATCCACTGACTCTTGATGAAAGGAATTCCCACAATACAAGCCCAATGATGAGCAAATCGCGCTCTTCACGGAGTCATATGGTGGTCACTACGGTCCCGGTTTCTGGGACTACTTCGCCCATCAGAACGCCAAGATCGACAAAGGAACCATTGATGGCCACAAACTCCACCTCACCACTCTCGGAGTAATCAACGGCTGCATCGACGCGCCAGACATGATTTCCTCAGAAATCACATTCGCCTACAACAACACCTACGGAGTCGAAGCCATCACCAAAGCAGAATACGAACACAGCATGCACGAATTCTACAAGTCCRGCGGTGCTCTCGACGGTATCAACCAATGTCGAGAAATGGCCCGTAAAACTGATCCGCACGACCACGGAGATGTCGAGAAGACCAATACATTTTGTTCCAATGCGAGCCAGCAGGCTACCAATATCAGTGATGGAACCTTTGTTCGAGCTGCGAAAGGAGGTAGATTCGACATCACTCATGAAGCTACGGATCCCTTCCCACCGCCCTACATGATTGGCTGGCTCAATCAGCATGAGACGCAGCGAGCCTTTGGAGTTCCTGTCAATCACTCTTGGGTTTCTCCCACAGTCGCTCATGCATTCTCACGCACTGGGGATCTTGTGAAAGGGGGACAGAAGGATCAAATCGCATWCTTATTGGAGCACGGGGTGAATGTTGCTCTATTCCACGGAGATCGTGATTTCGCTTGCAATGTAAGTCTCACACACATGATTCTGAAAGAACATATCTCTCAACTAACGGTATTCGCAGTGGATAGGAGGAGAAAACACCTCCCTAAACATCCCCTGGACGCACGCCAAAGACTTCGCCAAAGCAGGCTACACGCCTCTAATCACCTCCACTACTCCAGGGGGGATGGAGGAGGAAACCGGTCTAATCCGCCAATTCGGAAATTTTTCTTTCACCCGGGTTTTCCAAGCCGGACACATGGTCCMTTCATACCAACCGGAAGCCGCCTATAGAATTTTCATGCGAGCGCTCACGGGGAAAGATGTTGCCACTGGGACCGTGGATTTACGGGAATATCAAGCTACGCATAAGGATCAATATTCGACTTCTGGTCCGAGGGATACGTGGTGGAGGAAGAATTCAGTGCTGCCTGCTCCGTTGCATGAGTGTTATGTTCTTGATATGGAGGGGCGGTGCTCTGTGGAGGAGATTGGATGGATTTTGAATGGGACTGCGGTTGTTGAGGACTTTATTGTAGTTGGTCATGTTGATGATGATGATGATGATGAGAAGGAGGAGGAGGAGAAGAAGGTGGAGCAACTTGATCTACATGGTGGACAGCATCCGCTCATGGGAGATTGGTGATGCGTACTGGCAAGAGATTGAACGTGTTGGATTGTGGAGGAACGGCCTTGCTGGATTGCAGAGAAACGAGCTGGTGGCTGCAACGGCTTTTCAAGGGCCAGATCGCGCGTTGGAATGGCTTCAGGACATTTCATTGGACAGATCGCTCTTCCTGCCCTCATGGTGACATTGCACGATGAGGCCGTCATCGTCATCAAGGAAAGAAGCAAGCAAGTCAACATCACAGTCACGAGCGAACATTGAAACAGTTGAAACGAACAGACAGACAAGACTTCAAACGGTGACATCTCTTCATTCCTCGCATTCTATCAGAATCTCGCTCGCTCTCTCTCTGGTGGTATCATCAAATGAAGCTGCTCCTATGGGCAATCCTGTGAGCTTCAATGCAATTGTACAAGTTCTCCTCGCAATGCAATGGTGGCGTCGTTGAACAACGCAGATCATGAAAATTTCAAAACTCCGGCGCTTATGCATCCCAATCATTTCCCACTTCCCTGCCTTTCCCTTGCTTTTTCCTTGCTTTTCCTCTTCAAATCTCATGGAGATCGTCTACTGCGACGCTCCTTCAGTCAAATGACGAGCGAGATCCTTCGCTTCCTCGGCAGTCTTGGCCGTGATGATGAACCGAGCGATCTGGGGCGGATCGTCGTAGATGTGATCCATGAACAYGGCGTTGACCATATTGTTCTTCTTGCCGGCGACCGTGTACTTGGTTCCTTGGAGGGCGTTGTAGTTGAGAAGGGGCCGACCCTGAGGAGCTCTGCACAAGATGCGGATCTTGCCCGTGTTCTTGTTCTTCAAGACGAACAGACGGCCATTCGCTTTGCTGGCCCAATGTTTCTTCTTCTTGCCATCAGCGTCGACTTGTTCACTGTCCTCCATCCTCGACGTCTTGGTGTCTTGCATTTCCATCAACACAATGTTATCTTTGMGCTCTGCTGGAAGAAGGCCGGCGAGGTCATCCTGAGGTGCGCTGGGGTCCTCGGTATTCTCATCATCATCCTTGTCGCTACCTTCGGCGGTTGTGGTGACGGCCGGAGTGGCGGGGATGGCCGGCGTAGCACCGAATAAGCTGCCAGAGAGTGAGGGAGCCGCGGGGGKGGTTGAATTGAATGATCCAAAGAGGTTGCCAACTGGCTTGGTCGTCGCTGGAGTAGCGGATGGCGCGTCGGTGGATGTGCCAAACTTGATGGGAGTGGACTGCGACCACGTGTTGTCGCCTTTGCCTTGCGACTTCTCAGCTGCTATGGATTCAGAAGAGCTAACCTTTGTTGGCGCGGCAGTACCGAAAGTGKGCAGCTTGAGGCCTTGTGCGGCCTCTAGCATTTCCTTACGCTTCTTCTCCTGCGCCTCGCGATCACGCTTCAGCCACTGCTCCTTGGTTTCTTCATCGCTATCATAATCGTCAAGCATGCGCTTCTTGCGAGCCTCCTCCTCAGTCTTCTGCGCATTGGCACCGAAAGAGGACAGGAAGCTGCCGGGGCCATTCTTGGCAGGCTCAAATTTCGGCATTTCGAATGGCGGAGGCTTCGAGGCCGGAGGAGCGGCTTCCTGAGGAGCCTGAGATGCGCTGTTGGCACTGGTAGGTGAGACAGTCGATGCTGAGGCTTTGAGCCCTGAGGAGGACGAGGTAGACGGAGTGAATCCTGAAGCGGAAGTTGACGGCTTGAWGCTTGGGAAGGCGCTCGACTGGCCGGTCTTGCCGGTCTCGGTGCTCTGCGACTTTTCGAGTGTCTCCGCAAACAATCGCATCGTCTTACTGGCGGTGTCTGGCGGGGGCTGGGCAGATGCCTTGGCCCGCTTCTCGGTCGCAGGCTGTGCTGACTCGTCATCCTGCGCAAAAGCGCGCTTCTTCGTGGGCGAAGTAGTGATGCCTGATGGCTTGGCCCGCTTCTCCGTTGCAGGCTGGACAGGGGACTCGCTGTCATGTTCAAACATGCGCTTGTTTGCGGGCGGTGCAGTGCTCGGTGGCTTGCTGAACAAGTTCTGACCAGAAACTTTTGGAGTGGCTGTGTTGGCGTTGAATACGCTACCAGATGGTGGCATAGCTTGAGGAAACTTCTGTGCGGGTGCGGATGAGGATGCGGATGCGGAAGACCCGTTGGTCGATGATGGTGCATGAGCGGCATTTGATGAGAACTGGTTGCCTCCACCACCTCCTGAAGGAGGAGCAGGCTGCTTTGGCATAGCCGATGTACCAAATGACGGCAGAGGCTTGCCGAGAATTTGGGCGGACGCTTGCATTGCGAAGAGGTAAATTTGTGTCAGATCGGTCGTCGGATCCTGGTTCTTGAGATGTGCAATGACGCCTTCATTCAGATTCTTCAATGCCGATGCCTTCCTAAGGTCATTGAGTGGAGGATGCTGATGTACGGACGGTGATTGCTGTGCAGGCGCTGGGAAGGCGCTCAGAGATGGCGCGGCCTTTGGCGTGTCGTCGGAGGTTGTCGACTTGGAGCCGGTGGAGGTCTGAGTCTTTCCATCGTCCTTGTCGATGCGTTCGAAAAGATTCTTTTGCGGTGCGGCCTTTGGCGTTTCGGAGGCTGCTTGTGTGCCGTTGACTTTGTCAATACGGTCGAAGAGACTTCTGGGCGGCGCGGCCTTGGGCGTCGCGGACGTTTGCTGCTGGTTACTGGCCTTTTCAATGCGGTCGAAGAGGCTTCTAGGCTGCGCAGGCTTGGGTGTCTCGGAGACTGCCTCAGCATCACCATCCTTGTTGCTGGCCGTGGCGTCGTCATCATCCTCCTCCCGATAGACTTGCTTCGGATCAGCGGAGCTGAAGTTGAATTGCGATGGAGGTGGCTTAGGAAGGGAGTCAAAAACACTACCACCAGAGGGTTGCGTCGTTGGTGCTGGGATGCTCGCACCAAAAAGACCGGTCTTCTCGCCGTTTGGCTTGGGAGTCTGCATGATGCCGTTCTGTTTAGGCGCCTGGCTGAAGCCAGAAAAGAGATCCTTGGGCTTCTCAGGCTCGGGTTGCTTTGCGGCAAAGGGTGTGCTTGCGCGACTGCTATCAGATTGGGTCTGACCGAATCCTGAAAAGACGTTCTGCTTGGCAGGCTCGGGCTGTTTAGTGGCAAGGGGAGTGCTTGAACGGCTGTTCTCGGATTGCGCTTGACCGAATCCTGAGAAAAGGTTGGGCTTGGCAGGCTCGGCGTTCGCTTGTCCAATGCTGGCGAAAGGGTTACTGGGCTTCTCAGCCTCGGGTGCCTTCTGGCCAAAGGAAAAGGGAGTGCTTGCGACGTTCTGTTGCGGCGGCTGCTGACCAAGTCCTGCGAACAAGTTGGCCGGCTTCTCAGGCTCGGGCTGCTTTCCAGCAAAGGGGGTGCTTGCGCGGCTGGCGTCGGATTGTGTTTGTCCAAAGCTGTTGAAGGGATTGTTTGCTTTGGCAGGCTCGGGCTGTGACTGTGGCTGTGACTGGGTCATGTTGCCGAACGGGTTTGATTTGGCAGGCTCGGCTTGCGGCTGACCGAATCCGGCAAATGGGTTGCTAGCGCCGTTCTGTTGCGGCTGCTGACCAATACCAGAAAACATGTTGCTCGACTTGCCAGACTCAGTTGTCTGATTGAGGTTGGCGAAGAGGGAAGTCTTTGCGGGCTCGGCTTGCGGCTGGCTCGTTCCGGCAGCCGGCGTGTTGGCCCTGCTGCTATCCGGTGGCGTCCATCCGGGGAAGAGACTGTCGTTGGCAGGCTCTGTGTTTGACTGACCAAAGCCACTGAACGAGGTCTGGGTCGCAGTCGCCGACTGTGGCTGCGGCTGGCCAAAGGGATTGCTGGACGAGCTTGTCGTGGTCGCAAAGGATGGTTGAGACTGGCCAAATCCGCTGAATGAGGTTTGGTTTGTAGTCGCCGACTGTGACTGGCCGAAGGGGTTGCTGGACGAGGTCGTAGTCGCAAAGGATGGTTGTGACTGGCCAAATCCGCCGAATGAGGCTTGGTTCGCAGTCGCCGGCTGTGTCTGGCCGAAGGGATTGCTGGAGGGAGTTGTGGTGGTTGTGGCCGGTTGTGACTGGCCGAATGCTGTAAAGGATGGTGTGGTCGCCGGCGCAGTCTGTGTCTGGCCGAATCCTGCGAATGGATTGCTTTGGGTCTGAGAAGCAGCAAACTGGAAAGATGCTGGCTGTGTGTTTGCTCCAAAAGCAAAGGCATTGCCATTGCCATTGCTACCGCCTGTCATTGTGAAGGATTGGGGAGCGTTGGCTCCCGCAGGCGGCGCAGGGGCGAAGGGCGATGCCGAACGCTGTGCGCCCGGGCGGATCTTCTTAGCTGCCGCAATTCTGTAGAGTGTCGTGTCAGTGATACTCTCGTCTAGGAGTCACAACAGTAGCATGCAAGAGGCCGCAAGAGGAGCAGAGCAGGTACTGACGCTTGCGGTGATGGGCGGGGAGGGGGGCCCATGGTCTCCTTCACGGAGAGGGCGCCGAGCAGAGCGTTCACTTGTGCGAAAGACATTTTCGCTGCGTGGAGAGTGGTATGGTTTGAGGGAAGGGTGCTGGGGGAAGGGTGCTGGGGGTATACACATTGCTCTTTTTTTTTTCTTGACAATAGGTGTAAAAAAATACACATTGTCGTGCAGCTCGAGCATTCGCGAAAACATCACGAATAAACATGAGAGTATAGAATCAACTCACTTTCTCCGCGCCATCTGCGCATCAGTGGCCTTCATCGGCTTTTCCATTGTGTCGTTTCCCGGACCGGGACCACCAAACCTCTCCTCGTCGCCGCCGAAGTTTGCGCCGGGGCCGCGCTTGGACATTACGCGTTGGGAGGTGTGATGATGGGGGATGTTTTGGGCGAATGGCGTAGAGCTGGATGCGGAAGTGTGTTGATGGGCTTTCGCGACGCGCTCGGAGGTGCCGTGAGGTGGGACGTTGTCGCTGTTGATCGAGGCAATGTATGCGCGGGTGCCGAATGTACAGAGGATTGCGCCAAATCGAGTCGCCGGGTCTGCTGGGTGTGATTGATGAGCGCGGAGCCGGGCAGATTATTATTGTGTAAGGTATGCACAAGCGGTTCGTTGCAGTAGCTGGGTCGGGATGGAGATCTTGGGAAGTTTGGAGATGGACGAGTCCTGACGTCCAGGTCGGCGAAAATCAAAACAACTTCCGATCCGAGCTTTTTCTGGCAGCCAAACTGCTTTCAGCTGCTTGAGGATCGAATCGCGATGACCTTTTTGATGAAAGAGATGACAACGATGCTGATATTGATGTTGTCATTCAGCCAAAGATTCAGGAAGTTTTGAAGCTGTTGTTCTACAGGTTTCGCGGGTTGCAAAAAGGGCAAGAAGAGCAGGTTTCGAGGAGAAACATGTCTTGGAAACATGTCCAGTGAAGAAGGTGAAGAGCTGCATGCAAGTCAAGTCACAAGTGCCTCGTCCCCCGACGTACTTGCACCTTCACCACACTGCGCGTTACGATGAAAAAGGCCCGAGTTGTTCAGCAGAAGCAGTGTGTTTGATGCTTCCAGAAAGACCGAGGCTGTTACAAGGTATACTATACTACATCTCATTCCATGCTCACCACCAATCTAAAGCTTGGCCTTGCTCTGAGCCTTCTTCAGGATTGGCTCCATCTTCGTCGCCTTCATCATGTTACCCTTGATCTTCAGCTTGCCGCTCATGAACATCTGCTGCGCCTTGGCCTTGCCGTCGACGAGCTTCTGGAAGTTCTCGTCGCTGAGGTTGAGGGTGACTGGAATCATCAGTCCACGTCCTTCATCGTTTTGTAACACTCGTCTTCACTCACCATCGGCCTTTTTGCCCTCAGGCGCGGGCCCCTTGCCGACCTTGCCGGTCTCCTTGCAATCAATGTACCATGCCTGCTCCTGGCCCTGTGCGTTCTTCAGGTTGAAGGCAAAGATGGAGCCTCCCTGCTTGATGGCGTCCTTGCGATCGGCATCGGTGGACAGGGCATCGGAAATGGCGTCAAAGGCAGCGGAGGAGGGAAAGTTGTCTTCAAAAGTGGTGTCAGAAGAATGCCATTGAGCGGACGATACATATATGCTACATGGACTTACCGTCCTTGAGACCCATGATTGCAGAATATGCTGGAGTTTTTATTTAATTGATTGAAATAGTTGAGCAAAGAGACGTTCAGGGTTGAGATGAGGTGAGATGTGTGTAGAAATGGTCACAGACCGGAGAGCAAATCGGAGTATATCATCACAGTCGCAACACCGCACATGAGCACAAAGATGCCGCGGCACGACACGGACCATATCGTCAGTGGCATGTGAAAGTCAAAGGACGATGCGGAGATCCGGATGCGTCAAATGATGACTGGCTCGATCGTGCTTCGGCACGTGCGCTCGTCGTTCTCGGTTCCAGGCCCGAGTTGTCGTTGTTTGCGAAGTTCTCCACGTCCTGTTACGCGTCGTCCTTCTCCTCGGGTATATATCACAGATGCCCTCCGTCCGAACATAGCGGGCCAAGAACGCAACGTAAACAGCGGGCCATCGAGTTCCGCGATCGGCGACAGCATGCCTGTCACTCGCCATGGTACAAGTAGCAGTGGTAGGTCCGCTTTCGATTGATGGTGTACAGCAGCTTTTCCCCATCTTCGACCTCACTATACCGAGAAAGAGCCGACCAAGGCGGTTTTTATCCATGGCTACAACGAATGGCAGCACGCCGAAGCCGGTACCAGGCGTGGTTCGCCTGCGGGAGATGCTGGCAGATCCAAAGAAGACCGGTGGGTAGCTTGATCTACAGGATATGGATATACAGCGGACTAAGGACCCGCGACAGTCGTTGCGCCAGGCGTCTACGATGGCCTCACGGCTCGACTGGCTCTCGAAGCTGGATTCTCATGTTTATACATGACTGGAGCGGGGACAAGCATGTCACGACTGGGAATGGCGGATCTAGGTCTAGCAAACTACACCGATATGCTCACCAACGCCTCCATGATCGCCTCCATCGACCCTTCCGTTCCCGTCATCGCCGACGCGGATACCGGCTATGGAGGGCCCATCAATATCGCTCGCACCGTCCAAGGCTATGCTCGAGCGGGTGTGGCAGCTCTTCACATTGAGGATCAAGTACAAGAGAAAAGTGGGTCAAAATAAATCATGCAAGGCATACGGGATGCCTCGCAGTCTTCACACACTTCTTCTGGTACCATAGGTATCTGAGACACAGGCTTACCTCGGTTGCTTCGCTCTAGGATGCGGCCACCTCAGTGGAAAGCTGCTGGTCAGCAAAGACGTCTACTATAATCGCCTTCGCGCCGCTTGTAAAGCACGAGACGAAAGCAGGGACGACATTCTTATCATCGCGCGAACAGATGCTCGTGCAGGACAGGATGTAGACGGAAATGGAGGATTCGAAGAAGCCATTGAGCGCTTAAAGGGCGCCGCAGAGATTGGAGTCGATGCGCTCTTCTTCGAAGCGATTCAATCCGAGGAAGAATGTAAGCAGGTTATTGAGCGTCTGCCCAAAATTCCCGTGCTGTTGAATATGGTGCAGGGGGGCCGGACTCCACAGATGAACACCGATCAGGCCAACAAGCTGGGTTTCAGGATCGTAATCTGGCCTTGCGTGGGTATGGAGGCTGTTGTGCCGGCCGTGAGGAACGCTTTGGCGAGTTTGAGGGAAAGTGGCCGGCCGCCTGTAGAGCAGGCTATGGGACCTGGAGCACTATTTGAGGTCTGTGGGCTGAAAGAGTTGATGCAGTTTGATGAGAGTGTTGGTGGGAAAGCATACAAGTAGGAGGACGTGAAAGAGTTGGAGAGTGGTCTTCATTCACTCACCAGACACTCGCTCTTTAACCACAAGTCTCTAACCACAAGAATGCGCCTCTGAGCCGTCTTCCCGTCGGCTGGCGTTGCGTTGTCACGTCCTCCAACGGTTCGAATTGACACGATATGTATGCCTCTGCTCAGTTGCACTCATCGCTCTACCGGTGACGTTTTGACACATCACATTCACAGTCAGTTTTATTATAGCAAGAGTCACGGGCAACCAGCAACCCGGATGTGCCGGGGAACATCTATGCGCCCCGACGGAACTACTGGAACTACTGCAGGTCGCGTGCTAGTGCGAGTCGTGGCCTGCATGAGAGCTTGCGTTTCGCAACTTGTGGAGAAGGCAACACCCCAACTTAACGGCAACTTCATTGCGCAAAACACAGTCAAGTCGTGCGCAAGGCGCATGCTTCGCGTCCGCCTACTCAGTCACAACAACTCAGTCARCATGCGCGAGGAAACTGACCTCACGTCGCCCGCTACACCGCTGCCGCTGTTCCGAGTCAGGCACCAATGCCGGCTGCCGCTGATCAGACGCAATGCTCGCGATCACACATTGGCGTCCGACTAGAGTGAGTCGTTCACGTCGACGGCTTGTCCTATAGCTGTGCCGGACCTCTTCGAGAAATTCCTCACTCTCCCGCCCTTGCATCTGCACCATGAAGACGGAGCGGTCCCCATTCACTTGGTGATTCGGCGGTCCTTCACACCCACGCCTACAATGGACCGTTCGACCCTATACAGCGCGACAGTGTACACTCTGTTCGGACTGGCCTCTGTCTTCACCATTGCACGGGTGCTTTCGCGATGGCCCAGACTTACTGGCRTGGGACTTGGACGGGATGATTGGGTCAGCTTGTCGACTTACGCTTGTCTTGTCGGACTGACCGTGGCCAATTTCTACAAGCTCTCAAATGGACTGGGCCAAGACGTGCATTTGCTGTATGCAGACGTTGTCGAGAGATTCTTACTTGTGAGCTCAAACTCGATTTTACAACCTATGATTCCGACTGACGACATGGCAGTGGACCTACATATCGCAGCACTTCTACATCGCGGCCATCTTTGGCTCCAAGTTAAGCGTCGTACTTCTATACCTTCGAGTGTGGCCTGAGAAATCGAGCTTCCGCACGGCGTGCCGGATACTGGCTCTCGCTCTGTCATGTGCATTCATTGCATTCGAAATCGCCGCGGTCAGCAAAAAGACAGTATCGTGCTCGGAGATCTCCTCACTGACTTGAACTCATTTCCCAGATTGTTCAGTGCCTCCCAATAGCCGACAGTTGGGCGTACTCGTCGAAGGTCGCAAGTGCATGCGTCGATAGACATGCATATACATACAGTCTCGCTGGTGTCGACATCGCTTTCAACGCTATTGTGCTGCTTTTCCCAGTGGCACACCTGTTGAAGTTCGAGGCACCTTCTCCACGCAAAATTTGGTGAGGACTTTGATACATCCCACTCAAGTCGTAAGCTAACATGGAGCAGTGTTTTTGCCGCATTTCTTGTCGGCCTAGTAGTGTTGGCCATTAGTGCGGTCCGACTCAATTACCTGGACAGAATTACGACATCGAACAATGTAACTCGGTACTACAGCTACATTGAACTGTACAGCAGTATAGAGGCAATGCTAAGCCAAATCTGTTGTTGTATTCCACCTGTAAGACCTTGACTATTCACTTCTGTCTGGATAAGAAGACCAGCTAACACCGGTATAGCTTTCTGGATTCCTCCGCAGAAACGTTCAAGGCTCCAACCGTCTTCCAAGCCGAGGGCGGAAAAGTTTATCAGAATCACAAGATCAAGATCGCGGAAGTGGAACCGTTGTTGGCATCAAAGGCATCGGGCCATCCGAACCTGATGATCTAGAGAAGGCGCGTCCCGAGACAGCAAGATCCTTCGAGGATTTCGAACGAGCACCCTCCCCAACCATCGGCTTGTCATCACATCGATCCTGGGACGAGACGATATTGAGCCGATCACAATTTCCGCTGCACCGCATTTCGCAGCATCGCCTTTCGCAGCATTCCTCGCTTCGATTCGAGCCACCATCTTCGCATGTGCTACAACCCAGTGAGACCTCATCAGAGGTCAGCTCCGAAGATTTGGAGATCTTGCACGAGGTGGATGAAGATGAAGATGAAAGTCCGCTGGACGGAGACTCGCCCATGTCCGAGATCGGAATACCCTCAATCGACGTCCGAAGATCGTATCCGCTTCCTCAATCCGTGGTCCTGTCCACAGATCTGGTGTCCTTTGATCAGGACGACCCATCTTCTACTAGCAGAAAGGATATACATTCTTGGTGAGCGCTTGTGGAACAAGCACTCGCCACCCTGTACTATGACAGGCTATCAGAGTACGAATCATGATGGTGAAAAGGATCATCTCGTTCAAGATATGTATAATACAACTTTGCGGCCTCTCAAAGTGGATCCGCCACGCTTACATGCTTGTGTTCTCACTTTTCAGCATTCAAGGTGGATCTTCCGCCAAGCTCACATGCTCCTTTCTCCACAGATGAACCTGATGGTTCGCCTCCACTGAGATGTCACAACCGGTTCTCGGAGGTGAATCAGATGAAATATCCCTTCTCTGTGGTTGTATCCACTGGAGACGCGACCTTCCCGTTTGTAGACCAACTTTCTTCTACCGTGTCCTGGACGCTCATCCGCCTGATCCAAGAAGGTATGTCTCTCAAGACGTCAGTCATATGCTCACCACACCCTTCGTCATCACAGACTCACCTGGTACATCCGAGGAACGATGGCTCATCCTTCCACGCCCGGAAACTTCGGATATGGCCGACACAGTCGGCGAGCAGCTGGGACCATCCGTTTCTGCATTATCGTTGTCCTTGTTGGGGGTCTTCAACGACATCCGGTCACGATCGTCTCCCGGCGTTGCCGGCTGCAAGGAGCTTCGCGTGTAGTATCGTTCGTAAGGCTGCAAAGACGCTCTGCTTGGGATGTCCTTTCGTACGATTGACTTGGTGCGCTGCTCGTCGCTGGAGTGTCGCAGGTTTGCTTCGGAGGGTGCTTTGGACAGCTGCTTGCCGAGTGTACCTTCGAGCTCCATGACCTGGTCATGAGTGTCTATCGGCGACTGAACTGCGCTGTCTGATCGAGGTTCGCCGATTTTGAGATTTGGGAGTTCATGCTGCGCCTTGTKCTCCAGGACCGGCGCATCGTGTTTGTAATTGAAAATACTGGGTTGTGTACTACACACTTCGATGCCATCTTCTATATGGGATGTCGACGGATGGCCGCGGTACAGGAAGCTCGTGATCCTCGGTCGATAAGGGATTTCGCTAACATCACTACTCTGCTTTCGTTTCCTTTCCGTGTACCAGATGAAGGCCCCGGCAGCGCCAATAAGAATCACAAGAGGAWCTACAACGCCAATGGTAATAGCGACGGAGTTCGTCATGATGAACCGATGCAAGCAAATGATCTGCGTTATGCCGAGACCTGATTGATGATGAAAATGCAGCGAAATGAGGAAAAAGAGAAAACAACCATAGCTCTGGATCAGGCCTGCATCGCCCTCTCAAGAATCTAAAAGGTTGCTATGATTGATGCAATTGGGTTTCTGCAATCTCTTGGTGCAGCGGTACAGTACAGACTTGACAGGCCTGTTGTCCATCAACAACTCACGGAGCTTCATCCCGGTCATGGCATGGTTCGCTGATGATGTACTGGGATGCTGATTCGTGCTGACACCAGATCCCCAGGGCCCTTGCGAATTACAAACTTTGACGGTCCAACGTGGACACCAACCTCCAAATGCCGTAGCTTGTCGACTGCCGGGCGGCTCGAAATTGTTGACTATTCGAAGCATTCTAGGATAGCGTAGCAAGATTCGTTGATGTTGAAGCAACGAAGCGAGGAATACCTGACAATGTGGTTTCCCAAACGACCTTCTAGGCTTCTACCAGGACAAGGCTTCTCAACCCTGTTGCTCACCTCGCTTCTTCCAAGCTCTCCCATATCTTCCTGGCCCACACAAGCAGCCGCTGCCACCCACCGGTCCTCGCTGCTCACCACGTCTGGTAAATCAGTCTGGGCGACCTCGTATCGATGGTTTGGGAATATACTTTCTGGTCTCGCGTGAGGCCACTCTCGCTTCCACGCTACACGCGAGCTACATCCATCTTTACCGAGAGCAGGGACGCAGGCTTGGGATTGTCAACAGGTCGCGGCTATTCCCGTGGAGGACTCGATCGAATCGAACATGGCCTGTCAAGACTCAAGACTGGTTCAAACCATGTTCTCTCCCAGTCATGAGATCGATCAACGTGCAGGCTTCACAGAACCACTTATTAATGGTGCATTGTCAAATTTTCTTCGGTCTCTGACCCAAGGCTGCTTGCTACCCAGCCGGTGCTTCTGTGCCAAGCAAAAGAGTTTGTGAGCTTCAATTATGATTTCTTCCAAACCCATGCAAGTCTTGGTAGCGGAAGTCGGGGTATTCCAGCATGCGACAAGACAAACGATACAAGGGACGGAGATCTCCTACCGCTGCTCCGTTATTCGCGCAAATCGATACGTCCACATCTGGTTGTCCATCCTGACTTTTCCGGGATACATGAGATCGTGACGTCTACATTCCTCCATGATGACCTCTGGGACGAAGCCCTCTGAATCCGACGTTTGAGACCCGCCATGGGCTGTCCGAGCCTGACGAATCTGAGCACAAGCAGTATAGCGGAACAGTTCAGCTATTACATTATCAGCGCGGCCATTCTTATTCTCCGTGGATGCGTCAGGCTAAGGACCAGGGGTTGGCGAAGACTCCAGGCCGATGACTATATCGCTGTATGGGTACTTTTTTGTGTCGGATTCGCTGGGTTCTTCACGATTGCTTCACTATGGCTTGGTGGAACTTGGTTCTTCCTCGATCACCCGGACGATGTAGGCAAGCTGCTCGAGTGCCAAATTGATGATATGAGGCTGGGAAGCATTTTCAATGTGCTGAATTGGTGAGAGTTGTACGAAATTCCCGTTCCACTTGGTTTTTTTGCTAATCACACAAGATAGGTACATGTACACGGGACTGATATGGGGTCTCAAGGCGATGATGCTCATCTTCTTGAATCGCCTGTACTGTTGTTTCGCTCGACTCATGATTCGATCGGTCGCCGTCGCCTGCGCGTTATCCTTCCTAACGTGCTACATCATCATCACGTTCAGCTGTCACCCAATACAGAAAAACTGGTCGGTAAAGACTCCTCATCTACACATCCTTTATCTTGCTTACATGTCGCAGGCAAGTGAATCCGCTGCCGCATCATAGGTAAGAAATGAACGGACGAGAAGGACAAACCACGTTGCTCCTCCTCGTGGGCTGCTCGAACCGATAGATCTCTTCTTGCATACACACCTTGGTTCATCCTGGCTAACTCACCTACTAGGTGCATGCGCAGAGTCATCAACATCTACTCCGTATCAGGCTTGAACGCTGCTACGGACTTTCTCATCTTACTCATACCGCTTCGGTTGGTGAARACGGTTCAGGTCTCCATCTGGAAAAAGGTGGTGTTGGTACTGCTACTCTGCTCGGGGGCGTTGGCCATGGTAACGGCACTACTGCGAGTTGGGTTCCTCCACACAAGCACCTATGTGGGTCATATATCTATGTGGGGAAGTCGGGAGGTAATGGTTGGCACGTTCGTTGTCAATATGCCATTGATCGCCCCAAGTGAGTATTTCTATCATCTGATTCTACTGTATTCACAGCTTACCAGTGCGCCAGTCATCAAGAAGAGCTTCTGGCAGCGAATAACTGGAAGCCGACCTCCTCTTCATCCCACAGATTTGAGTCCAACAGGTCTCACTACGATCGGAGGGACACGCATCGATAGTCACGGAAGGCACAGACACACTGAGAGTGACGACTCGTCAGTTGCTAGTATACCAGACGACAATGTCACCGGAGTACCGTCCTTGACGATGATCAATCGCAACGATAGCGCCGCAAACACCACGATCAAAACGACATTCAGTGAACGAATCGATTTCCACGCACACAATGGAGAATCACGAAATCCGATTGACGCCGATGCGGAAGATCACAACCCAGAATCTGGGCGCACGACCACTTCAACAAGCTGTGAAGAGGAGGATCTCGCGCGACCTACACTACCTGAACCGGTAGTCTACAGCCCACGATCTCCCGAAACACAATCGAACGCTCGTCGGAATATCGCCTGGCCGAGAAATGCGACTCCACGGTCGTTCGAGTTGACTCGGATTCAGCATCTATGAGGATAGCATCAAGCTTCAAACGAACTGTGCGCTCTCACTTGGCCGTGTGTGTACCGAGTGCATACCCTTGTACTTCGATATCACCTTCCTCCTCAACTTGGCATGGGAGTCGTGAACACTGGACTGTTTGTCAACTCATTCTACAACGCTGGAGATCTACAGACTTGCTTGGTGGGTGCTACAAGCTCTCAACAAATCAAAGGCAAAAGTTGGAGCAAGTATCGCTCGAGCAAGCAAGCACTTGTGAAAATCCTGGTCCCACAACCTTGCACAAGCTCCCTAGAGCATGAGAACGATGAGCTAGCCAGATTCCAGAGCAAAAAATCTTTTGCTTCGTCCTTTGAAATCATGCCAGCCGATTCGAACTGCAGGTCCAAGATCGTGCAAGACTACTCGCTCGTCTTGGGTGCCACAGCTGGAGCTCAAGTCACTGGAGGTACAACCAAATGTTGTCAAAGACGACCTCGTCATACACCAAGGCGCTCAATAGCTACGGCGCCATTGGTACGGCTCCCACCGCCACTTCTACAGTCGTTATAATGGAGCGACAAGCCACGGCAGGCGAGTACAGCACCGTGCTAACGACACATTCATTCAATCAGCGATTGAAGTCCGGCTCCTCTCACGATTTGGCCGGTTCCTCTCCAGACAGATGTGAAACATATCGAACGTTTGAAAACGACTGTTTCTGCTATCAACGAAGATGAGTTGCCGAGCAGATGTCCCACCGAGACGACTGCTACCACCGCTGCCATCACATGCATCTGGCCTGATCCAAAAGTCCAGAAGCCGGGGTAAATCTCCGGTAGTCCAGGTACCTACACCCCTGGTCCGACCTCGATTGGAGTGTACATAGAAGAAGCGATTGAAGCCGCGAATGGCCGCAAGAAGACTTTCGGCATCRGTGTGGGAATTGGCTTGGGTGCACCCGCTCCTTGCCCTTGTTGGCGGCCTGATATTGTAAGTGACTACAATGGAATAATGAAGACTGGATAAAAATCTCTAACACAACTGTAGCTTCTGTGTTCGAAGGAGAAAAAAGTTCTCTACTAGTTCTTGAGCCCGTTTCGAGACTTGAGGCATATGGAATGACCTAGTCGCTGGGAGTCGGGAATAATGATGACAATGACTGATCCATAAGCGTTGGTATGTTTGCAGTACAGTACCGCTGGAATAAAAACATCTCAATCAATCGCTCTCCTCTCATCATACTCATACTGAACTGGCACATGGTAGAAATAATAGTTCCTCGGCATCAATCGAACAATCGGAAAATAGTTTATCCCACCATACGCYGACTTCCGAGGCCTGTCCAGATGGACAACCTTCCATGCACTCCAACCTCACTACAAGGTAACAAACAAACCTCACCCCGAGCCAAAATCCTATCTCTCCACCCACCATGGCCGGCGGCAGCACATTCACCTGGTCCCACGCCCTACGTCTCGACTCCACAAAATCCCCCTTCGACTCCCCCCTCCCCCAAACCCACAAAGCATTCGCCGACATCGTCCCCATATCCTGGAAACGCTACAACATCGGCGGCATCCTGACCACCATCTACGGATTAGAAGAACTTCCCCGGCATGCGGATGAAATTGCCTGTTTGTGGTTACTGCACGGAAGAGGCGATACGCAGGATAGTATGGCGTATACGGCAGCTGCGATGCTGAAAGTTTGGAATTCGAAAAGGAAGGCTAGTGAGAAGGGGTTGGTTTGTGTGTGTTTTGATCAGAGGAATCATGGATCGAGACAGATAGAGAATCGGAATAATGTTTCTTGGAAACAGGGGAATCCTACACATGGTATGTTTTATTTTCTTCTCGAGCTGGGAAGTGAGATGAAAGTGTTGTGTGTGACATGGCCGCTGACCTGTTGTTGTTGTTGTAGGACCTGATGTAAGTGCCAAGTTGAAAAAGACCATGACTTTCGAAGAGAGCCATGATTCCGCTTTTGTTTTGCATGAAGAAAACCGCTAACAATACATCCCCTCCCGCTCACAGATGTTCAACACCTACGTCGGCACAGCCCAAGATCTCTCCCTCCTAATCACCCAACTCCCAAACTACCTCCCCTTCAAACTCCACCAACACATCTGCGGCGGCGTCAGTCTCGGCGGCCACGCGACCTGGGTAGCCTTAATGACAGAACCACGCATCACAGCCGGCATGATCGTGATCGGATGTCCAGACTACATCCGCTTGATGACAGATCGAGCAATTCGTTCAAAAGTAAGATCCACCATGACCAGTGAACCTCCTGGAAGAGATTTCCTCGGTTCAGAAGATTTTCCGCAAAGTCTCATTGCTGCTGTGGAACAGTATGATCCTGCGGGGATTTTGCTTGGGGAATTGGATGTATATTCTGTGGGAGATTATTTGGAAGTACCTTCTGCTTCGGAAGTCAAGAGGTTGGAACCAATTATTGATTCGACTTTGGCTGGGAAGAAAATCATTTGTCTATCTGGAGGTAAAGATAAATTGGTCCCTTACGCACAGGGTGAGGTTTTCCTCTCCTGGTTGAAAAAGTCTATCGATGGGAAGAATGGCTGGTGTAGGAATAAAGGCATCGAGCTGGAAGATATTCAAGATTCCGGAGCTGGACATGAGTTTTCTGCGAAAATGCGCAGGGAAGCGGAAAGATGGCTTTGCGATGTCCTCTCGGGCAAGGATGCTTCCGTCAGCAGGGATAGCAAGCTATGAAGACAATGATGGGATTGTCGATGCTTGACGACTGCACTCTATGCTATTTCAGGAGTACGCGAGGATGGGGCATTGATCTCTCCAAATGCAGTATCTCTTGTTACTCCGTCAACCTCTTCGCTTATACTACGAGTCTCCCCTCCCATGGACGAGAAAGGAGGCTGACGAAGAGTGAACAAGGGAATTGGATCGCACTCTCTTCCCACCCAACAACACTGTCTTTAAAACTGCAAAGTCGTGTACGTCAAACAAGTCATCCGGGTCATCTTCTATTCAGAGTGATATGGACCACGATGTCGGCCTCGCCAAACTACAGTCGCGAATAACACAAGATTCGCCAATGGGAGCCAACGACTTATCAACGGGGTGACATATGCCAGCTTCCACTCCAACCAGGTCCCCTCCACCACCTTCTAAATGTTCAGATTGACTCCAAGATTGGCTAAATTCTCAACGTACTTCGCGTCACCACGCAGCTTGGCACGCTGGAAGGATGCCGTCAGCAGACTTGCATACGACCAAGTGAGATCCTTACAGCCTTGCGGCGCTCCAGTATTGCGGTTGTACTGCTCGGTCAACGAGCCATCGGCTGGAGTGTATAACTTGACAGTACGCATGAATGCGTCTCCCCAGCCATTCAAACTTTCAATGGTCGATGCAAACTCGGCGGTATCGCTCGCATACGTTCCGACTTGGAGAGCGGCGTCTGGGGCGAAGTAGTCGAAGAATGACCTGGAGGTGTCGGAGACCACGATCCTTCCTTCCGCGGTGTACTCCGCCGACGTTGCCCAGAGGTATTGGGCTACGGCTGCAGTGGTCAGGTACCACGCATTTCCGCCGTCTTCCTCTGTTCCAACGCCAGTGTAGACATCCTCAGGGTACCTACCAACGGGAATGCCAAGTGTCAGTCCCGCCGAGTCTTGTTGAGTATTGTTGGCAATGGCATATTCAGTGATGAAAGAAGTGACGAATCGCACAATCGTCGACTGCACCTGGTCGTTGGTGTAGCTGAACACGCCATCATCTGCGTAGCCGTGAATGATACCAAGAGGTACTGCGGCATCCAGATAGCTGGACTTGCTGAGAAGTACTGGACCGTACTCATATAGCAGTATCTTTCTTCCCTCGTTCCAGAAGATTTCCATTGTAGCCGAGATTGCATCGGCGGCCACTGATAGTGTTGTAGCAGTTCCGGTGTCATCCATATCGGAAGCGAACTTCGCACCAAGAATAAGAGCTTTGCGCTGAACCATCCGAGTGTAGAAGTTGTCCGTGTTGACCTCTTCCCACAAGTCAAAAGAAGAGCTGGTCCAATTACTTGCGACGAAGAGCAAGTCCTTCTGAATTGGCGCTGAATCTGGGAAGTTGATCGAATCGTAAAGTTGCTGCTTCACCGTCGTGATGTTGCCACCTGCAGCCATGTAGCTCTGGGCAAATTCAATAAGTGTGATGGCAGCCGTGGCCGGCCCGTCGTTCTGTGGACGACCCCAAGGACCGCTGAAGATGGTGTTGTTTAGGTAGAACTTTGGTTCTCCGAGACCAGTCTGAAGATCTATGTCACGTCAGATGTCTTCACGATATGATTAATTGGAGTTCCACACACTTGGTTCAGTCTGCTCGGCTGCTCGTGCCGCAGCGTATTGGAAGAGCATAGTCTCATATTGGGACTTTGCAGTAGAATTGCTCGCAGCAGCAGCATACAACGTCTCGACGACTTCCATCGTTAGAGACGAATCTCGCACCCAATCGTACGCATAATCGGGTAATTTTGACTCGAACGGTGAGCCGCTTCGTCCGGCAATCACGACGCCATCTACAGCTCCTTCGACAGCTGGGTTGATGTTGACGAACATCTTCGTGAAAGATTTCTCTAGTTGAGATCCAGCTTCCACTGCCAAGAATGTAGTAATGTCGTCTCCAAAACCTTTGGGTGTAGCATAAGGAGCAGGCGGGCCAGGCAAAGTGGGTTCGGGAGGTCCACTTTCAATGGCTTCCTGRCCAAGCAGCTGGCTGTAGGTTTGGCCTTGCGAACGTCAGCAGATGGCTCATATATCGCACCAGAAATGAGCGGTACCAAGATCGACAACAACATATGTCAGATTGAGTAGCTCCTGAACGCCATCCACATATGCAGGTGAACTCGAGGACCATAGCTCGAAGTTGGTCCCCTCGACGCCGCTTTGATAGCCCAGTCCAACGGAAGACAGTGGAGTACTCTCGCCCTCTCTGTCGGTGTAATAGAGTGTAACTTGCTTGTTGTATGCCAGATTGCTAATGAATGCAGTGGTGTTCAAGATTCCTCCACAATAGCTGTATGAAGCAAGGGCGACATTGCCATCAGTAGGAACGCTACTGGAGAGGGTCGTTGTTTGACATTCTTGAGTATTGACACCATGTAGGAGAACGAGGCCAGCAGCAACGCCAGTATTGACTTGCCTCATGATGAGTTGATGAAGGAATGAAAGTAGGCTTGGAGGATGAGGAGAAAGAAGAAATCAGGAGCACATGGTTGTCTTGATGCTGTCTGTCGTGTAACAGCAGTGCAGGCCCGCACATCGTATCCAAGCAAGCCAGCGGGTAGTTGCTGTTGCTGTTGCTGGCAATGTGACTGGTCATGCCTCGAGATTCGATGTAGAAGGGTGATCCAATTGGAGACGGAAGATGATGTGGTGGTACTAACGGCACATTGTCGGCTGCCTTAGCAAGACAGAATAGTCATCCTGGCCGTCAGACTACTCTCTCACTTCACAGACATCCGCGACCAAACCTTCGACCTGCGATGAGTTTCTGCCTCCTTGTCGAGCATGATGCGGAGCTTACTGCGCGCCGGCCATGGAAGTTCGAGGTGCATGCTTTCCCCTCAATTCGCGTGGGTAGCGAGTAAGCGCGGGTGGAGCAAGTCCCTACCTCACTGAAGTGTCCGCGTCCGGAGGGCTTCATCAAGCTGACCTCCGTTCGCCGTTCCTACGCGCAGACGAGGATATCATAAACCTATGCATAGCACCCCYCTCGCCCTCGGCGCATCCATTCATAGTTTTCACAACTGGTTTCTGAGTGTATACCTCCAAAAATGCCTTTCCACAACGGCATCCTCCCCAGAGAAGGTGAATATTCCCTCCCGCTTATACGAAGAGGACTTGGAGCTATGCGCCAGAATATATATGTTGACCGCCCTGCTTTTGCGTACAGGTATTACCGGAGATGTGTTTGGGAGATTCGTCAAGCGTACAGCTTTCAATCCCGCCTTGACCCTCGCCCTCGTCCTCCTAGCTCGCTACACCAAGCGTGGTTCGGAGCTCGCTCTGCTCCATCCCACAGCCTTGTCCCGTCTGCACAAGCTTCTCTACTTTGGCATCTTCCGCTGGGTAACGGGATGGCTCGATGCTGGAGCTCTGGACAACTGGAAGAAAGACACTTATGATTGGGAGAACAAGGAGGTCGTCGTGGTCACGGGTGGTGCTGGTGGAATTGGTGGACAAGTTGTAAAGTTGTTCGCGGAGAGGAACATCAAAGTAGTCGTCTTGGATGTCATTCCCATGACCTTTGAAGCTTGTAAGTGTACATTTCATCGGACTGGCTTTTGGGCAGCCTACCTATGGCACCCTTCCTTTGAGATCTCATAGCCAGGAGCTCCAGCTGACACTTTCCACTCAAAGCATCCAACGTTCACTACTACAAGTGCGACATTACCTCGCCAGCAACCATCAAAGAGGTAGCCGCACGCATTCGCGCCGAAGTGGGCACTCCGACAGTCTTGATCAACAACGCCGGCGTAGCACGCGGCAAAACCATCCTCAACGCCGTAAGTCCACGTAAACCCACCCAAACAGACATGCAGTAACACTAACCTTGCAATCACCAGACGGAGAAAGACGTACGCTTTACCTTTGAGGTAAACACCTTGGCTCACTACTGGCTGGCCCAAGAATTCCTCCCATCAATGGTAAAAGCCAACCACGGCATGATAGTCACAGTAGCCAGTCTCGCGGCCTACTGCACCGTCCCGGACATGGTAGACTACGCCTCCTCCAAAGCAGCAGCCCTCTCATTCCACGRGGGCCTCACAGCCGAGCTCAAAACCCGCTACAACGCCCCCAGAGTCCGCACCGTCATGGTCAACCAAGGCTACACCAAAACTCCCCTCTTCAAAGGCTACGACACCGGCAACGCGTTCCTGATGCCCCCTCTCGAACCCGATACCGTGGCCGAGGCCATCGTGAAGAAAGTCCTAAGCGGTCATAGTGGACAGATCATCTTGCCGGGTTTCGGTGGCGTTTCCGCCATGTTGAGGGCGTTGCCGCATTGGTATCAGAATCGTGTGAGGGTGCAGGGGGAGAGTTACATGAAGACGTGGCAGGGGAGACAGGTTATTGATGTGGAGAAGTGGAAGAGTGGTGGGCAGAAGGAGGAGAGGGAGGATGAGTCCGCGTCGACGGTGCTTGTTCCTCAGCCAAAGACTGCTGGACAGGAGTGAACTGTGTGATGAAGGATATCAATTGCTACTTTTCTCCAGCGATCCTCAATGCAGCAGCCATGAAGTTGCGTCTTGTTCAACCCGGTTACATTATCTACTTGAAACTATTCTTTTCACCGCCGTGGGTTATTCTTCTGCCCAAACTTTTGTTTTGGCTGACTGCCATATGCTCTCCTTGCGCTGTCGGGCTTCTTCATGCTGGCTCCGAGGTTAATATCCACCTTTGGCGGCACAGCAAACCCGAAACCCTTTGCGACCTTTTTGAGATCCAGCTGATGGATGTTGAAGACTGAGCGCAAGGAGTGCGATGCGTACGCTTGGAGATATGAACGGTAGCCATCCTTTGCAGACTGCGGGTACGATTAGTATTGACTTCTTCACATCATCATTCCGGATGCATGGACATACCTTGTTGAGATAGTAGTTCTTCCCAATCAGCATCTCCAACTGACTCTGAATGCTCAAAATCTTCGTCGGCGGAATCTCAAACTCCACAAGCGGAACCTTGGCCTCCTTGAGGTGGTTCAGGAAACCCACCTCATTCGGCTGCAAAAACATCAAACTCTTGCCCTTGGCGTTCGCACCTCTCGCCGTTCGTCCCACACGGTGGATGTAATCTCTCGGGTCATCAGGAGGATCAAATTGCACAATCCAATCCACTGAGGGAATATCAAGTCCTCGCGCAGCAACATCTGTACAAATCAGAGTTCCATGTGTGGCGTTGCAGAATTCGAAAAAGGTGTTGGTTCGCTTTTGCTGTTTTTGCTTTCCGTGGAGACCAAGAACTGGGAGGTCGATGTAGTTGAGGAGCTCGGAGTAATAGTCGACGCAGTTGCAGCTGGAAAAGAAGACGATGATCTTCTTCTTCGGGTGTCGTTTGAGGAAGGTGAAGAGCAGGCGAAATCGCATGTCCGCTTCGCAAATCACATAACCCTGTTCAAGTCCGGAGACGGTGCTGTGTTCTTGCTCATTGTCCACGTTGATGTAGAGCGGGCCTAGTCGGAGAGAGATACGAGCAAGGTCTTCGACTTTGGTGGTCTGCGTGGCAGAGAAGAGCATGGTCTGGCGGTCTTCCTTGGGCAAGATCTTCACAATCTGACGCATCTCATCTTCGAATCCGACTTCCAGAATTCGATCCGCTTCATCAATGACAAGCGCCTTGACGTTCTTGAAGACGAAGCCTTGAGTGTTTTGTAGGTGATCGAGCAGGCGACCGGGAGTGGCGATGAGCAAATTGACTCCCTTGGTGAGCTTCTCCGCCTCTGCACGTCGATTTGCACCACCAATGACAATTCCGTAGGTTTGCGTGTGGTTCTCCATGAGCTCGCGCGCAACGCCAAAGATCTGCAGTGCCAGCTCTCGGGTGGGCGAGACGACGATGACACCCGTTCCATTACGAGGCTTGAACTTGAGAGAGTACAGCATCTCAATGGCGGGGATGAGAAAGGCCAGAGTCTTTCCAGATCCCGTCTTCGCAGCACCAAGCACATCTCTACCAGCCAGAAGTGGCGGGATACCTCTTCGCTGAATCTCGGTCATGGTGTCGAAAGGCATGCCCTCGATCGCCTTCATCGTGCGCGCGGAAAGATTGAGCTCGGAGAACTTTTGTGGCTCGGCGGCAGTGCTTGGAAGACTGACACCCAATGCTGAGGGTAGATCTGTACGTTCTCCCAACTCTCCGTTCGGTGCGGGCTCGTCCTCTTCGGCATCATCCTGCTGTTCGTCCTCATCTCCCGACCCAAACCCGGCAAAATTCTGCTCTTCAGTAGCATCACCATCTTCACCATCGTCTTCCTCATTGTCATCCCCAGCGACCACTGCTTCTTCCAACTCCTGGCTAACTTGCGCTTCAGCTTCCGCATCTTCGCTCGCCGCGGCTGCTTGCGCCTTTTCTTTCCGCTTTTGCTCTTTCCTCGCCCTCCGCTCCTCCTTCTCTTGCTTGGACTTTTTCGCCTTTGGCTGCTCCTCATCCTCGACTACATGCGGCGCCTCGACGGCTCCTTCCGTAGTTTTGCGCATCTTGTGCTCCTTCTTTGCTTTCTTGCGCAGTTGCGCCTCGTTTGTCTCTGCATCGGCATCGACCTCCGTATCAGGCGCAGGAAGAGCGCCGGACATCATGGCCAGGTTTCCGGGTTTCTGGTGGCCATGCTTACGTTTCCGTTTCTGCGAGGCGTCGACTATATAATCGTTGGACATTTTGGGGGAAGGGGATGTTGAGGTGGAAAGTATTTGAAGCTGGCTGCTATTTTAATTTGTCCATCGCTGGCCCATCTTTTTTCGCGCCTAGCGATCGGCGGCAAAAACTCTAAAATCTGGTCTCGGGATTCGGGAAGGCTATCTGAGCCACTTCACCATTGGTACTTCTCCTTCCTTTCGTTTCAACAACACTACATCGCATTATGTTGCAGCCCCTGGAGGAGCAATGACGACTAGGGCCTGGTCTCTCCACAGAATTATGCTAGCCCAAGCGATCAAGATGTCTTCGATTTCCAATGACTGCGACAGGACGCGGTAAGTTGGCTACAACTGCAGCGGCGCCATTGCATGTCCTTTGTTGGTCATTGTTCACCGGGTCATCATGTACCTTAGGTTGACCTATTCATGGCCATATCACGTGCTTCGTCTGCCATCAGCATAGTGATCACTCGCTCACAATGGACAAAGCCGATGTCGAACAAAAATCTCGAAATGATCTGCCAGCTCACCAATGCCACATTCTTTGTTGCTAATGCGTCCAGAACAACACAAAGACTATCCTGAGATGTTCCGGTTTGGGCTATTATTCTCCGCGCATACTATCTCCTGTTTCTACTCTTCTAGCTTGCCATCCACTTTCACGCATTCAGTGTCAACTTACGCCAGGTTCTGCTGGGCAGAATTCTCTCGATTGAAAGCTCATCGGACCCAATTTCAAGTCACTCACGAAAAGCGTCGCTCCAAGATGTCAAATAGAAACAGGAACCAGCGTGGCAACTTCGCAGGCAAAAACAACCAGCAGCGCGCCAATTCTGGTGGCGGTGGTGGCCCAAATAACAACAACCGTGGTAATGGCCAATACTACTGCGCAAATCACGGGCATAACTCTAGTCATGTCACCGCCGACTGCAGTCAAGGTTCGAACAAGAAGAATTACAACAACAACAACAGCAATAACAATAACAACAAGAACAAGAACGCGAACGCGAACGCGAACGGGAACCGCAATAACAACAATAATCAGCCTCAAGGTCAGAAGGTGACTTGCGCAAATTGCGGCAAAAATGGTCACGTTGCCGAGAATTGCCGCGCCAATCCATCACGACAGCAGCAGCAGAAGCCGCCATTCCATCACGTACAGCAGTTTTTGCAGCCTGACACCATCTCTCCGCCTCCTTACAATGTTAATGATGAGCGCAATGCCAAGGCTAATAATTCAAATGGCCATCACACTGCATCGGTCCTCAACGCAGCCCAGAACTATTGCCCGTCATGCAACGAGCAAGGACACAATCCCACCAATTGTAATAATGTCACTGCCATACACGAAGCTTTTCACTCACGGTTATACTGCCTCGCATGCCGCACCAAGGGGCACCTGGCCGCCGATTGCAACAACCCGCTGTCTACGCAATGCACGAGATGTTACCGCAAAAATCACAACTCTCCAGATTGCACGCTATCCCCAGATCGAGACGCACAGATCAGACGTGACATGGCCGCCTCCATGGCGAATCGGCGTTACATTTGGAACAACCCTTCCTTTGAACATCATCATAGTCAACGTGCAGAAATGGCGTACGAAGAAGCCAAGAAGAATGCAGCTTTGAATGGTGTTGCACTCTCCCAAGAGGATCGTGTGAGGTATGAAAAAAATATCTATTTGAGTAAACAGATATTTGGCCCCGATTCCTTCACTGCGACAGCGGCACATCTCGGCGCTAATATGCAACTCGATGTGGATTTTACCCCAAAACCAGATATTCCCGCCCCGTATGAGCATCGTGTGCCGCAGCAGCAGCAAGGCTTTAATCCACCGCAGCATGGTTYCAAGCCATCAACAAGACCAAACGTTACCACCAGAAGCAATCACGCTGCTAACAACAATGCCGTTGCCGCCGCCAAGCAAGCCAAGTATAACGAGCAGAAAGCGGAGCTCGATCAATTACGAAGGAACGGGGTGAATCTTGAATACATCAAGATGTTAGAACACGTGTTACATTCCGAAAATCTCAAGGAACAAACAGAAATCGACAAGGAAGTCACCAAAAAAATCAATTCGGCCCTCGGATACCACGTCACATTAGCCAACGACTGGCTACGTCAAAACGAGGGACTCATCTGCACAAAAGCAGAAATTCCACAGTCGAGAATGGACGAGATCAAATACTTCATGTTGCGAGGAGGCTCCTTCTACAGAGATCCCAGAGCCATGAAAGCTCTCTTCGAACGTGAACTTCCTCGCTGCTTTACTTGCTCCCAAAATGGTACGATTATTGATAGATGGTTCAACATTATCCCCCCGACGATGCCCAAGACAGAAATGTTGAAGCTCTACGATGGTGTAGATTGGGGCATTTTCGTGGCTTTTGAGTGCAGATGCGTAAGACAAGCTGGTTATGGATATTTTCCCACGTCGACGGTGCTTTGTGAGCACCTTCCTGAGGAAGAGAGATAGAGCGACTGATGGTTCTAGTTTGAGTATGGATATATTTCATCTTTTAGCACTTTACTATCAATTCATAGTTGAACGTTTATAGTTTTTGACCATTCCTACCTACTTGAACAAAACACTTTCATTCCCATCATGTCCTTCGACAGCATCCGCTCACGTCTTTTCTGTAACGAGACTAGCAGTAGCATGTATCCAGGTCTGGGGGTGGAAATGAAAATGAAAACGCCATACAATAAAGATGACGTCGCCCTCAAGCTAACCATGTCCTTGTCCGTCATGTGTTTGCCGACACAAAAGTTGAATACACCACATGAATGCCGCTGCCACAGCATGTTCTAAACACCATACTCCTCATAAAGCCTCGGTTGAATAAGGTACTGTTGAAAATCTCATCGCCCTCTGAGGGTGTGTTCATCGCTTGCGAGCTTTGCTTTTTGGCTTCGCACCACCGCCCGAGCCGACGGTATCAACGCTCGCGGCGCGCGAGTTGCCGTTGGGTGTGCCCTTGACACCATTGACGGCTTTGTTCTGAGAGTGTGTTAGTTGAAGGTTTCGGTATGAATAATCAATGGAAGCATACCTTGGCACCAGTAGAGACCCGGCCCTTCTTCTTCGCAGGCTCTGCCTCTTCTTCCTCGTCCTCCTCGTCAGCCACACGCTTGCCGTTCTCCTTGCCTCCAGCGCCTTCCATTTCACGGGTGACGGTGGTGATGAGTGTGGCGCAGCGCCGACTGATCTCTTGCGGTGTTCTTGACAGGAAAAACCAGTCGAAGCGGAAGAGCGGGCTCTCGCGGATCTCGTCACGGATCTTCTCGTACAGTCCCTCAGAGTCGATACCAAACTTGTTCAGCATCACGAGGAGGAAGCGGTCCTCTTCCTCGGTGTATACCTTCTTGTTCGTGGTGCTGACGGTGTAGTTCAGCTTCAATTGCTGAAGCGGCACACGGTACATTGCCATCTTCTTCTTGAGCAGTTCCTTTTGTTCAATCACACGGGCGGTGCGAGCTTCGCCTTCCTTGATTGCAGCAATGTGCTTCTCCCAGTTGTGAATCTCCTTGTAGCGCTTCCAGAAGACTTTGGCGTAAGCCTTGACCTCATGAGCATCCTTGGAGTCCACCTCCAGTGCAATGCTGGGGTAGTCGTTACGGCCGTATTTGCCGCTGCCATTGACAAACTGTTGGAAGTCACGCTTGTTCCACTCGCCAAAGCCCTCTGTGCCGAGCTGCTCCTTCTCCGCAATCTCCTCCTCTGTCAACGGCTCTGCCTCGTCAATCTCCGCTTGTTGCAGTTCTTGGTCTCGAAGGCGCTGCTCCATATCCTCTTCATCGCCGTCGGGAAGCGGAGCCTTGATTCCGTTTTCCTTCCTGAACCACGCAGTCTCCTTTTCTTGAAGATCTCCGAGACGGGCGGGGAAAAATTGATAGTCATTCATGGACATCTGCTTTGGTGCCCGCGGGACCTTGGGCTTGGGGTCTGGTCGAGGACCTCCAGTCGCAAGCGCATTTCTGTAGTACTTATCCATGGAGTAGGACTGCTCCTTGCGCTCACGCTTCGAAGGGTTGATCCAGCTAAGACCAATCTCTTTCTTCTTGGCGATGAAGGTCTCTCCATTCCACTCATACGCAGCGCCAGCTTCAGAGGTAAACTTCTGAAGATCATCCAGACCGAGCGTCTCATACTTCTTGTTCATCTCCTTCGTTCGCTCCTCGCCCTTGCGTAGAATGTCGTCAAGATCGGTGTCGGTGATTCCTCCGGCCTTGCTGAAGGTGTCTTCCTTCTGCTCGAAGATGACCTCTGCTCCGTGCTGAATCATGCCGAGCAGCTCATCCTTTGATGCAGCTGCCTTGGCTTGCTGTTGTGCACGGCCTTGTTGAATAACGAGCTGGTCGAGTCGAAGCTTTTGAGCCGCACGCTCAAGAACCTTCTCCTCAATGGCATTCTCGGTCACGAAACGGAACACCATGACTTGCTTGGTCTGGCCGATACGGTGAGCACGGTCCATTGCCTGCAAATCTGCCTGTGGATTCCAGTCGGAGTCGAAGAGCACGACAATGTCGGCTGTCGTGAGGTTGATACCGAGACCACCCGCACGAGTCGWCAACAAGAACAAGAACTTCTCAGAGGCCTCMTTGTTGTAGTCGTCGATCGCTGCAATGCGGTCTTCATGGGCAGTGGATCCATCAATGCGGCAGTATTGGTATCCGCGCATGACGGAGTAGTCCTCAAGAATGTCCAAAACACGAGACATTTGCGAGAAGATGAGTACACGGCTGCCCTGTGCTTTCATACGCTTCAACAGCTTGTCGAGCATAACCATCTTTGCCGCGTTGTTGACAAGGTGCTCATCGGTGGTGTAAGGTGGACCAGGTTCAGCGCCATCGAAGAGGTATGGGTGATTGCAGCACTTTCGCAGTTGCATGACAATGTTCAACAGACGCGTCTTGCTCTCCTTCTTCCCCGCTGCACCATTGACGGCGTCAATGTCCTTTTCGAGAATTTTCTTATACCAGTTGCGCTGCATGTCGCTCATTCCGACATACAAATTAATCTCCTTTTTGGGCAACAAGCTCTTCTCGACGTCATTCTTGACACGACGCAGGAGGAAAGGCCGCAGGACACGGTGCAACTGCGAGACGACGGTGTCCTGATCTTCGCTTTGTGTGCTGAACCACGAGTCGAAAGCCTCAGCTTCGCCGAAGACGTCGGGTAGAAGAAAGTTGAGCAGTGCCCAAAGCTCGTGAAGGTTGTTCTGGAGCGGAGTTCCGGTAATGAGCAGACGTCCTCGAGAGTTGAATAGTCGGAGCTTTTGCGCGAGCGATGACTCCTCGTTCTTGATGCGATGAGCCTCGTCGATGATGATGTATTCCCATGCAAACTTCTTCAGGTGGCTGCTTTCACGCAAGATCATCTCGTATGAGGTGATGCAAACGTCAAACTTCTCATCCACCAGACGCTCCTGAATGAGGTCTGCACGCTCCTCCTTTGCACCCTGCAGTACTAGAACATTGACCTCGGGGATCCACTTGCCAAACTCGCGCTTCCAGTTGTCCAACGTTGATTTTGGCACAGCAATCAGATGTGGGCCGGTGATGCCTTGCAAGAAGCGCAGGTAGCCAAGAAACGAGATGGTCTGCAGTGTCTTTCCCAGACCCATCTCGTCGGCAAGAATACCAGAAATACCGTTCTCATGCAGGCTGACGAGCCAGTTGAGTCCTGCAACCTGGTAGTCCCTCATTTCACCGCCTTGAATCCACTTAGGACTCTCGCGGAACAAGGTTTGCTCTGTCTTGCCTTCCTGCTTGCCTTGCCGAAGTAGCTCAGCATCTTCCTCCTTCTCGGTCCGCCGCCGCCGATCTCCAGCAGCACCACCCTTGCGCTTGTTTCCTGTTGCGGCGCTGGCTGCTTCCTCCGCATCCTGACGATCAATCTCCTCCATGATCTCACGGATCTTCGGATCCGGGTTGTTGTCAATGAAGTGGCGGAACAAATCGGTCAGGCCCAGTAGGTAGCGGAAACGGCGGATCGAGTCGTCCTGTTTACTGGCGCCGAGCTGGTCATGCTTCTTGCCAAATACACTCTTCCGCAGGCCCGCTGCCTCCCATCGCTTCTTACGACCATCCGGAGCATCACCGGCGACACTGTTCGCGGTGCCGGTGGGATTTGACTCGGRGTCTGTGTAGTCGGGAGTGTCGAGCATGGCTGTGTCTGGCATTGAGCCGTCGCCTGCACCAAGCGCCTGCGTGCTACTCATAGTGGGCAGCAGGTAAAGATGTGAGCGGATGGTGCGATTGTCGATGGCAAACGCGCCGTCCGCACCGAACAAGCTGGAGTACCCGGCTTCGTGAGTTCCTCCTGGGCTCGAGCTTGGAGACTTTCTGCGCGCGTGATATTCGCGGAAAGTCGCGTCGTTCGCGTCGTCAGCACGGTATGTGATGGTCACTGGTCAATTGGCGATGACCCAAGTCAAGTGGCGCGCGCTGTTGCAGAGTTGTCAGATGTAACAGCCAGCACGTGTGGAGGGTGGAAAGCAAAGTATCGAAGTTAACTTATACTAGTGCAAGAGCAGAGATGGGATGAGCTCGGATGACGCGCCAAAAGACAGATCACAAGAGCCTTGGCGCAACAAGAGTACCTTACTTTACATTCAACATCAACTCGTCCACAATATTTTTCTCGTAAGACTCATCATCTACAACGACGGCTAAGATGCATCATGCCTGCAAGTCACTCAGGGAGAGAGTTGAGGCGTCTCATGGACGCTTGGCGACTCAACGTCCTGAGGTCCTCCATGGGCAATGATCGAGCATGGGTGTTCTCACATCATCTTTAGGAATGCCGCAAAGTACTGCATGAATACGATTTGGACACTTCTTCAAAATGAGCCTCGCTCACATACACGCGACGCCGCATGATCCCATGCCCAACCACTGAATTGTTTTCGGAACCCCTGACACAGAATAAGCCCCTGTCAGATGAACGAGCACAACATGCAATCCATTCACTGCGCATGCTCCCACATCTAGTATGGGGTTAATCTCCAAGCACCATACCCGTAGTCATTGCTTCGCCGCCCCCAACAAAGAACCAGACGAATGGGACGACTTGGAATGAAGACCACCGAGTTATTGAATCAAACACAAAGCCGTCAATGGCATCCCATTGTTCAACGCCACATCCGGACAATGAACTTCTCGTGTGATTCAGGATGGCAGCACTCGCCACTCCGCCTCTCACTCCAGAAGCACGTATTCTCGCCAGCGGCGTGCGGCTCTTGACACCTTCCAAGTCACTAGCAAAATCCGCTTCTTCCAGATCTGTTTGGGTCCAATATCGCAATGGCCTGTCCAGCACCATTTCTGGCGCCCGCYGACTTCCCGGCTAACCAAGGCTGTGAGTCGTCTAACAAGCCACTGGAGGTCAATGTGCTGACCTTGAAGATAGACATTCCCGGCCGTTTCTGCGGCACCATCACATCAGACCTCGCCTGCTGCTTACCTTGTCCCACACAAGATTGGCTCTACTCAGACAGTAAGTCCTCCCTTCTCAGTCCTATACGCCGGCCTGACAAGCTCCCTTTGCAGGTTTTGACAAGAATGTCAAAATTGGCACATGGTTCAACATCCCAAGTCTGGTATGCCAGGTCTTCCTGCTCGTCACGTTCGCGATCTGGCCGAAAGAGACCAGCCATCGGCACTATTTGAGCATCGGACTATGCATCTCGCTCATCCTCCTCCATCTGGCATTCATCATCCCATTGGGAACTAAGCCTGAAATATGTGCGAATGCGTTGACTCCCAAGGACATGTATTCCAGCCTGTCATGTGCATGGTCAGGAGCGTTTCTCGAAATCGGTGCGATGGGCATATCTGTATGGGGTGAGTACCTACGCTGGCTATTCATTCGGCCGACTTATTCTGACATATGGTGCAGTTTTGCTGCGCTCTCTTTGGGTACACCTGCAGGTATGCTGGGATGTCGACATCCTCAAGAAGAGAGCGGGATTTTGGGCGGCCCAAGCGATCGGGTGGGGTCTTCCAGGCCTGTTCCTAGCCGTCAGTCTCCCAATATCAGGCGTCTCCTACCGCGTGGGACCAACCTGCTTCCCAAACACGTACAAGTCTTTCATCACTTGGTTCGGATGGCTGATTGCATTTGGCTGCCTCGCCACCGCTATCCAATTCACAACCACAGTATTCTGCCTCTGGATCTACCTCCGAGACCTTTTTGGTGGCGAATCTTCGACTACGACCAAAAGCTCGGGGGTTGGCAGTAGGAATAGCACCTACATCGAAGAGCCTGCAGTCAAGTYGGGTTTCGACGCTGATGAATCTGCGCGTGGCACACTGGCGTGGGAGCGTGTCAAGAAGGTCGCGAAATCCCAGTGGCGGAGCATGGTACTGTGCATCGGCTTGAGTGTGTTCTCGATCTACTTTGGAGCCATTTTTGTCTCTCAGGCGAGGACTGGCGCGAGGGCGGCATCAGGCGAGAGTCGCGACCCACTCGTGACATGGGCTTTCTGCCTAATTACCAACAACGGCGATAAGAGCCAATGTGGTGGCGTTGGCAAGGCCATTGGCTTGAACGAGAACATGGTGGTCGCCATTTGGCCTCTTGCGGGTGTAAGTAAACACCCCCTAGTCTGACATCGCATGAGCTAATGGGACTGATATAGTTGCTCGGCTTGCTGACTTTTCTACTCATGTTACGTGGCTCGATGCTGAACGGATGGTGGCGACTGATTCGGTACCAGCGTCGACAGCCCAGAATCGTTGAGAATACTGCTCATGTGAAACGAGACGAGAAGGTCCAAGGATACGGAGACTTTGCCCTCCCCGAGGAAACCAACGCRACAAAGCGAAAGTCATATGGTATCCGACTCGAATCGGAGAGACCAGGCATGGTCAGTCCCACAGACTCGGAGTATGCAGGAGCTCCAGCCTCCCCTGTGTCACTAGAAGAACCGCAGTGGCCCATGAGTGCGTACCGGCAACCAAGTACAGAGCGAGTCGGCGCTTACAGGGCTTATAATCCAGCGGCGAGACTTGCATCAGTGCGACAGGTTCCAACGGATGGTTTCGACAGCTCTAGCGACGAAGACGAAATAACACCTGTGCATGAGAGGAGGAGAGACGACCATATGGTCTGAGGCTGCTTGTTATTTTCGCGGGGCCCCGTAGCCCTGCGATTCCTTATGTAGATGTCAGTAGAGTTGGGCGCATCCTTATACTGTAATGGGTTCAGAATCGTCTTTCATTTGACCATCAAATCACGTCTTGGACCAGCAAAAGCTTCATCATCCGACTTCTTCACATGCGTGATGACAAAGCTCTCGGCTTGAGCACTTCGAGACTTCACAACGAAGAACGTCGCCTTACACCAACGCCAAGGCTCAATATGCCTTCAGACGACGCTCGCGATCGTTCGGCATCGCCGCCGCGCGAGTCAAAGCAGAAGAAGCAGAAGACCGGCGGATCTAGCGGCTTCAAATGGAAGAGCAAGGCACCTCGCGACGAAGAGGCCGACAGTCGCAACAGCGGTCGCCTCGAGCGCGGCTACAGAGATCGTTCACCGCGAYGCGACAGCTATCGCGACAGAGACGGTGAGCGTCCACAGAGGAGATTCGATGACCGAGACGACGACCGACGTAGAGATCGCTCACCACGTGGAGGTCGCGACAACGGCGGCGGGACCGACAGCTATCGGCCTCGAAGTGAAGACGATCGTTCCAGGGATGATAGGAAGCCAGATCAATCTGTTGCGTCAGAGAGTAAACCCAAGGRGAAGAAGGAGAAAAAGGCCAAGAAAGCACCCAAACCCGTCTCTGATGAACCTATGATTGTCGTCAACATAAACGATCGACTTGGAACCAAAGCTGCGATTCCTTGCTTGGCGAGTGACAGTGTCAAGGCCTTCAAGGCGATTGTCGCGATGAACATTGGACGACAACCGCACGAGATCATGTTGAAGAGACAGGGTGAGAGACCTTTCAAGGACCAGTTGACGTTAGAGGATTATGGCGTCAGCAATGGAGTGCAGCTGGACTTGGAGCTTGATACTGGCGATTGAGGCGGCTGTGTGTCGGGAAATGGGAATCAAATGGAAGAAAACTGCTTGGAAAAGCAGTATACAGCCACGAGTTGAAGAGTCCGGGGGCAATGGCCCGCACGCTCTCCTCACCATGTGGCAATCATACTCAAGACCTCTCGTTGGCAGATCGAGAAAGGCGGAGAAGCCAACAATCGAGAGTTCGAAGCCTGTAGCTGAATACCTCGCCATGACCATGGCATGAGTTATTCGCGCCTGAGTAACAATATAACCTCCGGAATGAGCGATCGTTCTTGTCGAACGCAATCAGACACATTCACATTCTCTCGTTGTCACACTGTCACACTGTCACACTGTCATACCGACCACCTCTTTCTCATAGCGAGAAAAGCCTACATATCTACTTTAGGGTTAGGGTTGGGGTAGTATGGCAATGGTCTTCGGGCAGCTTCACACAGCTCTGGCGAGTAGAAGCTACACGTAACTTATGTGGGAGTAGCCTGCTGTGATTTTTAGTGCGGTATTGTGTGTGTGGAACTGAACGTGGCTTTTCCTCAGTGTTTGCTCCATATGCTCACACAATTCCATTTCTCGCAGTATCACACTCCAGGAGAAGTAGATCACACTCCTCCCGAACGACCCCCTAGCAAACCAAGAACCTACCCAGCGAACTCCCACGAGGCAGCGCCTTCAATCGACCAAGGAATGCGGCCTAGTCAATATACGCCGCCAACTCATCCATGGTCACTCTCCCTAGACAGATCACAATACAGCACGATTTGACGTTGGAAAGGATCACTAGATGGTATCATTCGCTCGAGGGCAAGCTACGGAATGTAATTATCCTCCCATCCAATGCGTTTTGTACTTCCACAGATGACGCCGGGCCCCCAGGCTCACATATACGGCGATGTAAACCGCCGCATATTCAGTGCAGCGTTCCGAGTCGCTGATGCCCAAGGATAACCATTCCACGTCTGACTACTTGTTTTCCTGGCAACAGTAGACAGCTCGGTGTCGTTGCTGGGCAAGACGACCTCACAGCCTCGTCACCGCCTTGTGCTGCTATAGCGGTGCACAGCACGGTAGTGCTAGGCTCAACACATGAAAGCTTTAAATCCATGTATCGTTAATCAGAGTGAGCGTTCAGCCTGTTTCGTTCATAAGTTTTTCAGATTTCGAATAGCTCTATCAATTTACACGCTGGTATCGGGTTATACAAATAATGCCACGCTGCGGCTCACAGGACCGATATATAGCTCCCAAGACGATCACGTTGGTTCTGTGCAATGCATTCGGAGATCCAGGTGATGTTTCGCACCTCCTGGGAAGGAATTAGCATAACCTCAAGTTGTTCCACCCTTGACCCATCGACTTACCTGTTCCCGGAGCTTCACCCATGCATATACCAACGAATGCGTGAACTGATGCGTGAATGTGAGCTTCGCCATCTCCATCTCCTTCTGGTAGAACAGATCTTCCAAGCTCTTGCTTTCATCGCCTCCCATTCCACCTGACTGGTTGCCCAAGTTGTTGCCACCTCCCAAGCCGGTCTGGTCCATCATCGTCCTGTAGTCGTGCACACCGTCGACTGCTATCCGCACACCCTCAACATCGTCCGCCCGTGAAAGCATCAGTGTACCCTCTGGATGCAACCGCCCGAAAGCGGGGTACAGCTTCTTGCGATCCTGCTTTGATAGCTCCGTGCCAAACGAGTTGATGGTGATGTTGATGCTCCTCCGATCCGCCTCGAACTCCAGTATCTCGCTCATGATGTCTTGTGTCGGTGTGCCCGCAATACCTGGCTCCTCATTCACGAAGCGGAAGAAGTCCTCGAGGTAGTTCTTGTATAGCGTATTCCGAATGATCTCAATGTTCAACTCGTCCAAATCCTGATGGCTGAGGGAGCCCTTGAAGTATGGCGCAAGTGGCGTTTCAATCAACACAGAGTTGTACAGCTCTTCAATATTGGTGGCCACGCATAGCACAGGCATCGTCTCGAACCAGCCGAGAGGGTGGCAGCGCTCCAGCAGCTCCTTGGTATCGCGCTCGTGCAGCGTGCCGGTGATGAGAAGGGCAACGTTGTCGATCATGTAGGCGTAGGTTAGATATTCCATGAACTTGGAGAGGCTGCCCGTGGCGTTGGCCTGTAGGTAGCGGAACTCTGCCACAAGCTTGTCGAGAGTCTTGTCGGCGAGCGCGGATGTTGATGGGTTGGGTGGGAGCGCCGCAAGGTAATCGCCATATGCTGGGCCCAGCTGGAGTTTGACGTCTGAGGTATGGTGTTAGCACATTTCGTTGTATCCACTCCCAGTGGCGGCCATACCGTCAATCGACTCGCATTGCGTGAGGTTGGAGTACTGCGATCCAGACAACAGCGCGCTGCGGTAGCCTCGCACGATCCCCTCGAGATAGCCCGCCGTGGCATTGTAGAACATTCCCTCGGCCATGATGTTCGGYGGAGATGATTTTGTGATGTGTTGAAGGTGTTTGGACTATGTCATGGAGAAGATGGATATGGAAGTCGGAGGTGAGGCCGGTTAGAGCAAGATGCTTCCCCTAGCGCCACGGGTGTATGAACACAACACAACGTTGTCACATGCAGATCCTCGACATCTCAATGTCGGAAGATTGTCGCATGGTGATTTACGAGCAATGAATGTTCACCAAACAAAGTGGAACGAGACGTGTGAGCCGATATTGCCAAGAGCATATATTTCGTTAATCATAGGTACAGATTCTCTCATGATCTGGCTATAGCAACACACAAAAGCAAGGCAGCGGGACTCAAGCGCCCGATGCGCGAGTCACCCCACCGACGACTGCGCGTTTGCGAGACGCCAGTACGCCAGTGTCCGTTCTAATAATACAACAGCGGACAGCGACACACGACTATAACTTTTGATGAGCTGAATGAAGCTGTCGCTTCTAGTCCATCTCCATGGCATGAGCAGCACAGCCGACGATATCGACATGAGCATCATCGACTTCGGACTGGGACGCCGGAATCGGATCAGTCTCCGCGACAAGCTTGCCGCCCGGAGCGGCGAGTTCGAGTGCGGGCAGCATCTTCAGACGCGGAATGAGTTGGCTTGGGTCGGTGGTGACAAGGCGTGCCTCGGTGAGATCGGTGGAGAAGATGTAATATTCGCGCTGGCCCGTGTTGGTGTTGTTTGCGGTGACGAGATATGCTGGAAGTGCAGAGTTCTCCAGCCAGATAGCGACGTCAGTGAGTCGTGAGAAATGATTCTGGATCCACTTGGAGTATGCTCGTTGTTTTATCTGCAAAACCTCTGTGGAGTCCATGCGTTGCCAGCTGATGCCGAGAGAACGAGTCGCTTCATCGATCAATGGTTCGGTAGTGGCTTCGCGGATCGTATGAGGGAGCACGAGCTGGGCAAGATCGTCGGCGCCAGGTAACGATGCCTTCGAATCCATGCGCTGAGATTTGCGGCTGGCGACCTGTGGACGTTGCGCAGAAGCCGTGTTGAAGGGGTCGTGTTCGTTGCACCCTCCCATCGCAATCTCAGAAGGCGATTCGGCGAACGACCGATAGCTGTAAGCTCTGTCCTCTGACGGCGTTGAGATTGAGCCGTCATCGTTCCGGCCGGCGTCTTCCTCGACCTCAGAGAAGATGTCACCTCTAGATCGCTTGCGTCCGGCGAGGGAAGGAGCCGATCCCGGCTGAGTCGCAACTTGTGTCATAGAGTGGTTCTGAAAGTCGTTGAATGTGGACGAAGGGCCATTCGGAATTGGTCCGCCAGTGTCAGTCTCCATGTAGTGGTTGCCGAAGTATTGTTCTTGAGTTGAGGCCGGAAGAACGACGGTGGGAGACGTCCTGAAGAAGCTGTTGGAAGACATCCCGGAATTGAAGTGAGCTGCGTCAGTTAGATGATCTAAAAGCATGTGATTACTCTGCAAGCTGAGAACGAGCTCAGAAAGTGCCTGTGAGCCGCCTATGTTGACTGAGGTGATGGTTGTCGGTTCGACGTTGTATTAACGTTGCAAGTGAGGAGATTGTCGCAATGGGTGAGAGGCAATGTGAAGTGAGTCGCGTAAAGGGCGGTAATGTGATGATGTTGTGATTGTGAAACGCTTGATGAAGTAGGGGCGGTGTTGAGAAGAATTGAAAAAGTGGTAGATGGTTGCGGTTGGAACGAGAGAGGAAGACGATCGTTGGAACAATCGCCCGTTTTGAAATCCAGGCTAATACCAATGGAGCTTAGAATACCCCAGATTATTTCCAGCCTTCTTGTGAAGTCATGGCAATAAGCGCGATCACCTTATCCAAATGGGCTGAGCAAGGCCGGCTTTTTTCAAGCAAGGCCGACTTTGATTCACAGCTGTGGTAGGAGTTGCGAGGTCGATCATCGTCAAATGGTGACAATGATTGGTCATTCACTCACTCACTCACCACTAGAAGCAATGCTTGCTTGGTTTAAGGCTCGAACGAAGAAGCCATGACACGCCAGAGCGACTCTGAGTCGGTGGTCTGATATTCCTGTGGTAGGATGCGGCTGCTCATGGCTATAGGATCGGTCCCAAGCCGTGATCAAAAGAGCAATTCCAGGCTTCGTCATAATAATAACGCATATCGAGCTCACTGCGCATGTGGGGTTCCGGGAGCTCAAAAAAGCCTAAATTTACTGAATTTGGTACTCGAGCTAAGAATTTTAGCAACGGTTACCTCATGCAGCATCGGTTCCGCGTCGCTCTTCCTCACTCAACATCACACATTGACGCTTCCAACAGCGACAATGCCACGAGGAAACTTCAAGAGAGGCGGTCGCGGCGGCGGAGGTCGCGGTAGAGGTGGAGGAGGTGGTGGAGGACGTGGCAGAGGCGGCGGAGGAGGAGGCGGGCAGCGACAGTTCCAAGACAACCGGGTCTCCTTTGATCAGATCAACAAGACCAACGAAAAGTTCGAGCGGTACTACAACACCATCAACATCGTGCCGGCCGGCGAAGAGAGAGATGCATTCTGGGCCGCCCTCAAGAAGGAACTACCCAACTCGTTCCGTTTCACTGGTTCCAAAGGTCACGCTTTGAGCGTCCGCGACAACATGGTGAATCGGTACTTTCCGTTGATCAAAGAGATTCAACATGACGGGCGCCCTGTCGAGCTCCCACGACAGATGCCTTGGTATCCGAATGGCCTTGCCTACAGCATGGCTACGCCGAAAAACGTGGTCAGAAAATACGAGCCGTTCAAGGAATTCCAGCGGTTCTTGGTCAGTGAGACTGGTGTCGGGAACATCAGTAGACAAGAACAAGTCAGCATGATTCCACCACTCTTATTGGATGTGGAACCTCATCACACTGTATTGGATTTGTGCGCCGCTCCTGGCAGCAAGAGCGCACAGTTGGTAGAGCTTATCCACGCTGGAGAGGAAGAGCGAGTTGAGCGGGCCATCAAACGCGCTCGAGGGGAGGCTGGTAACGATGGGGTCGCGTCAAGCGGGCAAGAGTCAGAGGACTCGGGTCGCTCCACCGGGATGCTGATCGCAAACGATGTGGACTACAGACGAGCCCAGATGTTGATCCACCAGGTCAAGCGTCTCAACTCGCCCAACTTGATTGTGACCAACCACGATGCTACCATGTTTCCCTCAATTGAGCTTCCCAGCACCACACTCCAGAGCGGGCAGAAGCAGGGCAAATACCTCAAATTCGACCGCGTCCTGGCAGATGTTCCGTGCAGTGGTGATGGTACATGCAGGAAGAATCCCAACATCTGGAAGGACTGGCAGCCACAGAACGGGCTAGGACTCTATCTCACTCAGGTGAGAATTCTGACCCGGGCACTACAAATGCTAAAGGTCGGCGGCCGTGTGGTCTACAGTACTTGCAGCCTGAATCCAGTGGAGAACGAGGCCGTTGTGGCTTCGGCCATTGAGCGATGCGGAGGCTCAACAAAGGTCAAGCTGGTGGATTGTTCCGACCGCCTACCCGGACTACTCCGCAACCCCGGTCTGACTGACTGGAGTATCATGAACAGGAAGGGTGAAATCTACGAGTCATGGCCTGAAGCGCAGCAATACGAGACGGCAGAAAGCAAGCTTGCGCCTGGGATGTTCCCACCAGGGCCGGAAGAGGAGATCCCACTTCAACACTGCATGCGCGTCTACCCGCAGCAACAGGACACCGGCGGTTTCTTCATCGTTGCGATGGAAAAGCTGGGCGATATCCGTGCAAAGGCGGAAGCCGATAGCAAGTCTGCGAACAAAAGCTGGTCGTTCACACCTCCTGAAGCTCCTACGACTGCTTTCACGGAGCTCCTGGACGAGGTTTCCAGCGGTCAGATCAACAAGCCCGTCACTGTTTCGGGAGGACCAACAGACACGGCTTCGGCTGCAGAGCGACAGAATGGTACGGAAGACGTTGTCGCCGGAGCTGGAATTAAGAGAGCTGCTCCTGTCGACGGCCCAGACTCACTCGCGGCAAAGAAGCCCAAGTTTGGTGAAGATGTGCCTGATCGCCTGGAGACCAGACCTCTCCCACCAAGTGTTGCCCTTGGTGTAGAGGCGAATGGAGTTGAGCCCGCGACCAACGTCGTCGACAATGTACAAGACGTCGAAATGAAAGATGAGCTGAAGGAAGGTGCGCCCTTTGAGCAATCAGTCCGCCCGGTGGCAGTGCCAAAGCGACGAAGAGACGACAACGGTAACGACGAGGCGTTCAAGTATCTCGCGACAGATCATCCAGAGCTGCTCTCAATCTACAAGTTCTACGAGCTGTTACCGGACTTCCCTCGGGATCGCTTCTTGGTCCGCAACCCATCTGGAGATCCCGTGAAGGGCATTTATTACACCTCTCAACTGGTCAAGGAGATCCTCATCAGCAACGAGAACCGTGGTATGAAGTTTGTCCATGGCGGTGTCAAGATGTTTGCAAAGCAAGATGCACAAGGTCAGGACATMTGCAGATGGAGAATTCAAACCGAAGGCCTGTCCATTATCGAAGGCTGGGTAGGCGAGAAAAGGGTCATCAAGTTGCAAAAGAAGAGCACTCTCCGCAAGCTCTTGGTTGAGATGTTTCCGAAAGTCGCAACTGATCGTGCTGACAACGGCGAGGAGACTGGCGGATGGAAAGACCTTGGCGAGATTGGCGAGCAGGTGCGCGATATTGGGATGGGATGCTGCGTTCTGCGCGTGGAGGCATCCCCGAACCCGGGCGAGGACGATTTTAGTGAGACTATCACTCTGCCTTTATGGCGAAGCATCGCCAGCTTGAACCTCATGCTGCCCAAGGAAGACCGCAGAGCCATGCTGCTCAGAATTTACAATGAGGATGTCGAACTGATCAACCACAGTGATCCGAAGAGTAAGGGCTACAAGGGAAGCCAGCCTGCCGAAGAGAATGCAAAGGAGCTTCAAGAGAAGATCGCGGAGGATGATGAGAATGCCGGCAGCGCTGTCGCCGCTGCGGAAGAAGTCGCGGACGAAGCTCCTACTGCGGACGATGGTGCGGAATGATTATGGGTTGACGGCCGGGATGCTGGCGTAATAAGATTTCACACCGTCATACATGTACTTTGAGTATCATACTGAGGTGGCTCTCTACGTGCGACTCACATTTCAACATTCCACAAGCGTTGCGCTTGGATAGCAAATTGCTCGCGGCGACATTATCCACGACAGTCGATGTATGGCCTCTGCAGGCATCGGCGTGTAAATGCAGATTTGCCATTTTATACTTTGAGCACGAGGCCAGTTACCAGGATCGGATGTGGAGCATGATCTTGCGATCTTTCGGTCCTTCGGTTTTCATTCCCCGCCACACGGCGGATGCTCATTCGGTGACATACGCTTCGCTGGGCCACGGCAGCTTCGAATTTGTCGCTTCCATTCTTCACAATCTTTTCCAGATAAGCGGAGAAGGATGCTCGACACCTACAATGTTTCTTCATCTTGCTTTGCACGTGCGCGGAAAATGTGGTCCCGCTCTAGCCCTCGATCTCACCAAACGCTAAAKCCATGTGGTCGTCGCTAGTCTCCGACGAACATCGAACATCGTGACCCGTTTCATACCTCACCGTCTGTCTGCTATCATCTCTGTGTAACGTCTGCTGAATTTACAGCGGGTATGGACGGTCCACGACATACCGAGCCTCCTTCCGAGCGTTGGCAATGCCTGGACAAAGATATGTGATACCTCCTCCCGACCGGCAAGACCTCCTCTTTCGCCGTGCGCCACAGAATGCAGGGACCGGCTGCTCAGTGATCGACCAACGCGTGGGACAACACGAGCACGCTTCGAACTAACCTCCGCCATGCGTACAACACAGGGATGGCTCAAGACTGTGCAATCAATGCCTTCCGGCAAATTGACGCTCTCATGTCGTGCTAGCTTCACACCAACAGCGAAGTCCTGCCGCAAAGAGCTTTGTTTATCATCAGCAGCTCGGCCTTGCGCAATGCGCTGCGCAGCCGCCGAAGCGCAACTAGTTGATGGCCAAGAACTGTTTGGGCTAGCATGAGCTAGATCCGCAGAACCAGCCAGACCAGACAACCGAAGCGAGGCACGACTGCGCTCTTATCGTCGCACTTCTCTTGGACGAAGGATTCCTGGCAGCATCACGATCTGACATGCGGCGCAGCTTTCACTGTCTTCCGGACCATTTTCTGTATATTATTGCTCCTGCGCACATCTCACAATGAGACTGACTTCCTCCCCACGATGATGAGTCTCTGCACGTCGTCCTCGGAGCCACTAATCACAATTCCGTGTCGAAGTCCCGGCCAGAAAGCCGTCCGTACACGCATTGTCGCAGTCTGCAGAACTGCGAGAGAGGGCCAGGGCAGGCTTCTGTGTGACCGCCAATGTTTGAAGAGAGGTCGCTGTTATGGGGTGACAGCCCTCCTGATCCCAGAACTCGGGCGGGAAACTGGCCCTCCGTTTTGTTTTCCTGTAAGTCAGACTTGAAGAAGATGGATACCTTCGCTAATTCGGTCTTGCAGGGTGGTCAGTACGAAAGCTCCGCTCGAGCACAGCATTAGCTCATTTCCCGGATATAGGTGTACCTCATTCGCTACTGTAATAATTATCACCAGAGTGCTTGGGAGGAAGGTCAGGAATAATGAGCTCTTCCGCGAAGACTGGCTTACGATGCTCTCGTTGCCTCCATTGTGGTATGCGGTTTCATCATCTCCTTGGAGATCGTTGCTGAAATGTCTCTTCTTTTTAGGATCAGGATGGTCTTTGTCCATTTYGTGCTCATATACGGAACAAACAATGTGGATACCATCGGCCACACTTATACGGACGAGCAGCTTCGCCAGAGGAGTATGGGAGCAAGACTCGTACTGGCAGCAAGGATTTTCTACGCCATGTTCAGTAAGCTCGTGTTTCACCACAACGAAAAGGTGAAATGTACAGGAGCTGACAATACCCGCAGTCTGGATCATGAAGCTCACAGTCTCAGAGTTCCTCAAGCGAATCACCATTCGTATATGGCGTCGAAGCTACGAAATAACACTCCAGSGCATACGCGTGTTCCTTTTCCTCACATTTGGTGCTGTCGTAGTCGCTACCTTGACGGAGTGTCAACCCTTTGTAAGTGTAACGATCCTGTATTCGATCGGGCCGCCTGCTGACTTCCTTCAGGATCACTATTGGCAAGTCATGCCAGATCCCGGCCCGGGGTGCCGACAGGGCTTTGCTCAGCTTCTTACCATGGGGACATGTGACATTATCACTGATATTGTCCTCATTGCCTTCCCGTATGAGACTTGATTGGAGTACGATCAAGATAATCGCTGATGATGAAATAGTATTCCGGTCGTGTTGAGCTCTGGGCAAACATGGAAGCGTAAACTTCAGATGGTGTCTCTCTTTAGCTTGTCCATTATCATGATCGGTATGACGGCAACTCGAATGGTACGTCCAAGTGCACGCATGCCCTTACATTCATGACCTCTGACTGAAAACAACACGCAGCCGCAAGTGATAGAGGCACGAGGTCGCCAGCAGTATCGGACCGTATGGGCTTCCGCTGAGATTCTAGCAGCCACATTCGTGGTCAATGCAGTAACCCTTGGATCATTTCTCCGTGATAAAGGGTCGAAGAAGAACAAATTCAAGCGAGCTTACAGCGTCAGCGAGAGCGTTGAACGAGCCTCCGCAAGGAAACCTACTCTTGCGACTCTATATCAATTCGACAGCGACGATGACGATGACGATGCAGCATTGTTCCACTCAATGGGATATGGTGTCCCTGCGCACCTTCGAAGCCGGAAATCCAATACTCCGCGGCCAGCACCACCCGCGTTGACTGCGAGTCAAGGACTCGCTATCGTCAGGGAAGACGCGGAGGAGATAGAGCTCGAAACGAGGGACCCGCGTGGAAGTACCGACAGTGAAGATTCCTGGGGGGCGCCCAAGTCGATTCGCATCTCCCAGTCGGGCGCCCCCACCACAAAGAGCGTGGATCTTTTCGATGTAGGCCATTTACTCGAGGACGACGAGCAAAGCCCAACACGGCCACTTTCGCTGCTCACGACGGTAGACTCGGGATGCGACAACGTTTCTGCGCAGGACTTTGCAACATCGAGCCACGAAAACTCGGGGCATCACAACTTTTTGAGAGATGTTGGAGGCATTCTGAGCACGACGTTTGTGAGCGATCTGAGAAACAGCGCATTATCCCCGCGACGACACCACGACCACCACTCCCATAGAGCGAGCGGAGCTCGGCAAGACACAGCACCAATAGGGGTAGTAGGGCCAAGGTTGGAAAGACATGCGACAGAAGTCTCCCTCCAAGATGCTGGCGGACTTCTGCGGTCCGCGACTTATCACGACGATGCCGGTGAGCTTGTCTCGATATCGCAGCCCGCCGAGTCTTCAGAAGCCGGGCTGCATTTTGCAGACGTGGGAGGATTGCCACTTGACGATGACAGGCAACCTGATCACAGCGCTATCGCACTGCGACCTTTGCGAAGCCGCCAAAGTCTCGGACAGCAATCCGCGGCTTCGCCCCCACAGCGAGCCCAAGGGCCGGACGATATGGTTCTGCATGACCCTGGTGGGCTCATGGACGAATAGAGTTGACGAGCGTACGTGAATGTGTATAGTTACTGCACAGGAGTTTAGGAGGAAAGATACCCTAGCATCGCGATGTTGTAAAGCGATTTTGCGTTCCCAGCCATATCTGTGCACTTGCTGTTATTTCAGTGATTCCTCTGCGAAGTTCGATGGTATGCATAATCAGATGATGTCGGGTTTGCCCTCATACAGCATCCAACATAGGAAGGACGTCGGTCCGTTGTATATTCTTGCCGTCAAGAGGCTGTAAAAAGTGAGAAGGTGCGGAAGTTAGTACGTAGAGATGGACTGTTGGGCGACTGGCTTCCGCAAGAAATGTCTTGCACACCACCATCATCCTGCAGATAGCGACTGATAAGAAGTCGGATGATTGATTTGCAGCTGTCATCCATGAAGCGGAAGCTCCCCCAACAAGCATGATGAGAAGTTTGCTTGCGCGGGATCCCTGTCAAAAAGAGCGACGTTCCCACTCATCGGACTTCGCCGACAATTCCGTCACGATTCACTATGGGAAAGAAACGCGATCACGAAGGCGACCTCGCGCTGGCCGACGACGCCGCCGGCTCGCCATCAAGCGGTGGGGCGACAACGACCAATTTCAGAAACGTCTCGGCGTGTAATCGCTGTCGCAATAGAAAGGTCATTATCTTCCCCATGCGGCGGAGTGGAATGAGGTAGCGGAAACATCTTCAACGACTACAGTCATGTCCGAAGAGAGGCACCTTTATCCACTCCAGTCTGTGGAAGAGTAGTGTTTGAATTCTCAACTAACACCTCGCAGAATCGCTGCGATCAGAAACTACCCAAGTGCACAAACTGCTTAAAGGCCAATGTCAAATGCGTAGGCTTCGATCCTGTCAGCAAGCGAGAGATTCCACGCAGCTATGTCTACTATCTGGAGACACGGGTTGTCAATCTCGAGGCCATCTTGGACGCCAATGGCCTCTCCTATCCGCCACCGCAGGAAGACTTTGCCATCAGCGAGGCCATAAAACCAGGCGTAAATGTGCCTTTTCCTGTCCTCGAAGATGAATCTCCCGTACAATCGACACCAAAGACACCCTTAGCTTCCAACGTTACACCCACGCTCGATCCAGCTCTTGTAGAGCTGGATGAAGGTGCAAGGCTGGACAACCTGGTCAACAACATCGGGATGGTGTCGGTTCATGGGGCCTCAGGCCCGCGCTTTGCGCCTTCTACTGCAGGTATCAGCTTTGCCAATGTCGTGTTTGCTGCTGTCAAACGATCCGTGCACCCAACTTCCACAGCTTCGGAGAAAAGTGCAAGCAAGCCTCCCAAGTTGCTGCCCAGTGAGACTGCCAGCGGAGGACCGACGATGAGAGATAGCTTCTTTGGTCTTCATTCGAAGCCTACGATCAAGCAGGCTCCTTTCCCAGAAAAGGAACTCGGCTATCGTTTGACAGAACTGTACTTTGAGCATGCAAATCCCCAAATACCTGTGCTGCATCGACCCGAATTCATGTCTTTGTTTGAGCGTGTCTATGCAACAGATCAAAAGAAAAGGACGCCTCGAGAGCTGTACTTGCTAAACATCGTCTTTGCCATTGGGTCAGGAATCATCATGGACTCCTCGAATGTCGAGCAAACTATGGCTGCCACGGAGTCTTCTTTGGACGGTTCGAAACCACCAAGCAAGAAAAGAGCGAGAATTGCAAATCAACAGCACCAGCCGGAGGAGTATCATGCATCTGCCATCATTCACCTTGAAAGCTTTTTAGGTTCATCGCCGGCCACGGAGGGTGTTGGAGGGGGATTGGAGGAGCTTCAGGCAGTCTTGTTGCTTGCAGGCCTAGCTCTGCTCAGGCCCGTGGCACCTGGTCTCTGGTATATCATTGGCGTGGCGGTACGGTTAAGCATAGATCTCGGCCTTCATAACGAGGACATAGACGAGGAGCTCCATTCTCGGGCGACGTATGCGGATCCTGCAACCGAGAACGGGATTTCAGTCTCTGACGGGGATGGTCGCAAACAGTGGACTCGAGATTTGCGGAGACGGCTCTGGTGGTGTGTCTTCAGTGAGTGCAGCGCGTGTATCGAATGCTGGTATGAGCTAAACCCATGACAGATCTTGATCGGCTGGTGTCTGCCTGCGTTGGAAGACCGGTATCCATCAACGAAGCTGTAGTCACGACAGAGTTCCCAAGCTTGTTAGACGACCAGTATATCACGCCGAGTGGTTTCCTCCTTCCTCCAAACCAGCAGAACCTCCCTAGTTACAAGCTGGTAACTCACCACTACATTCGCTTGAGGTTGTTACAGTCCGAGATCTTGCAGGTATTGCAATATCGGCAGGCTGATCAAGCGAGGAAGCTCGGCGCAAACCGCGACAATCCGTTCCTCTCGAAAACGCTGGAGTCTCAATTCATGAAGCCTTTTCATTCATATCGTGAATGGCGCTCCAACATTGACGGCAGGCTTCGCGAATGGAAAGACTCTGCTCCGAGGCAGAGTGACACGGGTGTTGCGTTCTCGCCGCTCTTCCTAGAGCTGAACTACTGGCAGGCGATCATCATGCTCTATAGGCAGTCTCTTTCCGTGCCAGAGCCACTGGCCAGTGAACTGAGCCCGGCGACTGGAGAGGATATACAAAGCCCGGGTGCTTTCAATCTGGAGCAAGACGAGGAGCAGCAAATGGTCTTCTTGAAGGTGGCTCAGGCCGGCCAAACAGTTCTCAAAACTTACCGTCAACTCCATCGACTCAAGCTTGTCAACTACACATTTCTCGCGACACATCACCTGTTCATGAGTGGGATCTCATTCCTTTACGCCATTTGGCATTCCACTCTTGTGCGGTCCCAGCTCACGATTGACGATGTGGACTTCACCATCCTGGCAGCAACTTCYGTCCTGACGGACCTCGTGGAAATGTGCCCGCCGGCTGAGTCCTGCCGGGACGCCTTTGTTCGCATGAGCAAAGCCACGATCTCGATGGTCATGAGCACCACAGGATTCGGAGCGACGTCTACACTGGCAATTCAGCCGCTTAGAGATTCCGAAGGCTACTTTGGCATCCGGCCCAGCACTGCATCGGGGTCTGAAGGATATCCTTCAGCCCAATCAGATCGACGCAAACAAGCGCCTAGATTCGATATGAACCTGAAAGAACTCTTCTCCACAGAGGAGCTCGCAGGCCGTCCTCTGATGCACCAATCAAGGCTTCAGGTACGTTCGTCGCTTATTTCCATGCAGTCTCAATCTCGATCCGCCGATGGGTGCTCCGACGGTGTACCAGATCTATCCGCGGTATAGGCTGATGACATGCATATGCAATCATGAGGACCGTGACAAATGTGCAAAAAAACAAAAACAACCTTGGCAACTCTAACAATCGGTGGTTCTAGGACTTCCTCAGCCCGCCTCCCAAGCGGGAGACACAACGTCCTCATTCCGAGCGGGTAACAATGAACAGCAGTCCGCAAAGCATCGAAGGCGCCTCGCAATATTCCCCAATGGAGCTCCGGAGAACATCAAACACACCATATCACGCGGGCGTCCAAGACGCATTCTCGAACTATTCTGGAAACAACGTTCCCCACACTACTACTACTCACCCGGACTACTCGTTTGACAACCTCGACTTTTTAACAGAGTTCACGGTAGCTGATTCCGGTGCCACTGCATGGGGCCAAACGARCGAGCTAGATCTGAGCGGTACCGTAGGGTTCGACGGGAGCGGGGCGTGGGAAGCCAACGCCGAGCTGCTAGACGGTTTCTTCTTCAATGGGTCTGGGAACACCGCCGGACATTGAATGTGTGWTGATTGTGGCTCGAATGACATGCGCCATCTGTGAAGAAAAACTTTATCATGCAGAAGCGAGTGTGTGGAAACCCCCAGGGGGCCACAACCATGAAACCGTTGTGCGACCCTCGGTGTGTCTCAGACCGCAAATTTGGTAACGAGGTGTCAGCCTAATGTAACGTCAATGACTTTGTGGAGAAGGAGGATTGTAGAAGTGGACCACACGCGACGCGGGGAATGCTCAACGGGTTGATGTAGTAGGAATGTATTCTCGTCCTATATCGTCCACAAACATAAGCTCGCAATGGAGTATTGTAACTCCCAAGGGTATCATAGAGCGCCTGTTCCAATGCTTGGTTTCCAAAATGATCGCCCAAAAAGCCTCCCAAGTCCCACCCATAAAACACCTTTTATAACACAAAAAGAGCCCCCCCGCCAATGAATTAGTCGCTGCGATAATGCTGGAAAATGGTAGATTCGCTCATCAGAACCGTTGCGAAATGTGAGAAGAAGGCAGAATCTCTAAACAAGAGCTGCGAAAGATCAAGCATCTGTTTCGGTCCGGAAGATTCCAGGTTATAGAGTGCTGTCGCGACGAGAGTGTCTTCGGATGTCCAGTGATATCCTTGAGAGGAGAGGTGAATCGGGTGCGGTGAGGAGGTTCTCATGCGAGTTGGACGTTTCTGCGGCGGCAACCATGCCAGATCCGAATTCAGTGCTGCCAGCAACATCTGATGCAAGAGGGAGTTCCACCGGGGCCTCCTTCTCTGACTCGAATACCCGGCGTTTCTCCTCAACCATGAGCATGCTAATGACGGCACCAATGGCGGCAACCAGTACATTGACCCACCAAGGTAGCCCAAGAGTTCCGATGGAAAGACCTGCGGATTGTAGCAGGCCGGAAACTGTGGGTCCGAAGGCTCGGCAGGCACTCGCTGCAGACGCGGCTGCTCCGTTGAGAGTTCCAAGTACCTTGCTTGAGGGCGCAGAGTTTGCCAACATGATGCTGCTGGACGGGAATGCAAATGCTTGTGCGGTGACCTTCCAGACAAGCGCAATGTAGATCAAAGGCATTTTGAGCGAGTCCGGTGCCAGAGAGATGTACGGAACCAAGAAGTACAGAAGCGGGTAGAGCATCACTACCGATCGGTAGGTCCAGAGACTCCCGATCTTGCGGTTGATGATTGGAAATATGATGATAGTGGCGATCATCTGGATGATGCCTTGTATCGATAGAATACCGCCAATGGATTTGGTAGACATGGCAAAGCCGCCAGTGAACTTGAAGGGCAGCGACGGAGGCGTATCAGACTTTGGCATGCTGAGGAGAACTGGCAAAAGTTGCTCCGCAGAGATGGTGTGACTAATTCCCTTGTTAGGACTGCTCATGACCGATCAGCGAAGATGCGTGCACTTACTATGCAAGGATACCATATCCTGTAATGTTCAACATCACTTGCTTGGTGAAAGCACTGCTTTTGGCAGCGGCCGCTTTGTGGTTCTGCTCTGTACGATTGAGCGCCTCTTCCACATCGCGTGCCAAATCGGCCTCAAGATCGGAATCTGCGACGGAACTGCGTGGAGAGCAATCGATGGAGCGATAGGCGGGCGGAGGCAAACCAGCCAAAGAAGTCGGACAAAGTTCTGGCGAAGACGCCGTACTGCTGTAGTCTGGTGGCAGATCGTCGATGAGCATAACGGTCTCTTCAGACAAGTCACCTTTGCGGCTCGAGATCCTTGCGGCTGTCGTTCGGGTGAAGGGACTCAAGATCCAGTTGCCGATCTCCAGTCCAACATCTCTTTTGTCCTTGATATCCTCATGCGTCTCTTCCAGAAACAAAATGCCTACCACCATGCTGAAGACCACAACACCGGTGCAAACCAGATTGGTCAGAAGGTATGGGAACTTCTCCCAAACGGTACCTGGCTGGAATACCGATGGGTAGTTCCGCACGGGGTCGGCGAGTGCGCCTCCTAGACCTGCTCCTATGAATGCTCCCATGCACCAAACAGTGGGCATGATAGCATAGGCGCGTGCCTGGTGCGCCTCGACCTTGACCACCTCATTCACGGTTGTTTGAAGAACGCCAATATTCCCGTTGAGGGCTCCTCCAACAGCTCTTGCGAAAAGGGCTATGGGTAGGTTGGGTGCGAAACCAAACATCAGCATGCTGATGCCCGTACCAGCCAGCCCAGTGAGCAAAATGGGTTTCCGACCCATTCTATCGCTTAGATTTCCCCAGAATCCCGCACCGAGACATTCTGCGGCTGCGAAGACGGATGTCACCAGACCGGCGTAGAGGGCGATTCGATTGCTATCGTCGGTGATGTGGAAGGATTCGATCATGTAGTAGATGTATGGGAATATGGACATGAAGGCTATCGGCTCGCATATCCGACATAGTCCTGATCATCTTCGAGTTAGAACAAAACCTCAGACCGCCGAGTGACCATCGAAGTTGGGAAGCCTCCATGGTGCGAGATCAACACATACCGAGAACAAATAGTTGCCGCAAGGGGAAAGCTTTGGGGTCAGCTTGCCTGTTTCCAGAGGAAGCCATGGTGGGGTATGTTGCGCAGGACAGATCGCTTGGGGTTTTGCGCGGCCAATGCGAGGTCTGTTGGTGGTAGGAGATATATCAGGTGTGGGTCAGGTCAGATGCGATATCACGCAGGTGTTGTGATGTCTGATTCTAGGACCACGGTTCCTGGCAAACAAATTTTCCCCAAGTCCCCGGGGGCTCGCTATTATACGTGCGGCTTGCAAGAGGCAGCAGATATAGTGCTGTGGTGCGCTGGCCGATGGCGGGACCGACTAGAAAAATCGCAGGTGCTCTTCTAGGTGTAACCGGAGGGGTGACACCGGCGGGATGCAGGCGAATTCGTGCAGCAGGTGGCCGCGGGTGTAAGAAGGTGAGGTGTCAGGTGTGAGAGGATGGAGGTTAGGTGCAGTAGCAGGTGTTGGGCGCAGTACAACGGAGGACGAGAGGGTGCGCAGGGAAGATGAAGGCAGAACGAGGCAATCACTCAATGGCATCAGGTCGAGCGAACGATGCGCCGCCCGAGGGGAGGCATGGCCGGTAAATACAGTAATTGCGGTCAAGGCCAGAGTCGTGCCCGCAGGGCGGGAGGAACACACACCCATCAACCGTCCGTTCGGCATCCAAGGCGCGACGGTTAGCAAGGGAAACCCCTGGACTAGGTGATACGTGAAAGCGAATTTACGACGGAGTTTGTTCTTGCAGCCCGGGGAGAACTTCCAGGAGCCGCGCCCAAGCCTTTGATCAACGACGGGGGCCATGTCATCGTCAAAAAGACCCAAGCAGGCATGTAGCAACTTGCATTAGTGCAAAGTCAATCGGTCCCAATGGCGGGTGCTCCCCGAGAAACAAGGGTTTGAACCGTACGGCACCGCTGGATCTTGATTCGACACTTGCTCGGGGGCCCTTGCGTCGCCAACGCTCCTCCGCGCCGGCCAGCAGCAGCAAAAGGCCCCACCCGGAACGCCAAGCTTACGGCATCACCGTTGTGGGCGCGCGACATGTCGCATCACAACCAGGTGCAGTTGCCAGCGATGCCATCACGGTGCCTGCTTCAGCCCTATCGGTCGCCGAGAACCCTTGATCACTGGACTCGAACACGAGAGGGAGGGCGCCGCGGCTGCGACTCACGAGACATCCATCTGAGACGCTGCGCAGCRTCAAGCCATCAGGTCCTCGCGGGGCGAGATGGTGAGGTCCTGCACGGCGGCAGCACCGCCGGCGTTTGCGTTGCGACACGGCAGTTTGTCGCCACGGGCTGGCCTACCATGGGACGGCGCTGGATGTAACCGGACGAGTCAAGCCCTCACCGGCGCCACATCCCCAGTGCTGTGAAGTGTAAACGGGCGGTGAAACTGCTGGGCGAGAGTGATAGGTCACGGTGCGACGAGCTTCAATCGATCCAGTTTGGCTCCCGGCAGAGCTGCTCGACGGCCCGCGGGACGTTTCCTCACAGTGCATGGACCGCCTTCGCCTGCACCGCGCTCCGGCTCAGCGGGAGCAAGTCCCGAGATGCGTTTGCCTCATCACATTTCGAATCTGCTTCTCACAGATCTCACACCACACGACCATGCATCCTCATCGCGGATCCGCGCCGTTGGCTGCGAGAGCCACATGCAACACCAGCAGTTGCAACCACGAGGAGCAGTGCCACCCGGCAGTCAGCTCATCTACAATGGTGCGTCGTAGCCCGGTAGCCGGCCTGCAGCACTACAGCACTCCACCCTGCACCGAAGCCGGCGCTGCAGGTGCGCTGATGATTTCAACCTTGAAGCTGGCAACCCGCCACGCGAAGTGGCAGGCCGGCGAACCTAAACCGCGAATGGACGGCTGAACTCAGGTACAGCCCTGGGCTTTCTCATTCGCCCATGCCCTCGCAGAAGTCCGCGCCAAAGCTTCTCCTGACATCTGAGCGCTCAAGTGCCGCTCAAAATGATCGCAAACATCTAGTCCCGGGGACGTGGTCTGGGAAGTTATAGCTCGACGATCAAACGTCATCATCAAAACGACCCGCATGTCAGACGTTTCACAACCCGACGGATGTGGACATCGCTTTTCGCATTCTCAAGCAGCATATCATGGTCCTGGAAATCCCCACGCTGACTCGGGCAATCTCGATACCATGACGGCGACATGGACATCCCAGCCGACCAGCATCTAAGCGCGCACCGTACCAAATGAAACTATCTTTTGCGACACCGACGATCATCATGACTTTGGCCAACATCATGGAGCACACTCCTGCTAATTTGCGGAAATCGCATTGCTTTGTCGCACGAATTTTGACGAGTCTCGAGGGAGTGTCACACTAAGCCCAAATCAAGTCATCGTTACTCATGACGGTGGCAACAGCTGGATAATGTTGGAACTAAAGCATAAATTGTGATTGGTGACTGCATCCGCCTCTACGACAGGCTATCCTGAACCTCCTAACGAATCCTACTACGATAGTTCGTGCAAAATTATCTTTGTCTCCGAGCTTTTTTGACTTTGGCGTGCCGGGCGTCAATTTGCAGCCGAATATTCCTGGAGCCGAATTGGCTCGCCGCGTTCTCTTTTACATGACCGGCCATCGGAATACGGGCAGCTGTACAAGCTGTCATTCGCCATTATTGCGATTCGTCTTGCTCCCTAGCCGCCTTATACAACAACGCTGCGGTCTTTCGCACACAGGCGACATGTCATTTTGCTCGAAGTTTGTAACACCAAAGCGTCCAAATGGGGCACGATATTTCAACGAGAGGCGGTGTGATCAAGCCAAAGTCAACGAAAAGTCCTTTTACAGTCACGCTGCCATCGTGACCCGAGCAAACGTGTCGAAAAGCCGCCTCTTCATCCTTGTGCATGGAAAATCATTTTAGCGACATTAGGCGCGTCTGCGGCGATAATGGATATGATTGTTGTACGCCCACAGGACCCACTCTCTGCAGCCAGCACCGTGAGGCAGGCCAATGCGTCAGCTGCGTTTTTGAGTCGCAAAATTGATGAAGCTAACCGGGGCAGCGGTCTGCAAAAGAGAGGTGCTGTCAAACCGATCGGTCGTTTTACAGTAAGTTACAGCCCTCTGGGAATTGTGGGGCAACGCAGCATGCGAGCGCCATGGCGCTGGTAGATTTCGATTTMGATAGGAACAGGCACTTGATGCAAGTGAGCAAAAGTTTCCTTTTCAACAGGGATCAGGCGTGACTCGGTTGGAGAGGTGTGGTATCTCCCAGGATATAACGTTGCGGTGACAATTTGCGGCGGTCTGCGTGCTGTTCGAATGATCTGACGCGTGACCCCATTGCTTGCATAGCGTCAGTCAACAACGTGTGCCTCAACTTTCGGCCATGGCGGTCTAGGTGGATTGCGATTCGCTTCTTGACCTCCAACCCATCCAACATGCAGCGAACATGGCGCTCCTGACTCCTGCCTTTACGCAGCAAAAACTCTGCGTGGACTTGTACGCGCTCCGCCGTCGCGATTCGACTGTTGTGTCACCGCTGATGATCGCTATGGCAGCGCAAGTCTGAGCCATGCATGMCCAAAGGGCATCTACGTGGCTCCAGTCCCAGATGAGCCTCTGGTCTGGAGCGGCACGCTGTTCGTTCGCAAAGGTATGGCTTTCGGGAGCAGTGGTTGCTTGGTCCTGCAAACGCGCTCACACGATTCTCCAACTTCCAGGACCGTAWGCAACGGCCATATTGAGATTTCAAATCGCTTTTGCAGATGACCATCCCCAGAGGCCGCCAGTGATCACGTTCCAAACCGACGTCTTCCACCCTCTGGTTACACCGCTCACGACGTACACCTACTCTACCCGCGACTCGGGCGCGGGCACGGATCCGCAGAGTGCAGCAGACGAGCAACGATTGCCTCCCGGCGGCCTCAGTCTCCGTCACGGCTTCCCGGAGTGGTTCCAACTGTCGGGCGCGGGGGTAGTTGGGACGATGAATTACGGTGTTTCACGCGCCGACGATGGCGTAGAAGGACAATCTAGCGCGGAGCACCAGCGGGCACCGCATGTGGTGGAGCTACTGCAGTACATTCGCATCGCTTTCGACTCGGAAGACGTCTTGGATTCTATACCACTCGATGCAGCGGCCAATGCAGGCGCATGGCACGCATGGAGAAGTTTTCGGGCGAAGAGCACGAGCCAAGCTATACCCTTGCCACGCTCCGAGATCAAGCAACCAGACGCTGAGCGCAGTCAGTCGCCCAGACAGCAGCCGGGCGGGGCACGACGACCGGGTGAGTGGAATTGGCAAGGCGTCTGGGAGGACAGAGTACGCAAGAGTATCCACGCCAGTGTCTCTGAGCCAGTGTTGTATGGTGACAACAAGAACGATGTGGTGAGCTTTGCAACGTGCTCGACACACGCATCCTCGCCCTCGTTTCTGCTAACCGTGTCGACCTCTTTAGATCAGTTTTGTCAAGGTCGAGCCAGACGTCCTCGATCAGCTACTTCAAGCTCCACACGTTGCTGGATAGAGCAGGCCATATCAATCACAAATTCAAGTACTGTCAACATTGAAGTGTTGCTCGCCAGATTCCCGTTCCTTCCCGTCAAGATCCAAGTAAGAACCGTCAAGTGTACTTTCCGAAAATGTGTTCATATTGGTCGGCAAGTGCACCAGTCAAGATCTCTTTCTCCGTGGCATGCAATGGCTTCCACGGCATCTGACCCGCCTACATTGTGAGGTATCATGGCGAACAAGGAAGTGAGTGGCATATGAAATGTATGTCGGTGAAATGCTTGCTAATCTCCCATATAGAACCTTTCGCCGCACAGCGCCGCATCGAGAAATCTCGCGCACGATGGCTCGGGACCATTCGTCCACGCATCCAGCAGCAACCGCAATCAAGCACACAGTCCCATTTTCGGCCTCTCTCCAAGCAAGAACCCCGTCCTCAACCAACAGCGAGACCACTCCGCTTGTCGCCGAACAGATTTGCCATTGAAAGTTCGTAAGACACGGGAGAATCTCAGAGAGCCTGTCGCGTACACCAATGTCCTGCCACCACTGCCACCATGTGTTCACGCAGGTCACACGGCGGCTGAGGTGTGTGCATTGATGACTGGGAAATGCGGCATGCGGCTGACTCTTTTCACCAAAGGTCGTCAGAGAAGACGCGCACGACCAAATCGACACGTCCGAATCAACGCTGGTGGATGCTTATGAAGATGACAACGCAGCCCTGCGCGCTCTTGATCCTGCGCCAATGCCCGGCAGGATGCAGAGGCATAAATCTGTTAGCCGACGAATGCTTTCCAAGGTGAAGGAAGGCATTTCTCAACGATCTCGCAGCTCACAATCAATGCGACCTCCAGCAGGCTCAGACACAGGCTTGATGCGAAAATTGTCAGGAAAGATCAAGCAGAGTTCGGAAGAGCAGCCCCGAATGCGCAGCTTCGAAATCAGTAGAGAGAGCATCGACAGCCTGGTTGAAGACGGAATAGGTGCGAAACCTACAGCATCATCCAACCCCAGCATCCCTATGGAATATCCAACGGGCAGTACTCCAATCACGACTCCACCACCTTCTAGTCCCTTGACGCCAAAAGCTTTGACACATACGAGACAGTATTCCGGGCGCTTGCTCTCACCCTCTCCTGAACCTCGTGCACCGTCTGACGACCCTACACCGCGGCCGACGCTGAAGACAAGCACGTCCGGCTTTGGCCGCGAGAGCAAAAGCTTACAGGTCACGATCCCTTTTGTCAATTTGTCCGTCAAAGTCGATCGCAACTCTATTGACGTAAACCTTGCGGGAGACATGTGGGTTGCGGTCGAGGGCACTGTACGAAGCTGGGCAGTTGAAGCRTCCACTATGCATTCCGCACGAACAGCGCCACTGCGCAAGAGATCGCTCGATGCTATCATCGTCGTAACTCAGGATGTTCTTGCGTTTGATACAAAGGCCGCGCACAAGTGCATCGTTGAGCTGTGCTCCAGACTCAACGTTGCCGGTGATAGACTGGCAGTGCTGTGCGCCCGAATGCAGCAGACTGGTACATCCGCGGTAAGAGGGAACGGCGCAGAGCGCACAAGAAAGTCTTCTAGTTGTTGACAATCTCTACAACGCTAGGTGAACTGCGAGTGCGAGCAACTCCATCCGCTGCAGGGTCCTAGTTTGACGAGGCTTTTCGAACGTTTAGGCATCGCTCCGGCCGCCGTCAACACCATCTTCGAGGCAAACTGGCAGTCATTGCCAGACTCACTGCAATGTCTGGCAGAGAGCGGACTTCGCAAGGACAGAGCGCAAGCATTCGTCATCTCGAGAACCCCGGACTTGCTTGTGCAAATCATTGATCACTTGGTCCAGTGGCCAACACATGCTCTCAAGATCGGCCTTACTTCAGAGCATGCTACCGTCCCAGTCCCTCATACCCGCCACAACTGGGCCGTCCAGATCAAAGGTGATGCGGATGAAAATGTAGAAATCTTCGATAACATGATCAAAGACCTGCGCCACGGCTGTCCAGGGGGCTGCATCTCTAGTCTGCGCATGTGCTACAAGCCAAGACAAGGCTGTCAGATCTTGGAGGTGTTGGGCCAAAAAGCTTCCAGAGACTTGAGGCTCGGACAGCGATTTTCACTCTTCCTCAAAGTTCACGTGCCTCGCGTCGACACTTCCCGATCAGACGCACATAACGAAGCCACCGAGACTGATTCACTGTTCGCCGAGCTGGAGAGTATCGTTGGAACTCTGGAGACAAACTTGGTCCACGTTGAGGCTCGCTACCGACACTCTCTGTTCCCGTCCGAGAGTGTAGTGACAGTGAGGCAGATTTGCAGCATTAGACGCCCAAAATCGGACACTCGTTGGAGCACCGTTGGACGAGAGAATGATGTCTCGAGTCCGGAACGGGTACATGTGGCACTGGCGCAATTCCTCGCGATGCATTATCCTCCAGCTAGGGCGCTCAGAATGATAAATCGGTGGGTCATGCTGCCAAGTGAGTGTCAAGTCGAAGAGATGCAGCAAGTCAGAAAATACTTGGAGCTGCAAATCAATGCCTCTGATGGTTTGGGCGGTAGCAGCACATCAGTTTCACCTGACTCCACGAAGCCGAGCGTGATAGTCACAGACATTGAGAGCGAACCGCACGTTACCGCAACACCATGCAAGATTGAAGCAGTACCGCCAGGCATACCATCCGCATCCAGGGTGGCGAACATGCAACTACCGGCTGAAGTCGGCGCCCTTTCACCAAAGTCAAGCATTGCAGCAGCTCGCACAATTTCTGTAGCGAAGACCACGACGGCACTCACCATCGCGGGGACTCCACATATTGATCAATCTTYGGATCAAGGTGAAGATTCAGCCCGGCAGCTTTGGCGTCATATTCGACATCATTCCCTCTCTGCGAAGCAATTGGCAGACATGACGCCGACCAAACTGCAACAGCTCGAAGCGAATGATGATACTATAAGGGTGTTGAGACACAGGGCTCTGTCGAWCAAGCGCAGCGTCGGAGTGGAGACGTTGAAGGGTTGGAAGTGGGAAGAGAGGGCAAAGGATGGCGGCGCCGAAGCACCATGGCTTTAGAGCCTTAGATGAACGGTGACTATTCATCTAAGTCAATCACCAGTACGCAACATGGTGCATGAATTAATGAGCATGGCGAGACCAAGCACAAAATGATCATGGCGAATATCAGTCAATTGTKACACATGACAGAGGTTTGGTGAACAAGCAGATTACTAGATCTACAGAAAACGTCTTTCGTGGGGCCGTAGCTGAAGCACGTATAGGCCGATTGTGTAAGGGCATACGTCGGGAAGCGCGTTCCATGGGTGGTGAGACCACCATTGCGCTGCAAACGAGAACACAAGCCCAGCAGATGTCAGGTCGTACATGGCCTCCGAGTCCAGTCGCACAAGATCGCCTGACGGGTGGGGGGAATCTCCGCATAGCGGCACTCGGGAGTAGGGTTTCGTGCTACAATGAGGCGCGCGCATCCTGGATGGTGGTGCATGGACCGGACAGCAGGTACCGTTGATGAAGCGGTTCTGGTTTGGTGTACACATGATGGCGATGCAGCATCCCAAAGACCCATGGCACAATGGTCGTACAGCTCCAAAAAGCGGTCAGCGTTTCTCCAGCAGAAGGTTTTCACTATTGTCGCCACCTTCACCGGAGCGTCCGGTCCCCACTCTGAAACGTGCTCGGGGCATGGGTCACGATACTACTCACTCCCTTGACTTGTTGGGCGACTGAATGGTAGCGATGTTGCCCGGCACGTATTGCCTGAGAACTTCCGGTATCTGCACCACGCCCGCGACGTCATCCCAGTGATTCTCGATGATGCAGGCTAGCACTCGAGGTATGGCCATGGCGGTTCCGTTGACGGTGTACGGCCACACGAGCTTGCCGCTAGAATTCTTGAGACGGGTGCCCAGCCGGCGAGCCTGATAGTCTGTGCAGATGGAGGCGGATGTCACTTCGCCGTAGCCGGAGTTGATTGCCTCGCGGGATGGGAAGAAGGCTTCGATATCGATCTTGCGGGTCGCACTCGCGCCGAGGTCAGCGGTCGGCATCTCCAAGATTTTGGCATGGAGTCCGAGTGAGGTGAGGATCTCTCTCTGGATGTCAACCATTTCTTCGAAGACTTGGTCGGCCTGAGAGCTGTGCGACTCGTCATCACCGAAGCGATCTCCTTCAGAATCGGTATTTGGTAGGGTCCAAGCGAACATTTCTACTTTTGTAAATTCGTGAACGCGGTATAGGCCTTTGGTGTCAACTCCTCGAGCTCCGGCTTCCGCACGATAGCACCTCGACGGCCCTATCACCTTCAATGGCAGTTCGTGGCTGTTCAGAGTACGGTTGGCTTGGGTGCCCGCAAAGGGAATCTCAGCCGTCCCTGTCAAGACCAGACTGGGTCGATCAGATGCATGCTCATTTTCGTGCTGAGCAATGCCATAGATCTGCGTCTCGCCGTTCTGATCTCTCGGCATGAAGCCACATGCACTTGCAATGTGCGAATAGACCAACGAGGGAGGAGTCATCACCCGCCAGCCTCGTTTCATGGCGACCGACAGCGCATACTGTATCAAGGCCTGTTCGAGCAGAGCGCCCTCGTTCTTGAGGAAATACCATCCCCACCCGCTAGTCGTTGCGCTGGCCTCAAAGTCGAGAATGTCCAGCTGCTTGCCGATATCCACATGGCTCTTCGCAGAGCGATTCAGAGGACGCTCGTCGATCAGATCCAAGATCTGCGGCTCATCTCCCACAGGTGTGTTCAGAGAGCTTAGATTGGGCATTTCAAGCGCCAACCGCTCCATTTCCTGCTGCATCTCCTTCTCTTGTGCATCGAGGCCGGAAAGCTGCTGCTTCAAGCCACGAGCTTCGTCCAGCAGCGCAGTCTTGGCCGCCTTGTCGCTGTCACCCTCCATGTCTGCGCTGCGGCCGACTTCCTTGCCAATGGCATTACTACGCTGCCGCAGCTGTACCACTTCTCGCTGCTGTGCGACTAGCTTCTCATGCAGCTCCAGGATGCGCCAGCTGTTGCGAGCTTGCGGCGCATGGTTCCGATCATGGCAGTTTTGCTCGTAAAGTCCAGGAGCATGGCGGATGTGCTTTAGATCGAGGATCGGCTTCGGCGCAAAGGATGGCCGTGTGTAGGACCTTCGGAATGCTGTGAGCGATGCATGGCGTGCTCTTGCTGCCAACGTGATGTGCCGACAACTGAGGCAGACGAATGGCGAGTTCATTGTCGCGTGTCAAGTCTGGTGGAGCTTTAGTACGAACAGCGGACCATCGGCGAGTGAGTGTCTTGGCATATTCTACACATCGAGCTCAGAAGAGTCTCCTAAGGTAAGTTCGACATCCTACATTCACTAAATAATAATATTGAGAAGAGTCAGAGCGCCTTTTTACGAATACCCAGATTTCAATGGTATGCATGGGTGGCAACTGATTGATAGATTGATAAAAAGTGCTCGAATCTTTCACCATCAATATTTCAAGCACTGCGCTGCCACTCAACGACAAACTTCAACCCGGCATCACCACCCTCCATTGGAGCCTTGAGCTGCTCATTCAGTCTCGTGATCGTCGGAATATCCCGTTGGCGATACACTCTCATCTTGCTGTTGTCAAGCTTGGTCGGGTCAGCAAAACGCCCAATCGTGTCGCTGGAGTGCACGGCTTGGATGCCAGATGGAACCAGGCTGGTGATAAATTGCAAAGAATTCTTCAGTGGACTTGCAGATCTTGAACCTCGTGCAGAAAGCGACTCCATCGCCCGCATCAGTTTCGACACATGAGAAGTTTAGCTGAAAGGCATCATCATTTGTGAAATCATGTGAGTTCAACTCGATCGGATTTCCATACGACTCTTCGTCGGCTACCACTTCTGTTAGCTCGTCGAGCTCTGGAGATAGAGGCTCGCGTTTGAAAGCAGACGACTCCTGTTTGACGCTTTCGTCGACCTGGGATTGCTCCGATGACTGAGATGAATGCTCCGTCCGGAGAGGAGGAGACTCTCCGTTCTCTGACAGACTTTCTAGTTCKGCGGCAAAATTGTCGTTCACTTGCGAGTGCTCAGCCTGATAACTGTCGCCTTCCAGCATCTCCCCGTTCTCGGCGAGTAGATCGTTTGTCGACAGTACACGGTTCCCAACGACTGCTCCATAGTCTGGCTCGACTTCTGAAACATTGGTGTGAGTCGAAGACCGCGGGACCTGCTGCTCGAGACCTTCCTCCACAGTTTCCACAGGGTGAGACGGAACGGGGGGTGAAATGTACCCTCCGACGTTGTCGAACAGGATGTGCACACATGCCCGGGCATCCATTCTGCTTGCAAATAATGCATGTTTTGCTTTTGAACTCGGATTGCGGCAGAGAAGCTCGCGGTTCATAGTGCGACGCAGGTGGCCACTGGAAGGACGCCTACTTTTGCGGGCAGATACCTATCTCCAGTCTCCCGATCTGCTAATCGTTCGACAATGTCGGCCCTCGCATTCCAGACGTATGTTCCCATTGAAAGTCTCCAAAAGGCTAAACATGTTAGCGCCACAGTCGACGCCGGTTGACTATAGTGTGTTACTCACAACTTGCGATGCCATCGACGGAGTAGAAGAGATCCTTGGGGTATCTTCCATCCAGATCATCCTTCGAGCCAAGGCGTTCTTCCATCACCACGCTCAGTCGGCCAGATCCCCGGTCCGACTTCGTGAAAGAGCTTCTCGCTCTTTTCTGCGAGCTTAGTGCTTCGATCTGGTCCATAGATCGGTGTTCGCGATTGACAACAACTTTCGTCAACTCCTGAATACCTTCAGTGAACATTCGCTAGATGGGATGTCTTGCCATCATGGAATTCCGATCCAGCGCTAGAAGGACCCCTTTCCTTGACGGAAAACCTAGCTTATACTCCAACATGCGGATCCTGGACCTAATTGGCGAGGCCGTTGAAATGATGGAGTAATCTTCGACAAAGGTAGTTGGGACTCGAAAGTAGGCCTGGGGAAGAAGTGTATATGCAAAGAGTCAGTGAGCATGCAATTCGAGCGGATACCATGCTCGCAGACTTGTCAAGAGGCACGACAAACGCCAGATCAAGGCAAACAGTCCTGTACGTTTGAGGTACTGCTAGCCGGGTCGCCAGGGTGAGTGCTGTTGGTTCGGTTTGAAACATGCATACTGCCGTCTTGGCCAAGTCATAACCCGTTGGCAGACAGCTCCGTCTCCATGTCGCACAAGATTACCTGTCACTTTTTGAGCAGCACGAACGAGCGTCAAGCCTCACGGTCTTTTTGCGGCGTGGTTCAGGGCTCGGTTCGCATGATTGCATGCAGAAGACCCTGTGTTGCCGGTCCGCGAGACGCAAGTGAACGATGGGTAGTCCTTCAGATCTTCTGTATTTGATGGAATGGCATTCATCTTCCCCTTCACCAAATTTCAAACCAGCGGTGAACGCCCTTACGATCATGGATTGACCGCGGAGTACGAAACCCATACCGCCAGTAGCCTGCCAGAGACTGTACTGTAGTGGAGGTTGCCAGGGGTCCTAGCAAGGCACCTATCCCGGGGTACTAATCAAACCCCTCGAAGCTGTCATCGCCCTCTTCTGCTGCATTTTTCGCCTTGACTTTGGCGATCAACTCCTCCAGCTCCCTCTCCTTCAACTTGTCAGCTTCGCTCATGTGTGCCTTGGTCTCAGCTTTTCGCCGCACATCCTTCTTCTCTCTCCTCGCCTCCTTGATCGCCTTTGCCTCCTTTTGGCTGCTCCACGCGCTCTCCTTCCTCCTCTTGGCATCTGCACCCGCGCCTCCCTTGTTGGTGGGAAGTTTCGGTTTCTCGCCGCGCGCGAAGGCGTCCAAAATTTCCCGACGCCTGGCCTCCTTCACTTTGTCGGCGTACGCCACGCTACTAAGGTCAAAGTCTGTAGGAAGGTCCAGATTCAAACTTCGGTTCTCTCTGGCCTCGGGGTAGAACTTTTTCAACTCTGGCATCTTTGGCCAGCGTAATAGTCCCCATGATCTGCCAACCTCTGGCCAGTCAATCTTCCGTACATTAAAGATGTCGGCAGGGAGTGTTTTAGTGTAGGCTTGGACCCAGCTGACAAAGGCCTTTTGAGAACGATCATGCCATTCTCGCTTTGCTTTCAACGCGGTTCTGATGTCGCGAATGCTTGCCGAGATCTCGTCGTCCGATGGAATGAACGTCGTTGGATAGGGTTCGAGCTTTGTCCCTTGTAGCTCGAGGTATTTAACGTAGTCATCCTCGCTTCCTTCGTTGAGGAAAGTCACCGCCATGCCTCGCTTCCCGGCTCGACCAGAACGTCCGCAACGGTGGATGAAGTCCTTGGGCTGTGAAGGCGGGTCCAGCTGTACCACGAGATCGATATCCGGTATGTCAATTCCGCGTGCGAGCACATCGGTCGTGAGAAGGATTGCCGGAGTTGTTGCGTCACAGAACCGCTGCAGGTTCTTTGTACGAATGGCGGATTTGTGGTCACCGTGGAGTGGGAAAACGGCCACACCCAGTAGCTTGGGGAGCACATAATTCCAGTAGTCCACACCCGCTCGCGTCGAGACATAGACTATACTCTTCTCGGCTTGATTTTCCTTGAGGATCATTTTCAAGTAGGGAATCTTCATCGTAGGCTTCGTGATCAGTGAGTAGAGCTTGAGACTCTCGGGAGTGCGCTTATCCAGTGCGCCGCTCTTACTCCGAACTTTGGCACTGATTTTGAACGGATATCGCATGCCAACCCGAACGAGCTCATTCACTGCTTCCGAGACTGACGCGCTGAACAATCCTGTGCGGCGCTCCTTTGGCACGATTTCGAGAATCTTCTGCAAGTCGGGTTGAAAATTGGGGTCCAGTAACCGATCTGCCTCGTCAAGTACAAGGAGATCGAAGTAATGCCTCTTCAACATTACTTTGGAGGTCTGCAGCACTTCAACGATCCGCTTCGGTGTTCCCACCACAATGTTGGGGTTGATCTTTGAGAAGCTCGCAATGTCCTCGGACAACTTCGCCCGCCCACCTACCAGTAGCTGAGGAATGACATATGGACCTGGTAGGACCTCTGGCTCATCAGCATCCCGCATTTCTTCGTCCTCGCTGTCTGGCTCTGGCTTGTCCATCTGCTTCAGAATAGATGCCGAAGGCGGGTGGAAGTTCAGAAGACCCATCAGCACATCGTAGATTTGGGTGGCCAGTTCTTTTGTGGGTGCGACTACTATTGATCGTACATGTCCTTTCTTGTTGGGTTCTTCGGCTTTGAGTATTCGCTCAACCATTGGGATTAAAAAGCTCAGGGTCTTGCCGCTTCCAGTAACAGCCTACAAGATTGTCAGCGCGATGTTCGCATGTCCCGATCATTCAACTCACTTCCACAACCAAATCTTTATTTCCCATCAGAAGCGGAATCGCCATGGCTTGCACCGGCGTTGTCCGGGCGAAACCCATACTATGCGTGAACTCCAATATCCATTGCGACAGCTCAGGAGTCAGCGCCTCAAAAGATTTCGGTTGCTTCTTCTCGGTAGACTCCATTTCGCGATGCGGTTGTAAATGCAAAGAGAACCTCGCGAAGTTTTTCGAGCCAGCACGATGGAAGAAGTTCTCGATTCGGTCGCGACTTGTAAGCCAAAAACCCATGGTACGAGTCTAACCAGATTGGGAAGCTCTCCAGATTCCAATAATTCCATCGACATGACATGTGCCAGTCTTGAGCAATAAGAACAATTGAGCGTGGTAATCCCGAGTAGTAAAGTCGCAGAATGAGGTCACAAACTCGCTTCCAATGTTGGCATGCGAACGMACATGCTAATTCGAATCCTAATCTATGTTCTATGTTGTCTAAGCTGTAAGCTTTTTTGTGCTACCGCGGTTTCGCACTTTTGTTGTCCAACTCAACTTTCGAGTACCAGACTGCGCCACCAATTGTGATCAACATGCCCACTGCGTTGATGAAGCCCACCTGAACGTGGAACAGCACTATACCAAACATAATGGTCAAAGCCTGCTTCACGTTCGAGCAGACGGTCATCGTCAACGCTCCAGCCATTTTGTTGGCTTGAAAGCCGACGACGTTCAACAAAAACGCTGTAACGGCATTGACAACCAGAGCTGCGCCGAAGGTCCCTGAAAACTGGCCTGCTTGGTATGCAGTCCGGAACTGATGTGCCTCCCCAGTCAGGATCGCATAGAGTATGCATTGGATGGAAGCTAGTGGTGACATTCTGAGGAGTACCTTCTCACAAGTCAGAAATGTCTTGATAGATATTCAATCGTGGAAACACACCTCTAGAGCGGAGAGCGATAGCGGCCCGGTCATGATTCGATTGGTTGCGACTGTCTTCACTGATGCCAAAATGACTCCAAGCAAAGTCATGAAAAATCCAGCGGCTGTCGCCTGATAATCACCTGCTGTTGCTATGGCGCAGCCGAGGATTAAAGGAACCATCGTCAAATATGTCGCAGTCGAATAGGTTCTGCCGTAGACCCAGCGATATATCAATATGGCAACCACTGGGCAGGTCGATCTTAAGATCTGGTGGAAGGGCACCGAGACCATTGCACTGCATGTAATTAGCATCTATGACCTTAAATAATTGGACGAGGCGTGTAAAGTTAAAGGCAGATTGACAGCCCCACCCTTGACATACTCACAGTGATACGTTGCTGATGGCAATATTGACGGTAAACAACAAAGAGAATGCTACTAGCACCATATGCTCCTTCGTGCCGAGATGGCTGAGCTGAAGAGCACCCATCCCAAGCATGCCATAGCAGCCTATAGAGGTAGCCGTTGCGTGCATTCCTACTAGGTGTCAGCATTGGTATACGTCTTGCGAGTACTTGCACTACATGCCTGTGAGTAACCAAGGAAATCGAGCCTTTCCGAGAACTGCCTTGTTTGACAGTGTGAGAAAGAGATTGAGGGAGAAGTATGCAGCAAGAAAGAGGAGCTTGCTCCTAGTAGGGACATGATGTTCAGGAGCAGCGTCCAATTGAGCTTCGGGATCGCGAGCAAGTGGTGCAGGAACTGCGAGAAGGCCAGTCGGTGAAGCATTTGCAAGCTCGGAAGTGTTGCGCTCGTAAAAGTCATCGTACTGGTGCTGTGATGCTTCTGGGTGTGAAACATCCGCCATCCCGATATCTTCCCTCTTCATTTCGTGTGCCATATCGGCATCTTTCATGCTGCATTGAAGATGTTATCAAAGAGGAATGATGCCATGGTGTAAGACGCGTGGTCAGATTACTTGGATATTTGAGGTCCAGAAGCAGGGTATGCGACATGGAATGGAACGGGCTTTCCGATCCGAACGAAAGACCAATGATAATCCTACTTGCACAGAGCGACAAGCGAAGATTTCATCTCCTATCGAGTTATGCAATACCAACAGAGTTTCCGGACCTCGTACCTAGCTCATGTCTGAGCGGATGGCGATTCCGAGTTTGCCTAGATCCGTAGCCGCCGAGACGGAGCAGCATCCGAAACAAGCCGTCGCATCGTGCAACACTATGATTGTTAGRGTTAGGGTTGGGGTAGCCGCGCGCATCCTCCATCTCGTGATTGACGATGGGATAGGTCCAACGTTATGGTGTTCGTCAATTCAAGGGAAGTATTGCATGAGAGATCCAACTCGCTGGCTATTTTCTGTTGAATTTTCGACCCCATGTATTCGGCATAGCTACATTTCACACAAAGCCTGGCAGAGCGACATCAGTCATGGTTTGCTTGCCGTTCCAACAACCGCAGCGAGAGGTCTGAAGGGGGAGCTTGTAAGAGATTCTCCGTACAGAGAAGTCGCCACGACTCACGAACAGCCAAACAAGGCGTATGTTAATAACGTAAAGGGCTACTTCCCCTGAATGCGACCAGCAGTCCAGATAAGACACAGGCTGGACTATAGCGTTGACCTGCACAAAACAATTTGTGGCCTCTTTACCCAATGAGATAAAAGCCATAATCATGCTACTCTTTTGGCAGAGATGTATCTGCGGTATGCTAATGGTACTGTACATTCCATGCTGCCCGAATCGTAGCCAGCCGTAAGTCGTATATCCATAATTGCATTCAATCGTTGACCAGGCAAACTCAAATGACTACATCGCGCTTGACTTCCTCTTGAGCCCACGAGCAGGGTTGGACTCAGCCGCCAGCTCGGCATCCCTCGCGCTCAAGTTCAACAGCCATTGAGCAGCGCGCGCTTCTACAGCATTGAACTTCTTCGGGCTCTTTGCGATATCCTTGCTGTGAAGGGTTTCCATGGTGGAGCGAGCCAAGGAGGTCCTCTTGCGAGGCGGAGATATGGCGATGTCCATATCGTCACTCTCGCTACCAGAAGACGACTTGTTTCCATCAACGGTGCAGTCATTGGCACAGTCCTGGAGGGACTCACGAGAGGCGTCGTCGTCGTGCTGCTCAGCGTCAGCAGCATCAGCGCAACCATTTGCCGCCTCAGCCTCGTTGGGTGGCAATGGTTCAGCGTCACGCCACGAGATGGTAGGAGAATATCGTGGTTCCGTGAGTAAAGCGCCCGCCAGCGTATTGTCCTGCGCGCGAGGTGGAGAGGCGGAAGCGCCGTACCGGTTGTGATTGATGCTAGTCCAGCCAGCGCCAGCAAAATCTCGGTGGCTCGATTTTGGAGACAGGCTTGGAGATCGTGCAGCAGGCGCCTTGTGTGAGTAGTGGCGGTCGTGCGAAGCGTCAGACTCTGAGGCGAAAGGAGAGCTTGACGGGAAGCTGGGTTTCTTCTCCTTGCGGGGTCTCAAGTCTTTTCCAGCGATAACATTTGCTGGCATACTGCGAGGAATATCCAGGTGACCCTTACTGTCCGCTGGACTTCCACTGCGGCTTTCGGTGCCTAATTTTCTGCATTTGACCTCCTGTGCAGCGTCGAGAACCAGTTGCGGGTCAATTTTGAAGCGACAGTAACCAGGGTCATCCGGCGTGAGGCACTCCTTGATGAAGTCAGGGCCAAACACCGGAGTCAACGCCCAGCGAATAGTGTAGCAGAAGGTAAGGCAGACGGCTCGAGCGCATGCGTATGGCATCCAATATCCCTGGGCCGCTAAGGCACCGCCGGTGATGGAATGGGCCAGCTCTGCAAGACCCTCGTTGGTCTTGATCGATTTGGCGGGTGTGGTCTGCAGAATTCCGTCAGCATTATAGACATTACAACTGATGGTTTCTTCGCACCTTCGAGTGTTTGCAAGCCTTGAAGAAAGGAGTGACGCGGACGAGACCTATCTGGTAGTCCCACATTACAACGTGCTGGCGCTGCTCGGCGTCGCCCGGGACAATGAAGGTGTATTGAAAGACTGCATCAAGAATTAGCAAAGGTCTCGTGAGGGCATGAGTGCATTCCGGTGTACGGCACCTACCATCGAAGGCATCCCGACCAGTCTTGTTGAGGAACGTCTTCTTCTCGCTCGAGTATGGGATGTGGCGTGCAAAGTCCGAGATCTTGTCGCCGCCGAGTGCTGATGGGTGGATGCGGTACATCTGGTGATATTCGGCGAGTTCTTGAGAGAGCTCGGCGCTGATGTGCGGACTGTCGTCGGAGCACTCGTACGGTGGATAGTTGATCGGGCCGGTGACATTGCTTCGGATGAACACAGCAGCGTCTTTGACAAGTTTAGAGCGCTTGGCGGGTGACTGGACGGGTGCCTCTGGCTGAAGAGTCGCTGTAGGCGTTGAGGCATGTGGATTGTAGATGGGCGTTGCAGGTCGAGCGCTTGACGCGGCGAGGAGGGCGCTGTTGTCTGACATTGGGTTCAGCAGCGAGTGTATCTTCAGCATCGTGGCGGCAGCTGTGGGACGTGGATGTTCTGGTGCTACGCTCCGGCGACGGAGGTCAGAGAGAGAAGATGGGGACAGCATGGCACGACAGCAGCGGGCAGAAGGCGGCAGGCAGAATCACCGCTCGGACTTGAACGTACTTCGCGACGGGGAGGCGGTGAAGCAAGCCCAGGAACGATGAGGGTCAAAGCCTTTTAATGCAGCAGCAAGATCGTACCTCCAATCCTTACCAGATCCCGGAAACTAGCATCGGCGGCGAATGGTCAAAGGAACGGTGACCGCGGCCCGAGTGTCTCGCAGCTTCGCGGAGGTCAAAGAACCTAAGAACAGMAAAGATTTGAAGAGTGCAAGGTAGGCTCGAAAAGCGGTTTGCGGCATCGGAAAGACCAAGCACACGGACACGCCCCTGCGAAGCATCTCTGCATTCGCTGGCCCGCTCATCGATCTTGACAAGAAGTTTGCAACGTGGAACAAAGCGTATGTCTTGGAGATGATTGTCTGGTTGAATCTCACAGGGACGATACACACCTGCGTTTGCAGTGGCTGGCTGGGAGATGGCCCGATTCCTGCCTCCTGCCGTTTGATGTTCAGGTTCAGGATCGATCAACACAATCCCATCTCAGATTGAACAGCAGACATCTGGGTGAAAGAACCAAATTTCAGTCCAACAAAAGGATCCCAGATGGTCCAGTGAGACAGACACGGAGCAAACGAACTATGCTCGACCCGAACAGACACAAGCGTAATGTCACAAGCCAGTCGACGGTTGTATGTTGACGCTTGAGCCAGTCCAATGGCCATGTTGCCAGGGCCGGCTTCGATGATGTGCATTGCATTTAATCATTGGCACCGGGCTTGCCTAGGTTTCCAGAGACGTCTTCGGTCCTTGGTCGTTGTCTTAAAGCCACAAGTCTGTGACACGAATATCGGGATGTTCGAGCCACAACGCCGGGTGTGCGGGAATCTGCCAGAACTGCGGGATGTTGCAGCTCAGCAACAGCGCGGTCTAAACCAAAGTCAGTAGGGCACGTTTGGTAGTTTGAATGCTGTTGTACTGCAATACCGTGGTCGTGAACGCTTCATGGTCAGCAGTCCCATCCAAACCATATTTGTGTTGAGTCAACATCCTATCCTATCTGCAAAATCAGCTGTGTTTGATAGCACTGAGTGTACAGTGAGCGTTCGAAAGAGCCACATGGATGCACTGCCGGGTGTTCGCAGGGCTTTTGCGGACCCACAGACCGAGCCACGAGCAGTTCCCATTTCCGCTGGGTGGAGGCTTGACTTCGACCAATGAGCAAGAACTCATCAAGGCGAACGGGACACGTTCAGCGAATGGTTGCTTTCGCTTGATTGATTGCTCAAAGAGACTCGACGGTCGCCGAGGCAGCCACCTGACAGCGAGGCTGGTGTTCTCTGTTTGAGAATGCATCCGTCTGCGACATTCCGAAATGACGAGATTGTCTCGCGTGTACAAGCTTTGATGATTTCGTCAGCACACGACGATGTCTACCACCCGTCCAACAGGTGGACTGCTGCTGGCTTGTATGCATGGCAAGAGCAGCGACTCTGCTGAATGCAGCAGGCAACAAGCCCTGCCCTGCCCGTCCCATTCCACTCTGAGCAGACCGCACTGCGGCCTCCCGAGCTCGCCAAGCTGTCGAGTTCCTGGTTGGCAATGTTGCACGTTCACCGCTACATTTGATTCTGTGATCCCTCGGTCAGGCGTACGGCACGGGTCCCAGCGTGCAACACGGGAGCATGCATATAATTACGACAGGCTGCGTGACCGAGCTGTCAAGAGCAGCGATGGCATCTCGGACCTTGCTGTAGTGGTGAAGAGCGTGGAACCACTCACGAGGCGCGACAGGCGGAACGTAAGGCATGTAGAAAGGCACGCGAGATGTAAGCGTGGAGCATGCAGGCGTGAAGTCGAGAGCGTATTGTTAGGGTTTGCGGCCGTGCCCGGATCGCCGAAGAACAACCTCGGGAAGGTCGACCACATCTCCGACGAGCCGGCGTCAGCAACAACTTGGACGTCTTGGCAATTTCAATTCACTCTTCTCTTCCAGGCACAGGAAAAGGCAGACGTACTTTGAGTTCTGATCATTCTTCATGCCACCCGACTTCGGACCTAGGGGCAGTCTCCTTTGTACTACCTGGCTTGTACCACCAACCCGGGGCTCTGAGGACTGGACAGCGTCGACCTGCAATCTTCGAGACGACGTATTCTGGGTCTGTTCTGGCTTCATTACTCCCGATGATAGGTCGCACAGATCTAGGTGCCTGAAAGTCTGGCGGGACAGAGTGTGGTGATATTGTCTCTGACTCGGTCTCAAAATCGTCCGAATTTCACTCTCTTGTAGGGCCACAAAATTGCTCGTGATTCGTCCAGCACGCGATCGGAGCATTCGAATACCTCACAGGGCCAATGAACTCCAATATTTCATACCAGGGCGTATATCGTGTTTCGGGTAACATGTGTCAATTGCAGATCGATGGAGCGAGAGACCGGTCCCATTGGAGGAGACACTTACCTCCATGTGCTGTGCGAAAGCAAACCGACCTCACCATCAACCAGCTTGCCATCGCACTTGCATGTGCAGTAAGTATCATGCACGAGGCATCAATGTGAACCTCTATCTAAACCGCAGCTTGTTTCTTCTCATCTTTCCCTCTTGCATCCTCATCTACAATCTTTGACATACAAACAGCATTGGAAGGCCTCTTCAAAGCGCCGCTGCATTGGAACATTCCCTCCAGTCTTGAAGCCACCCCAAGATGCAGAAGTTTGCCAATACGATTACCATGTTATTTGCACTTCTTGTAGCTGCTGCTTCTGCACGAGCCGCTGGCCCGTTCACGAACAGTACCAAGACTAAGACACAAGTTTCAACTTCGATCACAACGATTTCCTGGACTCCAGCATCCAACTCATCGTACAACGTTCCGGCTTCCCCCTCTGGTGAAGATCCCTCCAAGCCCCAGCCCGCTGCCATCACGACAACTTTATCAACGTACACGGCGTTGCCCCAAACTTCAGCAGAATCCAGCAGCTCAAACCATCCGTCAATGACCCTCATCAGCTCGGCACCCTCGAATACCACTGCGACTATCACAATGTCGGTGTCCCTGCCGCAATCATTCACCCCTAGCTCTGCGGATAGCATCAGTGAATCGACAATTTCGACCACCACAACATCAGCACACACAACTGTGGCCGATACTTCGGCTGAGTCTGGCAGCTCAGATGGTTCATCGCCGACCGGATTGAGCAGCTCAACGTATTTGACGAACATCACCGCATCTTACACGTCTCCCGTGGCACCATCACCGTTCTCGGCTCCAAGCTACACGCACAGCACCATGCCATCATCATCAACTGAGTCAACAGATACAGCCGCAACGACCCCAGCACCCATGACTTTGCCCCTCACTTCGGCCGAGTCCAGCAGTCAAAGTACTGTGCCAATAGTCAACAGCAGCTCAGCGTCATCAAGTGCAACTGATTCCACTACCAGTTCAACACATCTGGTATCATCCTCAGTACGAAGCCCGACGTACAGCGTTACTCTCACTCCTCTAAGTACATCAACCAGCACAACCACGTCCACGAGATACACGAACTCGTCCCCGATCACAAGCGCTTCGTCCGTCTCTTCTTTCTCGTGGCCCGGTGGATCTACCACTACAGTCACGATCTCCAAGGTCGTCGCCACCACCACGATAGTATTCACACCGACTTCCTTCTCTACTGTCACTGTCACCAGGTTCGTCACCACCCACACCGTCGAAGTGTGGCCAGTATCACTGATCATGGCCGTGCCTGATGACATACCATCCACAACACACACCAAACCCTTTGGCGTGTGATCAGAATCCAGCATATTAACATTTAGGTTTCTTACTTTGGAACAAGTTTTGTATGTCTGGGCAGCAGTTGGGAAGCACGATTAAGCTCAATCTCAGCCGAGAGTACGAAAGGCTTTTACGTATGGAGTATGCGCGCTGGGCGGGAATCTCACGTTGGGAGACTGGTGTCATGGACCTTAGATCTCTCTATATTCCATCCGACCGACTCACACGAGAGCGATACATTCCTACATATAAGTGCACTATAATCATTCCAAGACTCGAAAAGTCCAGCACAATCGCCACGTTACATACGCCTTCGAAGCCGGCGAATCTCCATACGACCTGTCGACGACCACGCCCGCTAAGAACTAGCCAGTACCATGAATGCGACATATTCTGCTGAGAGTCACATTTGCCTCGAAAGGCATCGCTCYGAGTCAAATGAGGGCGGGATTGTTGTACTTCACTTTCCCTTGCTTGGGGTGAAGCTAAGGGGTGCTTTTTTTTCATGGCATTGCCCTGATTCCACCAAGGGCGTTCACTTTTCAATTTCACATTGCTCCGCTACGGCGTGGCGTGGAGCCGGAGGGCTCTGCGGGAGGGGTTTGGTGCTGGACAGAATCTACACTTTGCGAGAGTAGAGCGGGAAGCTTAGAATGAGTACTCCTGAGTTGACGAGACTGACTGAAGTTACTACGACACAAATCTTTCTACATGCAAGGGAGACCGACATCTCCAACATCTCCACCACTCACGAGGGTCCCGCCATCTCCGCCACTCACGAGGGTCCCGCCATCTCCAAGGAGCCCTCTGGAACTGCGGACGGTTCTCTCGAGATCTCGTCTCCTTCTGCGTCCGTCGTTTCCGACGGTGGTGTAGCCCTCACACCTGCACAGGCGATCATCAACTTCCAGACGGAAATTCTACCGTTCCAGAACCGTTTGACAATCGCCGAGTTTCGAAATGATCGCAGTCAGCGTACATGCCAAAGTCTTCCGCAAGACGCCACCATGGGACATTGAGTGTCGCGTCTATGAAGCGAGCGGCTCCGACGTTTTGTTCTGAGAGAGATATATGGAYGATAAAGGTCATGGGCTAGGCGAGCTCCTGAAGCAATGGTCCTACAAATTGCAAGCCGACGAGGCGTACCGCGAGAAGACCACCAAGCCATGCGCCGGCGCGCTTGCAGCGACTCTCAGGGAAGTACTCAAGCCTCATATTGTACTGGCAGAAGGAAGTCAATATTCAAATGTTGATCCTGCAAGCACCGAGAACAGCGCATAGTCTGGCTCACTTGAAAAGCTATTCTTCGATGCTTTGGTATTCAGGAGACAAGGCGGACACCTAAGATGTGGTCGATCACGAGTACCGTCTGGCCTGGCTTGGTGGTAACCACCAAATCAGAGTCGACTCATGGTTCTTGCACGATGCAGAGTGTGCTGACCACTGCGATTGCGAGGCCATAGCGCGAGAGTGAGAGAAATGGCCAGTTCTGAACAGAGAGTGCGATCCGCATTTGGACAGAGATATTGATGTTTTTGTTTTAGGACGAAGTTGAAAGGGAGAAAGAATCTTTCGCTCGGTGTTGAATATTCGACTTCGGGTCAATGAGAAATTGCCGGCTCTCCTTGCAGCGAATCGACGACAAGGCCCATGGGCAGGTAGCTACAAGCACAATAGGAAGCAAACTTGCGGAGAGTCAAATGTCTCGCAGTGTCGTGTACAACGTCTTTGACCGGTGCAGGGAGGGCGGCAACCTTCAACTCCACTGAGCCTTGGCTGTGGGGATCGAGACTCGTCGGAATGCTTTGCTCTTCTCTCAGATCCTGAACATGTGCCTTCATTCGTGAGGCACAACATCTTTCTCGGTGAAATATTGGTACCTTTCCAGCACTGACTCGCTAGTACCTGGGTTGAGGTCGGTGCGAATAGTAGCAGTCAATGTTAATAATAAGATCTTCCAGAAAACTGTGGATCGAGGTTACCATGACACGAAAGTCCTTCACTTGTCCTCGTATTAACTTATTGGCAGTAGCGACCGGTTGGTGAAGGAGGCTAAGTTAGCACAATGGTCGACGAATTTCCGCGAGCGCAGTAGGACGAAGTAGGCGGTCTCTGCACCTCCTAGCCTGAAGCTTGACGAATTGAATCGAGGCTCGTGCATGCGAAGCGGTGTACCTTGCAGATGTTTTCACGGCCGGTAAGGTGAAGAACGAAGTCTGACGGTGGATTGCCGTCGACATGTGCTGATGGTCAGTGTTCCACCGTGTCGCATTAAGCTCYTTCTTGCTTCCATCGGTGACATGGATACCGTTGGTTGCCTGGGTTGTAAGGTTGCTCTGTTCGCTTGCCATTGCAAGTGCGGAGCCAAATTTAAAGTTGCGCTGCGGCCGCGCGAGCCGAACTGGGACTAGGCGCTACTGCCCCGTCGGGCGGTCAACTCTCCTCCTCTCTTGAGCACGTTCGGGACACCTCCACGGCCATCCTTGAGCGCAATGAGCGGCACATCGTCCTCCTCCAATGTGGTGGGGGTCCACTACCGCGTCGGAAAGAAGATTGGGTGGGTCCTGCTGTCGTCGTCGTTGCCGGAGGCGGAGCGGAATGCGGCAGTGAAGGCGGAGGCTAACAGCGTCGCAGCGAGGGCAGTTTCGGGGTCATCTTCGAGGGCACCAATCTGCTGAACAACACCCAAGTCGCCATCAAATTTGAGCCGCGCAAGAGCGATGCTCCACAGCTCCGCGATGAGTACCGGACATACAAGATCTTGGTTGGATGCCGTGAGTGATGTCCTGTCGAGACCCCATTCCCGTCTCCCCCCATCACGCCGCTGACTCGACTCGATCTCCGCAGCTGGCATTCCCAATGTCTACTACTTTGGACAGGAAGGATTGCACAACATCCTGGTGATTGACCTCCTCGGTCCCAGTCTGGAGGACCTCTTCGACCACTGCAATCGTCGCTTCTCCATCAAAACGGTCGTCATGGTCGCCAAGCAGATGCTGTCACGCGTGCAGACCATCCACGAGAAGAATCTCATCTACCGCGATATAAAGCCCGACAACTTCCTCATTGGTCGACCCAACACCAAGGCCCAGAACGTGATCCACGTTGTCGACTTTGGCATGGCCAAGCAGTACCGCGATCCCAAGACCAAGCAGCATATCCCCTATCGAGAGCGCAAGTCCTTGTCTGGCACTGCACGATACATGAGCATCAACACGCATCTGGGACGAGAGCAGTCGCGGAGAGACGACCTGGAGGCCCTAGGACACGTCTTCATGTACTTCTTGCGCGGAGGACTTCCATGGCAGGGTCTCAAAGCGGCTACGAACAAGCAGAAATATGAGAAGATTGGAGAGAAGAAGCAGACCACGGCCATTAAGGACCTGTGTGAGAGTTTCCCGGAGGAATTCAACAAATACCTCTCGTATGTGCGCAACTTAGGCTTTGAGGACACACCCGACTACGACTACCTGCGCGATCTCTTCACCAAGGCTCTGCAGAGCACTGGCGAGGTCGAAGATGGAGAATACGATTGGATGAAGCTCAACAATGGCAAGGGTTACGACGTACCGCAGATCTCACAACGACCTTCTGCAGGCGGTGGAAATCGTGAGCACGGAAACCCTTCGAACCAGGACATCCATCGCGCCAACCGCGCATCCAATGTGCCGCAGGTTGACAAGGAAAAGCCTCTTCCCAGCAAACCCGGCGCAGTACGCCAACAACCAGCACAGAGAACGCAACCTGCGCGAAGGCCGCAAAACGCTGCAGACCCCGCTAAGCGCGGAAGTGGTATGCAACTAGAGACTCCCGACCACCGTAGTACCGCCGCACAGTTTCAGAACAGCAGAGCGGACCTCACGCAGCCCGCGCGACCTCAGCAGCAGCAAGCACCTCCACCGGAAGTGAAGGAGAGCCCATTCAAGAAGTTCACAAAGGCCATATGCTGTGGGTAGGAGATCAGGCTGGGAGCATCTCTCAAGCCAGACAAGGATGATGTAGACGATTGTGGGTTGAGACCACGTCGCTGATTGCGCCAGAGGATGGGAGATAATTCATTCATGAGCGATGGCGTTTTGGTGTTTGCACTTTTGGTATTGCTCGCTCTAGACGACCCCGACGCCGAAGAACTTATAACGGGCATGGTGTTTCTTGTAATTATCACCACAAAAACCTCGATCTAAATACCACGAAAAAAGGCATGGCATAACGATGGGATTGTCAGCAGTTGCTCACGCCACTCACGAAAGTCTTGCGATGCGATGCGATGTGATCAGTGCGCTTCTCAATGCGGGAGGAGGCTATTTTTGAGCTGCCAAATGTTTTGGGCATCTGTTCGCCGGCATGATCGCCAGGATGCCAGGACATGCTGGACATGCAAGGACATGGACAATCCCAGACAGTTTGGATCGCTCACACAAGTTCACTCTCAATCCCAATCTCACTCAACACACTCAATATCAAAGCAGGAGTTGAATTTTGAAAGAATCTATTATGACTGATATTCATCACAAGTCGTCCTGTTCCTCTATATACACCCAACTTACTACTCCTCATGAAAAATCTAGGCACTCTTCTCCTTCTTCTTTCCTTTATTCTTGGGCACGCGAACCAGCCAGTAGAAGAAGATCGCCGCCGCAATATTGAAAACAACATAGCCCCACATGATGCCAAAATTCCTCCATGCATCTTCCGGATTAATCGATACACGGCGCAAAAAGACATTCGTATCATCATAAGTGCAGTACCGACATTCGCTCGTCGCGGAGGGATCCAAGAGGTATCCTCCCGCGGCCGCTTGACCATCGCCGCCATTGATCCAAGCCGACATGTATTCGTCACAAGTCTGGTTGTCCTCGGGTTGAAGGACGAGGTATTCGTTACTGGCGCACTGGACCTTTTGGTCTCGAAGGCCCGTTGCAAGGAATCCTCCCGCGAGGTAGGTGAAAGGCGAGACCCTGTACATGAAGATCCAGAAGCGTGGGAGAGATTGAGGACTCACGAGGATGCCGCAGAAGACGAGGGAGAGGGAGAACACCAGATTTCCAATGTTGCCCGCGGTTTCGGCCGAGTCCATGCCTGCGATGATCATGTTTGTGAAAGTCGAGGTGAAGATGAGAAAGAGGAGCATGAAGAGGAAGAAGAGCGCGCCACGCTCTGCGACGGTGTCGGTCGGGACGGCGTTGTTGTAGAGGCCGACCGGGTAGTAGTAGGCGAAGAAGAGGAATACCGCACCCAAGGCGTTCCACGGGAGTTCGACGACGATGTTGCTGATCATGAAGACTTGCCAGCTGTAGGTCTTGGAGGGACGTTCGCGGACTTCATACAAGGCGCGCTGGGTGACAAAGTGCGGCATGATTTGTTGTGAGATCTGGCCGAWGATGGTAAAGGTCATGAAAATCGAGAACATTTGGTTTTGTAGACCTTGCTGTGTGAGAGGTGCGTTGTAGAAGATGAAGCCGATGAACAGTCCAGAGAGGAGACAGAGCGCCAGCTTTGCGTAGATGTATGAAGGTGTCCGCCAGTATTGCTGGAAGACACGGACGAGAACTGAGGTCAATTGCTCTCCAAAGGGTGCGGCAAACTCGCGGTAGCTGTCAGCGTCGTTCACATCCGTGGCAGGCTCTGTCTCCTTCGGCCTTTCGACCCTGAGACGTTCCAACTCTTGTTGTGTTTGTTGATATTCCGGACTTTCACGCCATGTCTGGTGCCAGTCGATGTCTGTGGAGGAGCCTGGCGCGGCGCCAATGACTTCCAGCATCCACTCCGCAGGATTTGCATCGGGTGGACACTTATGACCACCATTTCGCTCAAAGTAGCTCGACAAGATCTTGGAATTCTCGCCTACCTCTCCGAAGTAGACTGTTCTGCCTCCCTTTGCCAGGAAAAGCAGGCGATCGAAACGCTGGAACAGCATAGCCGAAGGCTGATGAATAGTACACAGGACAGCCTGACCAGATTTCTTCAACTTCTCCATAAGATCACAAATAGCCCAGGAGGTCTGAGAGTCCAGTCCGGAAGTAGGCTCATCAAGGAAAAGCAAAAGCTCGGGCTTCGCAGCCAGTTCCACGCCAATGGTTAGGCGCTTGCGTTGCTCCACATTTAATCCTTCGCCAGGGACACCGACGACTGCATCAGCGTACTCTTCCATATCGAGAAGCTTGATCACATCGTCAACGTAATCGAGCTTCTCTTTGCGAGGAACGGCTTTGGGCTGACGCAAAAGTGCGCTAAAGGTCAAGGCTTCGCGAACAGTAGTTGTTTGCAGGTGGAGATCCTGCTGCTGGACATAACCAGTCTTCCGTTGGAAGGACGAGTCACGCTGACGTCCATCAACAAGCATATCGCCACTGATTACACCCATCGTTACGCGAGTAGCGAGGACATCCAGCAGCGTCGTTTTGCCTGCGCCGCTCACGCCCATGAGTGCGGTCAACGTCCCGGGCTTGRCCCAGCCATCGACGTGGTCAAGAATCCGGCGTTCTTCGCTCTTGATTTTGATATCGTAGCAAACATCCTTCCAGCTGARGATTGCGGTTTGCTTTTGGATGATGTCCGTGGCTTCAACGTAGCTTCTCGTCTGGGTTAGAGCGGTGGAGTGTTTCATGTCGATGGCTTCCTCGTCGTTCTTCTTCTCCTTGAGTGCTCGTGGAATGTGACCCATCTGGAAGACAAGGACCTCGCCCTTCGATTTCTTCGCGCTGATAAGCTCGGTCGCAGTCAGGTAAAATACCATGAAACCAATCATGAACGCAAATAGTATCCCCACGTTTCTCCACTTGTGACTGGCGTAGTAGCTGAAGGCAGAATTGATGTAGGCAGTACCTTCGACGAAATCGAGACCAGCCACAGCGCCGACGGACGAGCATACTCTTGACTCGGCGCCAAGGTTTCCGTAGTTTGGAACGAGCTGTGCCGATTCACAACTGTACTGTTGACCAGTGAACTCGTTGACCATCAGTGCTTCAAAGGCATACGCCACGGGATCGATGTAGTTTATCCAGCTGTAGAAGATCAGTACTAATGACAATGTCGATGATAAGGGGACATTTGACTCACCGACACCAGCCCAACATATAGTTAACGGGAATTGCGAATCCAGTGAATATGACGACAGCCAGGATGATGATCGCGGCAGGTGTCATCGCCTGTGAGAGTGTTCGGGAGAAGGATGCGATTGATCGGAACATCATGCTCATCGTCAACGTGGCAATGAAGCTGACGAACAGGAAGTAGAAGAATGGACCAGGCTCCCTTCTCAGATTGACCATGAAGTACAGAGTGGTGTTGAAGATGATGGCGTTGACGACCTTGTACGGTATGTCTGTGAGCATGGAAGCAAAAGCCTCCGCCGACGGATGGTAAAGTGCGTAACGAGCATGCTTTTCGACAATCGGTCGTTGGGCATAAAGGGTTAGAATTTCCAATGCGGATCCGAAGGCGTTAATAAGGACGGCGAAGAAGAGAACTGCGCCGCGCTGGAAGAATGACTGCGAGGTTTGTTCCAGGTTGTAAAAGACAGAGCCAAGGATGAGTGCCATAGCGAAGTTGCCAAACAATTGGGTGTATGTAAGCTCTGGATCCCCGATCAGCCGGCGGAATCCTCGCCACAGACAAAGTTGAACTTGTTGCGTGTAGGAAAGCGTGTAGGGGGACTTCAATCGCTGGCCTTTTGCTTTCTGAGCTTTCCGACTCTCGACGAATTGCTGGTACGCCTCGCCTTCGAAGGGAAATCTCTCATCGTACTTCTCAATGTCCTGGAGTAGTTGCTGGCGTTCTGAACTACTTTTCCACGCAGCAGCAAACTCATCTGGAGTGCGAGGGACTTTGTTCTCAAATCCTGGCTTGACGACCCGCTCCTGCGCTGAAGTCATGGACGTCAAGAAATCAGCTGTGGTTTGACGACTTGGACACTCGAATCCGAGGTTCTCAAAGTAAACCTTTGCGTCTCCGGTGCGGCCAAAGTAGATCTGACGGCCTTCGTACAAGACAATGGCCTTGTCGAACAGGTCGTATGCAGACTGTGGAGCCTGGTAGATGGCAACCATTGCAGCCGATCCACCGAGCTCTGCATTCACACGTAGCGTCTTACAAAATTCAATGGCGTTTGCTGAATCGAGACCACCTAAATGTTGCGGTTAGCATTGTTCTCGTCTTCCAAAATGATGCTGGAGACTTACGCGTCGAGTTGTCCCATGCCTGCAGAGGTGCTCCACTAAGGGCAGCTTCAGCAATGGACACACGCTTTCGCTCTCCACCAGACACACCGCGCACAAAGTCGTTTCCGACTTTGGTGTTGATGGTGTGAGAGATGCCAAAGGTTGCCATGATGACATCCCGGAGATGCTGTGCCCATTCATTCTTGCTAATGCCTCCTGGCACCATGCGTGGGGCTCTGGCGCGGGCAGCGAATGTGAGTGTGTCGCCCACAGTCAACATGGGAAAGTGAACATCGACTTCTGCTGTGTAGATGGCCTCGCCACGGAAGTACGTGTGCATGTGGTGTGCCGGGATACCCTGGTAATTGAGATGAGAGCCAGAGTCAACCTCAAAGCCATGGATCTCACCGGTGACAGTTTTCAGGAATGTTGTACATCCCGATCCAGGTGGCCCGAGTACAATGAGCATCTCTCCGCTTTCCACAACTCCCTCAAGGTCGCGCAGGATATCGATTCGCCGAGGCTTCGCCATACCCAGTGCCTTTTTCACATAGCCGACGGTTTCGAGCCAGACGTTGGCCACATCCTTTTGATAGTCCGTGGCCGCTCCAAAACCATGGGCACTTAGACCACGGAAGGCGACACCGCCTGTACGAGTTGGTGTTCGGCCATCCTCTCGATTTAGCTTGATCATGCTCTTGACCCACGATCTCGCCCGGAAGTTGGGCGAGCTGGGGTCCAGCTCGGAGCCTGGCTCGGCGGTAAATGGATTGTCAGGAACATTGCTTCGTGTTGACGCTTGCGTGATTGTTCGCGCCAACTGCGTTATGGCTCTGTCGGAGTGCTTTTGCGAGGAGTCGTCATCGGACTCCCCATGCTTTTCATCGAAATCTCCGACTGGAGAAAGTGGATATTCATTGGGAGTCTCAAAGGCCTCGTTCCCGGCCTTTTCTACATCCAGCTCGGAGGGTGATATGGGGTGTTCGCGTGCGATTTGTGACGGTCGCCGGCCACGCAACCAGCTACTGTTTCGTCGTGGAGCTGCACGTGCGGTGCCCTCTGGATCCTGGTCGACTTGGCTAGCACGGCGTGCGAATGGAGTCCCTGTTGAGCCTGTGCCGGTATTCTCTGAAGTCCGGTCTCCAGAGCCAAAGGCAAAGTTTCCCACCAACGACATGTCGTGCTCTGTTTAGAGCAAACTTGGCGGTGTTTACAGCAGGGCAGCTGCGATGTTGAAAGGACAACACCGAGGAATGGAAGCAGCTCTGAGAGGAAGGGAACGATTATGGCGGAAGCAAAGAAAAAGTCGCACGATCTTACTCCAAGATATGTACTGGACAGGCCATGCCGCTTTCGCTTGCTCTGATTCTCCCGGTGAGGCGCTCATTGGGGGCACATGCGAAGCTGTGGCCTGCATAAAATACAACGGGTGCAGATCGTGCCGGAGCCGAACGATTAGGCGCAACGCCATCATCCCGCACGTGAAGGCTCCACTGTTTAACATCATCTACCACGTTCCCACGTCCCTAAGGTACCCCCATGCAGCTGTGATGACCATGATCTCCTATCTGTTACGTTAGCTCCTGTCATTCTTGTGAGGCCACAGACTAAAGAACCGTTTGTTCATGAACAAAGAGCCGCGAACACCTGCCCTGCATCTGCAGTAATGTGTCCGCGTCAATCAATCTCAGCCAAGCCTCCCTCGTACCGAGGAACGAGAATTAGTCGCGCTTGTAGATCTCGCTAAGAATGATAGCAGCAATCCCCTGTAGACCGGTTGGCTGCAGCAAATCGCCTAGAACATGGACGAACCATCCAGCAACACCACAGGCTACGACTGCATGGGCTGTAAGATTGCGGAGACGAACAAATTTGAGAGCGGGATCTGTTTGCTCATCTTCGCTTCTGGTAATTTGTTCTTCGAGTAAAGTGTTGAAGTGGCAAGTCCAGATACTACAATACGCGAAAGCCTTCAACCCTGATTTTGTCGCGCTCCAGATGCCTTTGGGGCGTAGCCTAGAACTGAGCAGAGCAAACAGAACACGCTCTTCAATCTGGCTTCTTCGGAATCCACACAATTGCTAAAATCGTGCGGGAAGYAAGATTGGGACGTTGCTAATAGCCCGCAGGGGTGCTATGATTATGCTTTCGCGATTTCGTACAGCGTCTGAAGACCCGTCGTTGTGGCGTCGGGGCAACTTTCCAAAAGTTGCAGCATTTACCGCCTCTGTCGGAGCGCGGAATCGTTTTCTCCTTTCCACAACTGGCGCGACGTCGCACGGGGATAGGAATGCCTCTAACAGTGCCTTGGCACTCTCGGATCTATCGTATCGGCCCTTGTGCTTCATCAACACATTCAAGAATAAGGCGGAGAGTGGGGTTTGAGTTCCAACGGACCTAGCATTCGGAGGAAAGATTCGAGCCCTAGGAATCTAGGTCGATTCGTCATTGTGCATGGAGGTGCCTTGGCACATCTTTTTGGCGCGTCTTTCTTGCATAACTCCATTTATGCACTGGAAAAGCGGACGCAAAATCGAACGACATCTCAATCATCCGACGATACCAATCCCGCTTACGCGATAGGTGTGGCGCCAAGCGAGATACAGGAGTGAGCTTCCGCGCGGCATAATTATCAAGCCCGAGAACGATGAGGCCCAACTACCTGGTCGATGGTGGGCTCTGGCAGAAGCGCACGGGTGTACAGTACCCCAAAATGTAATGTCGAGGGATCTGTGGAGGAATATGATTCTCAGACATTCTCAGACAAGGTAGCGGAACTGAGTATGAGAAGAACATCTGAATGTTCTCTGGTCGTACTGCTCCGAGGGGCCTATTAGTAGAGACCTGCCAAAAACTTGATGACTGATAATAACAGACCTGTTACTACACGCGCCTATCTCCGAAGAGCATTCAGGTTCGTCGCAGCGAACATCTGCCCCTGATTTTGATGTCGTCAGTATATGTGCAACAGCACGAGCCACTAAAAGCTCCAWGGAAGACGAATTACTTCTTGTATTCATGCTCAATGCTGCTTGGTTCAGCGTGAGCAACCAGTCCGACCCTCTCTCCTCCTGTCTCACTGAGAAAGCCTGCATATCCACAAGCGGGGAAAGTGTTCATCTCTCTTACAGTGACCTGTGACGAAACTGACGAAGCCAACAGGAGATTACGGCAGCTGAAATCCGTTTTCTGATGTGCCTCTCAAGGACGCCTCGAGAATGTTCCTTGTTGTGCGTGCAGTTAGGAGTGAAGCCCGCGCGTGGAGGCTTCCTGCAGATTACAAATGCTTTGCCGTGAGAATCCGGACGGATCGATACATTCCGCTCCTTCCTGCCTTGAAGCTCCGAGAGCCGCGCAGCATTACCAACCTTGAACACTCCCTGGGTCTCTGGGATGGCATGTACAGGCAGACACACGTCTTGGAGAGAGAGAGCTCCAGGACGAAACAGGATGGAGGGAGCTTCTTTGATGCCTTTGTCGCGTTGTACTCTTCTTGTGTATGATGATGCGGGGATTCATGGCGGGAAGCATCTCCCATCAGCAAAGCCAGTCGAGCCTCCAGGCTACGTTGGTCGTGGTGAAAGGCTTCTTGGCGCCAATAGAAAGAACCATGTCCCTCTTCAACGAGTCATTTTGATCGGGAGGCTCAATGTTGAGCATGGCGGAGGAGACGAGGTTCCTGGTACTCCGACCCTAACCCTAGAATGACAAACATTGCGTGGACGAGTTGAAGGCAACCAAGAGCCATGGACCAGCATGCCATCATCAGTCAAAACGGCGCGGCGTCACGAACTCTCCGACTCTGCTCCAGCTTTGAAGATTTTATGCGTCAGAACGCCCAAAGATAACCTAGTAAAGCGCAAATAAACATGGTGTGCCAGCGTCTCTTTCGATGATACTGCCGCCGCTGTTAGTAGAATTCGACACGAGCGGTAAAAGGAGAGTGATTTCCTGCGAGGAATCCTACAGAGTGATAGAAATGAAGTAAGAGACATCGAAGGCGGAGGTGATGTTACCCAAATCATTACTCCTCCGACTACCTTACTCTGTAAGAGTACATGTAGATCACCCTGATGATGACATTCTCTGTATAGTTGCAGAACCGGAAGGCACCGACCATGCCTCATTCCTACATTAATGCAGCTGGCATCGGCAGGTAAAGTATCTGTGCAGCAGAGTAGCTGACTCTGATTGGTGTTCTCCTCCTGGAGATTAATTTGAAGAAGTGACAAGGTCGAACCACAGCTTCGAACAAATGCATTCATGTGAAGATATGTGGTTTGGTCCGAGAGTCGGGATGTGTTCACCAAAGAGTGCCGCGAATCGAAGGCTCGACATGCAGATGAGCTCATTTTGATTGATCGCTGCGTGTCTGGCCCTTTCCACTTTTCGATGTCTCTCATCCCCACATCATCGCGAGCAGGTGCGTTGCGATCGAAGGTCGCTTGGGATCGTCCATTCGGATTGCTCGGCTGGAGAGTGACCGTACAACTTGAAGGTACTATACGATTCATTGCGCATCTCTGAGATGCCGCAGCATTCGCAATGGGACCCATAGATGAGAGTTGAGTGAAAGGGCATGCAGATGAAGTGGAGCCTTTCACCCCTCGACGCTAGTCTCAAAGAAAATGCGGGTTGCTCCGTCTGGCGCTAGCGAATTATTCTTCCAGCAGCCCCACACCAACAGCAACCTCTTGACTTGTACAATGACACGCCCGAGACAACTGATTCTTCCCATCGCCTCTCACCTGTCGCGATCACCTTCCGTGCCGCCGTGATGGCCACAAATTCGATCAAGCTCCTAACGGGCAACAGCCATGGGCAGCTCGCGAAGCTGGTCGCGGATCGTCTCGGCATTGAGCTCGCGAAGATTATGGTGCTTCAGTACAGCAACAATGAATCAAGCATCTCAATTGGTGAGAGTGTGCGCGACGAAGATGTGTTTATCATACAATCGACCGAGCCCGGCAACATCAACGACCACGTCATGGAACTGCTCATCCTGATCAACGCCTGCCGAACCGCTTCCGCGCGCCGCATAACCGCAGTTCTACCCAACTTCCCCTACGCCCGCCAGGACAAGAAGGATAAGAGTAGAGCTCCTATCACCGCCAAGCTCATGGCCAACATGCTGCAAACGGCCGGCTGCAACCATGTCATCACCATGGATCTGCACGCTAGCCAGATCCAGGGCTTCTTCAATGTCCCTGTGGATAACCTCTACGCTGAGCCCTCCACGCTGCGATGGATCAGAGATAATCTCGTTGTTAAGGACTGTGTAATTGTCTCCCCCGACGCTGGTGGAGCGAAGCGTGCAACCAGCATCGCAGACGGACTCGATCTCGGGTTCGCACTCATCCACAAGGAAAGAGCAAGACCCGGCGAGGTATCGCGCATGACACTGGTCGGAGATGTCAAGGGACGAATTGCCATCATCGTGGACGACATGGCAGACACGTGCGGAACATTGGTCAAGGCAGCAGACGTGGTTATGGAGAACGGCGCGAGTGAGGCCATTGCGATAGTGACGCACGGCATCTTGAGCGGCAACGCCATTGAGAAGCTGAACGGAAGTCAGTTGAAGAAGCTGGTCGTGACGAACACGGTCCCACACGAAGCGAAAAAGGCTCTCTGCGATCGGATAGAGACCATCGACATTAGCCCCACGCTCGCAGAGGCATGTCGGAGAACGCACAATGGCGAGAGTGTTTCTTTCTTGTTCAAGCATGCACCTACGGATTGATCGTTTGGAACGAAGGGATAGGACGGAGGTTCCTCTGGCGTTCTTCGGTGTTACATGTTCAAAATTACGAATCCTCTAAACCTGCAGCTTCACGCTTCCTCACTCACCGCTTCACCATCGTTGATGAGAAAAAATAAATCGTGCATTGATCCATTCTTCGGCGAGAAATGACGGAGGCTGTACACCGCGTGTAACACGGCGAAACCTCAAACAGCTAAAAACAGTCAACTTCGGAATAGCTGAAACCGTAGCATGTTGACATGCCCGGTCCATGGAAATTCTGCTTCACTGCCGGTGAGGCTYGTCTGAGGCTGAACACGTGGATAAAAGTGAAACTTGAAAGTCACACACATGGCAAGGGCTGACATGATTCCAAAAACAACCTGCCTCGCTTCTTCTGCCGTGAATAGTAAGATGGCGTTGGAGCGCTGCACGGACGACGAGCGAAGTTTTACTTGCGCAGTAGTGAGGGTAGTACACACTGCGACCTCATCGTGATATTCGTTGAATTCGTCAAAAGCTATATAACTCAAACGACAAGTGAGTGTCACAAGGTAGAGTGAAAACTCAGGGGTATCAATTCATGCATGCCAAATGATCGAAAACACCATCGCCGTTGCTGTCGTTTAATTCTGATAGTCATCGCTCGTTCAGTTCCGCTCTCCAGCTCTCGATCTTGTCCGGCGCTGACGTCTCGCTCTCTCGGTACTGCTGCTCCTGTCCTCGATAGGAGACCTATGAGGCGAGTTCTTCAAGATCCCCTGTTGCCCGCCGCTGTTGTTAGGCTTGGGAACAAAGAAGACACCGCTTCCGGATCGTCGGGGTACACTGCCACTGTGAGTGCGCTGTGATGTGCCTTCCTAGTGCGCGCTGCCGGAGGAGTAGCTTCCGTATCCGTCGGTACCAGGTCCCCCGGGCTGCATTCCTGCCGGTGGCATGTTTGTATACCAGCTGCGCCGTCGATCATCGATCGAGTTGACACTATTCCGGTGGGGTACCTTAGGATCATAGCTCGTCGGCATTTGTTGTCCACCACGTGCTGGCATGGCTCGGTTAAAGTACTCATCGTCGTCTGAGCGGTCTCTCATTGAAGCTTCCCTCATCGGCAGATCTCGCAAAGATGGATCCCTCAACGGAGCATCTCTGTTACTTCGCATCGGCGGGTCTCTCAAAAAAGGATCTCTCATGGAGGAATCTCTCGTAGAGGGATTCCTCATCAATGGATCTCTCATGTAGGKCCCATGCAGATTCGAAGCATACTGGCTAGGCGGAATACCGCCCACATCAACAGGATCGCTCCGTGCGAATCCATTTTGCGAGGTCGGAGATCTTCGAGTGGAGTTGGACCACCCTTGGCCAGCAGGAGGTGGACCAGTCGACGATCTATGACTCCGGTTTGGGAATGGCATGTTCATTGGATCTGTCGCTGCATTAAACCCGGATCCAGAACGAGATGGTCTGTTTACAGGTGGATCAGGACGATGTTGTCGCTCATCGCGATCATACCCTCGCCCGTCATCCTCATGTCTTTTACCCATGCCCTCCTTGGCGACGTAAGGCTTGCGCTCTCGTTCGATTGGCAAAGCGGGTGAAGTGACATCTTCATCATCGCCGTAGACTGCATTCGGTTGCTGAGAGCGCTGGGAGTAAGGCTTGCGTTCCCGTTCATGAACGAAGCTCTGCAGAGGCGGCTCGGGAGGTGGTGGCGGCATCGCTGAAGCCTCCCTCTCCGGCGGTACCAGCTCCGGCTCATGACTGAGACTTGAGATCAGACGTTGCTCTGCCTGTCTGTTTGGTCTAGCAGGCAACAGTCTCCGTGATAGCTGTTTCGGGAAGCGCTCGGTTCTGTCATCGGCATTGGAGATGGGCATCTCTTGAACCGCCTTTGCCAAGCGCTCAAACTCAGTATCCGGGTGAGCTTGGATCATGCATGTCATGAGTGTCTCGAAGCCGATGGGGGTGAGTCCTGGGATGCTTGGCGCCTCGTGATAATTCTTTTGCACGAGGTGATGCTGGCACAACAGCTTTCGGTACATGGAAGATATTGAGTTGTTGCCAATCCTGCCGCCATATATCGCTTCCCAAGGGTAGTGTTCACCAGAAACCTTTGTTTCATCGAAGAACCGCATCATCTTTGCCGGTGTCACCACGAGGCTGCCTTTAGGTTCAAAGTCTTCGATAAGGTGCACAGCCAGACCTCTTAGAAACTGGCCAAGGCGCACGGTCGGGCGGTCTTGCTCGAACAGTGGCTGCCATKCCTTTTCCAACGTGGTTGCCTCCTCGGACTCCGACGTAGAATGTGAGCCGTGAGCCATGAATCCGGTGTCGTGGCCATGACTATCCTTTCGCGACATGGGATTGTGTTTATCCATGTCGCCGTCGTAGTAATGGCCCTTGGGATGGAGAAATGATCAACGCAAAATGTTTGGGTGTCGACGTGACGTAAGAGCTGGCAATGTTTCGGGATACGGGAGCGGAAGCAACTGCGTGACGAGTGTCATTGGCCAGAAACTCGCAGTGGTTGCCTGGCTCCCAACTTTGGTAGCAATGCGCACGCTGGACTCGAGTGCACGATCGTTGCGAGGTGTTTGTTTGGGTGGCTAGCTTGGCTGGGAAGAGAGACATTGACGTTGGTTGATATGCGAGTGCGAGTGGTTGCTCACCGGCCTCTCACAATCTCACAACGTCATGCGCTAGCTACTTGGACGCCTTCTCGTGCTGAAGATCTCGCTGAAGATCTCGACTTCATGGGGCCTCGCCGATGGCATGAATCGTAGACAGCAGGCAGGGACCGCAACGACGTACGTTCCAGAACAATGTAGTTAACTTACAAGAAGGTCATCGTCAAGGAGGCGAGGCTGGCGAAGGCCGTCGAAACTCTGGGACCGAGGCGAGGTTTCTCGAGGTTTCACGCGGGCCCCAAACCCTTGTGTAGAATCCACCAGCCTGAGACGAAGATGATGAGGCTTGATGGACCACGACCCGCTTCGTGCTACCTACCTTTGCTGCGCCTTGTCCGCAACTCCACGGCAGTGCTGAGGGCTCATCGCTCGAGCGTTGATCCAGGAGACACCCTTCCTTGGACCCGCTCCACTGCACTGCTCCGCCGCTCCTGTCTTCCAAATCGCGCTCCGATTTTCAGCCCAGGGCGCCTGGTATGCGTTGTGATGATGCGGCAAGTACAGCGCCCGTGAGACCGCTGCTGCAACCAATCATTGCCTTTGCAGTGAGCGGTCTTCAGTGTCCGCGTGGGAGGGCAGGGCTAGTGCTGACAACGGCGACTTATTCGAAAAAGCGGTCACAACGTGGCGGCCTTGTCCTTGATACCGCACAGCGCTGMCGTTTCTGTTGGAGACCGGGCAAAGGCCTGGTGAGAGCGTGACCGGTCTCCGCCAACAGGGGTGGAAACAGCAGTGAAACTAGAGCTAAGCCTAAAGGGGAAGAGAGCCTGATCAACAGGCCGAGCTGTTGTGGCTGTCGTGAGTGAGGTGGGCTGCTTTCCAGAACTCCACCGAGTCCACCGGGCATGGTAACCGACGTATTCCAAGCTGAACGTTCTGATGAATTGCGGGTGGGAGTGATTTCGTGCGTTGAAGACGTGGCGGGAAGCGCTGCGAGGACACAATGAACCGGCTTTGTCAATATTGCTTGCCGTTTGATCGCAGACAGGGTGCCTCTCATTCGTCAGATTTAGAATAATCTAGTGTTTCAGATCCGTCAAGTCTAAAGCGCGCGAGGTTCGCTCGCTTCCTGAGTCCAAACTTACCAAATCCACCACTACTCCTCCTCCTCTGACTCTCTCCAACACAAATCGCCACACGCCCGCCCACGCTGTCTATACTTTCTACCCGTGCTTCGATCAGAGGCGCAGTCAAGTTTCTACACACCCACCAATCTCTGAGATTATCGTCGAACATTGTACAGTCCAGCCCAGCATGTGGTTGAGGGGCCAATAAACCGCGAGCACACTGCACAATCCACAACTACCTACCTACACATCCAGTCACCATGACCTCTCTTTTGACCCGTGCTCCCTTTCCGGCCAGCGGCACCAACATGACCACCGCTCTCCCCAGTGCTCACACGCAACGCATGCGTCAGACGCAGCCCTCACAACACCACCAAGCCGCCAACGGACACCATGTTTTCACGAGCCCGACCGAGAGCGAATTCTCCGAAAACCACAAAGATGCACGGGATTCCGTCGCCCACTGGGATGAAATGCGCGTCTGCGAGTGGTTGCGGAGCATCAATTGCAGTCAATACGTCGACATCTTCCGCAAGAACCACATCACGGGGGAAAACTTGATGGACATCGACCAGGCGACGCTGAAGGAGATGGGAATTAAGAAGATTGGCGACCGTGTGCGTATCGGCACGCAAGCAAAAGTGTTTCGTAATAATGTATATCGGCGGACGAGCAAACGGAATACCAACAGGGTAGGTTATGATGTCACTTGAACCTGGTTGACGCAGTGCGTACTGATCCCCTTTGCAGCTTTCTCTCGCAGCACTCGATGTCAATGCACATCAGCAGCAGCAACAGCACACACCACCATCCGACTCGCCCCGAGCGTTGCATTCTGCTCGCCCGGGGACGACTTCTCGCGCCGACAAGCGAATGTCGAGGCAGATGGGTAGCACGGACATGAACTACGCCGTACACCGTGGAGCAAAGACGATTTCGCGGCCGAGCTCTCCATTGGTCGACCAGGAGAATCGTTCACGAGCACTGCGACATGGAGCTCCCAGCCCGATGAAGGAGAGCAGCTCGGCCTACCCTAACCCACCCCTGACGGCCCGGCTAGCACCCAACTCTCGAGGAACTCCACACATTCGATCATCGCCCTCCATGGATGACATGAACTTCACGGCCAGTTCACTGCCACCGGGCAAGCCTTGGATCAAGGTCATATTTGAGAATGGTGTTGGCAAGATTATAGACATTGTCAACTTCAGGACCGCCGAAGACATCATCCGTGCCACCCTGAAAAAGGGTCAACTCAACGAGAATCATTTCAGGTCATATTGTTTCTACGTTCTCGACGGCACGGATCCCAGTCCCGCATTCTGCCGACGGCTAGGAGAGGCCGAGCTGTGTAAGCTCTGCAACGACACAGTCCGGAGCGAGCGAGGTCGTTTGATACTGCGAAAGATTCACGCTGGAGAGCCCGAGGGCGAGCAACTACTGTCTGCGGCACGAATAGCAGAGAAGCAACGGCCGGAGCCACCTGCAATTGAAGTTCAACAGCCATTCAAGAGTAGAAGTCAGCTCAAGGTTGAGAAGCTCACCGGAGAGCCACTGGCCGCTGTCAGCTATCCAATGAGCCCAGCAAGCGCAGCAGAACGTAATGACTACTTCGAAGAGCAGACAAGCGGGAGCATTACGCGTAATGTCAGCACCGGGTCATCACTTTCCGCGCGTGCTAGGAAGCTGAAGGACTTTTACGGCGCGAGACCGCCCACAGAGTTGATCACACAAGACCTGCAATCCTACTTCCCGGAAGTGGCCCGAGAAGACATGGACCGCACAGTACGCATGTCGATACGCAGGAGCAAGAGGTTAAGTCGTGCTGTACGTACACTCAGCATGGCCAGTAACTTCAGTGTCGCCAGCAGCCTCAAAGATGCTCCACCGCTCCCCACCATTGCCGACACCTGGCTAAGGGAGACCGGGCAACTTCAAAAAGCCGGACTCCGTCCATTGAGTGTTGTTCGCCTCGGCAGGTCAGATTCACATCGTGAGTCTGTTGCTAGCAGTATGTTGGAACCTCTGGACGAGGAGTCACCTCTCGAACCAAACAGGAAGAGCTACGTTTCTTTCGGTGGAGACAGTGGCTCAGACACGACCACCAGCAATCTGGCCATTACCGATCCGGACGGCCAGACAGTGCTCCAATCATACTTCGACGACGGAACCAGCAGTCCGACACCGACCGAAGGTGGTAGTGACAGTATCAACTCCCGACTATCCCGCTTCATTGCCGAAGATGGCGAGGAGTCGGACGAAGAGCTCATTCAGCATCTCGAAGCAAGCAGCTGGGATGACTTGAAATACATGAAGGGTGCTATGATTGGTCAGGGATCTTTTGGCACCGTCTTCCTCGCCCTACACGCCGTCACCGCAGAGTTGATGGCCGTGAAGCAGGTCGAGATGCCCTCTAATGCTGGATCCAAGATGGACTCCAGGAAAAACAACATGATCGAGGCCCTGAAGCATGAAATCAGTTTGCTCAGAGACCTCAAGCACACCAACATTGTACAATATCTCGGATCGAACAGCGACGAGAAGAACCTGAACATTTTCTTGGAGTACGTCGCTGGTGGCTCGGTCGCAACGATGCTTGTCAACTACGGGTCCTTGCCAGAGGGACTCATCGCCAACTTCGTGCGCCAAATTTTGCAAGGCCTCAACTACCTCCATTCCAAGGACATCATTCATCGTGACATCAAGGGTGCCAACATCCTTGTCGACAACAAAGGCACCGTGAAGATTTCCGATTTTGGCATCAGCAAACGCGTGGAGGCTTCGACTCTGCTTAACCCAGGCCCGCATCTCAAACGTGGTGGGCCTCGTGTGTCTCTCCAAGGCTCCGTGTTTTGGATGGCACCCGAAGTCGTGCGTCAAACCGCCTATACGAAGAAGGCTGATATTTGGAGTTTGGGATGTCTTATCGTGGAGATGTTTACTGGCAGCCACCCGCATCCCAACTGTACGCAACTGCAAGCCATCTTCAAGATTGGACAGACAAATACCGATAGTGCCCGTCCAGACCTTCCTGACATGGCCAGCGAGGATGCAAAGGATTTCTTGAAGAAGACCTTTGAAATTGAGCATGAGAAACGACCGAGTGCAGAGGAGCTCATTGGAAGCCCTTTCGCAAACGCAAAGGCTTGAACGTTGTAGCAGCCAAACGACTCATTGACTACGGCCAGCTGTCCTGTCCGTTGGTACTGGTCTCTGCGAGATAAATGTGCTTGGAGAGGCAATGCCAAAAAGCACAGAACGCAAAGAGATGGAACACACGAAGCTCACTCACTGGTGGTTGTTTGGATTTGGTATCCCTAGTGAATGATTCGGAAAACGATGCACAATATGATTGCACTTCTTCGATGGCAGTGATCCCTGGCGGCACCTCTGTCTAATAATGATGATGGATTCAAGAGAAGGGTAATGGTAATGGAACCAGACTACTAGACATACCTACTCACTTGATACGAGATGGGACGATGACACCAAATGCAAACATCCTTCTCGTTGCGTTCTTMGTGTTGTCGAATTCAAGATTAGTCGGACGTGCCGTCCTCCCGTTTGACTTTCAAGATCTATTGACTTTGAGCTCTAGGTTGGGGATGTACCAAACTAAGGTAAAGGCATCCTTGTGAAATGAAAGCCGCGTATACTGCACACGTCATTCGTGCTTTGATCTTCAATTCGCGCAGAAACAAGCAGCGACCTACGGCCATCTTGATGACCAGTTGGTGTCTATCATCTGCCCTGTCTCACGTGTCGACTTTACTGCCTTCACCTCCACCTCACAATCAACCCACCTGATTACTTTCGCAGGAGCTCCACTTCTGTTCCGTCGTGGCAACAACATTCCGCCAGCTGCAATGGCCGGCGACAGAGACTCGGCTCGCAGCAGAATCGAACAACTATGTCGTTCTGACATGTCCGTCAGTGCAAAGTACGCAGAATACCCAAGGAAGTCGCCAGGTGAAATCGCAGAGGAGTTGTTCGGATCACATGTGAGTAGCAGTCATTCTTAACGATCAATTCCACACTAACATGAGAATAGCACCTCTCAACGATCATTGCCAAACCGGCAAATGAAGCAGGAACCACCACCCAGTCGAGGTTTGACTGGGCAAGATCATGCGGTCGATTCCAAGGCACAGATCCGAGCGAGTTGTTCTTGCATGCGTTCCACGATGCCCTTTCGTGCATCGATGATGATCCGCTCGCCAGTTGCGTCTCGCCTTCGCTATGTGGTACGACGGGATATGTGCCTTTGACCATCATCGCTCCATTGAATGATCAACTGCGACATATGTCGAACTTGATTGTGCGTGCGAGGAAGGAAGTGCTGCTCGCCACAAACTTCTGGAAGTCCTCTGGAGCGAGCCATTTCATCAACGACGCGATGATCGATCTGTCACGAAGAGCTGGGGCGCGAGGTGAGAGAATTGTGTTCAAGTTGATGTTCGACCGTGGGGCTTTGAAGCAGGTAAGATACTATTTCCTGCATGGCTCCTACTGGATGATGTTGATAATCCCATTCCAGGTATTCAACAATCACCAGAATGTTCCGCCGGCTGCGTGGCAGGCCACTGGGGTTGGTCTACCTGCGCCAGAGGATATCCCAAATATTGATCTTGCGATTGTGAATTTCCATCGGCCGCCTCTTGGGACCTTCCATAGCAAGTTCATGATCGTTGATCGACAGATTGCAACTTGTTCCAGCCACAACATCCAAGACAATGACAATTTGGAAAGTGAGCTGAGCTCTTGCGCTTTATTCGTGTCATGGGCATGCGCTGATCCTTGAGCAGTGATGTCACACCTTGAAGGTCCTATCGTGGACAGCTTTTGGGAGACATTTATCATATCATGGCACAACAACCTCGAGCCACCTCTGCCATGTCGAAATACACCGGCAACGAACGAAGTTGCTCCGACGCTGCAGGAATCCTCGTTCCTCGATCTTTTCGAGCCAGATGGCAGATTCCGCCTTCCGGAAAGACCAGCCCAAGAGAAACATGCAGAGCACATGTCAGGTTCGCCTCATTACGATGATTCCTTGGCAGGCGAGATTTATCGCCTGCAATCAGTACTCAAGCCAGAAGATGCCTCCCTTCCATACGTCGACACAATCGCCAAGCACCTGAATGCTCCCACGAAGATCAACATCAAAGCTACTGCGCCAGACAGGGCTGACAAGCTGAACTTCTTCCCTTTTATCCCGCTGCCGAGCACAGATCCTATACCCATGGCCGTGGTTTCCCGCAAACCATACGCAAGTCTCAACACCGATAGCCTTGTTGTTCCACAGAACGAAGCATGGCTAAGTCTCATTCGAAACGCAAAGCACGACATCTTCATACAGACACCAGACCTCAACGCAAAACCTCTTCTACCCGCCATCATAACCGCCTGCAAACGAGGTATACCCGTAACATACTACGTCTGTCTGGGTTACAACGATGGCGGCGAGCTCCTACCTGGCCAGGGTGGGACGAATGAGATGGCTGCTCATTATTTATACTCCCAGCTGCAACCTGAAGATTGTCAGTTCCTCAAAGTACACTACTACGTTGCCGCGGATCAGGATCATCCTATCCATAACAACTTCAAGCAAAGGAGCTGCCATATCAAACTCATGATTGTAGACCAAACAGTCGCTATCCAGGGTAGCGGCAACCAGGATACGCAATCATGGTTTCACTCGCAGGAGGTGAATGTCATGATGGATTCGCAGGCTGTGTGTAAGGCGTGGAGGGAAGGGATCGAAAGAAATCAGAATACTGCGATTTATGGACGCGCCAAGGAAGATGGATGCTGGTATGATTCGAATGGGAAGTTGGCCGACGGAAGCTTAGGGAACGATGCTGGCCATTTCTCGTGGGCGAAGGGCATGATAGGAACTTTGAAAAAAGCCAAGGGAGATTAGCCATGACCGACGGGACTACCATCACGCTACTAGGCGCCAATCGCCAGTAGTGACAGATGGAGGGCTCTGGCGCTTGATCGCTAAAGAGCTCTGACACTGGTACAGCGAAAAATCTCGGACATCGAACCTCCAGGCAGCTTAGATCAGGACCACGAGGCATTCAACGATCTTGATAATGGACTAAGTAGTAGTTCTTGCTGGTTCTCGGTTCCGCTACACTTCCGGAGACTTTTTTGGGGTTACTTGATGGGTCACTACCGTTTCATCTGCAAGGGAGTATCACACAGCTATATACTTTGGGTCTGGATCTGAGCCCTCGTGATCTATGTGACAGACGCGGGACATCTTTGTTGGCGAAGATACCCAAGACTTGAGGATGTGGGCGTCAATTGTGTCTATCCGTGTCTATCCGGCCTTCCCATCTCGGCTGCCCCTTTCCGTTATCGAGGGCTGGCTCTGAGGTCGATGTGCAGTATTGTTGGCGCTGACTTTGTGAGTATCTGTCTCTCAGTGGAGCATCAGCTGATATGCCTCCTAGTTTCTTTTCGAAAGCCAGAAAGCGGCATTCATTGGACGGCGAGAAGCCCTACGCCATGTGGATGTACCTTGGGCTATTCGAAAGCTTATTGTGACATTGCAAGTGATATTATGGGCTGGCCAGGTTTGGATCTGGGGAAGAACCAGACTTGACCAGCGTCCTCAACCTGCCACTTACACGGCCTAATAAGAACTTCTTCTCCGATACAATCTACCGCCAAATCAGGAAAATCCACTCTCGAAGAATATCTCCACTTCACAATCAAAATATCTCCTCCACTCAACAACCACAACAGCACAACACTTTTATCTTGATCATCCAGCCGACAACACTCACTCTACCACGATCAACACCACAAGCAGATCTGTAGAACTATTCAAGTGAGATATTTGCGATCATCAACCAGCAATCATGGCTCCACGGATGCTGTTCAACAACCCCTTCGCGCAATCCACTTTGGAGGACTTTCTCGTCGCGCCAACCTCGCAGGATCTCGAGAAAAATCCTCATGCCTTGATCAACCGTGCCTCGAGTTCGGAGTCATCTTCAACCTTGTCCAAGCCGCCTGCCATAGAGATGATCGAGAGCTTTAGGGCCGAGTTCGACGAGAAGCTCGCAAATGGAGAACAGGTCACCGCTTATGATAGTGAGTGATTCAAGTCGAGACTGATTTCCACGCAATTTTCTTACTGACGCGTCTCTCTCAGAAAAGTCCAAAATCATGAACAAGGCCATCCAGGATATCGGCATGGGAAGATATCAGTATATGCTTTTCGGACTGTGCGGCTTCGGCTGGTTCGCGGATAACCTCTGGTAAGTGATGTCTCACGCATGGAAATATTCATCTTACTGACTTGATATGATACAGGATACAAGCCGTCGCTCTCACACTCCCTGGTCTCGGCGCAGAGTTCGGCATCGACGAGAACCTCATCCGCTACACGACTCTGAGTCTCTTCATCGGGCTCTGCATCGGAGCATCCTTCTGGGGCGTCGTGTCCGATATCGTGGGTCGACGTCTAGCTTTCAACATGACTCTCCTCCTTGCCGGTGTCTTTGGGGTTGCAGCTGGAAGCCCTACGACCTGGGTCGGCGTATGTGCTCTATATGCCTGTATAGGTCTTGGCATCGGCGGCAATCTACCAATCGACGGCGCTTTCCTGTTGGAGTTCTTACCGGGCTCACATAAGAATCTTCTGACGCTGCTTTCTGTCTGGTGGCCACTTGGTCAGCTTGTCGCCTCCCTTGCCGCCTGGGGCTTCTTTGCGAACTTTGGGACTCAACAGGGCTGGAGATACTTCATCTACGCCATGGGTGGGTTRACGATGGTCATGTTCATCGGTCGATTGGTGTTCATTCACCTCCTTGAATCGCCCAAATTCCTTCTTTCTCGCGGARGGCAGAGGGAGGCTGTGACTGTGGTAAGTACAATGACTGGATAAATGCATCCCACTTCGAGATCGGATGTCATTGCCGACGAGGAGACCTCTAAGCATCTGTGAACTGTGAAGATCTCGGAGAGTGCCTCGAATCCCTTGTCTACCTCTTTTATGTCTGAGACGCCGCTGACCTTTTATGTCTAGATCCATGGCATTGCATACTTCAACAACAAGACATCCTGGTTGACCGAAGACATCCTCAACGCCGTCGGGGGCCGTCCAGAAGAGTTGGTAGACGATAAACCGACCGCAATGCAAATTGCCAAGCGAAACCTCAGCAAGTTCAGCGGCCAACGCATCAAACCTCTCTTCCAGAATCGGAAAACCGCAATCAACACCTGCCTCATCTGGTTCAGTAAGTACAATATCCTCCATCGAAATTCCCCTCACACAACTAACACTCCCTCCACAGTCTGGGCATCAATCGGAATGGGCTACCCACTCTTCAACGCCTTCCTCCCACAATACCTCTCCCAAAACACCTCCTCCGGCAAAGAAAACCCCCACGCCTACCGAGACTACGCCATAACCTCAGCAATCGGAGTCCCAGGTTCAATCATAGCCTGCTACGCCGTAGGAATCAAAAGTTTCGGTCGCAAAGGCACAATGGCCGTCTCCGCAGCTCTGAGCGGCCTCTTCGTAATCCTCTTCACAATCGTCAAGGGCTCGGCTTCGCAACTCGTCATGACATGTCTGGAAGCTTTCTGCCAGAATATCATGTATGGTGTCTTGTATGCATATACCCCCGAAGTCTTCCCGGCTCCGAATAGGGGTACTGCGACGGGTATCTCGAGTTTTTTGAATCGTTTCACGGGACTTTGTGCGCCTATTGTGGCTGTTCAGGCTGGAGGCGTTAATCCCAAAGCGCCGATTTATGCTAGTGCTGGGATGTTTTTTGCGGCGTTTGTGGCTATGGTTGCTCTTCCTATTGAGACTAATGATAAGGAAAGTCTTTGAGGGGTTTTGGATGTTTGATTCAGATTGTAATTAGCGGGAGGGAGATGGATGGAGGATCAGGCGGTCATTACTAAAGTGGAGAGAAGGTTGCTTGCGAGAGACGCTCTCACTCAATGGAAATTTTTGACTAGAATTGTCTCACATGACCTTTGTTGCTCTCTCCCTTGCTGACCTCTCCTTCTCACAGTATAATGGATGACCCATCAGAAGCACTGACGATATCGCTTCCACAACACTGACAGAACTATGCTCGCATGAAGGTCTCTACAAGTACGAATTCCTAACATCTCACAGAAACGATATTTGGTTGAGAGACTAGGACGTAGGAAAATTTCGGTCAAGTTCTTAGGTCAAGTCATCGAAGACCATCTATCGGATGCATCCAATCCTCTCCAACTCCCCACTGACGCCATCCTCCAATATCGGGCTTCCACCCAGCACACCTCCTACCCGTGACCCTATATCCTCACCCCATATCTCATGAAATTTGATACTTGCATCACTGCTGGCGACCACCAACCCGCCCTCCCATTCGACTCCCCACAGAGCCCTCTCTTCTCCAGCCCAGGGGATACTTACCTTGAGCTCACAGCTCGGCCAAGCAAAGACCGCCACTCTCACTTTATGCTCAGGCTGTGCGAACCCAAACGTTGCTGCCAGACATTTCCGTTTCTTGTTCCACACCAGACTCGTGACTTGAGCGTGACAGTCTATCGTTGCGAGTTTAGCTCCAGATGGAACATGGTAGAAATGGATGCAACGATCGCTGCTACCGCCGCCTGCTGCAACAAGAGTCGATTGCCAGGGTGCGAAAGCGATGGCCTTGACAGCAGCACCGATCGTGATGAGCAGCTTCTCCGAGCCAGGCGACAGTGTGGGGATCTCGCTTTCGGACTCTGTCATAGACGTGCCTGTCGTGCCACTGATGTTGACATTGCGGACATGAATGGATGATTTGTCGCGAGGGCCTTCTTTCTTGACAAGAAGACGCCTGCGTTCATACACAAACATTGCATTGTCGTTTCCGCCCGTGGCAAAGTAGTCTCCTCCAGCACACTATGCCAAACCGCAGACTTGCTGGGTGTGGCACACGATCTTCGCAAGGAGCGTCATGCTACCATGCCAATCGAACAGGTCTCTCTGATCCGCCCCTGGCCATTGAATAGAGTACAAGTAAACATGACCCTCCTCGTCTCCCACAAGCAGCTCCTCTGTGTTGATCTTCTCTGATGGCTCCCGCATGCTCGCACTCCTGACGGTATTGGGGCGGAAGCAAACGCAGGAGATGGGACTGGGTTGTTCGCTATCGAAGCGAGGCTCGCTCTCGTGCGGTGACCAAAGGGTGATGCGACCGTCAGCTCGTCCGATGGCAAGAATTGCACTCGCCCCATCGAGTGAGCTGAACGAGAGTGAGGTGACATGCGATCCGAAATGAGATGTCAATGAATCCGGCATGTGAGTCGGTGTCTTCCCGCGTGATTCTGTCCACAAGTAGACATGCGGACCAAGACCAACAGCCAAGCACTTCAAGACGGGCGAGTATGAGAGGAGGGAGCAGTAATAGTCGTCGCGGAGAGCGGGAGCATCCAGTACGCGGAAGGGGATGATGGGGACGGGCCTCGGCTTTCTGGGTTTGCTCTTGGTGGGTGTGGTCATGATCTCTTGCTCCCAGGCGCTGTTGTTCCAGAAAGTCTTGCTCCTTTTGCCATTGTCTTTCCGGGGTGTGCTAGGAGGATCAGGCGAAGATGAGGATGATGACGATACAGGTGAGCTGTGCTTGAGCATCCTCGCACTCTGTTCGACATCCATTGCAACGGCCAATCTTTTCTCGTGTGTGTTGCCTTCATCGCCGGATTTTCGGAGGAAGTCTGCGGTGTAGTGCGGTGCGCTCGTCCCACTGGTCACCCGCCCTCCTCTACCGTTGGAAGTGCTTGCAACACCGGGGACTCGAGCTTTTCGAACTGGACATGGCGTTGCGCCAAATGGATCTGAAATTGGGGATTGGGCTCGATTTCGGTCTCGGGATTTGGTGAGTAGTAGAGCTTGCTTTGTAGGTGTATCAATACGGCCAGCAATGAAGCGATCCGGCGTCTGTAACGAGCCTGCCATAAGACCGCGCTGTCTCGCCGTCGCATTTCGCTCACAGTGTTGTAATAATGCACTCGGATCCCGCTGCGAAGCCATTCTACCGGTTAGTATCGAGATAAGAGATGGTAGGAAAGCTRGGGACGAATGAGCAAATTCATGTAAAAGGCAGTGGCGAAGGTTGGCGGCAAGAAGCATCTTTCCCCAACTTCATCATTTGATTCATACTGCGGACATCCCTCACATGAGGTCCAAACTACCTTCGAGTCACAAGTGCATCATCCCTCCTACGCTCACGGATGTCCCCTCCGAATGCTGCGGGTCCAGCATGAGATGAGCTGCACGACTTCCATCTCTTCATTGCCGGACGATCGTCGTGGTAGAGGAAATGTCTCATGATACCTTGGCGAATGAAGGCTACCCTCGAGAGCCGAATATCTTACAGTCGAGATTGCGTCCCAGACATTGAATCACTTCACCGTCTTGACGGGTGCSGCATTCTTAACATACTGTGATGTTAGTGCCGRCACCCATTTCTTCTGCGCGGGAGGTGAAGTTGATGCTACTGGGGTCCCTCAGTGTCTCGCCGCGGAGCCGCCCAAGTGTGAGACGACACATGCCTGCTACCATCTGACGCCAGCTTCCTGGGACGAAACATTACTGTGGCGAGAATATGGCTGGGAGCAACCAGTCCCTCAAGGCGGATCATATCATAACTTTCTGATGGCCGGGCATACTAGTACCAAATCGGTCTCTCGAGCGATCAGATTTACTCTTCGCGCAGAGGATTTAGTGTCAGGGGAGTTTGGTGCGAATGCTCAAGGCAGACATACAGCAGTGACTGTGAACATCCGGAGGACATGATCATTGAGACTGAATAGGTTGGAATGGAATCCTGGAGGGCATTCACTCGAGCTGTGAATTGGTCCCGGAGTTCGGAAGATGTGGAGGCGACGCATGTGACAGACCGTCCGTGCATTCTATCCGCCTCGTCAATCTGTGAATCCATGAGACAATGGGAATTCATTCTCAACACCATCACTATCAGCTGTGTCGCACCTCGACCAACGGGCCCTACCCGCCCAGGAACTCTGAACACTTGAACACCTGAACACCTGAATCTCTCTCGATGCTGGCAGCTCCCAAGCGTCTCACAGCCAGCGCGCATCACACAAGATGGCGAACTGTTTCGGAAGCAAACCAGTACAACTCGACAACGGAATCAAGCGACGTGCAAGTCTCCTGCATAGAGTGAAGCACCAACTGCAGAAGTTCCCCAGCCTCTCCTCCAGAACCTCGCACACCGTTCCACCAGCACCATCTCCCACCGTCGAGTCTCTGCGCGCCAGCCTCGAGACTCTACCCCAAGAACTCTACGATGAAATCGTCCACTACGTAATAACGTACGATGAAACGGCCATGAATCCCCTCACCGGCACCACACTCTGTCGCATCACCGCAACCTACAAACCGCCCGTGCAGCTACAGATCAATCGCAAAGTGCGCGCAGCCTACGCTCCCCATTTCTACAGCAAATCGACCTTTTACATCGAAGACCCAAATCATACATTCAACCGCCAAGGAAAGAAATGGCTTGCAAGTCTAGACGATGCAACCTGTGCACTTCTGACAGACGTTCGACACCCAAATCCAGGAGTCATCGTTGAAGGTCGCGGCCATCTCGGGAAATGCTCCTTGGGATACCTCGATTCCCGCGCAAGTCTACAATATCCAATGCCCGCAATGATGATCGTCACATACGGAGCGGGAGAATCTCTCCTGAGCGATTTCAAAAAAGGGGATTCAGGAGCATGGATTCCACAGAATAAAATCTCTCCTCAAATTCCCACTCATCTCGATCCCAATTCCGGCGGCCAGCAATTACCATCAATCAATTATCCAGGACATTACTCCATTGCACCAATGGCTGTCCCCGGATACAAAGGTCCGATTTCCAAAAGACTTCATCGTCTCTTCGTCAAAGCCCATCGCACGATTCAGAAGGATGCGATGGCCAATTTTCACTACCGGYGAGACTTGCTTTTGTCGGGAATGTGGGAGGATGCGTTTGGGGTCTACGAGGCTAATGATCGGAAGGGGTTTAGAGATAAGCTCTATGATATTGAATTCCTTTTTGCGATTTCGGGATATCGGGTTTCTTTGCGTTGAGGTGCAGTGTTGGGTTGGAATATCACTGCTGCGGTGAGGTACGACTTTTGTGAATACCTCGACTGGACTTTGGGGTATAGGAGTTAATACTTTTGAGGGCCGGATGTTCTCTCCAGTTTCTCGTCGAATGGTGTGAGAACAATTGCATCGGTTTTCCAGCAAGCTTTTCGAGAGGTCTCTATCGGATCAAACTTTCCAATCAATAGTGAGAGTATGTTCGCAAGAAAGATTCTGGGATGAAGCATATAGAGCGCAGCCTTCGTCGTCAACCATTTCATAATGACCGCTCCTTCTCTAGCAGGATTCATTCTCAATCACACAAGCCACCATGGTCAGATTGATCCCAAATCCATCATCAAATCTCCCTCCACCCCTAAGGTACTCTTCCGATTCCCCCAGCCGCTTCCCAGCGGCCTCCCATCTCTTTACATATTCCCCGCGTCTCTTCCCCGCCTCCCCCAGAAATTCATCCCAGTAATCATCATCGAGTTCGAAATCCAGACTTCCTCCATGATCRGTCCATAATTGGTCTTTTGTAATGTAGTGACTAGCTTCTCGATTGAGTTTGATCTTTTTCTTGACAGCAGGATCGATGAACAATCGCATGATTTTCCAGAGGCTATTGAACCACCACGGGATGGCAGTGGGTAGGATTGCTAATCCCAATCGTTCGGGATTATGTTCTTGGAAAGCGGCGATGTAGGCGCGGAGTTTGGTCATTGAGGGCATGAGAGATCGCGAAGCACCTCTGAGATCGATGATCACGGTGATGCTTTCTACCCCGGGGTGCATCATATCGATTGCTCTTTCGGTCATGAAGAAGAGGTGGGATAGGTGTACATGTGACAATTCCGGGGTATCCTTCAGCAGGTTGTAGTACAGACAAGGGCGTCCAGTCTTGTCGTAACCCAGGGGAATCAGCCTGCCAGTACTGAGTTCTTCGAGCATGGGTCCTTCGGCAGTGAGATCATCGATTCGCTGTTCTCTCCGCCATAGAATGGTGGCTTTGAGGCGGGCGAGGCTGTGCTCGGTGATCCATTTGCAAGCTCGCAAGTAGCGGATCAGACATTCTCGCGTTATCCATCGGCGTTCGTGTTCAGCAAGCGGAGAACCATCGAATGATTGATTCCATTGCGATGCCAGTCCTAGAAGCGTATCGTATTTCAATTCTTGCTCGGCCGTGAGAGTTGGGCCTGGGAGGATTTCTATCAATGGCTCATCGTGGACATCCATCGAAGTCTTCATCTCGTGATGTCTTCCGGGTGATGGACAGCTGTTGGTGCGGACGAGGGTGGGAAGAGTGGATGAGGAGAGAAGTGAATGGCCATGCAACCTACTGGGGATGTTCGGGAAGAGATATTTCGACGTCTCCAAGGTACCTCGACCTCTCCAAATTGCGACTCTGCAATGATGGCGCTYCGACACAGACTGACATGGCTCAGAGTCGGACTGGAGGTGCGATCGTCGGTGTACCACATCGATTCCTTTCATGTGAGTGTCGGATCAGAGATGTTTGGACTGCTCTGAGCGAGTCCCGAACGGTGACGGTGGGTGGTGAGGGACCACTTGCAGGCAATGATAGGCATGTGACTGATGAGAGAAGTGTGGAAAAGTGCCAAACCTTGCTGAGCGGAAAGAATGGCGCGTGCAGCAGAGATGAACACCTCAAACTCTATCAAGCAAATTTCCGCCAATCCAACTCTTCCCACAATGTCGACATTTCCGTGGACCGAGTGAAGAGCTCATCGTTGAGTGCAGCAGTGAGAAAACACACCACCAAGATATTCGTCATATGCCTCTCTCATCAAGATATGCATGGCAGGCAAAGAGATGGTGTAGTCGACTGCTCTTCACAGCACCAATAATACACTACGGGTGGATTCCCGCTTGTAGCGATCGAGTGTCATCGAGAGGTAGCGGTAGGCCAGACATCCAGTGTCCCGAAATCACATTTCCCAAGCGCTGAGCTGCTGTACCTATGGCTGGGCTGGTTGTGACTTCCACGTTCGTTCGTTCCTTCCAACAGCTGTGGTTGTTGACACGGGGAACAGCGCCGGTGTGCCGCCCGGCGTCACTGCGGGAGATCGACACGGGTAGCCGATCTCGTATATCGTATCGCCAATCGTCCTCGATCCACTGTTCACACCAGGGCAACAACTTCTGTCTCACTGCATGACCATGCAAGGTCGACGCCGGTCTTTCCATCTATACACAGACCACATCTATGATGTCGGAGTTCATCGCGTCAGATGCAGATTCCGCCTCGGCAAGTATTGGAGAGCTGGAAGAGGCGGTCTCTGAAGGCTCGATACCTTACCGTCTTTACARTTCTCGCTCAATGGAATCATGTGCCTGCGATGCTCGACCACGATGGAGCCATTCAGTCAAACCTAACGACTTCTGCTCTCCTTATCGCCCTTCATGACAGTAGGTCCGACATCATGTCGCTTTTGTTGGCCGTGAGCCACGACAAGACATTCCCGATCAAGGACGCGATTACTGTCGGGTCTCCTTGCAACTTCGACGCTTTCCTCTGGAATGGATGGGATATCGACCAGCAGGTGGAGATGGATGGTCCGCCTGCTCTCGGGTGAGTTTGGCCTCGACCCCGTTGTTTTGCAGAAGTTTATGGTTACAGATATGCGGTCCGTAACAAAACCCTTGTGACATGGTTTCTCGCGAACGGGGCGAATCCAAACGCTGGTTCCAACTATGATAACGCCTTTTCCAGAGCTGCTCTTCTCGGAGAGCCAGAGGTCATCGAATTACTACTTTCCCACGGAGCCAATGTCGACCACGGGCAGGTCCTCCATTGGGCTGTCGAGAGACAACACGATGCTTGTGAGGTTGTGAAATTGTTGATGGACCGAGGTGCACCACTCCATCGTCTCGAATACGATGGTACTGCGCCGATGTGGTCGGTTCTTGGTCTCCGATCTCGAGGGCTGGGAAGCCCATTGCACAACGCTATTGCGCAAGGGAAAGTAGATGTTGCTTCTACGCTTCTCGACGGCGGAGCTGATCCAGACTTTGTGGATACGAAGGGAAAGACCTGCAGAGATCTGGCGCGAGAAAGCAGCAAGACGGCAGCATTCACGCTCCTAGGGCTGTAGAACAGATGAGAGTCTAATTGATCATCAGTTGACACTCTTCATTACCTTCGCCTTGTCCTTGTATGCGCATTCATGCAATGAGCGAGGCTTACGACGGATTTTATGGGCGCTGATAACATCTAAAGGACGGTGAAACTTATTGTCACCAGCTCTCCTTATAATGAATCGGCGCAACGCTCGCTGAGAGGCACCTATAAGTATAAAACATGAACAGCTTCTCGGAGAGCTAGAACGTCCTATCGAGAGGATGTCTTCTTTATTCGTGCTATCGTACAATCATCAATACTGAAAACCAAGGCATAAGATCTTGCCATGCTGTGGGTAGGACGGCACCCTTCAATTGCTCCCGGCCCTTGATGAGCACTAGGGCACTCGGAAAAGCTGTTGTTCCGTTCCGCGACTAAGCTGATGGAATAATGCAAGTGAGTGACCTGAGATCATCGCGTGACGCGTGCCCTTTCCACCATCACATTTCCTTACCTCGCCGCGACACACACGCATTAAAAGTCGATAACAACATCCACTCGAGCATGGCCAGTGTATGTATCAGTCAATCAAGCAAGCAAACCGCAAAAAGGTGAAGAGGAAACCAGCTCGCTAACCCCGCCCCCACCACCYCCAGCACGGCATTCCCCGCGCCGCACCGGACCAACAATCCCAGAAATCCGCAGCAACGCYCGCCAAAGAACAAAAGACCATATCCGAATACAGATCGCTCGAATCCCGCGTCTTCACTGCCATCCGAGCCGGCGAATACACCTCTTCAACCCTCTCCCTCCTCTCGGCCCTCCTCTCCACCAACCCGGAATACTACACCGTCTGGAACTTCCGCCGTCGACTCCTCGCCCACACCTTTGCCCATCCCGATGCCTCAACCCCCAGTGAAGCGGACATTGCCGCCGCGGAACAAGCCCATCTCACCCTCCCTCAACGAGAAATCTCGCAGCTGATAGCGGAGGATCTGAGATTTCTGATCCCGCTGTTGAAGCAGTATCCGAAATGCTATTGGATTTGGAATCATCGCGCGTGGTTGCTGGCCCGAGCGACGGAATTGCTGCCTACACATGTCTCGACGAGCTTCTGGGAGGGGGAATTGGGGTTGGTGGGGAAGATGCTGGGACTGGATGGGAGGAATTTCCATGGCTGGGGATATCGTAGGACTGTGGTGCTGGAATTGGAGAGGTTGACGGGTAAGAGTCGGGCGGAAGAGGAGTTTGCGTATACTACGATGATGGTTGGGAGGGATTTGAGCAATTATTCCGCGTGGCATTGTAGAGGCGAAGTGCTGCCCAGATTATTGGAGGAGAGGCGGGCGGGTGAGAGAGAGAGGAGGGAGGTTTTGGACGGCGAGTGGGAGTTGGTCACAAGGGGATTGTGGACGGATCCGTATGATGGGAGTCTGTGGGCTTACTGGAGATTCCTGCTCGGTGCTGTTGTCGATGAGGATGATGTTGAGGGGAGTAGACGGAAACCGAAGATCTTGGATCCCTGTGGGAATGATGAGAAAGAGCATTACCTCCGACAGGAATTGGAGAATGTGAGGGAAATGCTGGACGGTGCAGAGGATTGCAAGTTCATCTATCAGGCTCTCTTGGAACTGGCACCACAGTATGCCAAAGTCGCAAAGCAGACGTCTGATTCAGCAAAGGATGAGATGTTGGCGGACAAGGAGGAGATGCAGGGATGGCTCGCCCAGCTGAGAAATATTGATCCTCTGCGAGCTGGAAGATGGAATGACTTGGGTAGAAACCTGGGCTTGCAATGATCAAGACATGAAGCACGAATTCCGACACGCCGGAATGACAGTACGATCCACCTTGCGCTGCGAACAAATGGCTCGCGATTCAAAGTCGTGGCGTGCTTTAGTGTCCTACGACCAGTAACCGCCTGCACTTGCGCATGTTGCACACGTCGGTCGTAAGACACTTTGCATGGGTGCTTCTGAGACACGGTGGACCTGCTCTGATGGCTTCAAAAGACCCAGATTTTCTCTCCTACTTCTTTCTTTTCCTCTTCTCACACATCTCGCACTCTTCTCACACATCTCGCATTCAGTACAAAAAGCTCAACGTATCCTGCTCCTTTCGCATCTACTTTCTACAATTGAAAAGCTCGACATCTTTGGCGTCGAGACTATGCCTGTTCTCTCACCAACTCCRTCTACTGGAAGCCTCGACTTCGTTGACTTCCTCGAAACTTTCGACACTTCAGAGACGGCTCTTGGCGGGTGTTCTGGGAAACACAATAACGATGAAGGGGATGAAAACGATGCTGCCATTGGCGTGGTTGATCCATCAGCGTGGTTACTACAGCAGCTCCCTTTCCCGTGGGGGTTGCCGGACACGTCCATCTCGTTCGACCAGTAATTCGATGAGTAAGCTCGACCCAGTACTCCCGTCTCCTGTCTGCGCACATCATTGCTAACACGCAGCAGTTTACGTCAGAAGTACACCTCGGTTCGTCTCACTTTCGAGCACGGCTGAGATCCGGTGCTTAACCTGAAAGTATTTTGGCCACGCTCCGTGCTCATTCAGCATTCGAGCTATTTCCGAAAAACGTTACAAAAGTCCAAAAACACCAGTCGCCCTCGCCTGGAATTCGATCTTGACGAGTATGTCCCAATGCAGGCCTTCCTGCTGTGGATGGACCTCGGTTGTATTCCCGTCCTGAGCGCCCCCGTCCGGAAAGCCATCTACGCCCACGGGCGTCGAGTCTGTGCATTCAGAACTCTCGACGACCGCGAAATTCCCTTTCGCGGTGCAGAACATTTTGCCTTGTGGAACTTCGCTGCGTCTCTCGGGGCTCCTGATTTCCAGAATGCCATAATGCGTCAGCTGCTCCAGACTCTTGACGATGAGAGTGAGTTTGGCATGCATGAGCGCTGTCTTCTTGACCTCCTTGACCGCATATGCGTGACTGGTAGACGAGGCTCTACAACGATGTTGCGTAGAATGGTGGCGTACAAGGCCTGGTTTCTTCTGCAGAGTCGGCGCTACGAGTCTTTTCATGCGTTGCACGGACTTGCTGGTCCTGCGGCCTTCGGCGAGGCGGTCGACTACCTCAAGACATACTACCGAGATCACAAGGATTCGTCGGACATTGTGGAGAATGTCGCGTGTCTGATGAATCATGTTGAGGACTTCATGGTGTCCGTCTAGTATGGTTGCTCCAGCAACTTTGCGAGCACTAGCTGCTATACTGTCCGGGGGTGCTTTGACGTGCTACGGGGTGTTGATACGATGAAGCGGAACGGGAATGGAAAATTACCAGGGTTGATATCAGGACAGGATATGGGTTGATGTTTCTTTGGGTGCTTGCTTGTACTTAGACCCGTTTGGCTAGATTTATACAGTTGGGTTTAGCTCGGAGCACTGATTTCAACTGCATTCTAGTCATGACGAGTGGCGTWCAGTTGGAAAGCGCGGCGGGCTTTGGGAAGTACTTGGGCACATTGGTCGTGAGACAGCTTGCCTGGGTGGTTCTATTTTCTGTCGAGGAGTTTGTGGTTCCTGAACCTTAGGCTTGATGACAAGTCTGGAACCCTGATCCTCCAAATTTTGGCGACAGTGTTGTTATAGGGCAAAGGTGACGGAATCGAGAGGGATGTTCATTAGGTTGGTTTGGATATCTTTACTTCGACGATGAGAGTATGTACTGTGAATATGCTTTAGTTCACGTCTGTTACTTTCCCCCTTCCTCGACAACGAGAGGTTACTCATAGCTTGGTTAGAGTCGTTTAGTTCACTCGGGTCTGACTGCACAAACATCGCTTATCAAATATCAATCTACCTCTCCATGTTTACTATCTCCCAGGAGGATGCTTTTAAAGCGTACTTCACTGCCAATCCGTCTCCAAAGACCTGCTCGTAGCGTCTCAATCTATCAAAGTCCACTTCCAGTTGCTCATTACTCGATCGAACTTTCGATGGCCGAATAGAATCGCGTTGATCTTTCTCGCAAGGAGACGAACCCCCGCGTTGGCGATATRCACATTCGAGCCTCAGATCTCACTTGTCAGAGGGCTTTGTCTACTCATGGATATTTCTCGAATGCGGAGGTGCAGTGAAGCTCTGAGACATGGTCCTTTCCCGTATACTACAGTTCTTAAAGAGCGGGCATCCTTCTCAATTATTTCGTTTTCTCAATCACATCGGAGTCTGCTCTCCAAGAGTTAAGTATTTCCGACCTTTCATTCTAGCCTTCAAAGCTAGAGCAGACGATATGAGGCAGCAAAACCACGACGACGAATCCGGCAAGAGACCGGGTATGTGTTTTAAAACAGAGATCGCTTGCTTGATACTGACATGCATGTATAGAGACACCGGTCCCTTCTTCACGATCAGCGGGCACACAAACCACGCTATCCACTCCCGCAGCTCCACTCCGCAACGCTGATGACGCTGAAGAAGTCCCCTCCACACAGAATACGCCTTTATCGCAGAGGCAACAGCAAGATCAGTCAGTTGATCCAATAAAGGAGACTGTCTTTGCATCGATCCCTGAGGTTGTCGCGCCAAACCAGGGCATTCCAAATGCTCACTACCCACCCAGTGCCACGAATGATCAGCAGCCCTTGAGTGATCCTACTCGAGTTCCAGAATCCAGCACTCCTGAGAGCAGCTCAGGCGACAATGACATTTCTGCTTCACAAGAGCTGATCAGCCACGACGACGATGGCCAGCTCGRTCCATCGGAGGAACCTCCCTTGATTTCATCAGTCCCAGCCCCAGACACGACGGTTAACACAGAGGCCCTGCAGCAACCCTCACAAGACGACAATGATGTTTTCGAAGCTTGGGCCGAAAGAGACGTGGCGATCGAGATGTTGGATGCACACGCAGCGAGAGTCAACGCTCTCCTCCAAGTCCAACTCAAGGAGTAAGAACAACAACAAGCCTTGATTTTCTCAACGTACCTCTCAACTAATTGACGGCAGAATCCTTCGACACCCCGATACCGTCTATCTGAATTTCTACTCGGACGCCCGAATGCCAGGAGTTCGAATCGCAGCATCGCGGTCAGTGCTTCGAAAAAACTCCAAGAAATTTCGCCACATGCTTGAGAAACATAATTCATTGACCTTCGAGAGCGATTTCCAATTCCCTACTGCCATGTTCCTCTCATGGACACTAAACGGAGAACTCCCGACCATCAGCGATGAGCTGAAGAAAGCACTTCACAACCATGGTCGACGCGGTCGAGGTTGGAAACCCATCAAGCACTACGATGATATTCCTCTCCCTTTTGAGGGAGCAGAGCTAGTTAGTCTCTGGTGTTTCGGCCACTTGTTCGGTGCAGCAGATTTCCAGAATCATGTGATGCGTAAAATAATACGCCGCGTCGACAGGTCAGCAGACTTTGATAACATCTTGCACACACTCCAGGGCTGGCGAAAGGACTCGAAAAGATGGACCGCTGCGCACCAGGCATTTTGCGGGATTTTCGAGAGAATCCTGGCTCACAAGGCTTGGTTCTTGCTAATTCAGGGAAGACGTGATGATAGGACCACTATTCGTGACATCATTGGCGCCGAACTTTTTGAGCAGGTTGGCGAGATCTTGAACACCAATCCTGAAGACGGGGTGAATGGTACGGATGCTCGAGAGAGGAGCTTGTGCTTGGTGGATTGCGTTGAGGAGTTCATGGTCCCTGGAACTGAGGAATGGCCTTGACCTGAACTTTATCTGTCACCTGAATAGAGTGTTGTCGATAGTACGAAATGTTTCTAGCGCCAGGATTGCAGAGCTCGTCAGCGATGGAAGACATAGTGCGCTGCACGATTCTGTAGCACAGGCCATAACATTCCAACTTCGGATCGTCACTCATCATGATATTGTGGTTTTGGGGACAGCATCGAGCCATATCCGACTGGATGTGGCTTTGAAACAGTCATCAGGAGTCAGGACTGGACGTCGGTGGTCTCTTATGCAGGTGCTCAAGTTTCGCYTGAGCACAAACGAGGCGCTGTGTCTCATGTCTATCGCAGCAAAAGAAACTTGTTTCGCCTTATCTTCTTCGTCATGGTCGTTCGTCGTGGTGTGCGATGGAATGGATATTTTGGCGGACGCTTGCGGAGCAGGACGAGATGGCATGCCAAGAATTTCGGTGCCTTCGTGTGACAGCATTTCTTCTTGGCCGTCGCTACGAAGCTGGTGTTGTTTCAGAGCTTGTCGCCACATCGCGAGAGCAGCCGGGTGTGTTGGGGTAGCTCACGTGTCGTCTCAGGTCTGCTCTGGTGCGCTCGAATGGCGGGGGCTCTCGACATCACGTAGCGTTCGACATCGCCCGATGCATCACGGAACAATCGATGACGCTGAGATGCTGTAAGGCTGTGGCTTCGTGAACGTTGCTTATCTTTGTCAATTCCTCTGGTTCAACGGCCGCAGACCTCGTCGTTGAATGCAGGTGTTGTGTCTTCATGAGTTGGATGGAATTGGAGCGAAGGAGTGAGGTCAGGACGCTAGTCGGCACGGTCGGAAGCGGAAGCGGGACGAGCTTCCGCGACCGGAGAGTGGACTTCAGTCACCTCACCTCACTTTTCAGGAGGTACGGGGACTGCGAAGCGCCATCTTCGATGGACAAATTTCATCACCTATGACATATCCCGCTTGCCGCCCGGAACAGGCGGCCGCGCCTGCTGAGCAATCAAGTCGGCACTCTCCTATACAGCGGATCGGCATCCCTGCGTCCTCGAACCGTTCATCGTTCGCGCGCCTTCATATGGAATGGCCAGACTCTTGCAGAGCTGGCCGGACACCCCGTTGTGCTGATCGCTCTTGCCCGGCAGAGCGCCATCTTACTCTCCGCTCTGAAGCCGCTTCAGGGGCTTCGTGTCTACAAATCACTATTCCAGGACGGCGGCAATCCCACCGCGGATGCAACGCCTGCCAAGCGGTTTGCAGTTTGCAGGTGCAACGGTCTCGTCGCCACGAGTCTGGCGACTGCCTGCCATGGATTGACACAGCGCAATCAACCGCTCATCATTGCCATTGTACTGCTTCTGGAACCAGGGAAACTGATTGATCTTGCCCGTGGCATGTCTCACAAATGCAGCCGTGCCATCATCTTACCACAGTAAGAAGACCTATTCCTAGCCTGAGACATTTCTCGGCCGCGGAAATTCTGGACCACGTCGCCGAGTCTAGACTCTACAGCCGCTCTACCAGCCATCGATCTGACTTGCCTCTTGGATGACCAGAAAAGGAATTATTGCCCATTCCTCGTCCTTGAAGAGAAACAAACGTGTATACGATAGCGGCAGCAGGAAGCAAGATTTTCGCCCACAGTGATAGGCACCAAGGTCTCCTCATCAGTAAATGCCGCTGATGGGCAAAAATCAAGAATGCCGAAGGCCTGAAGGCGAGGGTGAGAAGTCAATCAAGCTCATCGCAAAGGTTCGCATGTCTTCTTGCCTACAATCATTATGAGAAAGGACCTGAAGGGAGTTTGAGAGAACTATCGCAACTACATGGCTCATGCGGTCAAACGAATGGGCTGAGAAACTTAGATTCGAGTGCCTATTGYTCAAAAGGTCATGTATCCGCTTCTCGAGCAGACGGGTTTCTTCTCTTCCGTATGGTATGATGTTAGCTGCACGTTTGACGGTGTGTATGCACATCTCAATGATCCRGCGAATCGGCAGAGGCAATCTTCACCAATCTTCTCTCCACGTCCAGCGCATGGCAAGTGTGTGACTCGGCGCATTACATACTGCGCTCAGTTTGAGACATTCCATGCGCTCAGTTTGAGACATTCCATGAGCGGCTGGACTTGTTGATCCTGCATGCCTTGCGAAACATCGCATGTACCGTTCCACGCTACTCCAACATGACGGCCTTTCATACAAGGGCGACGTCATTTTGGCAAGCCGAAGATGTATGAGGTCATTGTATATTCGCGGTGGCAGAGGCTGAAACCTTTGGACATAGCTTACACGAGGCTGGTTGACGATCAATTTTGATGAGTGGTATAGCACAGTATTCTGCTCCTCGGACATGGGGACGGTCTCGATGATGGTGGCGCTGAAGCAACAGCTTTGCGAATTGATTCACCTTCACGCGGAAATTGGAGCGGTCTAACCAATTCGCAGTGAAAGTCATCAAGCTGGTGTTCGCGGCTTTGCCTGGTGCCAAGCCAATTTGGCGAAGACGGATCCAGAATTCTGGCATCCCCACCACCGCCGATCTCTCCTTTCAATCTTGCTTCTTCGTTGGACAGACACGTGCGGACCAAGGCGCATACACGGGGAAAGACGGTCGTACCAAACATACCGCCATGTGCGCTCGTCCAGGGTGCATCAGAAAATCTTTCGGCCGATCGGTACAGGTTACGAGGCGTCGGGGCGATTCCTGACTTTCGACGGAGCTGACTCCACTTTCAACGGGTACGGGATTGCCTGCCCATAGCCGCCCACGGCGCTCAGTACGAGCTCAAGTTCACGACTCCGAGCTCACGGTGTGGCAGGCTCTCCTTTCCAGAGGCAGACGCCGCACTTCCCCCAAAGCTTGGACGCGTTCGCCTCGCGGTCGGTTCTGGAGCGGTATGACCTACCATCGTGCCTAACGGATTCCACTCACTACACCTTACCGGCTTACCAATCTGTCAGCGACCGTAACACACCTGCGTAGAGTCATTGCCCTCTTCCAAGGCTTCATGTCTGTGAGGTGTGCGGCCAAATCATCATTACCGCATGAGTATAGAAGCTGAAAGGATACCAAACTTCATGGAATTCCTTGCGTATGTGCTTATGTCAATGGCCTTGCCCTACCATAATACCATGCATCCGTTCACGCAGGGTTTGATTGCGAGTTTAAACCGCGGTCGGAGCTCCACTATTCGAACCGTGCCACGACGTTCCCACCGCGCGTACCAAAGGTCCTAACTTCATCTTGCGGAGGATTCTACCCTGTATGCATGCAGCTGTCCGACTCGCAGATCATGGGACCCGAATATTGACAAGATTAACGTCCTCGTCGAAATATTCGCTTAGGATCGATCGGTATAGTTGCACGGAATGAACACTCGATGCTCCATCCAATGGGCACAGTCGAAGCCTGAGCTCAGGCCATGTCGGGCTCAGGCCATGTCGAGTTCAGGCCATGCCGTCTCAACTTGGGCACGGTGTGTATAAGTATGCTGTCCTTCGCCAGTGTAGAGTTGGAATCAGTCACTCACCCGATCACCTCAATCAACACTCCTGAGCTCAATCCAGACTTCCAGCCGCACCAACATCAAGATGCGTTCTTCTCTCGTGCTCGCCAGCGTTGCTGCTCTCGCTTCTGCGACCTCGAACTCTCTGGATTGTTCTGGCTACAAGCGCCAGGACTTGGGCTATGCGGCCATCAACGCACCAACCGGTGGATCTTGCCCATCTTTCATCCAGCACTCGATCTACGAGGATGTCACCGACAAGTCCAAGTTCGATCCTGAGCGATGCATCCGTGATTGCGAGGAGACGACTCTCTACAACAAGAACAACCTGGACGGCCGTGCTGTCTGCCGCTTCGTCAACACCTACATTCTTGTGAAGGATGGTGAACTCAAGGGCCAGGTCTGCGCCATGTACACTGCCACTTGGGACAAGTCCTACGCTACCAACACGGGCTACACCGATCACGAGGGTCACAAGATCTCCTTCTGCGACAGCTACACTTACAGCAACGAGCAGAACCCCGGTGTTCCTGGCAAAGACTGCAATGGCGCCCCAGAATCCCCTCCCCAGTACTCCCCTCCCCAGTACACCCCTCCAGCTCAGTCAACCTCGTCCTTGTCCTTTTCGACTGTGACCAAGAAGACTACTACCACTGCGAAGGTTACCACCACTTCAAAGGTCACTGCTACACCAGCCACCACCTCCAAGGCTACTACAACCACTATGAAGACCACAACTACTACTGCAAAGACCACAACCACCTCAATGGCTCCAGGTGGAGGCAATGGTGATGAAGGGTTTGAGTGCACCGGGCTTTACTCGCAGCCAGAGTGCTGCTCCGTCGACATCCTCGGCGTTAAGGCCCTTGATTGCACACCTCCAAGCTCTCCATCGAACATCTTCGCCTCTAAGGCAGAATTCTCCGCTATCTGTGCTGAGGGTGGTAAGACTGCTAGCTGCTGTGTCCTTCCAATCGCTGGACAGGGTCTCCTCTGTGAGTTCCTTACAGGCCCGTTCATGCCNATCTGTGCTGAGGGTGGTAAGACTGCTAGCTGCTGTGTCCTTCCAATCGCTGGACAGGGTCTCCTCTGTGAGTTCCTTACAGGCCCGTTCATGCCTACCAAACCTGGCAATGGCGAGGAGGGTCCCGAGGAGGGTGGTAACGAGGGCGGCAACGAGGGTGGCGACGAGGGCGAATTCGAATGCTCCGGACTTTATTCCCAGCCAGAGTGCTGCGCACTCGACATCCTCGGCATCAAGGCCCTTGATTGCACGCCTCCAAGCTCTCCATCGAACATCTTCGCCTCAAAGGCAGAGTTTGCCTCCATCTGTGCTGAGGGTGGTAAGACTGCTAGCTGCTGTGTCCTTCCAATCGCTGGACAGGGTCTNAACATCTTCGCCTCAAAGGCAGAGTTTGCCTCCATCTGTGCTGAGGGTGGTAAGACTGCTAGCTGCTGTGTCCTTCCAATCGCTGGACAGGGTCTTCTCTGCGAGTTTATCACGGGCCCCTTCATGCCGACCAAGCCTGATGCTGGCATGCCGACCACACCTGACATGCCGACCACACCTGACTCTGGCATGCCGACCACACCGGAGACTGGCAGCGGAGGTAGCTTCGAGTGCTCCGGACTTTACTCTCAGCCAGAGTGTTGCTCACTCGATATCCTCGGGGTTGCTGACCTCGATTGCAAGCCTCCTAGCTCCCCATCCAATGTCTTTGCCTCCAAGGAAGAGTTCCGCTCCATCTGTGCTGAGACCGGAAAGACTGCCAGCTGCTGCGCTCTTCCTCTCCTCACCAAGGCTTTGCTTTGCGAGAACGTTTAAGGACTTCTTGCCCGACTTGGGAGTGGACAACAAAGTGGTGGTTAAAGTTCTTGTGATGATAAATAGATTCGGTGGGAATGGTTTTGAGGGATGAAATGGTTATATGATGCAGTGTTTAGTTTGCGCAGTGTTTAGTATAAAAAGTGTTTACCTAGTTTGAATGGCACTTTTTCAGACGTTTCGATTCGCAGGCCTCTCACATGTTTGCTCGGCTTCCAGCGCTAAGCGCTCGCATTCTGATGGAGACAATTGGCCAAGTCCAAGTCCAGGCTTGACCTATCCATTCTCCGCGCGGCCTATCGTGTTCCCTCGGCTTCGTGGAAGCGATGGTCTCCACCCGTCGACTTGGTTCAACAAACACACTATACAGCCACAGCCTGCTGACTTTCGCCGATCTCTAGCGTCGCCACTGCGCGGCATCGTTTATGTTGGGATTGTCAAGATCTTGTAACTTAGTCGATGAGGTCGAGTCCTCTCTGCCAAGCCTGAGTTCCAGGTCCGAAATCTGACCGCAACCGTGCACCTCTTCCCACGCGAAAATGACAACCTCGACTTTCCTTCTCTCCCGACACGTCAAAGCCATCGCCGCGCCATCTCTACGACCATCTCACACTCTTGCGTGGAGATCCGTCGGGAATCGCACGCAATGGCGCAATGCGAGAGCCTTCACGAGCTCGTCTCGACGCGCTCTTGCCGTAGCCGAGATGACTGAAGAGCATTTTGCTGCTCTACGCGTCAAGCAGGACAGGCTGATGAACGACATTCACTCCACCTCTGAATGGGGCAAGGGCGAACCATGGGGCAGGTAAGACCACACCTCCCACACCAAAGTCAAACTCATGCATCCTGATGATACCCAACACATGCCTGCACTCTTTACGAGTGATGATGAGACACAATCAATCAATACTAAGAACAGCCATCTGACTACGATGAACCCTCCACCTTCGCCTCACAATGCCAAGCACATTACACTGYTGGATCAAAATGCTGACTGCTATGCAATTTTAGTGGCAAGACAGAGATTGGCATGGCGCGTCTATCACTGTCCGACGCGGACAAGCAGGCCCGTGACTGGTTTACAGAGACGACTCAGGCTATGGGCTGTACTGTCACGGTCGATGCCATGGGGAACCAGTTTGCTGTACGCAAGGGCCTGAAAGACGGCTTGCCTACGTATGCTGGTTCCCATCTAGACACACAGCCATCCGTAAGATCTTTTCTCTCCATATTTCTCCCATCACCATCGCTGACCTTTGCACAGGGCGGCCGCTATGATGGTATCCTCGGCGTTTGTGCTGGTGTRGAGATGCTCAAGACCTTGCATGAACATCAGATTGAAACCACTTATCCTGTAGGCGTAGTGAACTGGACTAACGAAGAGGGAGCTCGCTTTCCAATGTCCATGGTCTCATCAGGTGTCTGGGCTGAGTCTATTCCTCTCGAGAAAGCCCACAATCTGAAATCCGTAATTCCCGCCAACGATACTGCTACCATGAAATCCGAGCTGGAGCGCATTGGGTATCTTGGCTCCACTCCGGCGAGCTACAAAAGCATGCCGATGGCCGCACATTTTGAGCTCCATATCGAACAGGGTCCGATTCTCGAAGCTGAGAACCGCCGTATCGGTGTGGTGAAGGGCGTTCAGGCCTACAAATGGTTCACGCTGACTGTTAGCGGGCGTGATGCGCATACGGGCGCGACAAGCTTTCAGCATCGTGCCGATGCTCTGCTCACAGCTTCGAAGATGATTCTGGCCAGTCATCGCATCGCGCACCGCCACAAGGCGCTGGCAAGCACTGGCATTCTCACCTTGAAGCCAGGCTCCACAAATACAGTCCCCGGTCATGTTCAGTTCAGCCTGGACATTCGCTCCCCTCGCAACGAGACCGTCGACGAAGTCGAAGCTGAATGCAAACGCGCCTTTGAGCAGATTGCCGAAGGATCGGATGCCGAAGGTGTCAACACTGGTTGTGCAATCAGCGAACGCTCTTGCTCGGTGGAATGGCGGACCGATTTCATCTCACCTGCCACATACTTCCACGAAGACTGTATAAAATGTGTTCACGACGCCGGGAAAGATCTTTGCGGCGAAGCTACCGTCAAAGGTCTTGACATTGGGAACTGGGGCAAGTTCATGACTAGCGGTGCGGGTCACGATAGTGTGTACGCCAGCAAGCATTGTCCGACATGCATGATCTTTGTGCCTTGTCGAGATGGTGTCAGCCATAACCCGGCGGAATACTCGAGTCCTGAGGCTTGTGCCGATGGAACCAATGTTTTGCTTGGTGCAGTGCTGCGATTTGATAAATTGAGATCGCAGAGGGGAAGTAGCTAGGCACGAATGATGAAGCCACTCCTTGCCTGAACGAAACCCAATCTATTTTCCAACCTCAGCTGTTCATTTGATACGTCTGCATTGATTCCTTCTATTCTTTCTCTCCTGCATCTACTTCGTGAGGTGGTGTTACTTGATAGATAGCAGCATCAGAAGTTCTTGGCAAGAAGACCCTTATACTTCTACCCGCTATATCCGATCCGCTGCTGACTACCTAGTTACTGTGCATCTCGTTCTCTTCATTCGCACATTCCACAACATCGCATGCTCAATGGATAACAACGCAGCTGTAGCTGCACCTACAAGCCGAGGAAACCGCCCTCCTTCCGGGAAATTGGACAAGCAAAAACCAAAAAATGACAAACCTTTACCTCCATCCCATATCCTCTCGAAGAATGACCAAGGCTTTCGTCGTATAGTTCGCAACTTTTCACCTTCCTGGTTCTCCGCTACAATGGGAACTGGAGTGGTCGGCGTTCTCCTCCATGCTATCCCATGGCAGGCTGCGTGGYTCAACTACCTCTCAATTGCATTCTTCATCCTGAATACGATCCTTTTCTTCGCTGCTTTTGGGACTTCTGTGGTGAGATATACTGTCTGGCCAGAAATCTGGGTTGTCATGATTCAGGATCCTGCCAACAGCCTCTTTCTCGGAACGATTCCCATGGGTTTCGCAACGCTGGTGAATCTCTGGATTGCACATTGCGTTTCGAGATGGGGAGAGTGGGCTGTTTGGGTGGGTTGGAGTCTTTGGGTGTTGGATTCTATCGTTGCTGTAGGGGTTACAGTCACATTAGGCATACTACTGCAAGTGATTCTGAACATACATACCATCTTCACACACTGACTTTTCACCTCAGCATGTCCGCCCATCATCAACGTTCCCTGGACAGCATAACCGCCGCCCAACTCCTGCCCATAGCAGCAACAATCGTCTCCTCCGCCCTTGGCTCCAGCGTAGCCCAGATTCTCCCTACAACTCACCCAACTCTCATCCTCGCCACGATCCTTGCAAGCTACATAATGTGGGGCATGGCCGTCCCTCTCGCCTTCTCGATCCTAGTAATCTACTTCCAACGCCTAGCTCTCCACAAACTGCCGCCTCGAGAAGTCATCGTCTCGGCCTTTCTACCTCTAGGACCTCTCGGCTATGGCGGCTACGTAGTCTTGAATCTCGGGAAAGCATGTCTCAAAAATCTTCCAGTCGATGGAAGTGGACCACTGGACGGCCGCACAGTATATACCATTGGGTTCATCGTTTCGTTGGTAATGTGGAGCCACGGGCTGCTCTGGTTCGCATTGGCATTGGCGAGTATTTGGAAAGCACATCCTATACCTTTCAACATGGGCTGGTGGGGTTTCACGTTTCCATTAGGTGTGTATGCGCTGAGTACGATTCTTATTGGGGAGGAATTGCCTTCCAAATTCTTTCGCATTTTGGGGACGGTGTTTGCTGTTGCGGTGGTGTTGCTCTGGGGTTTAATTGCGATTAGGACTGCGAGGGGTGCTTGGACGGGGAAGTTGTTCCACGCTCCTTGTTTGGCGAATCTGAAAAAAGGCGAGATGGTGATTGAGGAGGAGAAGGGAGTTTTCGGAGAGGGTTAGGGTTTGGGTAGTGATTATATCAGATATATCAGTGCAGCGTGTTACTATGTATTACAGAGCTCATTTGAGGCTCTGAGAAGACACATAATGCTCTTTGCGGATCAACTGGCAGTATTCGGGAGGTCTTGCGAGGCGTTGTTGGTGGATGATAATACTTTGCACTTCATCGGAATTCCCCTGCGAAATTTCTCCTCGTAGCATCCTTCTCATTCTCAAGTCACCCAAGGAAGCCACCAAAAAAGAGACACTCGACCCGATCCACTTAGAAGGACAATCGGTTTACAAACGTGCATTTGAAATCAGGATCAGCGACTCTGATTCTAACATTTAATTCCGCTTTTGTACATTACACTATCAATTCCTCATCACTCATTTATCAGAACAGCAAATTGAAGGAACAGCAAGAGAAAGGTTCATCGCAAACGCTATGCCCATCAATAACAGCAGTCATGCATCATACCCTCAAACATTCCCCCCTATCTTCCACCCATACGGATGACACCCGCAGCCATCAACTTCTGCACCTTCATCGCAATCGCCGGGTTCTTCATGTGATCCTGCAGAGCAGCGGGGTCGCCCTTGGCCTGCTGCAGAATGCTCTGCATGACAGGGTCTTGCAAGATAGCCATGATATCCGGGTCGCGCTGGATGCGCTCCTGAGCCTGCTCGTCCGTCTCGCCTTCGCGGGCGGAGAATTGTGCTTGAAGGGCCTTTTGCTGCTGCTGCTCGATCTCGCGGGCGTTCTTACCGTCGATGTCGTGTTCGGAAGCTTCGGCACAAACATCCAGACACTTGTTGAACTCCTTCATCAGGAAGAGGGCTTGTGCTTTGCGGAGGTAGGCGCGGATGAAGTTCTTGTCGCGCTTGATCGCCTCGTCGCAGTCTGCAACGGCGGAGGGGAGAGTGAGTAGCTTGATGAGGCAGGCGGCGCGGTTGGAGAACCCGCGAGGGTCGTTGGGTGCGCGCTTGGTCATCTCTGTGTACGCATCCACCGCGGCAGGCCAGTCGAGCTCCTTGAACTTCTGGTTACCCAGCTCGCGTGCCTCCTCAGCCTTTACGGGGTCAATATAGGCGTCGCGCTCAGATGTGATCTTGGTCTTCTCAGCAGCACGAAGTTTGGCAAGAATCTCGGGTGTGCGGTGCTCGGTCAGAGAGCGGTTGTAGTACTCGACAGCGTTGGTGTAGTCTCCCTGCTTCTCATACGCGGAACCCATACGGCCGAATGCTTTGGCGATGAGCTTGAAATCGGCATAGACTTCACGACCGTACTCGATAGCTTGCTTGCAGGTCTCGATGCAAGCAGCGTAGTCGCCCTTTTCGAAGTGTGCGGCGGACAGGTTGGTGAGATAGGTGATGTCCTTGTGTGTCTCCCAGGCCTTGGTGTAGTGTGCGATCGCTTCGTCAAAGTTGCGCTTCTTGTAGTTCTCCGTGCCCAATGCCTTCTCCTTGTCGGCCTCTGCCTTGGCCTGCTTCTTCACAATCGCCTCTTCATCCTCGGGTTCGGGTTCTGGCTCGGGCTCAGGTGCCTTCTTCTGCTCCGTTGGCTTGGGTCGACCAGCATCTGGCATGTCCACATCCTCTCCATCCCCATCGTGCTCCGCCTGAAACTTCTTTGCTGCAGCGTCCGCATCATTCGTCGCCGCAAAGTTCATATCCACACCCATCAGTACACCCATGACCTGTAGGAAGCGCGGATCCGAGAACATGTCCTGCTGCATCGCCTGCGGGTTGTTCTTCATGTTTTGTAGCTTTTGCATGAATTCACCGTCCGCTAGTAATCCACTCGTCTTTGGGTTTGCCGCGAGCTTCTCAATCAGTTTCGGATCGTTGAACATGTTGCCCAGGCCACCGCTGGGATCGATGCCATCGCCACGAGCCTCTTGCTCGATTGCGCGGTTGACAGCCGCGAGTCCACTCTTAGCTTGTGCGTTGTTGGCGTCTAGCTTCAGCGCCTCTTCGAATGCCTCGACGGCGCCAATGAGGTCACCGGTTCCATGAAGAGCTGCACCCTTTCGTCCCCAGCCCTTGGACCAATCTGCCTTGAGCTCAGTTGTCTTGGTGGCCGCCTCGAGCGCTTTTTGGTAGTCTTTGAGCGAAGCGTAGGCGCCAGAAAGGTTGGAGTAGAGGACGTGGTTTGATGGGTCGACGCCAATGGCTTCGCTGAACTTCTCACTTTGTCACATCTCGTGTCAGTATCGTTGTGAGAACGGGAGATAACTTCAGTCCACTTACGCAGCGCCTTGGAAGTCCTTTGCAGCAAATAGCGCATTGCCCTCAGCTTTCAACGCATCTGCGCTCGCCATGTTTGCGGTGATCAGGAAGGAAGGTTCAGTGGTTATTCGACTGTACTATGATTAGGCTGTAGGATTTGAATGGCGAATTGAATTTGCAATCGTTGTGGTGGAAGATGGGAGGAAGGTGCAAGTTGTCGAAGAAAGCTTGTAGCTCGCTCGAATAGAGCTATCGAATTCCTATCGAAACTGATAGAAGGACCTTGTTCTAGCCTGATATTTCAGGCATCACTTTGTAAAACATAATCAATTACGCTCCATCATGGTATCTATTCGCTCCCTGCGACCTGCTAAAACGCAGTGAATCGCAATACATCAACAAATGATAGTGTTCATCTCTGCTCGCTCATCTCCATCTCAGTCTGCACCTCCGAGCCTTGGAAGATCTCCAGACTAGGCTCACGCCCCGACCAAATCGAGGAGGTGGAGAAATCGCCTTGCTCCTTCACCACAGAAGTCCCACCTTTCGACAACACCCTCCTACCGCTCACTCTCCTTAGTAGTGATCTTCCCAACGAAGGCTTTGGCTCCTAACCAGTAGCCCCAGGCGTGACGCTCCTCTCGCGCCGACTCATCAGCCGACCAAAACTCTTGTGCTTCTCCCTAACGGGGCTCTCACTCGGCGCCGCCAAAGACATCATGTCTGCGGGAAGGAACGAGGTTCGCACGGTCACAACTCCATTACCGACCTGGATGGTCTGCTCACCTCCACGAGACTGATCGTTGAGGAAGAAAGGCGCCTCACCAAGAACCTCATCACGTCCAAAGGACTTGTCGTTCTTGACCACCACCTTGAACTGCGTCGCGGCATTGCATTGGRACTTCTTCTCGCCCTCGTAGGAGGCTTCGCCATCCTTGGCTTTGACGGCCTTGGTGTGGAAGAGCTCCTTTGGACCGGTTTTGGTCTCGGAGAGTACGTGGACTTCCAGCTTGGAGTCGTGCTCGAAGCCCGAGGCATGAAGGACGCTAATGGTGGCACTGCCCATTTCACCCGTGGATGCCGGGCTTAGCGACGTGCCACCGAAACTCGGCTTGCGACCATGAGGCGTTCTGGGTGCGGCAAGTTCCGTTGTGTTGGTAACGTAGCCGTCAATGGATGTGTTACCATTAGCGTGTCCATTCAATGTCTCCGGGAGACCACCCGCTGACTCCATGCTGGTAGGACGCATCTCGGCTAAACCACCAGTTTCCTCATCATCGGGGACTTCGTGTTGAGTGCCACTTGGTGAACGCTTGCTTTTGAAGCCGCGGCCAACAAAGGATGCTCCCTTGAAGACATTTCCTCCTACGAACGTGCCGACCTTGCCGACACCCTTGACTGGAGCGCCGATGATCTTTCCAGGCGCCGCGAAAGTGCCTGAGAAGGTAGATGAGCCTTGTCGAGAGCGAGTGATGTAATCGGGCTTGAACACCATCTTCAATCTAATCGCACCACTCTTGCCATCAAGGTTGAGTACCACCTCCTGCGCTTGGAATGGCTCGAGAATGCCCAGGTTGATAGCAGTACTGCCAAGGAGGTCGGCCTTGTCGCCAAAATCCCAGTCGTATACATCGACTTTGAATTGAGCAGCTGTGCGGCTACGGATAGGAACCTCAAAGTACTCGTTCCAAGACGGATGCAGAGTCTTCTTCTGCTTGTTAGTCTTGTACACTTCTTTGCCATTAAGCAGGAATTTGCAGTATGGATCCGAATAACCGTTTCTGTCTGCAGCCGGGAGATCTGCGGCATCGAGAACTTCGACCCGAAGGTTGCCTTGGTTGTTGAACGACTCACTAGGGTCGAGCTGCATCTTGACCGGCAGGAAACGCATCGACACAGTCACATTGCTAGCGTGACCATGCTCATCCTTCATGGTGATTACTGTAGGTGTGTACAAGCATCGCTTCAAGGTGTCGACCAGCGGTCCGGAGAGCTTGGTCTTGATGTCGTTGTCATCTTCGTCTTTGATGTCCGTGTCCGATACCAAGCGTAATGTGATGCGGGAGAGGTCCAACTCGCGTACCATGGCGTCTCCAGTCTCGTTGAAGGTTTGCTTGCGCGACTTGATCTTGGCACTGCTCCAAGCTGGGTACTTCATGTCATCCATCAAGACCTCGAGATGGACTCCTGCGTGGGCCAAGTCGGCTTCATGAATTGTGAACACAATGAGACCAGATTCTAGGCAAGTGTTAGCGTGTCTCCAACCCTCAATGTAGCATCGTAGCACGCTCACCATATTGTGCAAGATCTTCTACACCAATCCTGACTTTTTCAACTTCGGCACGGTGAACTTCTTGAGCCTCTGTTTGTTCTTGCTCATTCGCGCTGAGCGTCTTGCCCATCTCAATTTCCTGCGTGGTGGCACTCTTGATACTGCCAGCCGTGCCAGAAGCGCTGCTGCGTATGACGCCTGGCGTTGACGCTGCACCCTCAATGTTCTTCCGCGCGCTCTCACCACTAGTGCGAACCTTGTCCTTCTCCTCATCTTCCGGGTCGATAACGGCGATTGTTGGATAAAAGGCCACAGTGAAATTGAGCGTCCCTCTAGGCTGACCGGCACCAATGCGTACCTGCTGTGAGAGTATCTTGTCTTTCGTGTCGCACACTGCATACTCACCGCTCGGGCCTTGGCGGATGTACTCTTCGACGGGAATATCGATTTGACCCATGGTGCGATCCTTGCCWACATTCTCCTCGTCCATGACCTCCACGACAAGCTTCTCGCGTGTGGAGTGCACTGGTACGTAGAACACTTCGTCCCATTCGGGGCTCAAATTGTTCTTGAAAGTGACGGTTCTGCCCTTTTGCACACCTGACAGCATGACCCTTGTATATGGATCAGACTTGCCCACCGTATCCAAGTTCTTCAGGTCCCGCGCGGACTTGAAGTGGAAGCGCATGACACCGATAGGATCAACGTAACCATTTCCACCTGCGGCGCCCGTGAGTGCGACAGGCTTCCACTGCAGCGTCATCTTCGCGCGTCCCGTCTTGCAACCTGCGAGATTGTACCACTCCTGGCCCTTTTCTGTCAAGTCGAGCAGGTCATCCAGCTTGAWCTGGTAGGACGCTAGGATTGGATCCGCAGCCAAATCACGATCATCCTTAATCACAAGGCCCAACTTGGCCTTCTTGCGGTCAGTGATGAGCAATTMCTTTGCTGCGTTTGGCCAGATGGGGTTGTTGGTACGCTTGAGCTTCTGCGAGATTTGCACCTCTTTGCCGTTGAGCAACAGCACGGCGTATGGGTTGAGCTGTCCAATCAAAGACTTGCTGCCGTCCAGGTCCTTGGCTTGCTCGACAACAAACTTGGCAATACCTGTCATACTCTCTGGTGGTGGCTCCTCGATACCACCCTCGAGCTTGCGGMCTTCTAGCACAGGGAAGAAACGAATGTCGGCCTGAACAGTACCGCGTGGTCGGCCATTGGCAAGGACTTCGAGTCTGTGGTTTTCGAAATCGGCTCCGCCTTCCAGCTGCTCGAGGTTGAACGTAGCTGTGCCCAATTCCTTGTCTTTGCGATACTCGTTGTAGTCAAACAGAGAGATGGTCAACGGCTCTTTCAAGCTAGTCAAGATCACATTCACAGTCTCGTTCCAGCGCGGGTTTGCGTTCTCATGCACAGTCTTTGTCTTGCCGAGTGCTTCACGGTTATTGATCGAAACCACTGCATACGGATCTGGCGTGCCGGAGAACTTGTCAGGATTCTTCAAACCCTGCGCTCCGTGGAATTGAATCTGCAGCACACCGATAGCCTGGTCGACGGGCGAGCCAGCAAGCATCTTAGCAATCTCGATGGGGAAGACGTTAGGATCGTACATCATCGGCGCAAGGTTGGCGTGAATCATTTCCTGAATAAAGCCTTCCAGACCGGGAATGAAATTGATATCAAAGCCGAGAGTATCGCCTCCAAGCGGTTTGCACACGTAGTCCAGCTCTGGTCGTCCCAAGAAGCAGATTTCAACTCGATCAACGAATGGATACTGCAGCTGGAGTTTCATCTTCACACGCATAGTACCAGAGAAGGCCATGTCCTCCACGATGACATCAAGACCCTTGGAGATCATGGCTTTACCGATGCGGATCTCAAGCACCAGCTTCGGGTTGATCTTGTTCTTGATTTGCGTCTTGGTCAAGTCTGCCACATCGTTTGGTGTGAAGCTAAACTTCCAGTCCATCATGACGATATCGTCCTCCTGTCTTGGATATGTTTTGACGTGCTCCATACGTGGTGGCTTCGTTCCCAGCGTGAAGGACTTCATTCTCATGCTGTCAAGGAAAGCAGGGGTGGACGTGCTGAGAACTTGATCCACCGTTCCGATGATCGTCTGGCAAAGAATGGGAGCGTAGATGGGCCAGAATTTGGCCATGAAGTTGTTCATCCAGTCCAGGGACTCGACATCCGTCTCTAAACGGTTCTTTGCAAGCTCGCGATTCACGTCATCGCGGAAGTTGCGTCTCACGCGGCGGATGGAAGTTCTGTAGTATGTCGCGCATCCCGCCATGATGATGAAGACCCATCCCAAACCACCGCCCAGCGTGGCCACTGTCCAGGAGGATAGACATGCGAGGATGATGATGGCGGTGTTGTGATACCAATCCCCGAAGAACTTGTCATCGAGCTTGCCCTCGAGCAAGGTCTGGTGATCCAGCATGGTGCCCTCGTCGTCCTGGTCACCCGGGTTCCCAAATCTAGGCGCCCATCCAACTTTTGAGAACTCATGCTCTTCGTCCATTGCGGGAGACGCATTGCCATTTGCCTGGTCTTTCTCCACCAACGAGGCCGTACTGATGGCTCCGGCTTTACTGGGCGGGGGAAGATCGTAGCCGGCGTCAGGGCCATCGTCTGCGTCAGTGGCCAGCGCGGCGGTCTTGTGCTTTCGGTGTATTTGCTGTCCAGATCGCTGCGAAAGGTGTCAGCTAATGATGATGCACCAGATTGTTGCGCTCGTTACCTCTTTGGCAGCAGCAGCCTTTTCCGCCGGGGTGGCATTGGGATCAAAGGTAAAGGCTGCTGCACCGCCGGCGCGGGCCTGGTCAATGATGGCTTTCTCGGCATCGTCGGCGGTGACATTGCTGTTGGGATCTCGTGCTGCATCAGCGACACCCTCCGCCTTGAGCTCATGCTCATTGGCCGCAGTGCCCTGCATGCTGGCCATGTTTATGAGTCCCGTATGACGGTGATGGTTTGAGATGTCGGGTTGGCAGAACAGCGAAGGCCAAGCCTGTCAGGAGCGCGAGCGAGCTACCTATTCTATGGCGTCGCAAAGCTCAAGCTCAATGCAGCTCACAGTTTGAGGTGTGTTTGAAATTAAATGACGCTGTCGCCGGGTTCGAAGTGTGAGGATGTTAATGAAAGGGAGGAGCCGAAGGAGTGTGATCCCTCTCCCGCACGAGATCAAGGAAAGATGGACGTGGGTGAATTGCTTGCTTTGCACATGCAGGTTCTAAGACAGCTTTGCTTGCTGCGGGCTGTGCTCGACGTGACGAGGCATATCGTGGCTGTAGCGCAAACGATGGCATGATCTGACGACACACACGCATTATTACGTGTTATCCTAAAGCATTCTCTGTCCTCCGCTCTTGGACTTCACATTGAAGTCATTTCCACTCATTTTGCATCACCAATTCCTTCGTCGCATGTTCTTTTGAGACCCTAGAGAGCCCGGAGGTAATCTAAAGATCGGATATAGGGTTCACACTAGCCGTCCACCCGGCCAAGACAAGGAAGTCCCGTCCCTCCTTCGGCTCGATCGTCAAGGCGCGCAACCTCACTTCCAACCACATCGACATCGGCTTGGCTGGCCTGACACTGTGCTACATCCGCGACGCCCAATGGCCAGCTTTGCCCAAGAGGTACAGCGCCGTTGGTGACCTCAGTATCCAGCTTCCGACGGATCCCAAAAGGCAACTTGATCACCGGCATGGCTCCAAGGCGGTGGCTGGATGACAGTACCACGGCATGCCTTCAGCAATCAGCATGCAAATTGAGCAATGCCGGTTTGCTTACTTGTATGTTTGTGGACCCGGGCAAGAGTCTCTGATGATGAGCATGTCCGCAATCTCCACAATTCACATGCATGTCCAATCCTCGAGGCCCATGTGGAGAGCATTCCAGCCTTCCTCTACGGTGGTCGCATCCAGCAGATGCGCTGCTAGCAGGCGCCGCCCCGGCTGAGGCACTATTAAAGTGCACTTGAGTCCTGATCCACCTCATTCAACTCCTCGGCGCCGAATGACACGACATGTCGAATGCCGAAAAGACAGGCGACATGCGCTATTTTGCGCTGACAGGAAAATTGGAACCACAGCTTCATTTCGAAATTGTCGCTTCGAATTGTATGGGTTGCTAACTCATCTGTCGTGGGGAGGCGGTGATAGTAAAGGAGGTATGGAGAACTCCTCGCGGGGAAGGTTTGAATCCCCGCCAAGTCCCACCCACCATTCAGCGGAGACTTGACTTGACAAGGCTGTGGAGCCAGTTAAAGTCATGGTGCGGGGTCTTACGAATCTAGGCCGTCAGTGGAGAGCGGTGATTCCGCTGCACAAATCTATCAACGTTATCAGCAAACGATTGATACACAATCGTGGTGCGATTTTGATGCCATGGTCTGTTGCTGCCGTGCTGTCTGCGACCTGCTAGAGATACAAAGTCCATCAAGTGGATGATTATGTTGCGACCTGCGGTACGGTCCTCTTCCAGAAAGCTATATTACCGACGACATGAGGAGGCCACATTAGTACTGCTTGAAGAAAAGTATCGTGTACAGGTACACTTACTTGACTTTTAAGCTCTGATCCAAGGCCAAGGGTCAAGTCCGGACTCCGAACGCAGCACGTCAATAATACAGCACGTCAACACCGGTACCGATGGGCGATAAGCGAGGGACGAACCAAAGAAGCAATAGCCCTTCCCCTATGCAAGTCAACAGCAGACCACAACGCCATTGCATCATTTCCAATCTACAATCATCGCCTACTTATGCAGCAGCACAAAATTGGCGGCAGTATCGGGAGTCAATCTGGCCGCCTCACCGWTAGCTGTATAAGAAGCAGGGGCGTACAGTAGTACAGTACGAGCTACAGGGGTTGGAATGGGCCGGATCGCTCACTAGAGTCAAAATTGTTCAAGCGAGCTCCCTACCAGTTATCTGCCGAAGATGCCCGCGACAGTGTCTCAAAGCGCATCGCCACTTCCAGGACCAATGCTTCACCGCATCGGCTTTCCACAGCGATGACAATCGTGCAAGATGGCCAGCAACAACTCGTCTCCACGAGGGTTGAGACGCAACCCACCAACAAGTTTGACAACCAGTGCTGCGTCGTCGAAAGCGACGAGTGATGGCTCGTCGAACGATGTTATGCTATCAGCATCATCGACGAAAACATCACACAGAGGAGGAACCCGGGCATCATCCGTCGCATCATCGTGGAGAAAGCGAAGGCCATCGTTTCACGTCACCAGCTTCGCCTTATCTGTGGCGTGTAAGTTGTTGACAGTACATCGACCACCTCCGCCGTTGCGTTCAGCCACTCCCGCTTCCACGCTTCCACCTTCGCAGCTTCCATCGACGGCTCCTTCCATGCTGTCGTTGGTAGACAGCGCACCGAGCATGAAACCACTCAAAATCTACGGAGATATACTCGGACCTCAATTGTGCAAGGTCGTGTTGATTGTAAAGGAACTTGGACTACCATATGTGTTGAAAGTGTTCGACCACTCAACCGTCGACAAAGACCCCTACGCTCCGACAGCTTTATCAAGAGCCGTACCTGCACTGGATGATCCCAATAATGAGTTGGTGCTATGGGAGGTAAGTAGGAAAAGCCAGCGAGATCTCTCACACTGAGGGTGCATCGAACGAAGGCTTCGTGCGTGGAGAGATCAGCTGTCCAACTCCTCTTCATATGCGGCTCGCTGATAGAACTTCTGCAGTCTGGCGCCATAGTTGAATACATCATCGAAACCTACGACAAAGACAACAAACTTCACTACACCACTTTCCCTCAAGTCTGGCACCAGAAACAATGGGCCTGGCATCAATTCGGTGGCCATGAAGCAATTCTAGGGAAAAAGGCATTCATCTCCATACGCGACTACTACGATGCCCTAATCCGTGGAAATCTTGCCACCATAGAAAGCCACCTTGGCTCTACAGGAAACCTCTATCTAATAGGAGACCGAGTTTCATACGCGGATCTAATGTTTATTGCAGCGAAAGAGGCCTCGAAGATCACTCTCACKGAAAGTTTCAACCAAGAATTCGAATTCGAATGGAGGAGTCGATGGCCGAGAAGCTACGATTGGCATCAAAGATTGCTGCAGCGATATACAGTACGGCAGTTGTTCAAGGAGAGAGCGAAAATCATCAGGGAGAGAGGGTGGTTGCAGGAATGAATGGACGAGATGTTTTGATCGGGAAGCGAAAGTGCCCTAGGACGGGAGGTGTGGATAAGGCCGACTAGGGTCGGAAGATTACCAAGCGACATTGGGACGACGGTCGCGAAGAATCCATGTACAGTATCTTCAGACTTCTGCGCTAGCAACTAGCCTCGTTGTTGAGTGGGGGACCTCGTTCAAAATTGCGACAGACAGCGTGGGGACTCTGGGAGACCTCAGCGTCGCGAGAACTGACTCGACATGGGACAGACAGTTGGCGGATGCCGGAAGAGGAACGATGGCCGAGTGGTATTCGCAAGCTGATGGCGGCTCRGGCATTGCAGGTATAGCACCTTGCGTTCTGCTCTAATGAATAGGCAGCTCGTCACTAAGTCTAGAAACTGAATGAGAGATGAAATGACCAACTTTGCTTTGATACCTTACTCCGAAGCCAAGGCTTGTTAGGCGGACTGACTGTTGAGGTAAGCACAATTGACTTCTTCATGAGGCCGATTATTCGCATGGTATACAGGTTTCGCATAACTGCAGGGCCGGTGCCACTTTGAGTGATTGGTTGCATATATCTAGGGTCAGGAGTCAACAATGCCGCCATCCGACATGCCCTTGGAGAAACTCGAAGAAATCTCATTTCGCTTCTGGGGAACCCGCTTCCGCAGCGAGAGCTTGGAAACCCTCTAGCAAGTCGGTCTTCAAGTCTTCCCAATTCTCCACACCAACACTGACTCTCAGCAAGTTTCCCTCGACAGTATCATCGCTCATGCTCCTCCATTCAATCAAACTCTCCACACCACCCAAGCTCGTTGCGTGATGGAAGAAGTGCAGCTTGCTAGGCAAGGACTTTGCCAACTCCTCCGTTTTCAACCAGATGCTGAAAACAGGCCCATATCCATTGGGCATCTGTTCATGTAGCCATCCCATGTCCTCCTTCTGTAAGCTCGCATGCTCCAGCTTCTGTACAACGCYAAAGTCCTGCCCCTGTTCCAGACTATCCGCAATCCATTGCACGAGCTTCGTGGCATTCTCGCTCTGCCTCATGACTCGCAACTCAAGAGTCCTCAAGCTTCGCACGCCAAGCCATCCCTCCAGACTGCCCATCACGGAACCCAGGTAGACCCGTTCGCCGAACATGCCCCAGTAATCCTTCACCCGTGCAGGTTGGACCGCAATCACTCCGCAGAGCATGTCGGAGTGACCGCCGAAGTACTTTGTGCCACTGTGCATAACAAAGTCGGCGCCAAACTTGAAGGGATCGAGGAGCGGTGGGGGAGCAAATGTCGCGTCTACCGTCAAAACCGCACCTCTTTTGTGTGCCATCTCAGCGAAATGCTTGACGTTAAAGGCTTTCCCAGAAGGATTCAATGGTGTTTCCAAGTGCACAACGTCTCCCTCTCCCAGCTCTCCCCAACTTCCCTCGTCGAAGAGATCTACAATCTTACATTTTGTAAGCTTCTGGTAGATTTTCAATACTCCATGACAGCCATGATACCCAGCACCAATGGCAACAACCTTTGGATTCAGCCAGGTGAGGAGGGCATGGAAAGCCGCGAGACCGGAAGAGTAAGTCAGACAGGGAGCTTTGAGGAGGGCGGACAGGAGTGTTTCTAAACGAGATGTGTTGGGCGCTGTGAGGCGAGAATAGACATGAGCATCAGGTTTGATGGCACCGCCTGGAGCTGCGAAGAATGTCAAAGGGTCGATTTCTCTTGCAGGAACGAGTTTGGAGGGATCTTCTGGGTAGCGGAATGTTGAGGAGACGTGGAGTGGTGGGGCTACGTCTGTGATGTGGTTGATGGGGTCGTCGGCATGGATGCTGAGAGTGGACAGGGAAGGTGTGCTTGGCGCCATGTTGACGTGCAGTGGTTGCAGATTTTGAATTCGAGGGGAGTCTCTGAGGAAACTTCCTAGATTAAACCAAGTGAGGTCGATATGAGTTGAAAGGTCTTGTCATCTACCGCTAATCAGATTTTATGGAGCAGATGGCGAAGATCATCCCGGCTTACGCCCTATTTGTGTCGATCACAAATCGCGGGAGAACTATCAAGCGATGATATCATGCCTCACTTCAGACCTTTTCCAGGACATGCATCTTCAGCTATGCTCGGATGACATGGCTGTTTCGATGTGGATTTGGAAACCCTCACCAGATTTCTACCAGGGAGATTCGATTGCGATGCCGTTATGGCTCTACACCCGATTGGAAAAACACCACCAAGACTACGGGATACAGTCGATGGAATGACACCTCTTGTCATCATTTGATATTCACATGAGGAAGTCCACGTCATTGCAGTTGTACATTCCCTCTATAGGCTCCAGACCAGGCTACCGCGAACGAGTCTACGAGGGGTAAGCCCAGGAGTTCCGCTGTGCAACCCTCGATAAGTCTTGGCAATTTACATTCCATCGATTGATAGTTTTATAGAGAGTTCAGTATCCTGGAGAGTAGCAGCGGTCACTTTCCAACACCACTCGTTAAACAACAAGCATCAAACATCATGTCTTCTTATCCCAATACATCAGACCTCTACACTCCTATGGACGTGGACCCCTTTTTCATCCCCCAGTACTCAGCATGGCAAGGCTCGCTCGCTGGTACAATGTCCTCCTCTTACAGCCGATCAATCACTGCAGCACTCCCAGAAGAGCTCCTCGAATACATCATCAACGAATTGGCACCACCCTCGAGTTGCGAGCTGGAACCGAACGCGTCCACCAGCAACGAATCCAGAGTCAATACCAACACTCTTTTCGCCCTGTCCCTTGTCTCCAAGACGATGAACCGAATCGTCGAGCCAGTCCTATACAAGAGCTACAGCACCCATCTATCCCCACGAAAGTTCCTGGCGGCACTCACCCTCCGCCGGCATCGGACTCGATACGTGCAAGAGCTGATCACAGCTCCGATTTCACCCAGATGGTATTCTCCGAACCTGTTCAATCTGGATGCAAATTTGCGGATGTTAGACGTGGATGATACAATCTCCACAGTCCTACGTTTGTGTACGTCTTTGGTGTCGCTYGAAATTACCCTTTGCCATGAGTATCCCGGCTCCCGCACCGAAAGCGTAGTACGCCATTKGGCCTCGGAAACCTATCATGGTCCGCAGCGACACACTCTGAAGAGGGTAGTCTTCAAAAAAAGCTGCTACGAGACCTGCCGGTTTGAGTCAGATGTGGAAATCTTTCGCTAATTCCCGTATGTACCAGAGAAGGTCTTCCGTGGACTTGATCTGTACTCCATGCTGGGCCGAATGGACACTATGCAAATCTGTCATGATGCAGTCCGGAGAGTACACATTTCGAATTGCTGTCTCGGAAAAGGAGATGATTTGGATGAGCTGCTGTCAATGTGGCCTATGCTCACCTCCTTGACCCTGACACGCAATGGACGCGCTCTAGATGCCAAAGCTTTATCGGCTATGCTACCGCTGTACTGTCCACTGCTTGAATCTGTGCAGATCGATACAGAATAGCATGGTGCATCAATCTGCCGGGGATGCCGTGATGGTCCAGACCCGTGATGGTGGATTGAAGGAGTGTTGGCCAGGCTTCTTGCGAGTCTCATACGTTCCTGCACGGGCTTAGCGATTTGCGATGCTTRGTTTTGGTTTCCATGGCGTTGTTGAGGAAGGGAGCAGCGAATCCCAAGGACGATCAACTTTCCTAGTCATCCGCAGAATGGCTCGTAAACTAGCGTCCACGCTTGATAATCAAACAGCGATACCCACATCGCCGCCTTCACTCAGGCTCCGCCTCAGGGATGAAAGCTTTAACATCCACCACCTCCAAGTACGACTCGCGAATCTGCCTCGACTCAATCTTTTCCAAAGCATGCCTTCTTCGATCACTAAACTCCACAGTCTCTTCCAACGCAATCACATACAAGCAAAGGGAGTGCAGATAGTTCAACGTCTCTCTTGCCCATTGCGATTTCGGGTGCAGTCTTCCCGTGTACATCACAGCCAGATGTTCGAAAGAATCTCTGCTAKATCCAGCTGCATAAGCTTGGGTCCCGCCATTTCCCTCGGTGGAGGCATCCATAGTCTTTTCGATAGGGATTTTATCAAGAATCCGACACGATGCAAACGAGTCCTTGGCATCAGTAACCCGTCCCAACCACTCTAGATGAGAAGTAAGCAGAGCCTTGAAAAGCTTCATGAACTTCCACAAATCACGCGCAGCCCCTCTCGCCTGTCTAGATTTTTTTCTCATTTCGTCCACCATATCCTCAGTATATTCCCATTTCCCCAGCTTCAATTTCTGGATTGCGGACTCTACGCCCTCGAGCGTGGAGTCGACGGTTCGTAGAAGCGCAGAGATCATCCTGTGGAAATCCCTCCGTCCTAATTCTTCAAAGAGCGGTGGCTCGGTCTGCATCTTGCGAACCTGTCGATCTGACAGTAGGTATCGAGACCAGAAGTGTTCGATGAATTTCGCCTGTCTCTTAATCGGTTTCAAAGTTCGAACACTCTCATCTTGGATCTCTTCTTTCCAAACGCCACGAGGAAACCGCGTGTGACGAGCCGTGAGGATCTTGAAGATGTTACATCGTCCCTTGCCCGCGTTCATCCGACCAATCATCTTCTCGTTACTGACCATGAAGATATAGCGTGCCAGATCAGTCCCAGCTCGGTAGTTGGAGTCCGCCTCAGGTGGATCTTGATGGCGGATTCGCAGAATCGTAGCTTGTGTACCGACATGCGTTTTGAAAGGAATACATCCGTCATGTTCGCTCCAGTATTGCAAAACAGCKCGTACAACTCCCCCTGTGAGATCCAACCCGTCAGGTAGATTTTCATTCTCTACTTCCAGCGTTCCTCGCTTTCCCGAGGGACATTCACCAAGCACGAGAGGCCAGTGAATAACATGGAGATCTGGCACCGAACCAACAGGCGGGATATGTGCATCTTTCGTGAATACGTAGACTGTCTCAGAGTCGCGTGCAAGTAAGCTCGCGTAAATGTCCTGGCGATATCGATGTGTGCAGGTCTTTTCCAAAAATGAATGGTGACGGAGATGGCAATAGGAACATGGCCTTCGATAAGAGTATATTGACCCTTGACTCAAAAGGTATGCTGCGCGATCGCGCAAGGTGCGGCGGTTCAGTTGGGATGCTAAAACTGGAAGGCTTTTGACGAAGTGGTGTCCGGAGACGGATGTCGTCAGATCCTCGACATCATTGATGATTTTATTCTCCCGCTTGGATAAAGGTTTGCTGAGGCGATATGTCATGGCGTCGGCCAGGGGTTGTAGGTCAGTGATTTCAGATATTTCGTCCGAGTGAATTGGGTGAGAAGTATAAAGTCCAGAGAGGACTTTGTAGTGAAGATTGCGGTGCATGCCGAGATCCACCTGTCATTTTCTGAAGTGGTAGCGCATGAAAGGTTCCAGTCATTCTTCGTGTTAAAGTTGGTAGAAAGTTCCGCACGAATACTGACAGGACGCACTTCTGACGCAGACTGGGTGTTATCGTAACGTGCCTCGTAAGTATGACCGCTGCTTACGGCAATGGATGCCTTGGTCGAAATGGATCCTGCGCGAAGAGGTTGTCTTGCCGAAAGGTATAACATCGGTGGTTCTCCCCAAGCCAAAATGAGTTTCCCCCTCTCCGCCTAACGGTCGGTCATTGCAGAACTCAGGCTTCAAATCTGATCGCTGGACTGTCTGCGCCAGAATGCTTGTCTGAGCCTCTCCATAAAGGTCATCACCACCGATGAAGTTGATTGATCCTGCATCACAGGATGTCCAAAGCAACTGGAGTCCATACAATCCGGTCAACTTCTTGCCAATGAATTCACAATGAGGAGACAAAGCACAGGATGATGAGGATTGAAGGAAGAAAAATGTCGGATAGCAACTCATACTTAGCGTACACGGCAATCAGTCCACCCAACAGCTGCCTCAAATTTCAACACCCTACTGCTGCTCTCTTCAATCTCTGGATATGGGCTTTTGCTGTTTTTGTCACTGTCCATCTCGCCGCCACCATCTTTGTACTATATCAACAATCCCCCAGGTCTCATCTGCCACTCCATTCTACTCGGCACCAGCGGAGACGATCTTTGGTGGACCCTCCTTGTACTTGATAGCGCCACTGCTAGTTCCACACGCCTCGATCGACTTGACCACACCCATGCTTGCTGCATCGCCCTTGGGGATACCTCCGAAGACGACGTGGCGGGAGTCTAGCCACGAGGTGACGACGGTGGTGATGAAGAATTGAGAGCCGTTCGTGTTGGGGCCGGCGTTGGCCATGGAGAGGAGGAAAGGTCGATCGTGGGTGAGCCTACAATCCACACATCAGCATCCATCGTTGAGGAATGAAGGATCTCCACTGCCTTACTTGAAGTTCTCGTCGGCGAACTTGTCGCCGTAGATTGACTTGCCACCAGTGCCCTGTGATGTGATGTCAGCACGGGCAGGAAGTGAAGGATGTGATTGAAGGATCATACGTTGCCCCGGGTAAAGTCACCGCCCTGAAGCATGAAGTCGGGGATGATGCGGTGGAATGAGTTGTGCTTGGCATCGGCGTAACCGAATCCCTTTTCGCCAGTGCAGAGGGCGCGGAAGTTCTCCACGGTCTTGGGAACGACCTCGTCGTAGAGCTCAAAATTGATGCGGCCATTGCGGGCTGTTGGATCGAGGGTCAGCTTAGGAAGGCATTGGGAGGGAACGATGTGGACATATGGGAGTAGGATGTGAGGCATTGCCAGGCACTGTCATTGCAAATCTTCTTTGCTAAAAGACGCTGCGTTGTACAAGCCAGTTCCCACGCGAACAGCATCGATGTATTACCACTCACGCTTGACGGAATCGTCCTTTGAGGTTACTTCTCCAGAAGCATCGGTTTTGTACTCGGGGCCGGTCCAGGAGACGTCAAAGTGGGCCTTCTTCACCATGTTGGCTGCAGAGACGTGAAAGGCACGAGTGGCGGGGACTTGGTGCTTGGGGAGGAGCGAGCGGGCGAGGAGGGAGGAAGACGAGGAGCTGGAAAACTTGAACATCGTTGCAATCAATGGCCGAGAAAGATGTCGAGTGGTGGGGTCGATGGCGGGGCACGAAAGGCGTCTACGCTTGGTGGTCAGCCTGAATCTTCCGTCTGCCGAGAATCTTCCCCCGTTTGTGGAAGAGTGTCGCTGGAGGGGCTTCTTTGCTGCGGAGCTTCTTCCATGGGGAAGCAATGCCTCGGGGGTTGGGATGGCAGTAATGTATGATGACACCGTCYCTCGCCTGCATTGCAGTGGAGTATCATGGCCTGGTCAACAGCCAGTCCAGTGGAGACATATGACAGCCATTGAAGCGCTCTTCAAGTGCTCCACACCAACCCGCACAAAGGGTGTGATGCATGTCACAAAGTCCTTGCAAGTGACTGCAACATCTGCTGTCATATGATTGTGGCGGAGAGCTTACCTAGGAGTTCGCGGCTGATGGAGTATCAAGAAGTACCTGTTCCATCTCAGCAAACATGCGCTTCATTATGAGGCATTGCATGGGCTCACTAGTATACACAGAAGCGGCCGGAGATTCCAATCGATTGGAGATGTAATACAGATGCAGAAAGGTGATGTTGTACAAGAGTGTTGATGGCAGGATGAGTGAATTGTCGCGAAAGCCATTCGATCAATGGATCTTCTCCGCCACGCCGCCGGCCCTTCCCGCGTGTAGAACGGACGGACGCGGAATCTCCTTTCGACTCCACACAAGCTGGCTTCATTAACAACACATCCACATCGCTGGCCTGCAATTCTCGTCGCCTTGAGCGTCACCTCCCTAACCATGGATTTCAACGCACTCAAAGAAGCCGCCGCCAACATTTCAAYCTATGACATCAAAGCAGGTGTTCGCAAGGTCCAAAATGCCGTCATGAACTACACAGAAATGGAGTCCAAAGTCCGCGAAGCAACCAATAATGAACCTTGGGGTGCCTCTTCTTCCATGATGCAAGAAATCGCCAATGCGACCTTCAACTACCAACTCCTCACCGAAATCATGCCCATGATCTACAAACGCTTCACCGAGAAATCCGCAGAGGAATGGCGTCAGATTTACAAAGCGCTGCAACTGTTGGAATTCCTGATCAAAAATGGCTCCGAGAGGGTCATCGACGATGCACGGCTACACCTGAACCTCCTCAAGATGCTGAAGCAGTTTCATTTCATCGACCAGAATGGCAAGGATCAGGGGATCAACGTCCGGAACCGCAGTAAAGAGCTGACGGAGCTGTTGGGAGATGTCGAGCGGATTCGAGCGGAGAGGAAAAAGGCAAGAGCAACGAAGAACAAATATGGAGGTGTCGAGGGTGGTGCTGGACTGGGCATGGGAGGATCATCTTCTGCAAGATATGGTGGTTTCGGGAGTGAGAGCGGTGGAGCTGGTTACGAGGGCAGCTTTGGAGGTACGAGTCGAGGGGTGTACGGAGATGGTGGTGGATTTGGTGGTGAGAGCCATGAAGAATATGACGAGGGTGGGAGGACAGCTGGTCAGGACAGGTTCGATGAATACGACGAATATGATGATGGTGGTGCACAAGCTGCTCCTGGTAGGCGGAAACATAATGCCAGCACGGCGAGGACCCCTGCGAAGAAAGCAGAGGCTCCAAAGCCAGCACAAGCACCCAAGCCAAAGGAGCCAGAAGTGGATCTCTTCGATTTTGGCGATGATGAGCCTGCTGCTGCTCCTTCAAACGGTTCTGCATCCAAGGCTCTCGCACCACCCACAATAGCTCCTCAAACAGTAGCAGATGACGACGACTTTGACGACTTTCAATCCGCAGCTCCAGCAGCCCAGCCAGCCGCTCAACCATCCATACCCGCAATCCCCAAACCCAACTACAGCTCTTTCTCTACCACCTCATCGGCAACACAATTCGCTCAACCAGCACCGCAATCAGGTGCAAACCAAGCAGGTTTCTCCAACCTCTTCTCCACCACATCTCCAGCTCCCAGCAGTACCGGCACACCCTCCAACTCTGCCTTCCTACCACCCTCGGCGCCAAAGCCGTCAGGTTATCAACCCAGCGGTCCGAACTATTTCACCAGCGTGGCTTCTTCTGCCTCTCCAGCAGGCGCTGCATCGAGCCCTGGTGCTGGGATTGGTGGCAACAAGATTGGCGCACCCGCGGCGAAGAAGTCTGCGGGAGGAGGTGATGCATTTGCCAGTTTATTGGCCGGCAGTGGTATGAAGAAGAGTCCTGCTGCGGGGCAAGGCAAGGGCATGACAATTGCCGATATGGCGAAGCAGAAGAGCCAGGCGGGTCTATATGGTGCTCCCGCACCCGCGCCGGCTCAGGCAGGAAACAATGGGAGTGTGAACAAGACTGGCAGTGCGATGGATGATCTTCTGGGTTAGGATGGATGTGATGCATGGGGAAAAGCGTAGAGCGCACAGTAGATTATGATCAGTGTTTCAGTCTGAATGGATGATGGTGTTGTTGCAGCTGCGTGATGATTATGAATGACAACGTGCGGAACTACTCGCATCATCGCCAGATTGCCTTGCTCTCCTGGATGTGCTGAATTGTACAGTATCTCTGCATCGGAGAAGTTCATCCATTCTATAATGTCATGTGAAGCGTCGGACATCACTCCCGCCAAGACTTCTTCCACGGACTAACTTCGGCACGAGCATTTCGACGGCCAGCTGAGAAGGGCAACCTCGATTCTTTTACGACGACGACGCCAACCGCACACCACTACTAACCACACGACACGGTCCACACAGCACACAATGGCGCCAACAAGATCCAACACATCCGGCAACAAGCTGAAGATGACGCTCGGTCTGCCAGTGTACGTTCCCACCCACCCCCGCGAACCTATGTACCGCATCTCAAGGCTCCCCACAATCTAACGAGTGATCTCACACAGCGGCGCCGTCATGAACTGCTGCGACAACTCCGGCGCCCGTAACCTCTACATCATCTCCGTCAAGGGCATCGGTGCGCGCCTCAACCGTCTCCCCGCTGGAGGTGTCGGCGACATGGTCATGGCTACGGTCAAGAAGGGAAAGCCCGAGCTGCGAAAGAAGGTCATGCCTGCCGTCATCGTGCGCCAGAGCAAGCCATGGCGGAGAGCGGACGGCGTTTTCCTCTACTTTGAGGACAACGCTKGTGTCATTGTCAACCCCAAGGGTGAGATGAAGGGAAGCGCCATTACTGGACCTGTGGGCAAGGAGGCTGCTGAGCTTTGGCCGGTGAGTTGGAATGATGAGATAATGGAGGAGGGATTTGTAAGGGATTTGCGACTGATTTTCGATATGTGCGCAGCGTATTGCCTCCAACTCCGGCGTGGTGATGTAAAGCGACTCGATATTTCTTCCCAAGACGATACACGACGACGAACCACACCCGACCGACCGACCGACCGATCAGAAGGCGAGAGGGTTTTTTTTCATGCATGGATGGATGGGGAAAGCTGGCGTTGTCGGATTGAGGGCCAGAGAATGAAAAGGTGCTTCGGCGAGGAGATTTGCTATCAATGGCATTGGGTCGAGGGACTCCGCCTGTTCATCGGGCTCTCTTATTGCACTACTTGTACTCCACTGGTCGCACGGCTGCCGCTGAAATGAGATTGTTCATGTCACGCTTTCCAAACCACCACTGCCAAACCACTTTTCAGCTGGGATAAAGAGGTGAGGCGGAGAGATCCGAGGATATCATCGTGAATACTGGAGAGACGAGATGCAATCCGACTCTGCAAGTCGAGTGAAGGCGTCGATTCCATTCCATTCAATGCCACGTGAAGACTTGGGTAGAGAAAGGTAAGGTAGGACCGCCGCAGATAAGTGAACTAACCACAGATGGTCAAAACACATGCAGATTCTCCAAAATCGGATCTTGAATCCCACTACGAATCGAGTATGCCCAGAACCTCTAATCATTACACCCCATCAACTCATTCATACCTCCAACAATACTTCCCCCTAGTAGGCCACATCGCCTCCCTAACAGTAACATTTTCAAAAGCCTCGGACAAAAACACCTCGCTATCCAAATTCGGCCTAGGAGTCGCACTCCACCCTTGATCCCTCCTCCTCGCGGAATCGAAGATTTCGGGATCGGGTAATGTGGTGGTGCGAACGTCATAATCGAGACTCTGCCAAATGTCGAAGATGTACTCGACCATCATGTGGTGGAAGAAGAACCAGGGGTCTTGCGAGGAGAAGGTGACTTCGATTTGTGTGCCGCCCATGAATATGTGGGGATAGTTGTGTACCGAGGGGGATTCGAGTTCTAGGAGGCGGGAGAAGGTGTTGGGGTCTAAATAGGAAAATGTCCATTAGTGTGTTGTTGCAAGGGTAGAGGAAGATCAGAAATGGGAAGGGGATAAGTACCTTCAGCCTCAATCGTCTTGACAACATCTTCAAATCTCAAATGCTCCAACATATCCACATTAAAAGTCCTCTCAATACACCTCGGATTATACCCAAACCCATCCTCTCTCGGATTCCTCTTACAACCCCATCCATTTGGCGAAGGCCCCAACGTAACCTTCCAATCCTTCAACGGGCCCTCCATAACACACGCACACGCCTCTCCCGTCTGCGTCCCATTCCCCGAAATGGACGTGGGGGAATTATCAAACATGGGCCAGGAATTAGGATCCGTGTCGAGATATCTCGACCAATGCCAATACGGGTGTCCGTGGGCATACCCGCATTCTTCGCGCAAGGCCTTTTCAAAGGCGTAGATGTAGTGGCGATGCCAGATGGGGAGCCAGGGGGATCGGTGGACGGTTCCTGTGTTGATGGCGTGCGCGATGGTGAAGTCGTCGTAGCGGTTTTGTACGCCGGGGTATTTTTCGGTTTGGGAGGTTTGAGGGGGGAGGTCTTTGAGGCATTGGATGGCGGTGAGGTAGTCTTCTCTTGCGCTTTCGGTCATGTCGCCCCTGGGGATCACGAAAATCAGGATATCAGCGCGCGATTCTTTCTTTTCTGGTCTGGGAGGGTTTGGAGGATATTTACCATTCCCTTCGCACTACCATGTTATCCCATGTACACTCTCCATCCTCTGGGAGACTCTCTTGCAAGTTCGTCAGATACTGCTGTTGTAACTCGTCCCATCTGTCGCTACTACTTTCATCCTGCGWCTGACGCTTCACAGGAGGAGCAGGATGTTTGTGAAATTTCGCATGGTCATGAGTCGCAAGGACGGGCGCCAGGAATTCCGCTGATATCAGTACTAATAACCACGCGCTCCAATTTTCCAGCATCTTCTATAACGGTGATCAAAAGAATAAATGAATGGAAGGAAGGGAGGAATAGACGGGCAATGATCACGAGAAGAGACAGAAGAAAGAAGCAATACAATTAATTGAATAAACAGCCCATCCGGGGAGAGGGAGCAGATGTAAATGATAACCCCCACCGTTGTTTTGGACTAGAAATAGCCCAACCCGCCCGTTTCTTTCATGTACGGCGACTCACGTCAGACGTTTCCTTTAGATGGGGAAACCCAAGTGCTTGTTCATAGAATCGAAATGATTCTTGTTGCCAGGCTCCTAGGAGAGTCTCCTTTCTAACCAATAAGAGAATTGTAACAATGTGAATTGATGAAGGCTTCTTTGAAGTTTGTTTGGTATGAGGTGATGTTTCATGGAGAGATGAAGTAAGTTTGTTTTGGCAAGGTACGGCGAGACGAGGCCAAAATAGGAAGCCGTTGATTATGCTTCCGGCGGGTCCGTTCAAATCTAGACCTGGGCGTTCTAGTGATGAACTGGTTCGCTCATCTCTGCTTCCTACACCATGAAATTCAACGATATCCTATCCTATCCCATCCCGCCCTCTCCACTCCTTTAAAATGCAAAACACGGCGCCTTGGTATTCGTAAACGCCTTCTATTCCGCCCTCTCCTTCCTCTACCACTCCCTCACCCGTTCGCATCTTAAGAGAAGGACTTTCTTCTTCCTAGTCKTCGTCGAATTCGTAGTTTTCGATTGGTTCATTGATTCATCAATTCGAAACAAGTGATGTAGCGATTGAGTAGCATAGTATATACCAACCAATCCCAAGCAGAAAAAAACAAAAACCTCCAACTCTGAACACCCCAACCAACAATCCAACGAAAGCTTTCTCGTAACAATCCATCCATCCGTCCATCTAACCATCTATGCAATTCATCCCCCAATTCCCCTCAACTAAAGCTCAAGCATACCTTCTCCCACTAACCCCCCTAGCCCCCCTCTCAACCACCTCTCCCCCTCCCTCCCCATCATCCCCCTGAAATCTCGCCATTTTCCTCCCTCCACTCCTCCTCCTGCTCGCACCAACAACATCCTCTCTCGAACCCCCTTTCCTCCCGCCGAAATCCTCTCCCGACCTTCTCGCAGGATGACGATCCTCTTCATAACCATCATCATCATAACTATCATAATCATCATCATCATCGTATTCTGGTTCCGCAAGGGCATGACGTCTCCCCGGGGGTGGAAGATCCCTACTCGCTCGTCTCCCACCATCATCGAATCTCGGACCTCCAAGACTCCTGCGGGGAGGAGAATCATAGCGTCTGGGATCCACATCGTCAGCGTGATGGAAATGTCGGGGATCATCGTATCCATATCCATATCCCCTCCTTCCTTCATCTCTCCGAGAAGCATGATTGGGACGATGCTGGGAGACATGTCGATGAGGATCCTGCCCGGGTTGCGGAGGAGGATATCCACCCCTGCCGCTCATCACACTCCCTCTCCTTTCTTCCCCCATTAGACTTGCCCTCCTATCTTCCCCTCTCCCACCAGCCCTACCTCCTCCCCTCCCAGCAGCGGACAAACTTCCACTCCGAGCAACGGTACTGGCGAAAAGCGGCCCGGCACTCGGCCCAAAACTCACTCCCGGCACACCATTTGAAGCGGGAACGGGTGGTGGAGTTGGACCTTTTCCTCCTCCCGTCACCCCTCCTCCTCCTCCTCCTCCTCCTCCTCCGTTAGAAGTAGAACTCTCCCCCGAACTCCTCCTACTGATTTCGCCTCCCGCTTGCTGCTGTTGTTGCGGTTGTGGTTGTTGTTGCGGTTGTTGTTTCTGCTGTTTCTGCTGTTGCCCATTCTTCCTCTTCGCCTCCGCGACGCCGGCGAAATAATCCGCTGGCTCCCCTTCTCTGCCCTGAGAGGTTTGTGCTTGTGCAGAAGGAGTGGGTTCCGCACTACGATGTCTCCGATGATGTCCTTCTCTACCACCTTCGTCTCGAGATGCAGGAGTAGGTGTGTGGTGTTGAGATTGGGAGCGAGAATGTCTCGAAGGGGTAGCAGCAGCGGCGGCACCGGCAAGACCTGCTCCACCAGCCGCAGCAGCAGCAGTAGCGGAAGAAGAATTGATGTGATGTTTCGATGGGGGAGGAGTACTCCCGACTTCACTCTTCTCCCACCATTCATCGTCGGCAGTGGCGTCCGAGGAGACGGCACTACTTCCATTCCCCGGTCTCACGGGTTGGTGTTGCTGTTGTTGGGGAGGAGACGCGTGGGAGCTCGTCGTCCTCTTCCTCTGATGTTGATGGGCACGAGAATGCGATTCCCTCCTCTCACTACCCGAACTCGTGGGCGGAGCTCCTCCATCGTCGTGACTTGCATGCGCATGACTCGGCCTCCTCCTCCTTCCCCCGACATGTTGAGCATGTGCACTCCCACTCCGACTCCCTCCCCGTCCATCCCACAGATAGGGAGAGCCGACATTTCTCGCAATGCGGCCCAAACTGCCGACCGCTTCCTTGCCTTTATCCATCATCGATTGTCGGGGACTGAGCGCCGGGCGTTTACTCCCGCTCCGATGCCTCACAATCGAAGGTCTACCATCGACATGTCGATACAAGGGATTCCGAAAGTAGGCCAGGGCGGGAGCTCGACTATCCACACTCTCCAGATCATCGCCATCCTCGTCGACGTGTGCCTCCTCCCTTCTGCCCCTCAATCTCCTTGGTCTCCCCTCATCGTCATCTTCATCGTCGACGTCGTCCCGCTCAAATCTCGCCGCCTCTTCCGCCTCGGCCTCCTTGCGCAAGCGCTCACTGACGCCCTCATACCACGCCACCATATGCCGATCCGGTTCTCTGGGAAAACACTCTCGCGGCAGGATTTTCGGAAAGACATGACCGGAGTCGGGATCCCTGACATCCCACTTCTCCACGGCCTCTCTCAAAAACTGGGCGTGTTCCTCGGGCCCCAACAGAATCTGAATGGTCTGCCACATGATCCAGCCTTCGGTCTTCAAGGCGGGAACGACGGGATCGGTGAAGGATCTCTCGCGACTGCCGTTGGCCATTTCACCCGTGTGGGTGGCGTGTCGCAGGGGTTGGAGACTGTGCAAACATCCCAGAGATTTGTAAATGAAGGCGAGGGATTCATTCGGCGTGGCGAGGAATAATTGGTCGTAGTTGCCATGTAAATCGCGATAGAAGTGGGCGAGTTGGGTCGGGGTCAGGTCGGGTTGCTCAAAGGGCGCGGCGGGTCGGGAGGTTTCGTGGGTGTTGTTGTTGCTGTTCTCGTAGCTCTCGTTCATAATGTCCTTGAGGCCGCGGAGGAGGGCTTTGAGACGCGGGGTCCCCGTTTTGTCGGGGTTGAAGAGATATCCCCAGTATTCGTACGCTTCACGCTGATCCCCCGACATGGAATGCGGCGAGAGAGGCGGCGCGCTATCGGGCGTCGTCGGCGAAGGCGCCATCTTGGTGTTGTTGTGGTGGAAGAAGGAAGGAGAGAAGGATGTTTTCGTCGTCTGACTCCTTCAACGCCTTTTTCAACCGTCAGCTTCGTTGAGATGGATGGCTTCCTTCACTTCTCCCAACCTCCATCAAGGTCAAGCAAGATTCCGCTGAGAGTGGGAGGATAGCATGGCAAACCCTCCGACTTTGCCTCCGACTCGTGGTCATTCCAGGCATATCACATGTGAGACTACCGCCCATACCTACCTAGTCACCATCCATCGCTTATCGACGATCGCATACGTCATTGGTATCGATTCATGCCGGATCGTCAGGCTGCGACGGTACTTGCCCGAGAGATCTGCAGGCACAAATATCAACAGTTGACCCATGCAACCATCGACCTTCTCTCTGTGTACCTGACAAGAAACATCATCTGGAGCTAAATTGGCATCTCATCAGCCTTGTGATATGCCATCAACGATGATGTCGAAGCGTTTGTTCCATGCTTTCATCCCTGCCACCTGTTCTCCAACCACCACTTCCATCCAACCTACCTGAATTACATCCTCTTGGCGCCGTCTTCTACATCCATCCTGCATTCTTTTGCTTTCTACGGAACATGAGGCTTCGGTCATGGACGATGGAAGCCATGCGAGTGGTCCAGATGGTTTTCCTTCCGGCTACATCCCCTCCACCTCATCTTCACAGAAGGGAAAGGTGGAGCCTTACCATTCCCGTAACATTTTGTGTATGGATGAGGAAGAAATAGTCGACCGTTCCGCTGGTCGAAGTGCATTTTCCCCTGGACTGTCCATTCTGTACATCGTATTCATCATTCACCCGCAACATCCGCACCTTCTTGGACACCCCGTCGTTATTATACATTTCTTCCCCCCAAATCCACCATCTATGACATTGCATCTCCCATGAATCCATGGAAAGACCACCAGTCATCCATGGACTTGAGTACATCTCCGCATCATCATTCTCATTCTCATCTTYTTCATTTGTATAACACATCCTACGTTCCGCTCCCTCCCTACCCTTTTCTTCCACAATCCCTCCCTTTATCGTCTTCATGGAAGTGATATTTAGCAATGACCAGCCCTTCCCTCCATTTACCAGAGACATGACAAGAAACTACATGCCTCCTCCAACGGAAGAGCCGATCACCTCATCTACGACTCCTCCTCCTCCGCCTTCTCCATCCGACACACCCAGAATGACGGAATCGGAATCCTCCGACGCAGCCACCTCGTGTCCGGCTTCAACCACAACCACCATCAATTCAACACCAACACCAACACCAACACCAACATCACCCTCCCCTCAACCACTACCTCCAACAGTCCCCCCACCAAACTCAGAACCCTCCACCCCCTCACCGAAAGACCCCATGACCCTCCTCCTAACCACATCCCACGCAGCAGCCTACATCTTCACCGGCGCCTGGTCCTACCATGCCCCATCCCAACCCCTCTCCAACCTAGATTTCTACAGCCCCCTCCTCCTCCTCTGGGCAATCCTATTCCTCACAACCAGTCTCCTCATCCTCTTCCACTCCTCCTCTAAAAACATCAACATCAAAAAAGGAAGGAAAAAAGACGCCTACATCATGTCAGCAATCCTAGGTCTCGTAATCGGAACTTCGTATCAAATCTTCATCCAAAGGAGATTCCAGGGGGAGAATTTCGGAACGTTCATTTTTGGAGTTCTGGCTGCTGTCTATCTTGCTTTAGGGTTGGAGATGTGGGTAGGAGGGATTTCGAGGTTGGAGGAGTGGTTGATGAGGGAGAGGGAGGGGGATTTGGAAGGGGGAGGGAGGGATTGAGGATGATTTATGATGATGAAATCTATTGATAATGATAATGATGATACCTATTGATGATGTGAAATGGAAGCAGAGGATTTTAACATGTCTGCTCTCTTCTCGTTGTATTCTCTGTACTGACTGCCGTACATCTATCTGGCAGTCACGAGTTTCATCTCAAAGTATGGCTTCCTCAAACTCTGGCGGACTGCCCTACTGCAATACTTCCAAGTTGTGCAATCATCACAAATCAGCAAATCGGAATCGGAAACATGTCAAAACTCATCAACACTGCCATAATAGCCAGCTATTAAAAAGTGCACTCTCGGTCCCGTCGAATGCACCATCCACCGACCTCTAATACCCATATTCATCCCTAATGCATACAATCTCACTCTCCTCACCAGCAAAAACATCCCAGACTTTCCGTCCACAGATGGGGGGATCGCCCTGCTCGCTCTTGCATCTCTCCACACCCACCTCTAGTGCTCCAGCRGTCTCAAACTACCCTGGACCACCACATTCTCCAGCACCGAACCGGGAGGGATGTCAATGGTGCTGCCTTCCGTGGCGACGATGATGACGGTACCCTTGAGCACCACTCCACGTCCAAGGTTCACTCCACCCGTAATGGTGAGGTGATCCAGCTCGAGGATCTTGGGAATGGACGGGATCCGGCTCTGAAAGTTGCTGACCTTCTTGAAGTCATTACCGAGCTTGATCAACGGCGCGGGTCCGAAGCGGTTGGGGTCCATCATGAGCTGGCCGTGCTTGAGGGTGTAGAGATCCGACTTGACGAGCATCAAATCCGAGCACGTCTTGACGGGCAAGAAACGACGACGGGGAACGCAGACACCATGTGCGTTGGTGAAGTGACGAATGGCGGCTCCGACGGCGGTCTCGAGTTGGATGATGTTGACATCGGCCTCGCCCTTCTTGTCGGCGGGAATGGTCTTGCCGTTGGGGATGATTTCCATGGCCAGCTCGTTGTTCTCGACAATCCTCTTGACGGCACGGAGGTTCATCCAGATGTTGTTGGTGTTGAAGTACTTGAACTTCTTGATGCTCTTGAATTCGTTGGTGTACTGCTTGGGCACCTGGGCGATTTCGAGCAGGCGTGCCTGACCCTCGTAGTCGATGATGGTACCACCCTTGACATCGGCCTTGGTCTTGTCCGTCAACTCCATAATGTACTCTGCTTTTGTCTCGACCATGTGCTGGAGGATGTTCAAGTCCACGACAGCCCCGAGGTTGTCGGCGTTGGAAAGGAAGAGAATCTCCACACCGCGCTCAATCAGCTTGTCCAGGATACCCGAGTTGTAGAGCGACTCGAAAACGTCACCGTGACCTGGTGGGTACCAGTCGGAGATTTGCGAGTTGGCGTGCTTGGGGGCGGGGAGGAGCGAGTCCTTGAGGATACGTGGGTAGCGAGACTGGTTGAAGGTCATAATGTCGATGTTGTGGCCCTCGTACTTTTTGATGATGCTGGCCGTGTCGCTGTCGGTGTTGAATGAGTTCATGAGCACAAACGGCACGTTGACATCGTAAGTGCGGTTGAGGTGCTCAATCTGGCGGACGGACAGATCGAGGAAGGACATGCCATCGCGGACCTCAATGACGGACTTGGGACCGACACAACCCATCGAGGTACCCAGACCACCGTTGAGCTTGAGCACGGCAAGCTTGGAGAGGAATTCGACCGACTCGGAGTTGCCCAGGCTGTTGTAGTCGACCACCTGCTCGGGCTTGGGTGGGGAGATGCGGTTCCAGTCAATCTCGTTGCCCTTGGCCTTGTCGTTGAGGTAGCGGCGGAAAAGGGCGAAGAAATTGTCCATTTCCGTCTCGAAGCGCTGAATTGACATGTATTAGTGGGATAAAAGTGCAAGTGAGGGCGGTTTGGGAGGGAATCTCACCTTCTTCTCCTTTGGGTCGGTGACACCATCGGCCAGGCTGTTCAGTGCGTTGCGCATTTGCGAGGCAGCGACTGATGTGGAGGTGTTTTCGAAAGCCTGATCGCCCTGCGTTAGCCATATTTCACACGCAATCTTGCTGGCCGTGCCGCCAATCGTATTCATGTTGTCGTGGATGGGAACAATTTTTCTGATCGCGTGTGGTAGGGGTGTTTCTTATCGGCATCGTTTGCCATGAGCAGAAGCTCGTTGCTTCCAGTGAATGCATGTGCCCGCTTCGAGGGGGGTGAGGTGAGTGAGGTAGGGTGGGTGGGAATGAAGGAAGTCGAACAGCGCTCAGAAAGCAGCAATCCAGAGATAGTCTGCAGTGAGGTCGTCTTCGTGGTGTTGTCGTCGTCGCTGAAGCTTCCTTCACACGTTGCCGCCATTCATTGTTCCCCACCATCATACCCATCACTCTGCTGCCGCCTGCCGCTCAATTTCTGCCATCTGCCGCCGCGGCTTCATACATTCGCGTGTGAGGAGGGGAGATCAAGCACCAGGAGAACTTACCACGTGAGACTGCGACTTTCCGTGATGACGCTCACCCTCAGCGGGCTTGAGGTGTGAAGGGAGAGCATCCTTGAGCTTGGATGGAATTGCTGATGCCATGTTTGCGGTGGTGTTGTTGTGTCAGATGGGTGAGGTGTGTGAAGAGGTTGTTGTTGTTCTGGGGAGAAAAGAAGGTCGGTGGTCAGCGCGACGTTGATATGACGAAGGTGGGTGCTAGAAGTGAAGCTCCCGTCTCAAGTCGTGGAGGGAGAATTGTGGATGTTTTCAAGGGTGATCGGCTTACTGTACAAAACACAATCAAAAGGTCCAATGGTTCGGAAGTTCAAGCCCGACTTCCTTTGGTTGATGCAAATATGCAGAAGATGGAAGGGAGATGGGGATCAAGACGGAAGAGCGGTCTGCTGTCGTCGATATTTATCATTGCGCAGGTTGACCATTTCGACAACATTTCTTAGCTCCTCATCGCCCTGCATTCACCGACAGGGATTTCGTCAATGCGCCCACCAAGCTGTGCCCCACCATGCCGATAGTGTTGTGTTGGGCCACGTCTGCGTCAAGGAAAATCCAACAATTCTCGTCGGCATCTGATGCTTGACAGCTCTCGTCACACGCTTCATTATTGTTGGCACGCACCCGTCTGCTCGTTCGTGCCGTTGCAGATAATAATACTGTAACCACGATAGACATCATCAACGTTCATCATCCAAGCACCCACTTCACCAGGATCTCCTGCCTCCTTCTCCCCCATTTCGGACGAGGGCAGATCACATTCGCACCACAGCTTCAGAGATTGACAGCTGTCCAAAAGCTCCTGTTTGATCGCCTTGTTATGTATCCCATGGGCCACGGTATGCCCTACAACATTCTTCTTCTCATCCCAACAAATAAAGTTCATCAACCCCAGACGGAAGGCTCTCCAAACGCTTCTCCAAACTTTTGGGAAAACACGCTGAGTCGCCACTTGCGCTTCGACCCGCTTTCGGCCGACAGTTGGCGCCGATCCGACAACAGTGCTGCCGGCTGTCGGCTTGGCTGCCGGTGATTTTATCTTTGGGATTGCCAACACACGTGCTGGATGGAGAGGTGAGTCGTTGATGAAGAGCCAACGGTGAAGAGATGTTAGGGGAACGCTTCAATCATACCTTTCCGGTAGATCATCAGAGGGGCCGGAGCAGCATAGGGATGAACGCCACAGCAATGAAAGTTATCTCTCGTCAACCCACTTTCAGCGCAACTTTGAACAGGGTGTCTGCATTAGGATCTCATCAGAACTGATACAGCTCCATCCATCCCCCACTCTACTCCGTCGTACACCTAATCGAAAATCCTCGGACCTCAACTCCTTCCACGTCGTCGTGCAGTCACAGCAACGGGCGTACATCGGGCGGGTATACAACAGGGCTGAAATGTCCACTTTCATGCAGATGTTTGAAACAGGTACCATGTCGGAGGAGGCTCCGCTTTGAATTTCATTACAGTAAGGTAAKGTACATATCCTCAACGACTGTACGGCTTCATGATGCAAAGCGCCGGCGCAGTGGTGGGTTTCTTCTGCACGGCGGCTGGAATGTCGCGGATGATCTCCACCACGGGTGCATCGGCAAAAGCAATGGCGCGAGGTTTCGCAATGCGAAGATGTAGTTGCGAGCCCGGAAAGCTCTTGTCGAGAGTCTTCGTCCTGAGTTCCGAGACCAGGTGCTCTACCAGAGTCTCCAGAGTCTCAAACGAAGTGTCTTGAATAATCTGTCTCTTCATCAGCGTTTATATTCATCATTGCAATCGAACATAAGAAACTCACCTCAACGATCAGGCTCTCCAACCCAAATAGACTTTCCAAACTTCCCTTCCCATCAAACCACACTCCAAATCCCACAACAAGCGGTTGCCTCGCCTGCCTCTCATACCCATTAACACCCACCAACACCATAACCTTCACCTCCTGCACCTCAAATCCCCATTTCTCTCCCTCAACAACCCCATCCCTTCCAAACCGCTTGACACTCACAACTTTGACCTGCTCCCCAAACATACTAGCCTTACACAACCCCACCTCAACTCTCGCTTCCTGCACGATGAACTTCCCATTCCCTTTCCTTCCCATCTCCATCACCGCTTCTTCAGCAGCAGAAATGAGAGAGAGAACATTCTGCCCCGCCGAACAACCCGCTCGAAGTTTCTTCGCGAGATTCCCGTAGTGGATCGTGCTGTCGTCTAATTTATCCAACGAAGCCGCGGAACTGAATCCCGCACCTCGCAGGGTGAGAGATACATTTAGTAGAGCAGGTTGGTCTTTTTGCTTGCCCCAGACGTCGGGAGCGGAGATTGGGTGAGGGAGACTGAGATTTGTAATGGAGATTTTGGTTGTTTGGGGGGATTTGGACGAGAGGGTCATATTGACGGGTGATGATGAGTTTGGGATGAAGTGGGGTGAAGGTGGGTTGTTGCTGAGAGATGGGTGTTTGGAGTGGCCATGTTTTGTGATGATGATGGATTGTCAGACGGGTGGAGACTCCGGGCCGGATTTTGCTGGGGTTGATTGAGGGATGGGCTTGGCGGAGGGAGTTCACTTGCGCATGGTTTTGAGTTTTGTTTTTGCATCGCTCGATGGCATTGGGAAGTTGTCACAACGACTCGAAGCATGAGAGTTAAGTACGTGGTCGGGAAGACTGCAGCTTAGCAAGATCTCCATTTACTCTAGTCGAGAGCCAAAGAGCGTCACTCTGCTTCAGTCAATTGCGTGATGKAACTAATTGTACGACAGAGATACTTCTTCAAACTACAGAAATCTCCTCGTAGGTTTCTGTCCAGCCGCCACCGTCTCAGCACCAACAATACTCATACTGCCATCATTCATCCACACCAACTTCCCTCCATACGTCTTAGCGCCTTCATATTCCACTTCGGCACCAAGTGAATCCCTTTTCCTCACAACTTCCAACAACCCATGCCGCCCAAAAAAATTCTCCTTCTTCGTACTGTTATCCTGCATCATCCATTCTCCAAGCACACTTCTGATTCTTGATCTCACAGAGACATCCACCGTCTCTTCCTCCCACACACTCATCTTGCCCTCTCTCCTCTTATGCTCCATGCGAGGCAGAAACGCGGTCCAGCAATACTTCGCATGCTTCACAACCTCTTCTTCAATATCTTCATTACTGACATATCCCCGATAACTCTGCTGAATCAATTTCTCGGTGATGCTTTTACTCGAAGCGATCGGTAATCCGGGGAACAGATCCGTGACCAACTGTTGCGTCTTGAAAAACTCATGTCTTGTCTCGCACGGCAAAGCAGTCCAATCCTTAAGATCCACAGGCCAATCGTGATGTTTTCTGGTTTCTTGAAAGACACTCGTGGGGATATTATAGCCTAGCAGTCTGCGCTTTCGGAAGTCCTATACCAAACCATGAACAGTCAGCTTGCAGAATCCATGATTGGAAAGAAGAGAAGCAAGCATATATACCCAAACTTCATACAAAGGTTTCCCGCACGCAAGAGTTCTTTCCCTAGCAAATTGGACTTTGGTGGCGGGTTCCTTAATGCTGAGAAAAGGATATCCCATCGGGGGGATGACGTCTACGGAGACGATGCGGATGTCGTGGTGTTCGGATGCCGAGGGCATGTTTTGGGGCCATTGGATCTTCCATCTTCTTGTCCATCTTGACGGCGACAACATGCTGCTGTTGGTGGGTGCTCTTGGTCTGGATGTCGTAGATCCTAAGAGTTGGCTGAGGGCCAGTATTTTGTTATCTGGAGGTGTTGAGTACTGGTGAGGTCTAGGTGCTTCTTTGTTTTGAGCACTGTATCCGGTGTGAAAAGTCAGGATGTTCGAAATCTTTCTTTATTATGTCTTTTCTTCCCATTGTCGACTTTTTTCATACACAGCTTTGTTATCGATCTAGTGYTTACTGGAAGTCTGTTCGATGGGCCTAACTCTTGGATGGCTGTGAAGAGCGCCGGGAAATGCTACTGAGGGCCTTCCAACCATTTATACCGCGAGATTCGCGGGTCATAGACGCTTTCGATGAATAAAGAGCTCGAGAAAAGCAGTGGCTGCCACCACGAGAAGGGATATACATCGCAAAGTGAAAGACCTTTGATGAGTGACAACATGTAGACGGAGACTCGAGAAATGGAGATGATCGAGAAAGGCGAGGCAGCCCATGTATGCAAGCATTCGACGCTCGTTGATCCTGCTCACAGCCACGCAACGCCGTGCATTTGGGCTGTACGAATGGAATTTATACAACTGCGAGAGAACATTCCCCGTTTACCAAAAGAAGGGAAGCAAAGAAAATCCGGCGGCAGGTGTTCGAGTCGTGCATGGAACCTACCTGGGAGCCCACGAAGCTGAAATGCTCAATGTCCTACCTTGCCAAGTAATCATTCCCCATAGACCAGATATAGTCAAAATCGCTGCCGTCCGGTAGTCTCAAGTGTACGTGGGCAGCCTGTTACAATTCGTCAAATCCATAGTTGACGACACTGCTCAAGCATGAGTCGGTTTTAATAAGTGCTGGGATGGTCCTTGCAACCGCTTCGCGAGTGAGACATGCTCTTGGCGGGGTTTGCCATTGACTGACGAACATCGCTAATCTTGTCCTTCCCGGTTAGGGAAGCCCAAAGAAGGTGTCAATGTATTTGCAAAGCCTTGCGAGGCAATGAGAGTGGCTCCAGAGAGAGACGACTTGTGATTTTGCAACGAGGAATCCGCTCCATCACCGCCCCCTCTCTCGCGCTTTCAGGCCGACCTTCCTCCGATGGGAAGTTCTCCGAAGGCTGGACCGTCCTGATGATGCGATTCGCTTGCTTGCAGTGTTTGCGCTCCAGATCCATGAGCCTGAACGCGCCCAATCTAATCGGGAGGCATTGGATGATGAAGATGTCGATGCGGAAAATATCGGATGTGCAAGTCCATGGACAATTTCGGATGTGATGATAAACAAGGACAGTTTGTGATCTGAGAGGAGAGGGAGGCACATGCGGCTTTATGCTTTGGTAGTCGGCTTTGGTTGTTTGGTAGTCGGCTCTGGTAGTTTGGTATCAATATATATTTATAGATCCCTGCCCCGCGCGCTGCCACGCGAGAAGTTCGGKTGAAAGTTGACCACCGATACTGATACGAAGGTCGAAAGTATCTCAAGACGACATTTGTATTTGTAGCATGCTTGGCTGTCACAAGAACGAGCATGTCTTTTCAATGACTCTGTCGCTATTGATCAGGCACATTCCGACACTCAGGTGAGGCTGCCGTGTTTCACGTGGACGGACACTGGGCAAGTGCGACCGATTCAGGGTCTCAAGGTAGCGCGTCCTGCAGCCGCCCTCCACATACCTACCACGGTACTCGACGGCTTGCGCCAGCTTCGCGATCGTCAAAACAAACCTCGCGGGAGAAATTGGGGTATTGGTGCTGGACACCGCAATGGCGACCGAGGACGACACAAAACGGTCCAAGTTCCTGAAAAAGTCCAAGTGGGGAAAGCTGTTCAAGGAAAACGACACCGCCGCCGCCGGAGGGCCTGGCGGAGGGGGAGGCGGAGGAGGAGGAGCATTCAAACTCGCCGACGATGTGCAGGACTTCCTCAAACCTTCGACGGAGAAGAATGTCCCGAAACTCGACATAGCCCTGGCCAAGCGCTGGCCGGATGCTCACGAGGTTCGACTGGTGGCTGCGACGGACGACAATCATGCGACCAAGCCGAAGAAGAGGAGGAAAGAGGGGCTGACGGTGAGCTTTGCAAAGACCTTGCCGGAGATTATGGGAGAGGGAGGAGATGAGGCACCGGATCCGCCACAGGAAATATCACGGAGAAAGGCCATGCTCAGTCGATCCGTGTCGGATAGAAAGACGGCTGCCTTGCCTGACGGGGCCCCATGGCCAAAGTCCTCCCCTCTACCGAATGTTAGGCTTCCGCCTGAACCCACTCTTCCTTCTGTTGACAACGACGAACTATTTGTGCCGCCTCCTCAACTCAAGAGAAGTCAAACGGCAAACATGGACTTCTCCACACCTCTGCAGAGGAAGTTTGCGTCGCCTGCTGCACAGGAAGTTGAGCCATATCGTCCAAGTCTGGGTCGAACTCCGACTGGTCCTACTGGTATCCAGAATCAGCAGCGGACTGGCGAGAATCAAGATCCCCTGTCAAAGCCTCGGCCCACGGTTGATACACAGTTCCAACAGAGTAAACAAGAGCCATACTCTGCATTCTCGACCTCCTCCTATGGTCAAACGCCCGAGGACGTACTTCCCGTCTTRAAAGCGGATCATCTCGTCGGTCCTGATGGCTCAACCGCAATATCACCCGTAGCGGCAAAGCGTCGCGAAATGAGCACGAGTGAGGGAATGGTGCTGAGGAGAGCAAGTATGCTGATCCACGACGATACTGAAGACGATGATCGCGCTTCGAGCAGTGTCGGACCACTCCATTCTCTCACCTCACAAGCGTCATACTCTTCTACGCATGAGTACCAACCACAGGTCTACGAAGAACCTGTGGCCACACCTGCGACGGCAAGCACTTCAAGCAGCCTCAACCCATTTGCCGATCCAAATTACACCTCACGACACACTAGACAATCCTCACGTGAGCCGCAACATCGACCGACGTCCAAGGCAAGCACCGAAGATCGAGTGGTCCCGCAGGTTGTATCTCCAGTGTATTCGCATCGGAGCGCAACCCGAGAAGAAAACCCTGCAGCACAACGGGAATCGTACAGAGCCTTCAATCCATCGCAGGTAGTGTCTAGATCTCCAGTACAGTCTGCAACATCGGACAGAACCGGTACCTTCTTTTCCACGCCTAATGGATCTTCCAACAGCGTGAACGCTGTCCCACCCACCGCGATGCATGTCCGTAATCAGTCGCGGGACGGGTACTTACAGCCGGCTGGATTGCCCTCAAACCACTACATGCAATCGTCGGGACATGGGCGGAACCAAAGTTCCTCCGATAGAAACAGTCATCAGGAGCGCTTCTCGGCCTCCACTGCGCCCCTAGCTCAGCCTCAACCTACAAGATCACCCGTTGCACTCTTGCGACATGAGAACAGGCAACGGCCACTTTCAGGGGCTTCTCACCAATCGCTCGGACGTGAGGACGATCCAGCTGCAGAGGCCGCATACTCGGACTTTACGAGCCGCGTCTCGCATATGAGAGGAGTCTTTAGATTGACGGCCGAGAAGGAGCAGCCAACCAGCGGCTGCACCTCGATGATGTGGCTGAGAGCAGGGCTGTGGTGGTATTTGAAGGGCAAAGCCGGGCTAGAAATCATGTTACAGCAACGAGACCACCGGCCGTTGTTGTCGCAAGCACACGTGGATCTTGGCAAGGCCAGCTGGATCTTGATGGACCAGCTTGAAATGCACGACGATGCTACCAACTCATCTGATCAAGGCGTTTCAGCGTTGAGGAATCATCTCAAGTCGCTCTCTCTATCAATGACCAAGAATCATCTCCTGCCTCCCGAGCAGTCTCTCATACAAGGCCAGGATACATCGATTTGGCTCCAGTACCCACGATTCACATCCGATGCCGCGGCAGTGCTCGGTGGAAGTACCAGCAACTCAGTCATCGTGGACGAACGCAACTCGAATACGGTCTTGGAGCCGTACGAGCTCTTGCCACTTGGAGATTCGCGGGAGTTCTTCTGCTATGGTCGATTCCCGGTCGATGTATATATCAACACGGACGAAGCCGACACAGATCGTGCGCTCCTTCCATGTATCCTAACAGTCCTTCGTAGCAGACGAGATTATCAAACAAGCATGACGATCGCTAGTCAGAACCTGCTTGTCGGTATAAAGATTGAGCCATTCCGCGAGGGCAAGCGAGCGTTGACGTGGTCGGATGTGTCATGGAAGCCTACTGGCGATGGATTTAGCATTCGCCTACCGCGCAACTTCGACGCCGCGGTACAAATGCAAGCTAGACACTGCCGAGATGTAAGTTCACTGAGGGAAGGCGTTCGGTTCCTTGCAAGACCATATCAACGGGGACGTCTCTGCACGTTTGCGGATGAGGAAGATCTATCCATCCCGTGTTGTCTGAGACATCGCTAACCTCTCTACCATCTTCTTAGGTATGGAATCTCTCGGAGTATGCGCGCAAAGTAGAGCATCATCTCCAAGCGTCAAATGATGAGGTGCTCGTATATGAAGCCCGACTTGTGGAACTGCAGTACGCAGACTCCGCCAACTCAGGCAATTTTCCTGCAGAGAAGATGAGAGGCTGCATGGTCTTCGTTTTCGAGAAAGTTGAGCAGCTTCGTGATGGAAATGGTCTGAGAAAGTTCAATCGAGGCTTCAGGGTGGCATTAATCACTGATCCGGGACACAAGACTCTCAGCGCCGTCGACATGGACGTTGGGGCGGGAGCACCTGTGCTGTTCGAATTCCTTACGTCTCCAGATCCGGCGGCCGGAGTAGGACTATTGTTGAGGAAGCGAGACGGCGCTCGGCAGTGCAGAGCGTTGATGGTACTTCCATCGGCAGAGGAACGAGAGCGGCTGTTTGGACTATTAAATGGAGCGCAAGCTGGAGTCGATGACATGGTCGTGGGCAGGACGGCGCTCGCTGGGCTGAGGATTGAGGCCACGGATCAAACCAGGTTCGCCGAACCCGATGTGCTACAGCATCTGCAGTGGTCGAGCTTGACGGTGTTCAATACGATTGACGACGAAACGGAGCATCCCACGACTGTGGAGAGCGATCATCTACGTTTTGTCGCCAAGCACGCTGCTGGAACTATCACCGATCGTCTCAACCTCAGTAAAGGAGAACTCCTTCTCCGACTTATTCCAAGCCTCGAAGGCTCTGTCATTCAACTCTTACGACAACCGCAAGCAGATATGACTTTGACGGTCGATACCAGACGTTCGCCTCAACCACTGGAGGACAAATTTGCTCGTCTCCTGCAGACCGTACAGACAGAACCCACGCTTCGCACCTTGAAGTTTGCCTCGCAATCCGACCTGCATGCATTCCAAAGAGCCATTACGGGATTCACAGTATGCTTCGATGGGATTGCTAGTACATTTGGCATTTCAAGACGGAGGATGGTGGTGCCAATTTACAAGAAATGGGAAGCTGTGGACGCGAGGGTGCAAGTCGTCTCCAAAGATGGAATCTACCAAATCTGTGCTTTCATGCAGGGCTTCAAACATACGGATGCCATGTGTTTCCGAGTGAAATCGACGGACGTGTTTGAGTCTTTTAGCGGGAAGAAGAGCTTCGGGGTGAAGTTTGTCGATGCGAAGTTCACATTACCGAAAGAAGAAGGGCGAGAGGAGCCGAAGAGGCTGTTTATTAATCTTGAAGGGCTGGACTATGCGGAGGAACATGATGATATCTCTGTTGGGTTTGAGAGGGAAGAGGGTATGTATTCTCCATCTCGTTGATGAGTGACTTGTGCTGACTTGGGGATATAGATCGGGACCGGTTTGCCAAAGCGCTGCCGGCGGCTACGACGAGCGTTTCGAGAGGTCTTACGATGAAGAGACGCATATGAGCTGGTTGAACCTAGTGAGAGGCGGGATCCGATTCTGGATCAAGCTTGTAATGATATTGACGGCCATATTCCCCTGCTATGAATAGCTTGCATGGCCAACGTCTGCTTTGGGCGATTGCATTGCATTGTGTGGWTGGTCCTGCTTGCGGATGATATCGTGGACCGCGGTGTCTTCATCCTGGCCAGGAACTGCGCGTTCAGGTAGACAGAGTTCGGCTCTTCCAGTGAGTCTTTATCAACCAATCAAACATAATTTTGACGTTAGGCGCGGGCATCGCGGACATGGTTGTTGAACCATCGCATACTGGCAAGTCATGGGCAGGGATGTCTGCTTACTTCACCTTCTCACGTCCTCGCTCTGTGGAGTCCCAGCGCATCGCCAAGAGTCACCACTGTATACCTACCAGACTCTCCGCCAAATCAGGCAATAGCAACATGCACTGCACTGGTCGTCGATGCACTTCGAGACGCTGTTACAGCTGCAAAAGTACTGGCATGATTCAATCCGGGGCTGTTCGACCACTACAAATGTTCGCATTCTGGTAAATCYTTTCCATCGCCGAATCCACACTTGAACTACTGAAGGTATTCGCCGTTCGTCTCCTTGTGAATAACATCAAACAAGGGCTTCGCACTGAACCAGCCAGCACGACCACTTCCCACAGTACGATAGGTGTACGACGCCTCTTCGTCACCAATCTCAATTGGCTTCTCACCACGCGAAGCAGCAGCAGCCTCAGCCATCAGCTGCGATTGACAGCACTTCTCCAAACTAACGAACCAGAAAATAGTCTCCTCGATCGTCTGTCCAACAGTAAGAAGCCCGTGGTTCTGCAGCAGAGCAGCCTTCTTATCTCCAAGACAAGCAGCGATATCCTTGCCTTCCTTCTCAGCAAGCACAACGCCGTTGAAAGAATCATAGACAACATGATCGTTGTGGAATGCACAAGCGTCTTGAGTTAGAGTGTTGATTTTGCGGCCTAGAGAGCACCATGTACGACCATATATGGAGTGGCTGTGGGCAGCACAAATGACGTCCGGACGAGCGGCGTGCACGGCAGCATGGATCATGTAAGCTGCGGTGTTGAGCAGGCGGCACTCGCCTCCATCAATGACTTGACCAGCATGGTTAACGAGGATGAGATCGGATTTGTTGATCAGAGAGAATGCAACGCCAAAGGGATTCWCCCAGAAACAATCCGGATCCACGGGGTCTCGAAGTGTGATGTGGCCGGCTACACCTTCATCGAAGCCGTATTTGCCGAAGATGCGGAACGCTGCTGCGAGGCGGCCTTTGAGGTAATCTCGCTCCTTGTACTTGTCGTCAAACTTGGGTGGTCTGAATATCAGTCAGTAGAAGCTCGGAATTTCCGACAAGGGGGGATTTGATAATAGAAAACCGACCTTGGGAATTCCGCCATCTTTCCCTGTGCGATACTCTTCTTCACCCCAGGCTCGAGTGGAGCCTGCCCCTCATTGACCGGAACGGTTTGGCCGTTCGATGCCTCAGCTCGTACACCGTCTTCTGCGTGTGGTGCCATATTTGTGATGTTGTGTTCAATAGAACAAGTTATTGAGAGTGAAATCTAGAAGTTTGAATATGCTGATGTTGATGTTGGTGTTGATGACAGGGTAAAAAGAGGCGGCCGCGGCCAGTATCTATTTGCCCGCCAGTGTGTGGCAATCGGGTACGGCATCTAGGTACCTATCTCCAATCAACAACCCCGCATTACTCCGTGCTTCGGCTTCCACGGCCAGCGTAAACGTTKTGCCGATTGCTGCTAACTGTGAAGAGCTCTGATGCATTAACCTATGTTTTTAGTGCTCAGAAGTAGGATGAGAACTCGAAGAGTAGACAGACCTTCAAGACAGGGATTACTAGGTGTAAAGTTTACGCAGCGGGTGTCAATCGAAAGTTCGGATGTGGTTGTGACAGACTCGATCAATCCTGTAGTACAACGATAGAGCGACATTTTTCAGCGTGCCTCGAGAATGAAGCATCATCAATCTAAACGTAACATACGAAATACGAAATGCTAAAGCATGCTCCCGCTCGCAGCAGATTGTATCAGTCGTCCATCCTAAGCAAAGAAACCTCATCACAAACGCCAGCAAGTAAAGTCGCAGTCAACAGGCTTAATCGCTTTCATCCTCGAAATCCGCGGATTCTTCGACATCGTCGTCATCCTCATCTTCGTCATCATCGACCACATATCTTGACTTGGGAGCCGCAGCAACGCGTCGAGATGGTCTCGCAGCAGGCTTGGYGGGGCTGTCATCCTCGTCGTCGCTCAAGATGTCGTCGGCAAGCTGGTCAACGTCTTCATCATCAACTTCCTCCATCTCCGCATCAGAATCCGGAAGTCGCTTCTTCGCGCCAGCCTTGGCCTGAGCGCTGACCTTCTTCGCGGCGTATGCCTTGGCAGCTGGCGACAGCGGCTTTGGCACTGGTGCAGCGAGCGCAGCGGTCTTCTTCTGTTTGAGGGGAGCCGCTTCTTTGACTTTTGGAGCTGCTCTCGCTTTGGGCGCTGCCTTGGCAGGGGCAGCCTTGGGGGCCGGTACGTCAACATCATCCAACATCTCATCGTCTTCTGACAGCATGGTATGTTGTGTCGTCTTCTGAGGAGAGTTCTGTGCCAAAGCAGCCCAATCAGTCTCGTCGTCCGAGATATCCGCATCTGCCAGGTTCTTTCTGCTAGGCTTTTGCTTCAATCCGTGACTGCTTGTTGGACGCGAGCCGGACTGTGGGTGGAAAAGACGAGTCGGACCATCATTGCTGCCGCMACCGATCCCCTTCACCATCGTGCTGACATCTGCGAGCATATCATTCCCGCCATCGGAGGAAGCATCTTCGTCAGATTCGACGGCATACTTCTTCTTCTTTTGGGCTGCAGCGCGTCCGACACGTCCAGTTGGCTTGGGAGCTGCCTCTTTGGCGACTGCTAGGAAGGCATCTTCATCGTCATCTTCGTCCAAATCAACAACTTTCTTCGCACGAGCCGCGGGCTTCTTGGCAGGCTTCGCGACGACCTCCTCCTCTTCATCCTCATCATCAACATCCAGGACCTTCTTCAACCCCTTCTTGGCTGGAGCGGCCTTTGCCTTGGCAGCGGCGGGCTTGAATGTATCTTCAAGGGTAAGCTGCCGCTCTGCCGGCGGTGGGACGACAGGCTTCTGCTCGACAGAATTGACGATTGGGTTCATTGCCATCAATCCACTCATGCCCTTGGACACAGTCTTGGGCTTCGGTGAGGTCCTAGCCTTGGCCTTTGCCCTCTTTGGACCGAAATCGGAGTCATCATCACTTCCATCGGCCTTGCGCTTCTTTCCCGTCTTGCCTCCAGTTCCAAGCTTTCCGGAAACGCGACGAGTCTTGGACTTGAGCTTCTTATCGCGCTTTTCCTCCTCCTCGAGCTGGGTGTGCCATTCCAAGAGGAGCTCATCGAGGTCGGTTCTCCACAGGTCCTGCGCGGACTTACCGGTAAGCACCGTGATCTCATCCTCCTTGTCGCCGATCTGGCGCAAGAGTTTCTCGACGCGCTCTTGTGTGAGCGACCAGATCGCCATGCCGAGAAGATAGTCATAGTCGCTTGCGCCCGCAGCAGTGACAGCATCATCATCTGCTTCATGGTCCTCCTGGACAACAGCCTCGAACTCGCCCTCCTTGCGGGCATCGGCGACCTTGGGGAAAGGTGTGAAGTTAAGCTTCTGAAGCTCAGCAACAAGTGCAGACTTCTTCTTTTTGCTAACAATCAGCTTGCCGTCGATGATCATTTTGATGAAACGCGCTTGGTTGGTCAATTTCTCGAGCTCTCGCTGCATCTCACTCAGCATGTGTGCCTTCCGCTTGATGTACATCTGAAGACGGAATTGGTAGAACTCCTCCATGATGTCCAAGGGGGTGGCGTATTTGTGAATGCGGCCCTGTGAGTCGAATGCAACAAGGTTGGTGGTGGCCATCGTCGACGAGAGCTTGAAAAGTTCCTCCAGCTTCTCTTCACTCTGCAACATCTTCTTCTCCTCGAGTTTGACGATGAAATGAACCTTCTCTGGAGTGTTGTACTCCGTGTAGTCTTTGATGAAAGAAGGAACCTTCTCAGCTCTGAGAATCTCCTCAAGCTTGTCCTTGAAGGTTTGCGTCCAGTACTTGACGGGAAGCTCAGTGATCTCCACCTCGTTGTCTCCAGTGATAGCAAGAGCGCCTCCAAACTTGAAGCGCTCCTCGCTGAGTTGTTCGACCTGACCAGTCCAGCCACGGAACCACGGCATCATGGGCAGCATGGAGTCTTTGGAGCCACCGTCCATACGGCGCTTAAGATTCTCAATGACCTCTTCGGGACGATAATTGGGGATAGAAGTGCTCCAGCCGGTACCGATACCATCAGCGCCGTTGATGAGAATCATGGGAACGATGGGCGCATATCTCTCTGGCTCGATGGTCTTGCCATCGTCGGTGTTATAGGTCAGCAAAGCCTCGTCGGTTTGGTGGAAGATGCGCCTCGCGAATGGGGACAGTCTCGTGTAAATGTAACGTKCGCTAGCGGAATCGCTGCCACCTTGAAGACGAGAACCGAAATTGCCGCTGGGTTCGAGGATGTTGATGTTGTTCGAGCCGACAAAGTTCTGCGCCATACCAACAATGGTCTGCTGGAGGGATGTCTCTCCGTACGAATACGCCGTGAGTCCAGAAACAGATCCAGCAAGTTCCACAACCTTGACGTCTTTCCTCAGGTTGCGGCGGAAACATGTGTACATGACCTTGCGCTGGCCTGGCTTGAGACCGTCGATGACAGAGGGAATGGATCGCATGTTGTCGGCCATGGAGAAAAGAATCAATTCCTTGTTGATGAAATCGTCGTACGTGATGTCCTCGGTTGATGACATATCAAGATACGTGCCGGGTACAAAGTTGCCCAACCATGCTTTTCGTGCGTCGGCCTTCTTCTTCGAAAAAGCCAGGTCAATCAATTCAGGCTCGTGGTCCTGCATCGCGTGGAATGTCTTCAAATGCTTGTCGGGGTCCGCAAAGTAGACCTGGGCATCTCGCGTATCCGAAGTACCCAATCCCTTGTAGTACTTGTGCTCCCAGCCTTTCTGGTTGCCGGCCTCCTGTCTCCAAGCTTCGTACTCTGGCATGGTGAAAAAGTCTCTCTTGGCTCTGGGATGCTTGGGGTCGCCTTTCCAGACTTTGACAATGGGTGTGATGAATTCCAGCAAAAAGCCAGGGATCTTCAGCAGTGAAGGGTACTGCACCTGGAGGAAGTTGATGAGCAAACCCTTGATATGCGAACCATCATGATCTTGATCGGTCATGATCATCAAATGTCCGTATCTCAAGCTCTTGGTGTCCGGATAGTCTTTCTTGTGCTGCAGACCCATGAACTTCTTGATGTTCTGAATCTCTGCATTCTTCGAGATTTGATCAATCGATGCATCGCGAACATTGAGAATCTTTCCCCGGAGTGGGAATACTCCAATGTGGTCGGGATTGACAACAGCACGACCAGCCAATGCTAGCAGCGAGGCCGAGTCACCTTCCGTCAAGATCAGCGTGCACTTGTGGCCGTCCTTGGTACCAGCTTTGTTGGCGTCTGTAAGCTTGGAGTTGTTCATGCGCTGTCGGCGATTGCCGTCCGACTTGGAAAGCACCTTGTCTGCTTTTTGCTGTGCAAAGTGGATGATATTGTTCACGGCTTCAGTCTTTGCAATATCCTTCAGAAACTTCTCCGTGACTTGGGGCTTGCTACCAAACGCGGTCGGTCTGGTGGTAAGCTGCTCCTTTGTTTGAGAAGTGAATGCCGGGTTGACGATGAGGCAGTTGACGAACAGGAAAATGTGGTTCTTGATCTGTGCTTTCTTCAGCTTGACGCCTCCCTTGTTCTTCTTGTTCACAATCTCCTCAAGCTTGTCGCAGATTTGGTCGGCAATATAGTTGACGTGCGATCCTCCATGAGTGGTGGCAATCGAGTTGACAAACGACACCTGTTGGAACGAGCCGTCTGAAACAGCAAAGCCGATCTCCCAGCGCTCATGCGGGTTGTCGGTCAAGATGACTTGCTCAGGTGCGGCACCATCGTTGGCAAGATTCTYAGTTCCAATGGCTTTGGTGTACATCTCCATGTACTGTTTGAACTTGGTGATGTTGATCCGCTCGTCGTTCAAGTAGACCTTGACACCTTTTGCTGTACCAGCCATATCRTAGACTCTGCGCTTCACCAAAGCCTCAAAGTCTTCGTCCATCTTGTCCATGCCAAATTTCGCGAAGTCTGGCATGAACGTGATTTGTGTGTAGTCCTGGCTGCCCTTGGACTTCTCAATGACGGCCTTGTCCATGACACTCATGTTCTTCTTCCACGCCTGGCGATAGCGCTGCTTGGTCTTGCTGTCCACTGTATCCAGCTGAAACTTGGTGCTGTAGATATTTGCAAGCTTGGCACCATAACCATTGCGTCCACCAGTCACCTTGGCCTGCTCATCGTCGTAGTTKGAAGAGGTCAAGAGGTGTCCGAAGATCATCTCAGGCACCCAGATTCCCTCCTTCTCGTGCATCTCGATCGGAATACCGCGGCCGTTGTTCTTCACGGAAATGACGCCCTTATCAGCGTCCACCCACACGCGCATCTCATTCATGTTCTTGTCACGCTGCTTGTTGTCTGCCGCGTTCACCAGGATTTCATCGAAGATCTTGTACAAACCGGGCACAAAGCTAACCTTGCGGTTCTCCATTGACTTTGTTTCGGAGTTGTAGACCCACATTTGCTCAGTCGTGCTTTCAACAGACCCAATGTATGTGTCCGGACGCTTGAGGATGTGCTCCAGCTGAGTGAGCTTCTGGTATTGATCACTCGAGCCGCCCTTCTTCGCGTTTGCCCCAGGCTCTGCATCCTGCTCCGCATCTACGTCCATGGCGAAGCTTTCGTTTTCGAGTTCGGAAAGAGGCTGACTGGCGGCCTTTGCCTTCTTCGCGGCCGGCGCCTTCTTTTGCTTTTTCGCAGAAGGCGGTGTATTGGAAAGAAGCGAGTCGTCGTTCACGGAGTTCATGTCGACATCGGTGTTTTCGGCGTCCGAGTCTGGCTTCGCGCGTTTCTTGGGCTTTGCAGGAGCTTTCGCCTTCGGTGCTGCTTTTGTGGTTTTCGAGAGTGTTGTCTGTTTGGTGGCAGCCTTAGCTTTTGGTGCAGCGGTCGCCTTCTTCGCAGGTGCCTTGAAGGGAGCTTTGGCCTTCTTCAAATTGTCAGCGTGCATACTCGAGAATTGTGAATGAGGGATTGACGCACGGTCTTGACAACTGGCTCTTCAAAGTCGCTTGCTTCGTCCACATCGAAGGCTGAAGCCTCCTCCATCGAGTCGTCCATGGCGGTAATTAGTGAGCGCAGACGCGCCGGTGGGGACTGCTAGTATGTGCGACAATGCGGGCGCGGCGAGGTTTAGCGCATTGGAGAAGGTTGATGTCGTTTATAGCAGACAACAATTTGTGTTGATCGTTTGTTGTAGGTGGTGCGATGAGTGAAAGAGCGATTGTTTTGGTTGGCTCCGGAGTGAATGTGATGTTTGTTGTGGCCGACGCGAAGAAAGCTGGAAGGCGCGTTTTAACATTTCAGGGTCTAGCTCGACAGCGGCACAGATTGTTGCCTCAGGCTTATAGTCTTCACATGCAAAGGCAGCGGGGGAGAATCAATATCAAGGCTTCTCGACGGAACAAATCTCGATGGAAGGCCTGGAGGACTGCAGTTGAGTGGGCGCTTAGTCGAATTGGTAGAGAGGAAAGCATGCACAAGAACATCGAGCGCAACAGTCAAAGGGCATTGGTCAGCCTGTACCATTGCTTGAAGAGGCTGCATCTGAACCATGTCTTTCAAAGCATCCCTACATATACAACATGGTAATTCAAGTGACCGCCCTATACCCATACCCATCATAGCACCCCAACGCCTCGCTAAATCAGCATGACATATCAAGTCTAGCAAATGACTCCATCATTCTCGAGCTTGATCTCTTCGACACCTTTGCCGTCCTTCGTCTTCCTCCGCTTCTCGTTCCTCTTCCGTCTCTTCTCTTCCCGTTCGCGTTCCTCCTGCTCCTTGGCGACTTCAATTCTCGTCGTCAAATCAACGGCATCCCGCGCCTTTTCTTCATCCCGCTTCCGCTTGAGGTACTCAAACCGCTCCTTGACATCGTCCAGTGTAGCTCGCTTCACCTCTCCAGTCTCTCCAGTGGCAATCAGATGCTGTTTGCTGTTCAAATGCTCCACATATTGCAGATTGTCCTTGTACGTGAGATCACAGGCATCACAGTAGAAGCCCGCACTCTTGCCACGCTTTCCCTGTCCAGCACCAGCGACGACGAGTTGAGTTTTGCCAACTTGGTCCGCCACATTCAGCCTCGCCTTTCTCGCTTCTGTTTCACGCGCATCTGGAGGCGTAGAGGCTCGCTGATGATATTTCTTGCCCTCGAGCGCAGCTTCGTATCGAGCTTTGCCTTCTTCCTTGATCTTGACATCGCGCTCGCTTGCCTTTGCGGCGTATTCATCGCGGTTCCATGTTTTGCGAAAGGACGTGTCACTGCTGGAAGAAGCGCCGTATGCGCCTTTGCGATCTGCCATGTTGGGTGAAATGTACTGTAGGTGATGCTCTGCAAAGGGTAAGGAAGGTGTGAAAAGCGGTAAAACTTTTAAGCGGAAATTGATGACTGGATGGCCAAAGGATCCAACCACATCACAAGATTGAAGCTGGATTCCTCTCACACACTGGTGGCATGGACCTGTCACAGTCTCATCGAAGATCGTCATGCCATGAAACACGTATTGCGAGCAGCCGTTTGCCCCGACGTCCGTGGCAGGCAAGGCCATCCGGTTTCGAATTGCAGACACGCGGTATCGCGTCAACCCCAATCTTCCTGTTCACAAGAGCCGTGCGGAGCATTTGCGTGGATGCAATCTGTTCGGGGCACCGGAATCAAACTTGGCCCATACCATCAAGATCTTGGTGGTATGACAACAACTTGACGTAGATCACAGGGCTGACACTAGGTATCCCTACCTGGAGGCCTCCATGGATGTCCAAACCATGACGCTTCATGTATCGGTGGTACTCTTTTCAGTTGTTGAACTCGATGCGCATTCCTTTACTGCGCCCCAAAGAGGGTTCTCTGCTTCCAGATCGCACGAGTGGAGACTTTTTTTTCCTGTCAACTCCCTGCAGTTCCAAGCCAGATCCTGCTTCTTATCAGTTTCCGTTCACAGTGTCCAAGACCCTCACACGTTTGATGGACCCTGCTCAGACCAACCAAGAACGTGTGCACCGCATTATTATGCATTGTGTCTCTCACAGAAGCCTTGTCTAGATCCCTATACATCACATTCGTTGGCCAAAGACAAGCATTTCATGAGCAACCCCTCCGATCACAGACTCAAATGGTAGACCCTGCCTGCCTTCTTGAATGTCATGGAAAGTCTGTGCTGTTTGAGCTGCCATAAAAGATAAGTCACTCGTGATGCAGACGACCAGAAATCAAATTTCTATTCTTCTCTCATACCGTCAGCTCATCTCAATACCAACAACAGCTCCTCAAAGACCGACTCTACCCTCAAGCACATTGAGAACCAGCAACATGTGTTTTGGATCCCCTCGCCGCCGCACCCAAAGCACCACTATCATCACTACGCCCGCACGTCCAGTGAGTGTTMCCCGCGTTTCCTTCTCTATGAGGTCTATGCTAACCGCCCGAAAGATGTCCGGCGGCCGCGGGTTTATGAGTGGCATGGATGGAGGACGTATGAGARTGGGTGGTGGGCATATGGGTGGCAGCCGGAGAGGTATTCTCTCACGATATGCCTATGTGTGTATGAATTGCTAACAAGTATCGTCTTAGGTCGTGGAGGCCACACGACCATCATCGATCACGGTGGTGCCAGAGGTAGTATGAGCGGCCGTCGATACTGAGCGGATCAACACGCTTCAATGATTGATTCGATCACATTCTTATTAGCAAAAGGAGTATAATTTTATGAGCGATGTCTAGCGTAGGCGAGGATCTGTAGCAATGAAGGTGCGGTGCATCGGTTTTGGCATGGACCTCTTAATCGGCACATCTCTCTCAGGCCAACGGAGTGGGATTAGCCACAGTCGAATTGGTGGATGCGTCGCGGTTTACTCTGATTGAATACCATCAATTACAGAGGAAGTCTTGATGATCGTTTCAGTCCATCAATTTCAGTCCTCGCGACATAACCTGATGAACCAAACCCGTTTGCATAACTCGTGCCCTTATCAACTTCCGCGGAGTGAGTGCTTGCCTCTCTGAAACTTGTCTCTCGGCTTGATAGTCGGTCTCGAAGCCACTAGAGAACCCTCCAACAGCAGAGTCCCCTCATTCATAACGTGGAGGCCAAACGTCTCTGCCGTATCAAGGCGGGCGGGTGTCGCCATAGTCCCGCCTCGCCAGGAACTCGACCACCCAGATTGTAGTCCGGCGTAACACCAGAAACATGCGCAACAATAGTCAACGCTTTCGCGAGAACAGCATCGGCATCAGGGTTGTTCCTCATGACACCGGTCTGACTGTCCATAGTCCGACTGCTCGAAGGCGAAGAGTCTTGACCTACATTGATGGACTGAGCTCGTATGCTGGAAAGTCGAGTTTCAAGAGACCACTTACTGTGCTGTTCGGACTTGGAATCTTCTCGGGAGATGTCACATGCGGGAGTGCTCAGTCGCGCCTCGAGCTGCTGTCGCCGCTTGCTGACTGTTGAAAATCGTCAGATCATTTATTGGCATTGGGGGAATGGTTGGCTATTCATACGTTCTAATCGTGTCTTCTCGGATTGCGCCCCTGTCATGTTTGGATGCTGCGGCTCCATCTCCGAGTTCGAGAGTGCGTTGGAGTCGCAGAGCGATGGTTGATGTGTGGAAGAGGAGTGAGGTCAAGTGAAAGCCAGAATGCATCAGCCAGCAGAGTTTCAGATGAATCACAGCATGTGAAAGCGTGTCATACGTGAAGTGAGGAATGAATGGCAAGTGACATTGCTATTCCCTTCACACCATCAAATGCGGTACTTTCGCGCTAGCAAGACCAAGATTCACAATGCTCAATAAACCCTCACCCAAGATCAACCCCGATGCGAGGACTATCATGGGAGTTTCTGCCCTTCTCTTATATTGTGTCCAGTACCATGCCAGTAGCCCACCAGCCGTACGCGCGAGCGTGAAGGACGGTGTGTTGTACATGCCGACAGCTACAGCAATGCCACCAGGAACGTACGGCACCCATGCCGCTTTACGTCTGGTTCCATAGATTCGAAGGACGGTCAAAAGTGCCCAAATAATCGCGGCGCCAAACGCAAACTCTGCCGTTTTAGGAGGGAGTCCCTGCCCGGTGACCAGCCGGGCTGTAAAGACCCACACGAAACCCGTAGGCACCTGAAACAATCCACCGGGGATGGTGTAGACATTTGTGTAGAGTCGATACACGCATGCGCTCACGACAGCACCTATTCCAGACCCGATCAACTGTCCAATAAACTGCGCCTTGGGACTGGCTCCAAGAAGGTGTCCTGTCTTTAAATCCTGGAGCAGATCTCCAGCCTGCAGCGCACCTGCTTCACTTATTCCACCAGCTATGAGATTAATCGTGACGGCATTAGGAGTTCCAGCTGGGACAACAGCTGCAAAGATGAGCTGGGTGAGTTTGCTGATGCCCGAGACGGGATTGAGGTCAGTCTCTCCAAGCGCTCGTACGCCCATGATACTCAAAAGTAGGGCAAGTACGAGCGCAAGGACTGTCAGTCCAATGCTGATGATTCCTGCAAAGGAATACTGCACAGCACCGATGCAGAAGACCAGCGACAAAAATAGGCCGATGAGGGTCGTCTTCACGCCAATCTGATGCTCAGGGGGCGCATCGTACTCTTCAATATCCATCGCCGATTTCGTCTTCCTCAAAGCATGGTGGGTATCGCCATCGACCGGATCCTCTAGATTTACTGGACTGTACCCTCTTACTAAAGGCCGCGAGACTTCCCTGAGGTACCTAAATACCCCTCTGCGTCGCATACCGCGAAAGATCTCGGGGCCGTACTCCCGACTATACCAGATAGCAGGTCGCATGACGAGCCATCCTAAGCTGATAATCGCGTCAGCGAGCATGATAGCAAGACTGACCCAGACTATCCATCCCTTTGAGCCAGTGTTCCAGTCTGAGACAGGGCCCGATGCCCAACCTTCGTGTTTCGCAATTGGCGACAGCACTGCCCAGCCAATTACAGAGCCTATAAACATGTGGATTGTCGTTGAAGGTCCCATAATAATGCCTTGGCCAACGTAAGCCGGGCTCGGATTCAGGTTCCACAGCCAGACTTCAGATAAATGAGAGCCTAATATGGGTATGGAGTGAAGCTGGGGGATAAAGTAAGACACAAGGGTCTGTGAATATGGTTAGCATCCTGAAAAGTGGCCGAGGCGTCGAGTTTTGTACGTACATATGCCCCGGAAACACAGAAGGACGTTATCAATAACCGAATCTGCTCCTGCCAGTCTCGTTTTGCAGCATCGCTCTGGCTGTCACGCCTCTGGAGCGGCTCTTCCTCTTCTGGCGCCAGACTATCACCGATAAGAGCTCGACTCTCTTCGTCGTCTTCAGAATGCTGTCGTCTTCTACGACGAGCGGAATGTTGCTCAATGTTACCCTCTACACCCGTCAGTTCGCCGYCATGAAGAACGCCGATCATCAAAGCAGTCGCAGTTCCCGACGGAAACTTGAGCTTCTCACGGACGATGACTTCTTTACGAAGAGGAACGGCGAAAAGGACACCAAAGAAGCAGAGGCCCAGGGCCCATCCGATAAGCTTTGACATGGGCAGTCGAATACCGGTCATCGCCTCTTGAGACGTGGAGGTCGCTAACGCGTGTGGCTTCTGTGAATCAGGAATCTCGGAGGGCTTCAGCAGAAATTCCAGGGCCGGAACAACGCCTACGAATCCACATCCTAAGGGCATAGTTCCTACAGATCCAGCGACTGTCTGTACCAACACATTTTCGACCTCGCTGAATCCTTCCCCAAATCCCATTCTCTTTAGAGGCCCGCCCATTCTATCAGCAAACGTTCGAAGACCTTTGAAGTACGCGAATCCGATCAACGCGCTCGGCATGGCCATGGAAGATACCCATCCGGTTTGCAGACCAAAGTAGGTGTTGGAAAAGGCGATGAGTATACCAATCAAGATCCCCGTGAATAGTGCCCTGGCTGTGAACTGGGGCTGCTCGCTCCTTTTCGCCAGAAATGCAGCGTCTGGCTCTTGGCCGATGGGCTCCTGTGCGATACTGCGACTGGTCTCGTGCTCCAGGCCATGCTCATCGTCACTGGGCGTGCTCATGTCTTCGTTCCAGTTCTCGGAAGATCCGGACGGTATCCCTCTGTCCGGCGCCATCTGCAGAGCTCCCGTCTCTCACTACTTGCGTAGGAGTGGGTGAGAAGGAAGAGGCGGCCATCGCAAAGGTGGTGCTCAGCATTCTGGTCCGCGGATGACGTGCCTGCTAGCGGTGGAGCCACAAAGCTTATTTTATCTGTGCCTATCAGCCGGAGTCGGAGCCGGATGCGAAACGAGAATTTAACATCCTGACGAACATTTTATTGTGAGACTTCAATCTACCGCTGCACAATGCCGGAACTTCCCCACGGATGGCGTATGAGGAACAGTGCGGGCGAAGTCGAAGGCCCACCTCCGGAAGACGATTACTCAGATAGCGGAAGCGAGGAGCCTTTCGACATCAAACCAGACTCGGAAGGATGGGATGATGTTGAAGACGACTCGGAGCCCGTAAGCATCCAATGCTTACTTACCGATGAAAAGTTCCCATCAGCCAAAGCGATGATTGAACATTGCAAAGACAAGTTGGGCTTTGATTTTGTCGCCATCCAGCAACAACACAGTAGGTAAACCAAACCATTTCACCGCCCATCTTCATACTAAGACAACTATAGAATTGGACTTTTATTCCAGCATCAAGCTGGTGAACTACATCCGAGCTGAAGTCAAAGCTGGAAAGGAGAAGCCTGATGTGAGCGATCCTACTTTGTGGGCCGACGACAAGTATCTTCAGCCTACCTTGGAGGACGATGCCTTACTGTTCGGATTGGATGAGCTGGATGATACCCCATTGGCGGTAGATGGAGACGATGCAGAGGCTGGTGACGAGCGTAAGGCATGAGGCCTTTTTGTTCAAAGGCGAAATTAAGCACTTACACGAGTGTCGCCTGCCGACGAAGCACCTTGGACGCTGCCATAACTCGTGGGCGAATGCATTATTGCTCTGCGTACGGCTGACGGTCAAGCTGGAACCCTAAATTCAGAACGTCTGTTCTGCAATCCCAAAGATCGTGAGTCTAGGGCGAGCACATCTGAGACAACAGAGCCGCGTGCATGGTGGAAGAAAGACTTCCGCTTTCAAGCTAAGGTCACCACCCCATCAAATGCTTTGACAGCCCAAGTGATGTCGGTGATGATGCTACCCTCTGCAACTTCTCCGTAGAGCTACTTTACAATGATTCTGACACAGTCAAGGGTATCAATGATCGACAGACTCTGGTAACGGCCAGGTCCAGTCGGTMCCTTGCTCAGACATGAAAGAAAGTGTGCCTAAGCCTTCAACTCATGTCACATCACTTACTACYGCCTTATAGTGACTTTCACACCGTAAGCAACGCTCTATTTTACATCAGACACACTTTCCCCCTTCCATCTCCTCTACATGCACTGCCCTACCTCACAATGCCTGGAAAGGCCCAATTATGTGGTCCCTCGCACTAAGATGACCGCGTTGAGAAGAAGACACAAGGCTTGGAGGTCGTACGCATCCAACACAAATTCTCAAACACCATTACGACGACGATAGTATTCAAAACGTCAGAAGACGAGGAGTTGAGGGATGAGCATGGCAGCCGCTAAGTGGGCTGGAGCCACACACGGAGAGACATGACTTCTGTTGGCATTGCTGCATGTGAAGACTTGCGAAGACTTACAATCCAATATACCAAGTTGAAATATAGAAGAACGGAAATCAGCCGCCATTTCATGCARACCGCAGTCGATGCGCGGATAATCCTTTTTCCTTGACCCGAAATCCCTGTCTCGAATTCACTTTACCTCGTCCTCATCAACAGCATCAATGGCGGACTCCACAGCCATCGAGCCCGCTCACGGCAATGCATCTCCCAACCAAAACACCCGCCTCTCCACGGCAAAGAAACACATCCAATTCATGATTGACCCGAAAACCTCACCGCAGCCAACCCAGCTCCGCACCCGCGCCTTCCTCCGCAGTCTCCGCTACATCACCGTCTTCCTCTTCTGGCGAATCGTTCGATATGCCAAATACGCAGCCATTGGCGCGATAGTCGCTGCAATCAGCGGAACGGCAATCGGATCTGTGGCGAGCGGTGCTGCGTTTTTGATTGCGCCGACGGGAATTCTCGGTGGTGCTGGCGTGGGACTGTTGTGGGCTATGGCGAGATTTGGATGGAATCGGGCGAGTCATAGGGTACGGAAGAAGAATGGCGAAGTCGGTGCGGATCCAAGGAAAGACGAGCAGGATGATGCGGGTGAAGGAGAGGAGAGGGAAGCGGTGCCGCTGATACCAAAGGCGGAGCCTTGGTAGAGGGATAAGGATAGAATGGAACCAGGCCAATCTAACATAATGCTGTCATTCGTTCTGGACAGAACATCATATTGTTCTTTACCCGCCACCGCGTATTTTGCCAGGCAGGCATGATTGTCAACTGATTGAACCCAGCTCGACTGACACCCGGCATTTCCATACGCATTGCAATGATTGCTGCTTGGACGGGGTTCAAACAGCATTCAGCGCATCTTCACTCAGAGCCAATGTCTGGTCCCAGAAATGGCGAGTAGTCTCTCCAACCACATGGAAAGCTCTTCATATGTCATTTCTTCGATATCTCGTAATGATGCAGAGTGCCTCGCATCCGTAGATGCAGCAGGTCGCGCTATTCTGCTGTATATTCGTGGCCTCCGCGGCCTATGTCTCCGACGCTCTTCGTCGCCCGTTGTTTCTCTTCGCCTCGACCGCGACTTCTCGTTTTCCCGCAGTCACAGCATCATTTCTCGAGACTACTTTACTGAGAGGGTTGTCCCAAGCCACCCTATCGCTTGGAAAAGTATCCCTTCAGACCTCCCTTCTTCTTACTCGTAGTCCCACTATCCAGGTCCATGACATCGTCGTCGTCGTCGCTGTACTCCTCATTCGACACCTCCCGCTTAAAGGCGTTGCGTGTGTTGTGACCCGTTCGACTGGGAGCTGCCGGAGCCATCGTCTTGCCCGAGTTGCCTCCCTTCTCCGCCTCATCCGTCACTCCCTTGACCTGCCGCTCTGCTCTAGCTTCCTGCTTCGCACGCTTTTCTGACTCGTTCTTGACCTTCTTAATCTCGGCATCAAGACCCACCAGCATTGCATCGCAGCGTCCGCTCCAGGCTGCAAGTTCGGCGATCATGGACTGCACACTGCCCGGTGCCAGGTCTCGGAGAGGCGCGACAGATGTGATGTTGATCGTCTGAGCGGCGGGATTGAGAGTACCGGTGATGAGATCGCTATAGAGAGCGGTTGTGATGAGCTGCTCCAGCTCGACGGGCGAGGCAAGGTCTAGGCGGGTGCAGAGGGACTGATAGCTGAGGGTTGATCCAGTGGAAGGCGAATCGGACTTTTGGGAGGCCAATGTGAGGAGGGAGAGTAGACGGAGCTTCTGAGCTTGTGTGTCAGAGAGCGGGGGAAGAGAAGCGGATGCGTCTGTATAAATATCAACGGGCTGTCACATGTGAAATGGCCTTTTTGGATGAAAGTATACTCACTCTTATAGTCCTCCCACGTTCCCCAGRCGAAAAGCTCGAGCAGCGTGTAGAAGTTTCCATATTGCTCTTGACCTGCCAGCGCCTGCACATTGGGTTGTTGCAGCAGCTCGGCGAAGACGTATGTGTTGGCGGCGGAGGTGGCCTGCGCGACGAGATCGGCGGCGGCGCGGGGTGAATTGGCCGATTTGGCGAGGGCCACAAAGGGTGCGAGCGCGTTGATGGCGCGCGTCTGGTCCATTGTGGATGTGTGGTGGTAGCGGTGAGGAGAGAAGGCGAAGATGGATGCAATAGTTTGAGAGCTCGGTGTTTGATGATGGAGCTTGAGCGAGCCGTGCTTCTAAACACCGCTAAGTCCGGCTAGTCATTCACTTCGTCAAAAGTAAAAGAAGAAGTCGGATTTCGAATTTTCGATCGACACAGGCATGTTTTGGGAATATTAGCACAATATGATGGACTATTCAGGCCGCGAGAGTATGGACCGTCCAATCGATCGATTTCGGGACTACATTCGAGAGCCAGGTTTCGACTGAATCGCACTGTAGTTCGGCGAACAACACTGCTAGTACCTTTCATTGGCCTAGAAACAGCGATTGCGTTGTAAGAGCAATTTGTTGGAATGTCTCGGCTTCCATTCCATCAAGAAGCTCCCAAACCAACGAATGTACTCCTCCTCAGCTCAACAACCTCTGACCCCTCGCCAGCGGCCCCGTGACCACATCTGCTCCCTCAGATCGTCTCATTTCACGGCTTGACCGGTGTTTTAACCCCAAAGAATATCACATGAACAGTGATATCATCTCTCACGTTTCTAGAATACGGCGATTGAACGCTCATGACCCCCTCGAACAGATCTCTTCGCTTTCCGCCCAGAGCGTTCTTCACAAGGTGAACCGCGGCATGGTCGTCCTCGTTGACAAAGTACTTAGGAGACGATTTCCACTTCAGACATCTCTCTTCCTCGTCCCACCATGTGTCGTCTCCAGCTTCCAGGTCACTGGCGCTTGTGAATGTTGGGGGAAGGCCAGAATTTCTCCGTCGGACGAGTTCTAAAGTAACGTCAGCATCATCGATTGACTTCGAACCAGGAAATCGTACCGTTCCACTGGGTGCTCCCTGCATTCTCGTCTAGAAAAGCTTCTGGTCTGTTCTTGTCCAGCCATTGCTGTACACAAGTTACAGCATCATCCGACGATAGATTGTCCCACAGGCCATCACTGGCCATGATCAAGAAATCCGGGTGACCCGGTGCGGTATTAATCTTGGTCGTCGTAACTTCTGGCTCCGCGGTGATATATGGTGGAGTCTTGACTACTCCGTTAGGTCGCGGAGCTGGGCCGAAAAACTTCTCTTGCGCCATTCTCGTCAACTCTTCCTTCCATTTCCATCTTGCATCCCCAAAAGCTCTCGATATCGCTAGGCCAAACACACGGCCTGTCTTGGGGTCAACAATTCCCTCTTCTCCGGGATGCTCGCGCGCAATACGTTCCACTTCGTTTTGGTTGAAACCTGTATGGTCAACAGAAAGGGGCACGGCCACGTATCTCTGTCCAATGGAATCCCACCGCCCCAAAACAGCTCTCGAGTCTCCCACATTTGCAATGCGTAGTAACGATCGAACGGGGTCGTATAATGCCAAGATCGCACAAGAACCAGAGAACGCTGCGGCGCCAGTTGCCACCATCTCCGCGAGAGGCCCTCCCATCTGCAAGCGGTTGCCGGCCTCTCCAACGATTGCATGATCGATGGTTTGAAAAGCCTTCTTGATCGTGCTGACGATCCGAGCTTCATTCGGCTGGTCCATGCACTTTGCGTCCCACAAATGCTCGCCAACAATCGTGGGTAGGAAGTCCTTGAGATACTGCGAGGTGCGTGGTCCGGCATGACCATCAAAAACGGCCCACTCGTACCAATCTCTGGTCTGGTCATTGAAAAAGTTGTAGGCACCGCTGGACCATGTATCCTCGCAGGGTTGATTAGAAGGCGACGTTACAGTGTGGGCAACGGCTGTTGGTGTGACAGAGAAACCGGAGCGAGCAAGTAAAAGCTCGGTAGCATGCTCGGCATCTAATGGCGGCACCTGCACAAATGGCTTGATTAGCAGTGTCTCGTACAGTTCAGTATCTCGAATTCATCTCCGATGTCCTAGCATGATCTCAGGGGATCTGTATGCATGCGTGAGGTCCATGATCGTTTCAGAGATCCAACTTACATGCCGAGCAGCAGCATCATTAGCACCTGCAATCAAAGCCTCTTGGATCTTTTCGGCGGCCTCCCCTTCGTCTGCATCATAAATTAGCAACATTAATTTCCACGGYTCAGACTTGAGATGGTAGAACATACTTTGCAACTCGGACAACAAATCTGACGGAATTTCAAGCACAGCGAGAACCGTGACAGCTCCGACTGAGAAACACAAGGTGCTCCACAGAACATTTCGCAGTATTCTTCGCGGTCTTTTGGGAGGTTGAGGCGGCGGTTGTTGAAAGTAGGTCGTATGTGGCACCGGAGGGTGTTGCTGTCCAGTGATGTTTCTCTTGAGGCATGAAAATCGGGGAGCCTGTCTTAGCTGGATTCTTGCCGCTCGGATTGTTCGCGACCACATCTGTCTTGAGTTGTCCGGACGCTCCGGTGAGTTGATAGAGCTATGGCATGCACTTGAAGACGCGCGAGGTCGCAGCGAGAAAGGGTCGACGCGCAGAGAGGAGGCTAATGTACCTGGAACGGCGATCTCAAACTCTAATTTGCGGGACTTCGGATTAAATCGATGGAGGCAGATGCAACAGCAACACGATGAATATGACATTTTTCGGTGAGACACCTGGCTCTCCGTCTCCGAGATATAGTTCGATTCTGTTTCTCGTAGCCACCAGTTGGCGAGCGGAGTTGTCGATTCACTGCCTGGCACTACGAGAGCCGGCAACTTTCAACTTCTCCATCCCTTATGCGGAAGGAACATGAAGTCCACGGAATGTTCTTTTCCTGCTTGCTAAATGTGGACGGGCATATTCAATCCTGTAATCACCATTCAACACAGCCGACCCATAAATTGTGACTCGGTAAAACCCGTGGAATCTTGCACACAGCTGCATCGCAAAGCAGTCACTTTCAATCTGTCTCTCGAAGCATCTTCAAATACTACCTTACTACAGTACATCACTCCGAGATCCTGCGCCCCTCAGCGTACCTTTTCATCGAGCCAGTGGTCAAGAGCTGGGAGCACCTAGTAGCGTCGACCACCACGGCCACCTCCCCGGCCGCCCTGATAGCTGTAGCCATTCGAATCTTGTCCATAGCCTCCGCCACCGCCACCGCCATAGCCCTGGTTGTAGCCACCGCGTTGGTCATAAGTGCCCTGTCCTCCCCCGTATCCACCGCGTCCCCCGTAGCCATTCTGATGGCCGCCGTATCCGTTCTGCGGAGGAGGTGGTGGACCTCGGCCTTGTCCATAGTTTGCCGGAGGGTAGCCCTGTGGAGGCAAGGGAGGGTAGCCCGGGGGAGGTCTGCCTCCGCCTTGCTGTGGTGGGTAAACGCCGTGCTGCGCTGCCTGTGCAGCGAGGTGTGGTGGCAGGTTAGAGAGTGCCTCAGCAGCGCGGCTTGCGTATTGATCATTTCCGCGACCGCCGTAGCCACCATTTCCTCCATATCCATTTCCGCCATAACCACCTCGGTTGTTGTTGTTGTTGTGTCCTCCCCTATCCCCTGCGGCATAGTTGATGCGACGACCATCTGACCTGTCACCATGCTGTGATAGCTGCACCCCACCGAAACTACGCCCAGACTTGTTTGCACGGTTCCGCGTCGTCTCAACGTCGTTRTAGTCTAGCACAGGCTCTGAAAACTTAACGCCAGGGAGCAGCATTGATTTGTGAACGCTCTTCAGAACAGGCATGTGATAGGAGATTTTCACACTCTCATCCATTTCCAAATCACCAAACTGATGATCTTGTTCGTCACTGGTCGGGAAAGGGAACTTAAGCTCCGAATTAGGGACATAAGATTCGTCCTTTGAGGCCTTGCCTGAGAGACCCTCGGATACCTTGGCATTGATCTTGAACTTTCCCTCTGTGGCTTTCTTGCCGTAAAAGTTTGACACGACGTCGTGGTAGAGTGGATGTTTCGTACTGAAAATCAATGCTTCTTCGCCGAAAGCATTCCGTCGCTGTTCATCCTTTGACAGAAGTGGATATTTGGTCGCCATGGCATCCAGCAGCTTCTTCTCATCAATAAAAGGAAGCAGAGCTACGCCTTGCCACGCGAACTTCTTGCCGTTGAGATCCACTTCGAAGTCTTCCGGGTAGAATTCCTTGATGGGACTGTCGTCTTCCGTCATTAACGGGTGGAAGACGGCGGGCAAGGTGTGGTTTGATGCTGCAGGCATGACACCCATCAGCTGCTCGTAGGGGTGGAAAGGCTTTCCCTTCTCGAAGTTGACGACTTGCTTCTCCATATCCACGAAATCGGCAGCGAAGGGTGCGTAGTGATGAGGATAGTACCATGTCCACGAAGGACAGCCCTGGAAATAATATAACAAGACCCACGCGAGGCCCTCAACGTAGCATCGTGCAACTGAATGGCGGAACTCAATGTCATGTGGTGAGACGTGAAACTTCTGTTCATAGTAACGGCCCTGATAGCCATCCTCCCACAGTTTGACAGTATCCTCGGGCATTTCTTCGCTAGTGTTCTTGGAATTGCCACCCAAAGCACCGGAGGTTCCCCGGTTGAGGGGGTCCGCGATCTCCTTGTCCGGGGTATTGCGGCCAGGTGTAGATGGATTCGAGCTAGCTTCGTCCGCCGCGGCGTCGTCGACCATATCGCGAGCGCGCTTGCCGAGCACGGGAGAGGGTTGGCTGCCGCCATCAGCACCGCCACTAGCAAAGAGAGCCTCAACCCCAGCCTTCTGGTTGTCGGCAGGCTTCTTGCTGCCCAGAAGTTTCTCTCGCAACACAGCGGCAGCAGACCGGTTGTCCTGGTTCGCCTTGTCGAGTGCGGCCTTTCCACCAACAACATCTGCGTGGGTCAGACCAGCGGTGTAGCGAGGGTCACTCTTGGTCTGTGCAGCACCAGGAGCGAATGTTGGCAGTGCATTCGGGTCGGGGGCGGCTTCGCCTCTGATGATGCCTCCTTTCGGACCTCTTCTCACAATAGTCTCGTCGAAGCCTGTTGGAGCACCACCATTCGACCAACGCGCCCTTTTGTTCCCCCTGTTCTCACGCTCATCGCGCRCCTTATTTCGAGCCGCAGTTCTCACTTCTGTCTCTCTTCTCCGCTTGAAGATGGCATCTTCCTGCTTTGCGAGCCCGGCGAGGATCAACTGCGCTCGCGCAAGATCTACGTGACCGTCCTTGGTCACGTACCCACCCATGACGGGAATGTTGTCGCGCCATATAGCAATTAGCGTGTCGATACCATCCTCGCGAATGTCAAGCGATGGCAGGTGTGGCAAGAAATCATTTCCAACGAAGAAACACATAAAAACCCAGTCGTCCAGTGCGCGCTCCAAGTCGAAACGGAAGCCTTGGTCGGGTACACTCATTTCAACTGCAAGATACTCGCGTAGAATACCGACGTRGAGCCAGATGAATGGCTTCGGTGGTTTGACCACGTTCTCGTCCGGCTTCACCAGGCCTTGGCAATTTGCAGCCATATGACCAGGCTGATTGCACTTTCGGCAATGACCGGGCTTGGTGTCGTTTGCGAAGAYGTCTTCGCGAAGGATACGGAAGTGGGGCTCGTGAGTTGCAATGCCCAACATGATCAGATCGGCATCCAGACCGTACATGACGTGTCTATGCGTGTTAGCAGAGAAATCGACATTGCATTTCGGTGAATGGGAAGGGTCTTCTTGAGCAGCGAGAGCTAGAGCTGTGCGGCAGAAAGAGATGTAACAGTAGACTTACCTGGAGTTTGGATCGTGATCAGGCGAACTGCGCTGAGATCGCACAAAGTTCATGATCTTATGCTCACCTTCGCCGGGTACAGTGGCATCAGAGATTACAACCTTCAGCTTCTCCCAAGCAGGGTCCGTAGACAATTTGTAGCTGACCCAGTATCGCAAGCTGGCCGCGAGCAAGTCCATGAAGGGAGTGCCGGGCGTGATGGAATTGGAGTCCCACGTCTTTTTCAGCGCGTGGCCTTCATCGACACGCTCGCCATTGGCAACCATGCGACGGTGGAACTCCGCCGCCTCGGCGTCCTTCTCCGCCGCTTCCTGTGCGCTGCGGAAACGCCGACTGCGCTGCTGGTTCATTTTGGCACGGGGAGCCACACCATCCACAGCGATCATCAAGAGTTTGCGCGGGCGCACCATGTTTACGACGCGTTCCGTGTACTCGAACACTGCTATCATCATCTCCTCCTCCGTCTCAGGCGCAGGACGGTCTTCGGGATGCGAACATGGATGGACGATACCATTCATGTCTAGGTATAAATTGTCCATCTCCTCGCCATTTGGATTGGGCCCGCGCGCATCGATCGGAATGGTGGTGGTCGTGCCATCGTCGTTCTCGACCTCGCGGGCCTGCTCCTCGACGACGGGTGAAATGATCTTTGGGTATTTCTTGCTGAGCCAWCTAAACAGCGCCGGAACACCCATCTTGGACGGTGGATGCGATAAGGATCGAGATGTACGTCCAGGTGAGAAAGGCGATTGGGGTCAGTCAGCGCGAGCTCCTCGAGGCTCACTTTCTGCTTCGATTCGTGGCGTCTACACAGGAGCTACAGGATTTCCGTCCCTGAGATTAATATGGCAGGTCAGGTCGTATCGGAGGCCGGGCAGAGAAGTTGACAAGGCTGCCGGCGCGTAGTTGGCGATGAAAGAGGAATGCAGCACGTCGTGGAGGCGAAGAAGTTGAAGGGTTCACTTCTAGACGCGGCAGCGGCCGAAAAGAATCCCGGGATTCCGGGGTCGATGGTCACTGGAACTTTTGGCTCAGGACACCGAGGGCCTTATTGCACAGAGACATCACAACGCGTTGAATCTTTGAAAACACGTGCTGGATTGAAACTACGACAGTCACGATATCACGTCGCATCGCGCGGTTTCCTACCATGAGATAATCACACCTGGTCCGGGGATTCACGACCCACGATTCCACAATGCTCAAGACACCACCTTTACAAACGGCCACGGCGACCATTGACACGCTCAGTGGCCGCCTGCAGTCCGCGACACTCCTTGAAGACCGACGCGCCGCGATCTTGGGCCTACGAAGTTTTGCCAAACAGTATCCCGCATCTGTCGCCAGTGGCTCCTTACGAGAGCTCATATCAACGCTCAAGCGAGATGGACTGGGAGATGCAAGCTCCGCTGGGAGTCAGGATGGCGAGACCCGTCGAAGTCAAGAGGGCGGCGATATTGACACGATTCGTCTGATTCTTGAAACTCTACTCATGCTATTCAACCCCGACTCGAGCTCGCCAGAGGCTGGTGACGAGATTGCATTGTTCCTGGCAGATGAGTTCTCAATGGTATGTCCTCCGTCACCACAAATCATACTTCATTAGAAAGGCAAGAGCTAAGCTAATGCCAGCGCCAAGACAACATCGTGATGCTCCTGAACTTGCTCGATCCTACCAGTCCCTACGCCGATTACTATTCCCGGTTGTACAGCGTACAGCTACTTTCTGCCGTCTGTGTCGCAAGACCCGAGCGATTGCAAGAGTGCATACTTTCTGCACCGTTGGGAACTTCGAGATTGGTGGGCGTGCTGGATGATGGACGAGATGCTGTACGAAATGCGGGACTATTGTTGCTCGTCGACCTTACTAGCGGAGCGAATGAAGACCTCAGAAAGATTGTGGCTTTTGAAGATGTCTTCGGCAAGATATTCGCTCTCATACAGCTCGAAGGGGGCCTCGCCGAGGCGGGCATCACTGCCCAGGATTGCTTGAGTCTTCTCGCGAACCTCATCAAGGGCTCTGCAAGCAACCAGACTATGTTCCGCGAGTCTGGATGTGTGGCTCAGATGGCTCAGCTGCTACAACAGGCATTTCCCTCAGACCCCTTAGAGGCCGCCTTCCTGGTACAAAGTCGTGAGAAGGCTGCGTGGGGTCTGCTGCAACTTCTCCGGCTTTTCCTAGTTCCTGGCGAGTCTGGGACTGCGCAGAACCAGGCTGCTTTTTTCAGGGCCGGAATCGCTCAAACCTTGATCGACCTCGGATTCTGTTCCAACCTGCCGACCCCCATTCAGACCACAGCACTGAGATCAGCCGCTGCGCTCATCGAGGACAATCCTTCTCTACAGGAGCAGTTCGCTGCGCTGACCACTGTCACACCCGCAGACACAGAGCACAATTCACAACAGGCCCAACAGGCACCCAAAACGAACGGCAGTCGTTTGAATCCTGGCTCCGGAAAGGGCAGCGCACGTGTCAGCGCGGAGACCCGTCGCACGTACATTATCGAAGCTCTATTAGACTTGGCTTTGAGCAAATCGCAAGCAGACTCCTCGCTGCGAGCGGCAGCTTGTGGGTTGACTCAGGCATACCTCACCAACCATGATAGAATAAAGGTTCATTTCCTTCAACGCGCCATTCACGGGCATGCGGAACAAGAGGAAGCAGCCAACGTACTTTTGACTTTGCTCCACCCGTCCGGAGATGACATCAACAGTGTTGTCTTCGCTTCTTGGATAGTGCAAGGCTTGGTGGCCGACAACCTCGAGGCGAAATCTGCTCTCGCTGCGGTTCGGGAGGGCAACGAGAGTGAAGGCGAGGATGTCGTCACCTGCATCCAAGGGCTCGGATCGCAATTGCAGGCTTCCCTACAGGCGCCGGTTGATGAGCGACTGGGTGCTGCCTATGCCAGCTTGCTGACCACTTTGCTTTGGGATTTCGCTCCAGGTGTCGACGACTTCTTGGCGGAAGGGTCAAGTCTACTGCAGAGTCTCGTGGGATTGGTGAAGACCCCCACAGAAGATCCTACCATCACTGGGTTGGCTGCCGTGCTCCTCGGGACGGTTTACGAGTTCAGCACCAAGGACTCGCCCATCCCGAGACGGACCATGGCACCAATTCTGCAACAGAAGCTTGGTCGAACGAAGTATCTCGAAGCACTTCTGCAGCTCCGCCGACAACCTGCAATTCGTGATTTTGATCTCGATCTAGAGTCCGACGAAGCCGGAGATGGTATGGTGAGCAAGGTATTCGCAGACTTATTCGCGTTGGAGTATTCTCGTCTACGAAGAGCCATTGACAAGGACCCTGGTGTCGAGGTTCTGCCTCCCTCTGCAGTCGAAGCGGGCATCGACCGCGATGTACTCGACGAGCTAAGACAACAGATCCAAGCTAGCAAAGATGCCCTTGCGTCGGCTCAAAAAGAAGCACTCGAGGCAGGGCAGAGAGGCGAGCAAGACCGTATGACTGCTGCCAAAGATGTACAAACTGCCAACTCAGAAGTTGAGCGTCTTAAAAAGATCAACCAAGCAATGCAACAGGGCCACGAGAAGGAAATTCAAAAGCTGGAGAAGAAGAACGAGCAGCAACGACAAGCTGCTGACGCACAGAACAAACGTGCGATCGCAGAGACAAAGCAAGAGGCCGAACGTCAAGCTCATGCCACTTTGAGAGAGCGGGAAGCTGGCACAGCGCAAAAGATCCAGGAGTACGAGCGGCGTCTTGCTGAACTAGGCAACGCCCTTCGAGCTGAGTCCACGGGTCACACAAACGTGAAGCAGCAGCTTGAAACTCTCACAGGGAAGCACAACGAGCTCATCAAGCGTGAGCGAGACCTGGCCCGCCAGCTTGAAGAACTGCAAAGAAAGCACGCCATTTCGGAACAGAAATTGCAGGCCGCCGAGGCAAGTGCTGCTGCTGCCGAGACCAAACTCAATATTGCCAAAACAGCTGTAGATGCCCGCGGCGAAGAGATGGACAGTCTCCAGTCGCAGCTCGAGGGAGTCAGGGACGAGCTCGCCGGCCGAGAGGAAGAGCTGAAAACCGAACGTGCCGGGTTTGCGGATCTTGAAAAAGAGCTTGAGGTAGCGAAAGAAGCCGCAAGTGCTCTTCGGAAAGAATTGAAGCTTGCAAGGGATACTGCGAAGACTCTCGAAACAGATCTGCAGCTTGCTCAGGATGCTGTCCAGGCCGCCGAGAAGCAAGTCAAAACGACAAAGGACGCTACCGCTGCCGCCGAAAAGGAGTCAAAGGCCGCAAAGGATACCATCAAAGCTGTCGAAAAGGAACGAGACGCTGCCAAGGCTGCGGTGAAATCTGCTGAGAAAGAGCGCGACACTGCCAAAGCTGCGATCAAAGCAGCCGAAAAGGAGCGCGACGCTGCCAAAGAATCTGCCAAGCCTGCCGACAAAGGTGGAAAAGCAGGTGGAAAGAAAGGTAGCACCGCTGCTGGACCTAGCGGCGCGGATAAGGAGAAGCTTGCCAAGCTCGAGGCCGATGTCGCCACATCGCAGGACAGCGAGAAGGCAGCAAAGGAGCAGCTGGCGAAACTTGAGGCCGACATTGCCGCATCGCGCGAAAGCGAGAAGGCGGCCAAAGAGGAACTTTCAAAGCATGAAGCCGATGTCGCTGCATTGAAGGAGAGCGAGGAGAGCGCCAAGGAGAAGCTGGAGAAGCTTGAGGCTGGCATTGCCAAGGCGAAGCAAGATGAAAAGGCTGCCAAGGAGGAGCTTGACACCATGTTGCTCGTTCTCAGCGATATTGAATCTAAACGGGACGAGTACAAGTCCAAGGTCAAGGAGCTCGGTGGTGAGGTGACGGAGGACGAGGATGAAGAAGATGACGAGGAGGAGGACGAGGACGAGGATGAGGATGAAGATGATGATGATGAGTTGGATTAGATAGCAGTCTGTGGTCGTATGAGTACACATTCGTACAGCACCTCAACCTATCGGAGTGAAATGTGCAGCCTCAAGGACTACAGCTTCGCAAACTCCTCGGACGTTCCAGTTGAGAGCGAACCACACCAATGTTTGATAAGGCTGCCTCATGCCCATGTTCCCAGTTCAAGCAATATTATTTTCATCACGGAGCTTAGGGTTAGGGTTGGGGTAGCGATATTTTCCACTAATGCCTCCTTCGCGACGGCAGCAACATTGAAGTCCAGCTAATTTGGCTTTCAGATGAGTGTTCGATGTCTGCTACTCTTTCACGGCCTATTTGGCGGCTGGTGTGGGAGATTGGCCAATTTTCCCGGGTTCACGATTCTTTGACCGCAATTGTGAAAATGGAGTGCTAGAAGGCATGATTTCCAGGTGTATTCTCGCACCACCTACAAGTAACCTAACAAATGCGACAAATACGACGAAAGGGTATGAGGAAAACACGAAAAGAGAGTGCTTGCACGGAGACGTGGGATGATGCTTTAGGCTGAAGATAGTCCGTTGGCAGGCTGCTCCTACCCACCCGACCGCGTTACCACTCACGACAGATCTGACACGGAGTTCTCATTGATCCGAATGCTTGTTCAGCTGCACACAATCTATGCGCGACCAAGTTCCTCGCTTCTAGACACAGCCGCCTTGACAGCCTTGTCGACAATAGCAGCAAAGCCAGAAGCCTCGAAGCTCTCCAATGCCGCTTGTGTGGTGCCATTTGGGCTCGTCACATTCTTCCTAAGCTGAGCCGGCTGCTCAGACGCCTCAACGAGCATCCTACCAGCGCCCAAGCAGGTCTGGGTTGCCAATCGCGTTGCCTGCTCCTCTGAGAGACCCAGTTTGGTGGCACTGGCAATGAGGTGCTCTGCAAAAGCAAAGATGTAGGCCGGGCCACTGCCTGAAAGTCCAGTGACCACGTCAAGGAGATCCTCCCTGTCGACCCATTCTGTGGCACGGCTCACACTCTTCAGCAGAGCGTTGACTTGCGATTTCTGCTCCTCGGTGACCTCTTCTGCTGCATAGACACCGCTGGCACCCTCACCCAACAGTGCTGGTGTGTTGGGCATCACTCGCACAATCGGCAGCGACTTTCCATCCTTTGTCGTGCTCCACTTCTTGAGGCTTGCACCGGTAACTCCGGCAGCAATAGATACAAGCAGAGGAAGTGACTTGTCGGAGGAGTAGCTGGACGAAGCGAGCTCTTCGCAGACCGTCTTGACAACTTGAGGCTTGACGGCCAAGATCACGATGTTGGCCGAGCCGGCCGCCTCCAAATTGTCCGTGGTGACATTCACACCCAGATCAGCCATCTTCTGGCGGTTGACTTCCCATGGCTCCGAGACGGTGATTTGGCTCTTGGGGAAACCTTTGTTCAGCAGGCCGGCAATGATTGCCTGTCCCATGTTGCCGCCGCCTGCGCGAAGTTAATTTCTGTCGAATCTGAAAACCGGGCGGTGCTAACGTGCCTATGAAGGCAATCTTCTGGGAGTGCAAGTCTGGCGCCATTTTAGTTGCAATGTGGTTTGTTGTTGAGAGACCAGGACTGACGCCGGCTGGAATCACGGGCAATTTGAGCTGAGAGTGAGCTTCGATGAGACGACGGAGTCTCAGATGCTCAGACCCCCAAGGCGCTAACTGTAAGGTATGTCGCAGAAATGCTTGCTTCCGCAACGCGACCATTGATTGCTCCGACGCGATCGCTGCGCAACACCGTCCACTGTTGACGGGCCCATCACACTCATAACATAACTTACGGATGGGCCAGTCGCAGAGCGTCAGCTGCACTTGCCATCAGGTTTCAAAGTAAGAGGCAAGATCGACTTCTGTTTCGGCCGCTGGCGGCTGCCCTCTCGCCCCGCATCTTACTGCCGAGGGCATCGAATGCTATTGAGAAGTGTAGTAGGGAGCAGTCCAAGTGAGAGAGCGCTCCAAAGCAAACGACAATCTTATCGCCGCCTCAATTCAGACAGTTACGGTCGAGACTCGCCTTTCTCCGACGCACACGATGACGACCATGGATCGCGTCTCCCAGTTCGCCACGCAGCTGAATCCTTTGGCAACGCCGTTGGATAAGATGTATGTCTCAAGATTCACTCTGACGGAAAACATCTCACACGATGCTCAAGCACCCAGAAGCTTCCCGATGATGTGGTTATCACTCTGGCCCTGAGGACTCCTTTGACCAAAGCAGGTCGAGGTGCTATGAAAGATACCTTGCTCGATGGCCTGACCTTCAAGATCCTAGAGCAGGTCCGAACGCGTATGAACATGGACCCATCGCTCGTGGAGGACATCTGTCTGGGCAACGTCCGTGACGGTAAAGCATCGTACTATTGCCGTGTCGCAGCACTCGCCGCTGGCTTCCCCTCCACCACAGCCGCCTCGTCAAGCTCGCGGTTCTGTTCGTCTGGCTTGACTGCTACCCAGCATATAGCGACGTCCATAGCAACCGGAGTGATCGATGTTGGTATCGCGGTAGGTGCTGAGCTGTTGAGTACACCAATCCCTAGACTCGATCGCGAATTCGTGGAAGAAGTCTTGCAGAATCAAGATGCGAGAGACTGCATGATTCCAATGGGTGAGTGGTTTTAGAGCAGGCTGGCAGCGCGTTCGTTGACACACTTGCAAGGCGGTACTTCCGAGATTGTTGCCAAGGAGTTCAACGTAACTCGCGAAGAGCAAGACAGATATGCCGTGGAATCATATCGACGAGCAGAGACTGCTCAGAAAGCGGGCTGGTTTGCAGATGAAATCGCTCCGATCACTGTCAAGAAGGATGGTCAAGAAGTTCTCATAGAGCAGGATGAGATCCGATGGGGCACTACCTACGACAAAATCTCCAAACTGCCGGGCTCGTTCCAGGAGTACGGAGATCGAAGTACCGCGGGCAACTCCAGCCAAGTAACGGATGGCGCAGCCGCGTTATTATTGATGAAGAGGTCCAAAGCGCTCGAACTGGGCCAGCCAATCCTTGGCAAGTATGCTGCGACAGCACTTGCAGGTCTTCCACCCCGGATCATGGGCATTGGTCCTTCATTGGCCATTCCCAAACTGCTCAAAAAGGTGGGACTGGACTTGAAGAAAGATGTTGATGTCGTTGAGATCAACGAGGCTTTCGCGTCGATGGCTGTCTACTGTCGAGACAAACTGGACCTGAACTGGGAAGTGATGAATCCGCGAGGCGGAGCGATTGCGCTGGGCCATCCATTTGGCATGACTGGAGTCAGACAAATCGTGACAGGATTGAGCGAGTGTCGCAGGACGAAGAAGAAGATCCTGCTCACAAGCATGTGTCTTGGAACGGGAATGGGTGAGTAACACATTTGGACAACRGCCACACGAACCACGCTAATCCGATATCACTGCTAGGAATGGCAGGGCTGTTTGTGAACGAGCAGAACGTTTGATGAACTTGTGCCATTCAACCTCCTATGACATTCAAAAAGGAAAAATTTGAAAGTATGACTTGCTCACAACTGATTTTGGCGGCTATCTTAGCAGATCTACAATTCTCTTCTCGATTCAGGCATTGCGAAACTGAAAATCTTCACGCTTTCAATGAGGAACAATGACGACAGAGGTTCACTAGAAGCATGTTAGTCCAAACTCTGTACCGTCCTACATCATTGTCCGGAGACACACGAGCGATAGCGCACCTACAGAGGCACATATATAATGTCAGCTCATCCAGGTAAGGCACATACCGACCATGTCGCGACTTTCTTTCTGCCTTGCCACTTTGGCTTTGCTCCAAACTTCATCGACGTTCGACCCTCTAGGGAACTCTTACGGTGTAGCTGGCGTCAATGCGAGCTATGACTATGTTGTGATCGGCGGAGGCACAGCTGGACTTACCATCGCTGCGAGATTGGCAGAGAACCGGAACGTTTCCGTTGCGGTAGTGGAAGCTGGCGGCTATTACCAGATGGACAATGGCAATGGCTCGTATGCTCGCCCAACAGTCGACATGCGGCTGTCCTGCTAACGATCGTAGTGTCATTCCAGGACTTGCCTTCACTCAGTTCGTCGGAGCGAGCCCGGACGATAACCAACCTTTGATCGACTGGGGTTTCGTGACCACTCCACAGGCCGGTGCTAACAATAGAAGCATTCAATATGCTCGGGGCAAGACGATTGGTGGATCAAGTGCACGTAATTACATGGCCTTTCATCGTGGGACGAATGGCTCCTACCAGCGCTGGGCGGAAGAGGTCGACGACAACAGCTATGCCTTGTCCAACCTCATGAAGTACTTCCAGCGAAGCGTGACGCTGACGCCACCTAATTCAGACCTTCGCTTTGCGAATTCCAGCGTGGAATTCGCAAGCTCTGCATTCAACAACAGTTTATACCCCAACCAGCCACTACAAGTGACTTGGGGCAACTGGGCGTACCCGATCGCGTCATGGACACAACTCGCCCTGGCCAAGATCGGGATTCCAACGAACCCGCAAGGTTTCCTGAGCGGGCAACTATCAGGCTCATCTTGGTGTCCGTCAACGATCGAGCCAGACAATCAGCACCGTTCGTCTTCTCAGACCAGCTTTCTAAACTATGCAATGAGAACAACCGGTCTGAAAACCTACTCTCACTGCTTCGCTCGTAAAGTGGTGTTCAACGGGACCAAGGCCACAGGTGTGCTTCTTCAAGCTGGCCGTAAGAACTTCACGCTTACCGCGAACAAAGAGGTCATCTTATCAGCAGGTGCCTTCCAGTCTCCACAGCTTTTGATGGTCTCTGGAATTGGTCCCCGGGAAACTCTGCAGCGGTTGAACATTCCGGTGGTTGCAGACCTTCCAGGAGTTGGCCAAGATCTATGGGACCAGCCGCTGTGGGGAATTTCATACCGCGTTAATGTCTTGACTGGATCCGAGAGTGTCAACAACCCAGCGTATGCCGCAATGGCGGTAGAACTATTCATTGCCAATGGAACCGGTCCATTAGCTAGTCCTCCTTCTTTACTTGCTTTCGAACGCCTGTCAGACTCAGCTCCGGAGCTACTTCAAAACAGTACGCTCCAAGCTCTAGAAGACTTCCCATCCGACTGGCCGCAGATCGAGTATTTGGTCCAAAATGGTTATGCCGGCGACTTTGAAAACTCCATGACTGCGGATCCTGCTGATGGGTACAACTACGCTACCTTGGCCGCTTGTCTCGTCAGCCCATCTTCGAAAGGAAACGTCACAATTTCCTCTGCAGATGCGTCTGTTCCGCCCGTGATCAATCCCAATTGGCTCACTACTTCCGAGGATAAAGACTTGGCTGTGGCATCCTTTAAACGATTGCGACTAATCTGGAGTCACATGTCGAACGTCACTATCGGGGAGGAGTACTTCCCGGGTCTGGAAGTCGAGTCTGATGAGCAGATACTGGCGTTCATTCAACAGTCTATGATTCAACTCTACCATGCCTCTGCAACTTGCAAGATGGGAAGAAGGAGTGACCCGCTTGCTGTGCTGGATTCCAAAGCTCGAGTATATGGTGTGGATGGATTGCGTGTTGTGGATGCCTCGTCTTTTCCGTTCTTGCCGCCGGGACATCCTCAGGCTACTGTCTATATGTTGGCTGAAAAGATTGCAGAGGACGTTAAGCAGGAGCTGCAATTGTGAGATATGCCAGAGGGTGGTATTTCAGACACAGATTTTCCCGCCTGCGATCAATGTATATCGTAAACTAATGTATAGCATGAACAACTTGGCGCTGTCTTCGAGGTTGACTTCATTAAATCTTTGCATCATGCTCACTATCTATAGGCTGTCTTTGCGATACATCGATGGCCATGCTCACGAGCAAGCAGATTTAACAACCAGAACTAGACATTCTGCCGAGACTTGAATGTGGCTTCGATGTTACTGATATTCGGCACAAATCGTTTTGATCCTATGTCTTGGCGGCTGAGTAATGTACATGGTTGAAATCATCGGATAAACTCGGATAGACGAGCACACCTCGATTTCCCACGTGCTCAGATCCATGGCGCTGGAAGCCTTGCAAAGTTTGCCTTCCACTTCACCTTCGCATGTTGAGTTCCAGGGACAAAGTTGTCACGCTCATCAACCCCCGGGGACGTTGTATGAAGTGAATGGGCGTGTTTGCGTTGCTTTTCGATATCTGGCCAGTGGACGGCCGAGGAGAGCTCGCCATCGCTCGCTCGCGATCCGACCCGATCATCACCACGGACATTCTCGTGCCGCGGACAGCGCACGCCTCCCATCCCACCTTTGCGATGGGCTGAATGGAACGGCAGCCGGGCGTGTCGCAGGTACTGCAGTCCAGCTTGATTGTGGCCAGAATGTGGCCGTCTCGTCGGGCTGCCACCAGACCTCCGTTCCCGCACCACGTAAGGAAGGGTGAAAGAGGTAAGGTAGGTGATGGAACGGCACGTCATAGGCGACGGCCAGAAGTTGATCCAACTTTACGTACAACGTCGTAGCTGCATCTGATATGACCAACAGATTGAGGCCGAGGATGATGTGCGCGTTTGGCGGCTTTCCACTCGGTGTTATTCGCTGCATCTTATCTCGCCCATGTCACGGAGCGCAGAATAGTCGCTCATGTGCGTCAAGCAAAGCAGGCTTGCCTCGCTCCTTCTCTTGGAAATCTCCATGTACTTGTCAAAACAGTGGAGCGGAGTCTTGAGTTCAGTAGCAGTGGGTACTTTTACCCTGTTGAGAAGTCGAGAACCTGCCTGTGATGATGGCACTTGTCTTTACAGCGGATTTCCATTCCTTTGCACCCGCAAACACACACTTGATCTCCCTGCCCACAACTCTTCCAACCCTTCCCCAGATTCAATGTCTGGAAATTATCAAACGCCAGTCTGAATTTAGGAGAGACCGGACAGCACGCATGCTTGCTGGCTTCCTAGGAATCCGATTTTCAATACCCTCACACACACTGGACAGACAGTCACGATGCCGATAATCGACACCTCCAAAGATCTGGCAGCCCTGTTTGCCGACCAAGTTGCAGCCACCCCAGATGCACCTGCTCTCGAAGACGAGCACGCAACCTACTCGTATGCCCAACTCGCCGCCAAGGTTAACGAACTTGCAGCCCGCTTGAAAAAGTATGGCGTTCAGAGAGATAGTCTGGTTGGCGTTCTCTTACCACGCAGTGCCGATTATGTGATTGCCTGTCTTGCAGCACTCGAAGCTGGTGGGGCCTATTTGGTGCTCGAGTTGGCATACCCACCCGATTTGCTCGCAGATGCTATTGACGATGCAAGGCCCGTGGTAGTCATAACGAATGTTTCCGAGACCGGGAAAATCAAGCAGGGAATTACCACCATTGCCCTTGACGAAGTGGCTTGTACGAATGGTCACCACGACCCAGCTGAGTTGGAAGCTGAAGTCAATGGCCACGAAGCCAATGAAGACGGGAAGACCGCATCCAACGGCCAATCCCCAGTCAACGACCTCGATCGATTGGCTTTTGTAGCATACTCATCAGGAACCACTGGTCGTCCCAAAGGCATCGCGAATCCCCACCGGGCATCAGTCCTGTCATACGACTTGCGTTTTGGCATCTCCGACGTCCGACCCGGCGATCGGGTTGCGGCCAACGTCTTTTTCGTCTGGGAGATCATACGTCCTCTACTGCGTGGCGCTACTGTAATCACCGTGCCGGACGAAATGAGCTACGATCCCTCGACTCTCATCGAGCTGCTCGCCTCGAGACGTGTGAATGAAACTCTGATGACACCCACACTTCTGGCCGCAGTGTTGACCAGATACCCAGACTTGGGATCTCGTCTCAAGGATCTCAGGACCCTGTGGCTGAACGGGGAAGTCGTCACCACTGAGCTTGCCCGCTGGGCGTTGAAGGCTCTGCCCCAAGTCCGCCTTCTCAATTGCTACAGCGCCTGTGAGACCCACGAGATCGCATGTGGAGACATTGGTCAGATGCTCGAGGATAGCACCGTCAGTCAGGCGGTGAACTGTCCGGTTGGCCAACCGCTGGAGCCAGAGAATATACACGTTCTGGATGAGAATGGTAAGGAGGTTGAGCGTGGAACCACAGGAGAGCTGTTTGTGGGTGGCGCTCTTCTCGCCCGCGGCTATCTCAACCGGCCTGAGACGACGGCGGAAGCATTTGTATCGGACCCTTTCAGCTCGRTTGAGGGCGCTCGTATGTACAAAACCGGTGATCTCGCCGTGCTGCTACCTTCTGGCCTCTTGGAAATCAGCGGTCGTCTTACTGGCCTGATCAAGCTGCGCGGTTACTCCGTGGTACCAGGGAAGGTGGAAGGTACTATTCACGACCATTTGGCTGTCAAGAACTGCGTGGTGGCTGCGCACGGAGACGGGCTCGACCGACAGCTGGTTGCGTACTTCGTACGAGACACAGATGTCTCTTCTGATCGACCCGCCGTGGAGGTGGACGAGCTGGGTCACAGCCCATCGGCAAGGAAGAGCATCTCAGCCTACTTGGCTCAATACATGCTTCCCACAATATGGATAGAGCTTGAATCTATACCAACTCATCCAGTTTCTGGCAAGGCCGATTTCAAAGCACTTCCTGCTCCACCTACTGCAAAGAACGTACTTCCCGAAGTGGTCAAGGATCCCATCGGGATCGATGCCGTCGCTGAAGTATGGAGCGAAGTACTGGGAGCACCGAAGAGTGCGCTGAAGAAGGACACCAACTTTTTCGATCTTGGAGGACATTCACTTTCTTTGGCAGAACTTGCAGGCAAGCTGTCGCGGGCATTCGGCTTCCGTATTCCAGCTGGACGCCTGGCTTCCCCGGCGACCCTCGAGAGTCATCTTCACACTGTCCGTGAGGTCCGGGATGGACAAATTGCCGCCGTGCAGGCCGATCTACCCGCAGCTCTGCGACGAGACACCAGACTTGACTTTGAGCCCAAGGAGGGATCGAAATTCAAGACACTGAAAGACGCCAAGACGGTACTTCTTACCGGTKTCACAGGCTTCTTAGGAGCATTCCTTCTCAGTGACTTGATGCAGAACACCTCCGCTCGAGTCGTGTGCATTGTCAGGTCTCCCCAGCCCTCGGACGAAGATAAGCCTCGAGCCACCGCAGCCATGCGGAAGAACTTGATCGGGTTCGGCATTTGGCAAGACTCCATCATGGAACGTGTTGAAGTTCTACCTGCAAACCTCGAGCGAAAGCGGTTGGGTCTTCCGCAGGATGTTTTTGACGACCTTGCTAGCCGCGTTGAAGTCATTGTACACGCTGCTGCATCTGTGAATCTTGTGTACCCCTACGCGGCTCTTCGAAACGCAAACGTGGAAGGTACAAGAGAGATTCTACGGTTGGCCTGCATCGGTGGTGCAACAGTCCAGTACGTGTCGACTAACGGCGTCCTACCGGCCTCGCAATCAGGCCATGGCTGGCCGGAAGACTCGATGCTATACGTCGATGCAGTTCCAGAGAAGATCCCCGATGGCTACGGCCAGAGCAAATGGGCTGCCGAGCAGCTGGTGTTGGAATCAGGACGCCGTGGCCTACCGGTTCGTATCCTGCGGGCCGGGACGATCTCTGGCCACAGTGCGACAGGAGCAGCGAACGCATGGGATCTGCTGACGGCGCTATTTGTTGAATCGATACATCTCGGATACTACCCAGACGTAGAAGGCTGGCGTGCGGAGATGACTCCAGTGGACTTCGTGGCAAAGGCGATTGTTCATCTTGGAAACCAAGCTCATGCTAAGCAGCTCGTCTTCCATCTCGGCGATCCAAGCCCCGTTGATGCGAAGACAGTATTTGATCATTTCGCCGAGTTGGGTTATGCCACTCAGCCGTTGCCCTTTGAAGACTGGGTAGCTCTATGGACTGAGAAGAGAGGTTCCGCTCGAGGTGGCGAGGGAGCCTTCTGTGTCGATATCCTTCGCAGCGGAATGCCCAGTGTCGACTTTCTCCGGGACATTGTCGTTTTGAATAACGCACAAACTCGACCATTCCGCGCCATTGTGGAGAGACCAAAAGTCGATTGTCGCCTGCTAGAGACCTACACACGGCATTGGTTTGCACGAGGATGGCTCAAAACCCCACCAACTCAGCACTTCGCGCTCGGCGGCTCTTCCCGCGCGGTTCGCAAGAGCATGCTTGCCGGCAAGGTCGCTGTGATCACAGGCGCTTCAAGTGGCATAGGTGCAGCAGTCGCAGCAGCGCTGGCCAAAGAGGGCTGTCATCTTGTCCTTGCCGCTAGGAGAGCCAAGGTCCTCGAAGATCTGAAGCTTCGTCTGGCCGTCCGTGATGGCAAGGTATTGACCAAAGCGACCGATGTCATAGATAAGAAGGCCGTTGATGCTCTGTTCCGCGAGACTGAGTCCGAACTCGGACCCATCGACATTCTTGTGTCTTGCGCTGGAGTCATGTACTTTACGATGATGGCCAACGCACAGACTGAGGAATGGAACCGCACAGTCGATGTCAATTGCAAAGGCCTTTTGCACTGTCTTTCCAACATCGTGCCTCCTATGATTCAGCGAGGTAGTGGGCACATTGTAGCAATCTCCAGCGATGCTGGGCGGAAAGTTTTCCCAGGTCTGGGTGTTTACTCGGCCAGCAAGTTCTTCGTCGAAGCCACGCTCCAGGCACTGCGGGTCGAGACGGCCGGAAAGGGTCTTCGAGTGACCAGTGTCCAGCCGGGAAACACGGAGACGGATCTGCTGGGCATGTCTACTGATGCGGAGGCGATTGAGGCCTATGGAAAGCCTTCGGGAGCGAAGATTCTGGAGCCTAGTGATGTCGCTGCATCGATCGTGTATGCTCTGAAACAGCCTGAGCATGTCGCGGTCAACGAGATTATGATCGAGCCGAGGGACGAACCTATCTAGAGTTATTGGTATGTGGAAATGGAGATGGGTATCACCTATTAGGCGAAGGCGTGTTGTTAGATGCTGCGTTGTCGCAATGGAGGTTGAGCGATTTGTGATCAAGAGCACGGATTGCTGACCAGCCGGAGTCTGGAGACACAAATGCTGCAAGGATTCGTTTTTCGACGTACATAGTTTCTTGATCATCAACTAGACGGATGATTGAATATATAGGATATGCCAACACTTTTGCGACCTATCAGAACGCACTGAGGTCCAAGTCGCATGCGTAGGATGATACTGTCGCGACGCCAACAATTGTAAGTGAAATTACCAAGCACTAGGCGTGTCTTCAAAGAGAGACTTCAGATTGAAAGTGTGCTATCAAGTCTTCGAGCGGAAATGCCAGCCCATTCTAGTGATTCTAGAGGCCAAAACCAGCCCAGCGCAAATCATCGTCGATGCAGCAGCCCACAGAATCGCCCCAACATAACCTCCCTGAATCTGCAAGGCACCACCAATGGGTGGACCAGTTAGAGCAGCAAACGATAATGTCCCAAACGCCATGCCAAGACGAGTGCCGAATTTGGTCATATCTGTTGTGATGGAAGCCACAGTCGAGGGCACGATACATTGAAAAGCCGAGCTAGCACAGCCGTAGACAACCGCGTAAGTGTACAGTCCCGCTGGAGTTTTGACTGGTAGAAAGCAAAAAGCCACTACTGTTAGGAGGAACATGACCTACGCAGCAAGCAAGATGCAGTTTGGTTAGTTTCGGGATTTTCTTTTTCGCAAGGTGAGTTTCGTGTGTGATTTCTTACCGGTGCCATTACGTTCAATGGTCCGTATCTATCCGCAAGTAATGGCGGGAGAATCCGGAAAGGTAGACCCGCACCATTCAGAACAATAGTGATTGTTGCCGCAGCCGAAAATGGCATTCCGATAACATCAACACCATATGGGGAGAGCTATTGCGTTTGAATATTGTCAGCATTAACGTACTGATCTTGAAGCTTGACCAAAAACATACATAATAGTAGGTCCAGTAGACTGCCCAAAAAGCAAAGAAGAGCCCAGCAATGAGGAAAGCGTACGTGGGCTCTTTGAAGGCACTCAAATCTACATATGGCCCTGATTTCCGTGGAGGTAGTCTGGGACGCATGAAGGCGATGGCTATGCAGAGCATGGCCAGGTTGAAAAACCCTAGACATCGTGCTGTCCAGGCGAAGCCGATCTTTGGGAGGAGCTGCTGGACCATGACGGGATAGACCATACCCTGTACACAAGGTTCCATAGGTCAGTAAGTGTCTGCGAGGTGGAGTATGGTCCGAAAGGGACATTGCAGGTAGGTAGGTGATGGCTTGGCGGCTTTTTACTGTATTGGACCACTTCCGCACGCTTCTCTAAGCGATGCTGGTCTCTTATTGAATGCAAGCGGCCTTTCGAGCAATAGCGAAACGATACAGCAAAGGGAGTGTTGTACGAGAGGATTCCCGGCGTAGTGAGATGCTGTTGCACCATCGAACTCACCCCAACGCTGTTTCCGGTCGTTGCCAGACCAATGGCCAGGGCTCTCTTTTTCGAAAAATAAGACCCCACTAATCCCATGGCTGGGGTAAATATGATGCCGCCTGTGAGAGAGTATAAGCTAGTTACTGGCAGACATACTCGACCAACATACCACCTATTCCAGACATGACGCCCTGAGAGAGCATGAGTTGCCAGTACTTGGTAGATAGACTCATACAGAAAATGCCAACAACCTGGATGATCGATCCTACCAGAAAACAAGGGGTGAAGTATCCAGCATCGAGCAAGCGGCCACTAAGAGCACCAATGAAGAACGTGAGGAAGTTCTGAACGGATCCAATCCATGATACAGTAGAAGGGTCCAACTTCAAACTGACGGTGTAGTAGCTAGCGTTTTGTCATTAGTTTGATGGTCTGAGGAAAAGCTGTTCTGAAGGCAAATTCCAGCAAGCACATACGTCTGGAAAACCCCGAAGCTGTTGACAGCTCCCCAGGTACACAAAATCACTATCCAGCCACACGCAACCTGAGTCCAAGCATGCAGTCCGCCATCTGGAGGCGGAGGTGGCTCAGGTATAGATCGAGTTGTCAGCCGCGAAGCAACCTTGCTAAGGACATTGCTGGCAGTTCTCTTGAGATCTGTTGATGGTCTTGATATGCTTTCATCGTCGCCCTGAGACGAAGCATGTCCAACAGCGTCCCGGTCTTCYCGAAATTCGTGGCTAGACCTACCGCTGCCAACACTGCGTATCATATGGATCGATAGTTTTTCGGCATCCTCGTGAGGTTCCGTATGATGAGCGCTCATAGTAACGGTGGCAAACTTGGTTCGCCGGATTTTACAAAGCCATTCAAAACTTCAAGTATCTCAAGTGTGGGTCAGGGCTTTAACGCGGGTACCACCACAACGGACCATCGGCACTGATAGCGACTTGGCTGCTGCTCCGTTGTCGGAGATCTGTAATGTGCACTTTCTCCATCTTTGTCAAAGGCCAACGAAAGGCGCTTAGGAGGTAGGGCGTAGGGCGTAAGGCGTAGCGTCTGCTGTGGCTGGTTTTGCCGCTGGTTATCGTAGGCCGAAGCTGGCCGAAGTCGACTTTAGGCGGATGATCAATATCCACTGTCTGCTAAGTTATAGCATAATGAAAGGAGATGTTGATGAGTAGCTCTTCAAAGTGGTCTTGATATGGCGGCATTTTGAGATGAGGCGGACAATGCTTATTTCTTAGATTTCCTGTTCCTGCATCAATAAACTTCTAAATAGACTGCGGTAAAAAACTTCTGCCAAGCAGAGACTGTGGAAAAGCCAGTAGGAGATATTTGAATGGACCACCACGCTTGYCCATGCCATACCGTCATGGAGCTTACTGCTGTGCTAATCTGAACCACACTCCTCGATGATAATTGGACATACGATGATGGATGTTAGGTGATGATGAGGAAGATGGAAAGTGACATTTTTCGGCAACCTTGACCATCCTGGCCTCGGCTCGGTTGGGCCCGAAACACTCCTTCACTTCATGTCCTTCACTTTACTCTCTCTCAAACAATACACACGACCATAGCGAATCATTTTGATTGGAAATGGCTTCAACATACCAGCCTCCAGGCCGTATTGGCGACCCAAACATGTCGCCTGCCACAGACCCACGCCTGGATGCTCGGCTTGGAAAGTTCCTCAAAGCCACAAACATGGACCAAAACATTCCGCCTAGCCGAATCTCTCCAGCCTCAGGCATGGAGCTGGTTCAAAAGATGATCAGTAAAGCGGACAGAATGGGTGCTCAAATGAATGAATCTTTGCCGAGCGAATTGCCTGGCGATGAGAACAGGCCGAAAGTTACTAGGAAGGATATTACCATCAAAGGAGTTGACGACAATGACATCAAGCTCCATGTGTTTCGAAGGGCCGACAGTGCGAATAAAATGCTCCCCTGTGTTGTGTACATTCAGTATGTCATATTGTTTCACAACAACAACTAAAGCTCTGCTGATTAGAAATGTAGCGGAGGCGGCATGGTCACCAACACAACGCTGAACAAAATCCATGTAAACTGGTGCAACGATATAGCTTTGGCTGGAGCAGTGACTATTGCCATCGATTTCCGAAACGCATTCATTCCTGACGGCAAAGGTGGTGGAACGCATCATCCATTCCCAGCTGGCCTGAGCGATTGTGCTTCCGGCCTGCAATATATTGCTGCCCACAAGAGCGAAATGAACATCAACACGATCGTAGTCCAGGGTGAGAGCGGTGGAGCTAACTTGTCTATTGCCACCGCCATCAAAGCCAAACGGGAAGGCTGGATTTCTTCGATCGATGGCGTCTATGCGTGCGTGCCGTACGTATCATGTGGGTGGGAGTGGAGTCAAGAGCGACGGATGAAAGAATTGCCATCTACGATAGAGAACGATGGCTACTTCCTTCACACTTCATCGATGGCCTGTATGGGTCACTATTACACTCCAAATCTGGCGGACAAGACCAATCCATTGGCCTGGCCCTACCACGCATCTATTGAGGATCTCAAAGATCTTCCACCGTTCATACTGGCCATGGATGAACTTGACCCTCTACGAGATGAAGGCATCGCGTTTGGGAAGAAGCTTGTCGAGGCTGGCGTCAGTGTGACGAGCAGTGTGAACCTTGGAGTTCTCCATGCTTCCAGTTTGATCTTTCGCCAAGCACTGCCCGAGCTACATTTCACTACCATTTCCAACATCCTGGCATTTGCACGAAGATTGTGAGTGAATCGTAGACGTTCCCATCGAAAAGCGCTGACATGCGAGCCTACAGGTCGGAAAGTCACAGTCAATCTAAGCCACTATCTGCGAAGTTAGCCTAGGGGAGATGCAAGTCGGTCGATGGTGTTCGGTCGTGAGAGAGGCTTATAGTACTACCTGGGCCCTAGATCCAGACCCTGGCTGAATGAACACTAAAATGCACGCCATTCAAAATCATCTTAATGCTGGTCTGCTTTAGGTGTCTTGAATGCGCCTCCAATAGCCGCGGCATTATTTGACCATGGACCAAAGTCTCCTATTCTGGCACTGTTTTGGCAAAAATCTTACTCAGTTTCGTATTCCCTCCGCCGGGAGGACAAAACAAAAAGATACTCTACATTCAACATTTGGGATTCCCCAGTGGTCACCCACCTGAGTACTGATCAAAYGATTACATGGTTCAATAGGCCAGAGCGGACGGGATGGCTTGCTTTCATGCATCTGTGGTCGAATGTGCCTAAACTCTATTTTATGGCATTAACTATTCTATAGATTTGAGCGCCCAGGATTGAGACATCGGGGTAAGTCACATCGCCTTCGACTTTGGAAAGGGGCCTAATGGAGTCAAAAGGTTTAAGCAGAGGCGCGGCACCTTCGTTACTGCCAGCGTAGAGGAACGTACAGGAGAGAATGGCCTGCGGAGACCAAGTCGGCCGCAGGGAACCACAAGTGTCTCTTCGTATGCTGACCTGTGTTGTATTGACATTCGGTTGCGTTGTCATGACCAGCATGGCCGCTGCCAATTGAGGTCCCACTGTTCCACTTCGATGCAATCTGTTCAACTCTTCAAACAGCTGCTCCAAATTTTCCCCCGCGAAGAAATATCGCCGATAGAACCATGTTTCCGTCTCGCGAGCTCGGCCGAACTTGTCTCGTCTGTTGTTCTAGCCAGGAGGCAGTACCAMCACTTTTCGCAGCCCTGAACCACTCCGACGTCATCAGATAACATATCATTCGCGAAGATATGGCTCCTCTCCATAAAAAACATTTGCAAAACACTAACACTATCCGACAACAAGTCCCCCCTATCCAGAGACACACATACCATACCTAACTATGGCATCAAAATACGACATCGAAACATACCTTCTCGACAAGTCTCACATTTCAGATACCATCACCCGCATGCTGCTAGGATTTGACCGAGAAGACTACACCTCCTTGATCAACGACGTCTACGCCCCCGACGTAGATCTAGACTACGACCCTCTACTAGGCGGAAAATCAGAAACACTACCCAGTCTCGAATGGACCAAGCGTTTGGCGAAAACTCACGAACCCTATGATACCACGCAGCATGTCATTCTGTAAGCAACAGCCAGCAGCCAACAGCATCGCTACTCGAATACTTCACTCAAGCTCATGACTTTTGTAATAGTAATCTCCTGATCAACCTCCCGAACCCTGGATCGGCGTACCCGCCGGAGAAATGTACCGCGGTTGCATATGCTCATGGTCATTTCTATAAGAAAGACGATGAAGGTGTTCCGACTGTTCTGGCGATGCGGCAGGGAGTAAGTAAGCCAAAAAGCCTTTTTTCTCCACATCCGCTGGGTTCTCTCTCTCTCTCTCTCTCTCGTAGAGCTGACAAGATGCAATTCGCACTTTAGGGGAGATATGAGCTTGAGTTCATCCGTGGTGGGGATTCGCCTCCCGGATCGAACTCTTGGCGAGTGAAGAAGTTGAGCGTGAGGTTGGATTGGAGGGATAAGCCGGAGTGAGGGGATGGGAAGAGTGGGAATGAATTTGGAGAGGTAGGGAAGAGGGATGGTAGAGTGTGCTTACTTGCTTGATCTTGAGTTGGGGCGAGACCCCTTAATGAAGGGCTGGTGGAATTGAATGTTATCTTGTAGTCATCCCAAGATCTCAATCGTAACTCCACAATTCCATATCCAAACCTATAACGCCTAGCAGAGAATGTTGTTCTTTGTCTTGCAAGTTAGCTTTATTTGAATTCTATCTTCTAAATAACAATCGACAATGGTGAAAGCAGCATGTATGAGACCTTTGATGACTTCATCCGCCGACGCCTCTTTGATGACTTGGATGACTCGCTCGCGTGAGGCCACATCGGATACGACCGATGAAATGCGAATACCGCATGCGGCCATTGAGCCGGTGAGTGAGTGGGCGACCGGCGTCATGAGGCCGCGACGAGAAAGGACCAGTAGATCTCGCGCACCACGGTCTACCATCCATCGGAAAATTGCTCGACCAAGGCCACCGAGACCTCCGATAATGATGTATCAGGCGTTTGGATCAAATGATACGGCTGGAGGAGCCTGTATGACTTTGATTAGCGGGTTAGGCTCCTGATAATTGACAATTATCTTTCCGATATACGTGCCTTTAGCGAAGTTGCTCAAGACTTGGTCAAGGTCAGATAGKCTGGTGACAGTGGCGGGCTGGACCGGAAAGATGGCCAGGTTCAATAGGCCAGAGAAGACATGCAAATTTTGACTGATCCCCGCCTCCTATTCGATCTCCACATCGCATCGAAACAAAAATGCTGGTAAATTCAACATTTGCGATTCCCCAGTAGGCTCTTCTCAATATTATCTACTGAAACTGACTCGTCAATTACGGGAAGACTACGGTATCATTGGCAAAAGGGACGAAAATCGCGTCAAACTTCTGGAACCATCCCCGCGAGTCGAGTAGATGATGGAGAATTCGAACCAGAAGAACATCACATACGAATACATTTTGGACGATTGGGATATACCTGTCAGAATACGCGGACGTAGAGTCGGTGTTGGATTCGATCTCGAAGAGGTTTGTCATTGTATCCTATAGTGGCAAAACGTCTCTCTCCGTTGAGTAGATGTGGATAGGATTAACAACTATTATATCCGAGAACGCTCATCGCGTAAATCTATGCCCATGTTCCTCCACTCGATTCCCATAAGTTGCTACCGGCCGAGCTTAAACTCTTGAATTAAGAGAACTCCATACAACGATAGCACTTATACATCACCACCCGAAACGTCGAAAAGGGGGTCCAATTTACTATTGAGAGCATGTTAGTAAGCAATGCTACTCAGCGKATGTAATATACTTACACAGTTGCAAAGACATCCTCTCTACATTCAGAATGACGTTAGCATAATGCATCTCTAAACAGGCCGGAAGCTTGAGCAAGCCGTTCTTGTGTCTTACCAAGTTGCCGCAGTTGCTCTACACCCGAGAATACGTTAGCATACCATATCAATATAATCGGATCATGGCTTGCTTATAAGCCATCCCAAAGAATGTACTTACGGTCCTCTGGCAGCCCGTAGAGCAACTTCCGTCGTTCTCCAAATTGCATGCCAAGGTGCCCCCCACGTTCTGGAACACATCCTGGAGTGCATGAAGCCACAGGGCACCGCGATGACACTTGGCGTTCGGCGATGACGGCGATGCCATCAGTACCAGGCTCTGCAGCGGGTACTGCTGCAGCCAGGGCAGCGAAAAGGACGGAAACGGCGATGGTGAAACGCATTTTGTCGGTGGATCGGGAGATCTTGGTGTGATTTGGTGTTGTAGTAGAAGGTGATGAGAGAGAGAGAGAGAGAGAGAGAAGATACAGCACGCATACATGTTTCTATATAGCCGCCAGTCTCTCGCCCAAGGCATGAGAGGTCTAGCCTCCCCCTCATCCCCTCACGGAGTCTCGCGGRAGATTGTGATGGATCAGTGCCTTCAAGAGATGCTAGCCTGGCCTCCTTTTCCCCTTACAGAGCCTCAGGAAGGATCGTTATGGATTAATGCCTCCAAGCGATGGTAGCCCAGCCATCTCCTTCGCGGAGTCTTGCGGGATCAGTGGGAATTGTCTTCAAGACATGGTAGCCTGGGTTTATCATCCTTCTCCTCCACTTAAAAGAGCCTCAGGRAGGGCCGTTATGGACGAATGTCTCCAGGGGATAGAAGCCTAACTTCCTCCCCCCCACGAAGTGCTGCGGAAGATCTGTTGGAGCGATCATCAGGCCTTGAATACTTCGCCCCCATCTCACCGTAAGAYGCGCCATCTTTACGTAAGATGCCTATGTCAATTAGCGCGTTTTCTGAATACCTCTAAGTGAGTGACTTATCGAAAGATGCGCATCTTTGCGTAAGATGGCCGAAAGGGGAACGACTCTTTCGCTGATGACGGTGACGCTAACGTCCAGCCGGGGACAATGGAGGAGATGCCCATCTTTCGAAAGCGAGCTATCTTCGCCCTTGCTTGCTTTCAACTCCATCTTTCAGCCCCATGTGGATCACGCACTATAGATAAAATGAGCTTAATAAGAAACATACCAAGCCGGTAAAGACACGACTTTGCACTGAATACCGGCAAGACGTCTAAGATGTAATAATACGGCTTTTACTAAAATGGATACAGGCTTATATCCATCTTACCGTAAGTTGCGCATCTTACGGTAAGATGAAGCGAAGTATTCAAGGCCTCATCAGTAACAAGTGTCTTCAAGACATTGTAGCTCAGCCTTCTCCTCTTTCTCCACCACTTAACAGAGCCTTACAGAGTGTGGCCCGCATACAGGAATCACGCTAAAGAGACAGGGAGGTTTTCATCCAATATGCACACTCCATTCTGTCGACAATTCACGCGGATTGGATCGGAATTCCCGCTCAGATTTCTGTATGCACGACTGGGGCTGTAGGGAAGGCCGTTATGGACTCATGTCTTCAAGGGATAGAAGCCTAACTTCCTCCCCTCACGAAGTGCTACGGAACATCTGTTGGAGCGATCAGTAATAAGTGGTTTCAAGACATTGTAGCTCAGCCTCCTCCCCTTTCTCCTCCCCTTAACAGAGCCTCAAGGAGGACCGTTGGGATTCAATGTCTCCAGGGCACAGAAGCCCAGCGTCCTCCCCCCACGGAGTCTTGCATAATCAGTGAGAAGTGTCTTCAAGACATGGTAGCCTAGCCTTATCCTCCTTCTCYCCCACTCAACTCAACAGCGCCTTAGGGAGGACCGTCATGGACTATTGTCTTCAGGGGATAGAAGCCTAGCTTCCTCCCCTCACAAAGTGTTGCGGAAGATTTGCGGAAGATCGTTATAGAGCGATCAGTGACAAGTGTCTTCAAGAAATTGTCGCCAGGCCTCCTCCTCCTCCTCCTCCTCCCCTTGACAGAGCCTCAAGGGTGACCATTTTGGACAATCTATAACCTGCATACGGGAAGAACCGGAGTGGCCTGTCAAGARCTTTTCGGCCGATCCGGACCGCAGCCCAGGTGGACGAAAGTGTCGTTCTCATAGGCCTCCCTCGCTTGTAACTGCCTCGCCTTCTGACTGGAGCTTCCTGTACGCGGGTTGCCCTCTGGATCAATGCCTTCAGGGGATAGTAGCGCGGTCTCCTCCCCTCATGGAGCTCGTGCAAGACCGTTATGGATCAGCGTACTTAATCGACCATGGCGACTACCCAGTACGATGGTACAGTAGCTCATTCGTTGTGCGGGCGCTCCACAAAGTCCCGCGCACTCTATCGTAGCTTTACTAGTCGACGATACCAATCGGATCGCTGAGTTCCAGGCTTCGCAAACGATATTTATTATTGCACCAGGGAGACAAAGGCCCGTGTCCTTGTCCATGCGTGAAAGTTCGGTCTGGAAGCAGAGTCATGGTACCTTGCTGGAGCAGGTCTACGGAAGTGCTCGCCATGGTGTTCTTGCAGTCCCTTGAGTATATGCTCCATGATACGGTCCAGAGGATCCTCATCTCGCTGGTAGATAACAGCAGCCTTACGGAGAAGAAAACTGAGGGCTTCCGCGGTGAATCGCACGATGAAGGGCTTCACCTCTTTCTGGCCCAGGTATCTTGCGACAATGCCTGCGATGTCAGCCGGATCTACATGTATGGAGAAAAGTCCGGGTTCCGCGGAATCCCCCGATAGGAGGCTTTGATCAATCCGCTTCGTGATCTCGTGCGGAAGCAGCTCCGTATCGATCACATGAAAGCGGATACTGGCCGAAAAACTTCCTGTGCCATTCAGAAATGATCCAGTCGGCGGGATCCCATGCCTCGAGCCCATTGCATCTTGTATACGTGTCCAAGTTCCTACCCCAAATATGGGAGGATTTACTCGGTGAGCTTGACTAGCCTTTATGCGCGCGTGAAGTTTGTCCGGAGTATGTACCCTAAGCTCTTTGAAGTCCTTGCATCTAGGGTTTGTCTTGCCACGGACGAAGCCGCCAAGCTAAGATACTGTACTGCTAAGCTTTTTGTTGTCTGACGCACTGGATGGATGTAAGTTGTGACCTATTTCATTCCTCTGTATACATCAAACAAGTAGTCCTCGGGTTTTTAGACTACGAGGTGGTAGGGGGCCCACCAACCCGGTACCTTATTCCTATATATACCTGACGATACAGCGGACAACACCTTAATGACGACACGTTCGACAAGGCCGAAGTGTCCAATAAAAGGTGCTTCCTTTCGAGTAATAATATTCCGACCAGTTTCTCGCCGTTAGACTAGCATCCCATGTTGCTGTGTTTTCTCCTCCTAGACGTCTTCACCATCGCCCGTACCCTGCGAATCGCTGCTAGGGCATGCATGCCTACAGGTGCGGGTTGATAAAAAAGCATCTTATCTAATCTGTAACGTCGTTTAGCACACGTGTAATGCACAGCAACAATGAAGTTTGAACAGCAGGCCACAAGCCCAGCGGTTTTAAATTTTTGTTCCCTTAACAAGGTCTTTATGCAGAGTTATTATTTAGGCTAGGTCTCTTGGCCTTCCGCGAGGCTCCGCGWGGTAAGGAGAAGGCAAGTACATTAATTAGAGACGACTCTAGACACCGATTAGAGAGAACTCTAGACATCGATTAGAGAGGAAATTAGCCACCGGCAGGTATATATAAACAAGTACATCCCCTCGAGAAACGGTATTATCCTATTACATTCCTTTACATTAACCTTAACTAGCTCCTTCCAACCTCCTAATAATACGTTTTACTATTACTCTTTCCCTTCTATAGGTTACACTCGCTACTACGACCTCCTCTAAGGAGTACGGTTTAATCGATAGGAACCTCTTCGGACGCTAAGTATCGGACCCGTGTCCCCGTTATATAGTAGGGTGTATTAGAACAGGTTGTATTATCTTAGAGGGCGGAACCTATGCTCTAGGATATCGGAGGAACGTAAGTACATTCTTTAAGATAGCTTAAAAGCTAGCTCGTATCCGTTTATATAGTATGCTAACGCATCGAATTCTAGAGCAACTATAGCGACTAGGTAAGATATAGGACAACTCGTTAACCTTACTACCTACTTAGACATAACGCTAATATAATAGAGACGAACTGCCTATACAACTATATAAGTATTATATAATCGCTTAACAGCTTTACTTACTAATATTACTTTAGTAGTTAGTACCTCTATGTTTTCGATATAAGCAGGAGTTTTTAATATACGTGCTATCCGTTATATAGAGTTCTCTTACCTATTCTTATAAGAGTTTAAGCTCGGCCGGTAGCACGTAGGGAAAGAGACGATTATGCTTATCTAAGTAGTATAGGACACAATTATAAAACTATTGTATAAAATGTTATAATTTCCCTTCCTATTATACTCCCTTAGAAGCGACGCTAAAGTAATCTTCTTTTTATAGTCGGTCTTCCTAGTCTTAGCCGCTTCCTCTAGTTAATATGTCTAGTAGATAATTAGGACGTACGGTTATACCGGATTATATGTACTGCTCCCTTATATAAAGGAGCACGCATCTATAGTGCCTCCTAGACACACGCCTATAGCGTTATATTACCTATAATAGGCTTAGATAACTCCGCTACTAAAAGTAGTTTAGAAATAATAGAGGTTAATAGAATCTTACCGTCTATCTTCGTCGCACATCTAATACTCTTTCCCTTCCCTCCCCTTCCCTTCCCTTCCCTCCCCTCCCCTTCCCTCCCCTTCCCTTCCCTTCCCTTCCCCTCGCTAGTAGTGCTAGTTTCCGCCTCGCTAATACTAATAACGACGACGAAATCGAAAGCGGTGTAGGAGACTAGTTCCGAGCTAACCTAATCTCTAAAGAGACGATTAGTGCCGAGCTCTAGAATATACTCGTAGCCTTAATATACGGCGAAGCTTATCCTAATCTTAATAACGAAAGATTTAGCGATATGCTAGTCGAATATATGCCGAATTAGGCGAGGAGTAAGGGCTATAATGCTACGTACGATAATAGATCGAATCGCTAGGGGGAATGCGAAAGTATCTAGTAAAAGTACCTATCGGCTAGATAGTAAAACAGTCTTTACGGTATCTATGTCTTCCTTTAGTAAAGTAAGGTTAAAGCGGGAGCGAGTTTAACGAAAGAAACGGATATATCTAAAGCAACATATACTCTTTCTAAGTAGCTTAAAAATCTATCTTAAATTAGTCCGATATTTATCTTATATCGTTCTTAGGCTAATTCCCCCTTGCATTAACTACGAGTTAGTCTACGTTATACCGATCTACAAACTTAATAACCTTCCTCGCCGGTTTACT